ACGTGTTCGTCTCCATGTGCACGATACCGACCGGCACGTTCTTGAATTTCGACTACGGCTCGTCATACGCGAATGAGAAGCTGCACGATGTACGTGGTGTTTGCGGTGTTTTCGCGTTATCGGGCGGGGGGATCGTGTTCTTAGGATCCAGTCCTGCAAATTGAAATAGCGGAATTGTTTCTCAACTTGTTTTTGCTATTCCTAAACGTAAAAATTTTAGAAATTTTGATTGATAATGATTGAATTTCGATGCAAAAAAGATCGATTTTTCGACCAAAAATTGCCGTATTGACCAAAAATTTCGACTTCTTGAAATTTTTTTGAAGGTGTTTTTGAGAGGTTTTGAATTTTTTCTTTAGCCAATTTTCTAGTTGACATATAGTTTGATTTTGGCTCAAAAGGCCATTAAAATATTTCCTATTAAGTTAATGGGCATTTTTAGACTTGTACAAACAAACTTTGCCCCTCCTCCCCCCCGATAATGCCACAGCACCATAATTTGCGATGAATTCCCGGTTCTATGTTAACGCGTTCCCTTTCCAGATATGCGCGTGCTTCATGCCAAACTGTGTGCGCCATAAGAAGAAGAAGCCGAAGGCCATCTACCAGGTGTGCCAGGACGTCGCCGCCTATATGCGACGACTCGACGAGATGGCCGCCGGCGACGTGGAGGCGGTCAAGGACGAGTACCACTCCGACTCGGATTGAACACGCATTCACATTGACAACTTGCTTTCCGTTCTCTTTGCTTGTTTTGTAATTCCCCGCTTGTAGCGTATATTTTGAATCTAACATTTCTAGTCTGAATTTTCCAATTTTCAACAAGCTTTCGAATGCCTACGGGCCCATGCAAAGATTTTGAATTCATAGGTTCTACAGTAATTACGGTTATTGCGATTAAACTCCCATCCGCGTAATGTGATAATCCCCCACCACCGGTGAACGGCATAAAATGTTTGTGGCTGTTTTTTCTGCTTTCTTTGTCCAAAAGTCGGAATGGAGGCTTTATTGAACGTGGCGGGGACGTTTGGGATGTTGCTACGTGATTTAAGAAGCTTTTCTAAGCGTTGATGAGAAGCAGGGCCGATTGTCGGACGAAGAGCAGCGACAGCTGCTAGATGTCGATGGCCTTCGAGTGGGTGTCGATGCGCTCGGTGGTCGTCTTGGCATGGCTGGAAGAAAAAAAGTAAATGAAATGTGAAGTGGCTTTGGCCCACGTTTTCGTCGCGACCTGTGTGGATTTCGCGTCCCATTGCCCGGCATCGTCCACCTCGACGACGGGGCGCCTGCAACCGTCATTTGTAGTGCATCGTTGGCCTACGGGGGGTCGGGCACGATCACGGCCAAGCTGGGGTCGGTGTTCAGGTCGGTCTTGGCGACGATCGAGGTGTCGCGCTCTGGCAATGAGAATATTGCGGCAAGTCGAGCAGCTACCTGAGAACTTGGACGGATTGGCCGCCGACGAGTCCTCCTGTTTGACGATGACGTCGATGGGCGGGGTGTCGCGGGCCAGCTCGTCGGCAGACCCGGACGGTGCGATGGGCGTGGGTCGGGTCGAGTCAGCGAGTCGAGATTGCGACTTGGAGTGTGATAGGGAATGCTGCGACCTCGATTCCGCCAGCGACTTGCTCGCGTCGCTTGCCGAGCGGGAGCTGGCCAGCAGCACCGTGGTGTTCTTGTTCTGTGGTTTCCTGAACGTGCAGTGAGTGAAAGGGTAGCAGAGATTTTTGGGGAACCGTATTCATCAACATTTCCTGCTAACCTGCCCTCTCCTCTTCCGCAAAAATCTCTGCTAGCCTGCCCTCTCCTCTTCCTCAACAATCTCTGCTAGCCTGCCCTCTCCTCTTCCTCAACAATCTCTGCTCGTTGCTACCTATCCTTGCAGGCCGTGTAGAAGACGCAGGCCAGCAGTAGGAACAGCACCACACCGCCACCGGAAGCTGTAAAAGATTTGTTCAGCGTCCGCGACCTGTGATACCCCAAAAAATCCAGGCGTTCCCGTCCTCGTCGGACTCGCCGGGCGTCGACCAGCTGGGGACTGGCTCGTAGCGGCAGAGCGTCTGAAACGTGACTTGTTGATGACTTGGCTCCCCCCAATAATGCGCCAGAAGTCTGTTAGCCTGCCCCCACCTCTTCCTCCTCGGCTCCGGTACAGTCGAGTAGTGGCTGCTGCAGGCGTTCGTCGCGGAACTTGCGGTAGTACGGGTTCAGGTTGCAGTTCAGCAGGTAGTCGCCCCGGACTTGGGCTTTTTTGGCCTAAACGCGTGGTGTGGAGGAATTCGCGGCAATTTAGTGATTTTAACGGGTCATTGAAGACGCGCCTGGGAGAGCTGGGAGACGTCAACGCATCGGGGGTAGACGTAGTGGCCGAGGCCCTCGGTTTCCGAGCCGGCCAGGTGGGCATACGGGGCGGACTGGAAGGGAATGGCTGAGAGCCGGCTAGCAGAGATTGTTGAGGAAGAGGAGTGCAGGCTCGTGCTCCTGCTCCGCCCCTCCCTCTCTCTCTCTTTCTATCTCTCTACTTGTCTCTCTATCACTCTCTCGCTCTCACTGACCCTCTCTCACCCTCTCTGCTCTTTCACTCTCTCTCTCACTCTCTCACACTCCCACTCCTCACCATGGCCCTCTGCAGCGTGAACACCGTCTCGTTGTGAACGACGTCGAGCCAGACGCAATTCTGGTAGTCGGGCTTGTCGTCGTCCCCGGCGTCCGGGCGGTAGATGCACGCATTCTCGCACTCGCCGCTGACCGGGAAGTCAACCGCCGTGGAGTTCAAGCGGTGCCTAAACGAAATTTTGAGTGCGGCTATGGAAAAATGAGGAAGCAGAAGACCGCGCTAAGCCTAAGCCTAAGCCTGAGGCTACGCCTAAGCATACCGGAACCAAAACTCACGCGTTCTGCTCGCACAGCGGAAGCGGCTGGCACCCCGTGCGGTTGTTCTTGGTACAGTACTACACATAAACAAGTATTGACGTATTTTCGGCACTACCGTAACCCTGTCGGGTCGCCGCGGGACCCAGTCGGGGAACGGGCTGAGGTCGTCGGGGAGAAAGCCGGCGGCCAGGTGGAGGCTCGGGATGCAGTCGGCGAAGCCGCTGAAGCAAGTGATCTCTGCTAGCTAGCCTGCCCTCTCCTCTTCCTCAACAATCTCTGCTAACCTGCCCGACCCCTAGAAAACACCCACTGCGGCACGATAAAGCCGGCCATGCATTCAGCGTGATAGCCAACGTCAAAAAGTCCAGTCGCGTACGGGAGTGGCTTTCTAAGATCTGGATTTCGAGTACGGTACTGTACGGTACTTTTCGGAGCCTCGCGTAGTGTCGGCACATTTTCCGGTGGCGATCATCTCGCGTGTGCACACGTTGACCGGAAAGAGAACGGAGCGGCGATCTCCTGAAAAGGGCAGGCTAGCAGCGATTGTTGTGGAGGAGGCGAGGGCAGGCTAGCAGAGTTCTCTGCCTCTTACCTCCAGTCGCCCCCACGGCCACTGCCCGGATTCGATTTTCATCCTAGAAATGACGTTACAGTACCCATTCTGCATGCTCCAAATTACGTAGTAGATCGCCGCCGGATCACAGCCAATTCGTGGACGTTTCCCAGCGCCCGGGCTCTCGAATATCGTCTGCCCATCCTCGCATGGCGCCAGGGTGCAGCTGTAGCACTGAAATTGAACGCGTCTCCCCAATCGGTACTTTGCCATTATCGGGGGGATTCTATCTAGCAAAGAAAAATTACTAAAAACATTATAATAATAATTTGGCCTTCCTGCCAACGCCCCCCCCGTTAACAGTCCAATACCAAATTCGCCCCACCCCCTGATAACGCGAAAGAACCCCGCAACTGGCCTCTGCCAGCCTGCCCACCTCGGCGTCTTGGGGCAGTTCGAAGGGGCGCTGCAACGCGCCCGCGCCCTGCTCGTACTTGGCGCTCAGCCAGGCGTGTGACCAGCAGAGGAAGTCGAGTACGCAATGCTCCGCTGGGGGTACGGTAGAGGTTGGGGGTACGGTAGATGGGGTGACGGTAGATGGAGTTACGGTAGATGGGGGTACGGTAGATGGGGGTACTGTGGCCTCGGTTACGCTGCCGTCATCATACGCGTCCCAGTACTCGACGAGGTCCCGCAGGGATTCACTAAATTCTTGTTTTTATTTAATAAATTACCGTATGGATTTCTGCGGTACTGGATTTTTAGCGGGGGGGGGAGCTGCTTTCTATTTTTCCGCCTTTCCTCCCTGCTAATATAATGTTTTTATAGCGTTTTTAGTTGTTTTTGAGCGTTGAGAAATTTTAATAATAATTAAGAAAAGTGGAATTTTGAAAATTTTCGTTTATTTTTTGCATTTATGACCATAAGTCTAAAAAGACCGAAATTTCGTTAGTTTTCTGTGGTTTTTGTACCTAAAAATGGTTTAAGATGCTATGGAAAATGTGTCCCCTCCGATAAGCGTCCAGTACCACTCAAACTTAAAGGGATTTTTGCGGAGCGTACCGTTGCGCCGAGCAGCCCCGGAAAAATATCAGGCAGACGAGAAGAAGCGGGATCATAACCGGGGAGGAGGAGGGAACGAGGTGTTGGGATTTTCCAGCAAATTCAGTGTTTTTATGCAAATTAAAGAGAAAAATATGGTTTTGCCGGTGGTCGAGATGGCAGACGTAATTTGAAAAATTTGCATCTAGTCTAAATTTCAAGGTACTGAACTTTTGATACGCACTGTAGTCGCCAGATATAATTTTTTCGCCTACACCCTAATCGCGAATTTCTAGAATATTTTCGTGGTTTTTCATCACCAGAAAGCTATAACAAATATTTTAAACAATCGACAATTTTTATTACTTGAGGTTTTTCTGGGAACGAAACCTAAGCCTCAGCTTAACCCTAAGCCCACGCAGCTCCACCTCCACCCTCCGCAGAAGAGGCCGTTGCGGATTCTTCATTTCCAGACTACAATTTGAATCCGTAGCCGGAATCCCGGGAAAAAAGAATCCCATCACTCGCCGCGATGACGGTCCCCTACATGCGGCAGGTGGCCACGGCCAACACATGGGCGTTTATAAAAGTTCGTTACCAATCCACAACAATCTCTGCTAGCCTGCCCTCTCCTCTTCCTCAACAATCTCTGCTAGCCTGCCCTCTCCTCTTCCTCAACAATCTCTGCTAGCCTGCCCTCTCCTTTTCCACAACAATCTCTGCTAGCCTGCCCTCTCCTCTTCCTCAACAATCTCTGCTAGCCTTCCCTCTCCTCTTCCTCAACAATCTCTGCTAGCCTGCCCTCTCCTTTTCCACAACAATCTCTGCTAGCCTGCCCTCTCCTCTTCCTCAACAATCTCTGTTAGCCTGCCCTCTCCTCTTCCTCAACAATCTCTGCTAGCCTACGCTCTGCGCTTTCAGCTCATCTTCCGTTGGCGCGGCTCGGTGTGGAAGCTCGTCATTTGGGAGCTGATCATATGGCTGTACATCTACTACCTCATCTCATTCACTTATCGGTTCGCCATCGTGCATTCGCAGTTTGAGGTAGGTCTCTCTCTCCCTCTCTCTCTCTCTCTCTCTCTCTCTCTCTCTCTCCTCTCTCTCTCTCTCTCTTGCCCGCTCTCCCTCTATATTGCTCTCGTTCAGGACGTCTTCATTCGCACCGTGCGTCACATCGACGCCCTGCAGACGACGTACGGAACTGCAGTGACGTTCGTGCTCGGGTTCTATGTCTCGGAGGTGGCCAAACGGTAGGCTGGCAGAGAGTGTTGAGGAAGAGGAGTGGGCAGGCTAGCAGAGATGCTTTGTGACCTGGAGCCAAGCCTCATTCAGCTGGTGGAAAGTATGGATGGAGATCCCGTGGCCGGATACGGTAGGCCTGTGCATCGTCGCCTTCTATCGTGACCGCAAGGACGCCAAGGTATGTTTATCCGAAAAGTCGAGTCGGGAGCGCGACAGCAGAAAGCTTGTTCTTTCAGGGCAAGGCTGAAGACCGGATGACGCGCTGCACAGTGGTCCGATACTTGGTGCTGTCTTACGTGCTCGTGTTCCGCGACATTAACGAGCGCATCCGGAAGCGGTTCCCGACACTCGTCCACTTGGTACGGTACAGGGCTAGAAGGAACGAGTTGAGGAATTTTGGCCTCACCACACCCACCAGGGCCGGCTAGCAGAGACCATTTGCGGAGCACGGAGCCCTGTTTCCAGACGCCCCATCTGCTGACGGACGAGGAGCTGAAGATGATCCTGAAGGAGGACCCGAACTTGCGCTGCTGGATGCCGTTCGAATGGTCGGTGTCTGGAGGAATAGAAGAGCCTAAGCCCAAGCCTAAGCCTAAGCTTAAGCCTAAGCCTAAGTCTAAGGCTAAGCCTAAGCCTGGCCTAAGCCTAAGCCTAAGCCTAAGCCTAAGCCTAAGCCTAAGCCTAAGCCTAAGCCTAAGCCTAAACCGAGGATTAGACATCTCCAGGCTGTTCATCATCATCAAGAAGGCGTACGAACGCGAACAGATCGACACCGAGCACCATAATTTGATGGTCGAGGTGGGCGAACGCGCTTAAAGGGCCGTTGAAGGCTGAACTTGGTCGGAAAAATCCATAAGGCATCTCTAAAGGGTTTCAGAAAGTGCTCGACTTTCGTCAGCGCCTCCAGAATCTGCAGCAGTTCGACTATGTCAATTTGCCGTTGGTGTATTCACAGGTTGGTAGTCAGCGATGCTTTCTCGCTTTCTCTCTCTCTCTCTCTCTCTCTCTCTCTCTCTACTCCTCTCTCTCTCTCTCTACTCCTCTACTACCCCGCCCCAGGTGGTGAACGTCTCGGTCTATCTCTACTTCTGCATGGCCCTCTTCGCTAAGCAGTACCTCGGCCGGGCGGGCAGCCCCGACGACCGCGAGGTGTTGTACAGCGTCGACTACGCGATTCCGTTCTTTGCCGTCGTCGAGTTCATCATCTACTGCGGGTGGTTGAAGGTGGCCCAGGTGATGCTGAACCCGTTCGGGCTCGACGACGATGATTTTGACATTGACATGATGGTGGACCGGAATTTGAAGGTAGTTCGAAGCATAGCCCTAAGCCTAAGCCGAAGCCGAAACCAAAGCTTATACCTGCCTCTCTTCAGGTCGGCCTCTCCATGGTAGACGACTACTACGACAAGTGCCCACCGCTCGTCGAGCTCAAAGTCACCTCGCTACCCCACACCCTTGCTTCCGCTCAGGTACCGCATTCCTCAACGACCTCTGCTAGCCTGCCCCCAATTTAGGATATCCAGCGCTGCGCCCCGATGCAGGGCTCCGTCGCCCAGGTGGCCGTACCGAAGCGGCTGCAAAAGATCGTCGAGCCGGCTGTCATCCACGGGTACAAGATGAGGGACAACTCGCCGCCGCCAACCCCGGAGGTGCAGACGCTTGCCGCAAATGTCCCTGCTAGCTCTTAGCTCTCCTCTTCCTCAACAATCTCTGCTAGCCTGCCCTCTCCTTTTCCTCCACAATCTCTGCTAGCCTGCCCTCTCCTTTTCCTCAACAATCTCTGCTAGCCTGCCCTCTCCTCTTCCTCAACAATCTCTGCTAGCCTGCCCTCTCCTCTTCCGTAACAAATCCCCGACTTTCAGGTCAAACTCGACACACATCTCGGCCCGAAAAAGGACAAGCAGGCAGCCGCCGTCGCCCAGCCCTCGGTACAATAAGAACCAAAAAAATAGCGCTAAGTCTACTACAAATCTCATTTTCCTTCGTTTTCCAGGGCAAGCGTACGCCGCGCTCCAAATTACACAGTCTGGTTAGTGATTGGCGCGTAGCCAAAATTTTCACGACTTTTTTAGGCCGAGCTGACGCAGGGCAGCGAGTACGACAAGACGGAGATTGTAAGCCATGAGGGTTGTGGGGTTACCGATTAGCAGCTGCCCTTTGAGGAATTCGAGCGTCTAGGGCAGGCTAGCACATGCAATTCAGGATCTCCTTGCCCACGACGAGAAAAAACAGTCGGCCGACAAGGTGGAGATGAGCAAGGCCACGGCCATTTCGATGGGCCACGCCCCGGCGGCCGCCGAATCCGTCGCCAACACCCAAGTGCTGCACCCGACGCCCGCACAGTCGGCAGTGAGATTTTTTTGCTCTCTCTCTCTCTCTCTCTCTCTCTCTCTCTCTCTCTCTCTCGCTCACCCGCAAAACCCGATTCCAGCCGCCCTCCCAGATGACGCAACCGTTTACCGGGATGAGCCGCGTTGAGCCGGTATGAATTTTTTAATTTTTGACGGGCCGGACGTCCAGGAAGTGCTCCAAGCTGCACGTGCAGCTCGCTCGAAAGAGAAGCAAGACAAGCAGAAGAACGAAGCCAACCAAACGGTGCGTTCGTAGGCAAGCTATCAGAGATTGTTGGGGAAGAGGAGAAGGCAGGCTAACAGAGATTGTTGAGGAAGAGGAGAGGGCAGGCTAGCAGAGATTGTTGAGGAAGAGGAGAGGGCAGGCTAGCAGAGATTGTTGAGGAAGAGGGGAGGGCAGGCTAGCAGAGATTGTTGAGGAAGAGGAGAGGGCAGGCTAGCAGAGATTGTTGAGGAAGAGGAGAAGGCAGGCTAACAGAGATTGTTGAGGAAGAGGAGAGGGCAGGCTAGCAGAGATTGTTGAGGAAGAGGAGAGGGCAGGCTAGCAGAGATTGTTGAGGAAGAGGAGAGGGCAGGCTAGCAGAGATTGTTGAGGAAGAGGAGAAGGCAGGCTAACAGAGATTGTTGAGGAAGAGGAGAGGGCAGGCTAGCAGAGATTGTTGAGGAAGAGGAGAGGGCAGGCTAGCAGATATTGTTGAGGACGAGTAGAGGCTGACACCGTGATTTAGGGACGCCGGAAGAGCCGCGAGCCCCGCGCGGCTGACAAGCCGGAGCGTCCGCCGTCGCGTCCCCCTTCGCGCCCGAATTCGCGCTCTGAAAAGCACAGCATCCTCGAAAAGGTTAGAGAGAGAGGGAGAGGAAGAGAGAGCGAGAGGGAGAGAGAGAGAAACAGTTAAATCCCAATTTCCAGACTCAACCGATGAGCGGCCACGGCCCGTCTCCCAAGACTACGAGGGGTATTTTCCATTGGCGTTTTAGCGAATCGGCAGGCTAGCAGAGGCCATTTGCGGCTTTTTAGAGTTGAATATTATTGTTTTAAAGCATTTTAGATGGCTATGAAGCCAATTAAATCGATGATTTTTACAGCCGACGCCCCGAAACCGCCCAAAGAGTGAGGAGCCGACACTTCGAAGCTCCGAAGCTTTAAAAAATGCGAAACAACATTGATTCGTTGATCTGGCTTGAATTCGATTGTTTTTGTGTAATTGTGAGCGCCGACTATTCTTTGAATAAATCTACAATGGCTTCCGTGTTTCAAGCGCATGTTTACCGGTACTGGACTGTTAGCGGGGGAGGACCAAATTTGTGATATAAAAACAATGCAAACTTCCCCCAGCCTGCAGAAATTGCGGTCCAGGCCGAAACTAACGTCAAATTTAACGATTTTAAAATAAATTTTTCTCGAATGCATCGGCGATTAAGCAGATTTGGAAAACGGCAACTTGGTCAGAATTTTTTTCTCTATCGGATGAGCTATCGCACCGCGACGAAACTGGGATGTCACTCAAAAACGTCTCCGTGTGAGTAAAATCCCATAACAATGGTTTGTTATGTCGCTATCCGACCTTACCTGACTACCGGGAAAATTTGGTTAAAGACTGCTAGAACTCTTGAACGCACACTGTCACGCCGAGGGTGCGCTCCCCAAGAACGCGCAAAGAGAGGCGTCATTAGTCGCGCACCGTAGTGGGCAAAAGCCCTCTGGGGTTTGGGGCGCCTCTGACTCCCTTCTCCATTCGGCTCTGTGGTATAGTGGCTAACGCGTTGGACTGTGGAGCGAACCATCGCGGGTTCGACCCCCGCCGGGTGCACAATTTCTTGCTTTTAACGAAATTTTGATCGTTCTGACGGTCTTTAACAAGCTTTGGCTTATTTTTGAACAAGCTTTGGCTTATTTTTGAAGAAGCTTTGGCTTATTTTTGAACAAGCTTTGGCTTATTTTTGAGCAAGCTTTGGCTTATTTTTGAGCAAGCTTTGGCTTATTTTTGAACAAGCTTTGGCTTATTTTTGAGCAAGCTTTGCTATTTTTGAGCAAGCTTTGCTATTTTTGAACAAGCTTTGGCTTATTTTTGAAGAAGCTTTGGCTTATTTTTGAACAAGCTTTGGCTTATTTTTGAGCAAGCTTTGGCTTATTTTTGAGCAAGCTTTGGCTTATTTTTGAACAAGCTTTGCTATTTTTGAACAAGCTTTGCTATTTTTGAGCAAGCTTTGCTATTTTTGAACAAGCTTTGGCTTATTTTTGAACAAGCTTTGCTATTTTTGAACAAGCTTTGCTATTTTTGAGCAAGCTTTGCTATTTTTGAACAAGCTTTGGCTTATTTTTGAACAAGCTTTGGCTTATTTTTGAACAAGCTTTGCTATTTTTGAACAAGCTTTGCTATTTTTGAACAAGCTTTGCTATTTTTGAGCAAGCTTTGGCTTATTTTTGAACAAGCTTTGGCTTATTTTTGAGCAAGCTTTGCTATTTTTGAGCAAGCTTTGGCTTATTTTTGAACAAGCTTTGCTATTTTTGAGCAAGCTTTGGCTTATTTTTGAACAAGCTTTGGCTTATTTTTGAGCAAGCTTTGCTATTTTTGAGCAAGCTTTGCTATTTTTGAACAAGCTTTGGCTTATTTTTGAACAAGCTTTGGCTTATTTTTGAACAAGCTTTGGCTTATTTTTGAGCAAGCTTTGCTATTTTTGAGCAAGCTTTGGCTTATTTTTGAACAAGCTTTGCTATTTTTGAGCAAGCTTTGGCTTATTTTTGAACAAGCTTTGGCTTATTTTTGAACAAGCTTTGCTATTTTTGAACAAGCTTTGGCTTATTTTTGAACAAGCTTTGGCTTATTTTTGAGCAAGCTTTGCTATTTTTGAGCAAGCTTTGGCTTATTTTTGAACAAGCTTATTTTTGAGCAAGCTTTGCTATTTTTGAGCAAGCTTTGGCTTATTTTTGAACAAGCTTTGGCTTATTTTTGAGCAAGCTTTGCTATTTTTGAGCAAGCTTTGGCTTATTTTTGAACAAGCTTTGGCTTATTTTTGAGCAAGCTTTGCTTATTTTTGAGCAAGCTTTGGCTTATTTTTGAACAAGCTTTGGCTTATTTTTGAGCAAGCTTTGCTATTTTTGAGCAAGCTTTGGCTTATTTTTGAGCAAGCTTTGCTATTTTTGAGCAAGCTTTGCTATTTTTGAACAAGCTTTGGCTTATTTTTGAACAAGCTTTGCTATTTTTGAACAAGCTTTGCTATTTTTGAGCAAGCTTTGCTATTTTTGAACAAGCTTTGGCTTATTTTTGAACAAGCTTTGGCTTATTTTTGAACAAGCTTTGGCTTATTTTTGAACAAGCTTTGGCTTATTTTTGAACAAGCTTTGGCTTATTTTTGAGCAAGCTTTGGCTTATTTTTGAACAAGCTTTGGCTTATTTTTGAGCAAGCTTTGCTATTTTTGAGCAAGCTTTGGCTTATTTTTGAACAAGCTTTGCTATTTTTGAGCAAGCTTTGCTATTTTTGAACAAGCTTTGGCTTATTTTTTGAACAAGCTTTGCTACTTTTGAACAAGCTTTGCTATTTTTGAGCAAGCTTTGCTATTTTTGAACAAGCTTTGGCTTATTTTTGAGCAAGCTTTGCTATTTTTGAACAAGCTTTGCTATTCGCCAGTTATGTAAAAAAACGGCTCAGTCGTTTCGGACAGATCAACGCGAAAATATACAGTTTATTCCAGCCTCCATGCTAGCCAGCTATAAAAGCCGAAAAACACACATATAAAATTGTCGATTTGCATAAAATTGAGGCGCACCGAACAAAACGGACAGCATAAAAATGATTGCAAGATTGCAAGATTCGACGTACGGGGCGTAATAGATGGCGTAATTGGTCGTGTTTCGGGGTGGATTTGTTTTTTTTTTTGAAAGCGAATGGCGCATAATTATCGAGAGAGACAAACACACTTTAAAGTTACTCGGTAAAGGCACACAATCGGGAAACGAAATTTGCATCTCGGGGCTTATTCCTCGCCGGTAAACTCCTCGTCGAGGATGGAGCGCGAACCGCCGCGCCCCAGCGTCACCGCCGCCGTCGACATCTGCAACAAATTCAGGAGTAAATTCGGCTTTCGAGAAGTTTTTTCTGATGATACCCTTTGGTGCAAGGTGGTGGTTAGGCTTCCTCAGCAATCTCTGCTAGCCTGCCCTCTCCTCTTCCTCAACAATCTCTGCTAGCCTGCCCTCTCCTCTTCCTCAACAATCTCTGCTAGCCTGCCCCTCTCCTCTTCCTCAACAATCTCTGCTAGCCTGCCCTCTCCTCTTCCTCAACAATCTCTGCTAGCCTGCCCTCTCCTCTTCCTCAGCAATCTCTGCTAGCCTGCCCTCTCCTCTTCCTCAACAATCTCTGCTAGCCTGCCCTCTCCTCTTCCTCAGCAATCTCTGCTAGCCTGCCCTCTCCTCTTCCTCAACAATCTCTGCTAGCCTGCCCTCTCCTCTTCCTCAACAATCTCTGCTAGCCTGCCCTCTCCTCTTCCTCAACAATCTCTGCTAGCCTGCCCTCTCCTCTTCCTCAACAATCTCTGCTAGCCTGCCCTCTCCTCTTCCTCAACAATCTCTGCAGGTGTGTGCAAGTGATTTTATTACCAAAACCCACTCTACTGGAAGAATTCTTCGCCGACGGTGGCCTAAGAGTAATTTTATTACCTTAGAACAATGGTTCCAATTTTTAGACCATAAAATCTTGTTGTCACGCTCCCTTTAAGCTCCGCCCCCACTCACCGAATGCGACAGGCCACGCCCAAAGACGACGGAACCTGAGCGGCTCTTGATCCGGATTTTTTGCAGGCTGTTCTCCGCCGACTCGGCCCTGAAAAAAAAATGAGAATTATGGGGTTCCACTAGGGTAAGCTAAAGTAAGCCCTAGAAATGGCAAAAATTTACTGACCGCTCCTGGGCGTCCTCGAGCTGGTGCTGCAGCTGGCGGTACTTGTTGAGGTTGGCGGTGGCGAGGCCTTCCTGCAAAAATCTGTCATGACAAGATTTTCGAGAACACTTGTGCTCTCTCTCACTCTCTATCTCTCTCGTTTTCTCTCGCTCTCTCGCGTAGCATATTCTGCCAGATTAAATTCCCCGAAAACCCACGGCTTCCTCGATTTGACGCTTGTACGTCTTGATCTTGTTCTGCAGCTTCTCGACGAGGTCGTACATTCGCTCGGCTGTCTTCTTGTCCTCATCGACCTGAAAAAAAGCACAATTTGAATGGCTTTAAATGTCCAGCTCGCTGTCTATCTCTCTAGCTCTGTCTCTCTCTCTCTCGCGGGCTCGCTCTCTCTCACTCTCTCCACCCCTCTCCCTCCAATACCTGGAACTGCAGCTCGCGACACCGTCTGTCCTTGTTCCGATAGTTTTTGGCCGTCTCCCCATGCCTGCGTCCCTCCGAGTCAAGCTCCATCTCGAGCTCCCTGACGCGGTCCTGCAGCTTCTGGATGTTCCGCTTTCCGCCCTTCATCGCGTGCGCCTCCGCTTCCTCGAGCCGCCCCTGCATCTCCTTGGCCTGAAAAATATACCTTTAACTTTCCAAAAATACAGTAACCCAAAAACCTACAGTATTCCAGGCTCTAAATTTGATCCACGAGCTCACCTGAGTCTCCAAAGCTTTCCGCTGGCGCTCATTGGCGTTGGAATGTTCTTGTTCCTGGCGGAGCTCCTAAAGTGGAGGATTTTTAGAGAGAGAGAGAGAGAGCGAGAGAGAGAGAGAGAGGGAGAGAGAGACCACCCCCCTCACCTCGGCCAACTTGGCGGCGTCCTGCATCGCCTTCTTCTGCCGATCATCGGCGTCCTTCAGCTCCCCGAGCGCCTCGCCCACCTCGGCTTGCAGTTGCTGAACACGGACGATATTCAGTGAATCTCCACTTCCTCAAGTCTCTCTGCTGCCATGCCCCATACCTGAATCTCGCCCTCCAGTTTCCGCTTATGCGCCGTGAGCGCTGCATTCGTGGACGCAAATGAGGAGGCCGTCTCCTTGATCTCGTGGATCTCGAGCTCGATCTGCCGCCGGGCACGTTCCGCCTAGAAATTATTGTTTTGTGACGATCAACGGTATCTGCTATCTCTTTTCCTGGGATTTCAGCCCAAAATACTGTAAAATAAAATAGTTATGGCAAAAAATATCAAACACTTATTTTATTATTTACTTTGTCATGGTTCCCGACTTAAGCTGAACCCTAAGCCTCATCCTAGACCTAAGCCTAAGCCTAATCCTAAGCCCAGCATAAACCTAAGCCTAATCCTAAGCCCAAGCCTAGGCTGAATTCTAAGCCCAAGCCTAAGCCTAAGCCTTAGCCTACGCCCAGCTTAAGCCTAAGCTTAACGCTAAATTCAAGCCTCAGTCTAAGCCTCAGCGTAAGCCTAAGCTAAGCCTAAGCCTAAGCCGAAGTCCATGTCGTAGCGTAGGCATAAATCAAAGCCCAGGCCTAAGCCTAACCACTCCTAAGCCTAAGCCCAACCCAAGCATGTCCTTTTCCTCAACGCCAAATACCCCTGCTACTCACCCCCTCATATGCGTTGACGAGGTCCTCCTTCTCAGCTTGCAAAATCTGCGCCCTCCGCTCCGCGATGTGGGCCTATATGCAAATTAGGCTCATGGCGGGCTCTCACTGCCTACCGTATCCTTGAGCTCCTCGCGCACCCGCTGCTCCTCGTCCATCTGCACCTGCATGTCCTTCACCGTCTCCCCGTAGCGCTTGATCGTCTTCTGCGCGTCGGCGTTTGCCTGAACGTTTGGAGGGGTTTACTATTAATCCGGCATACCTTGTTCGCATGGTCGAGCGCCACCTCGAGCTCGTTGATGTCCGTCTCGAGCTTCTTCTTTGTGCGCAGCAGCTCGGTGCGGCCTGCAAATTTGTTGAAAAATTTGCCAAAAAATTGGAAATGGACATTTTGATCTTTTTTGGAAGTTTTGTGTTGAATTTTTGACATTTTTAGAAACAAAAAAGGAGAATTAGCAAAGTCCTATTAATGATTTTTATAAAATGCATAAACTACAGCACCCCGGCTCTCCGTCTCCAGGCTCGCCTGCATCGACTCGAGGGCACGCGCGTGGTTTTTGCGCGTGTTTTCGAATTCCTCTTCCTGAAAAAAAAATGGCTTGAACTCCACAATGGGTTTTGCTAGCTCTCTCTCTATCTCTCGCTCTCTCGCTCTCTCTCTCTCTCTCTCACCTTCTCTTGCAGCCGCTTCTCGATCTCGTTGCGCACTTGGCTGAGCTCGACCTGGGCGCGGATCACCTAAGATCAGTGGTTTTCAGGGGAGTTTGGCAGCCCACCTTGTTCTCCTCGGCCTCGAGCGCCGTCTCGGCTTCATCAAGGGCCTGCTGAAGCTCGTCCTTCTCCACCTCGAGCCTAAAACGCGGGATTTGGACGAGCAGAGATTTTTAGGGAATGGCAGGCTAGCAGAGATTGTTGAGGAAGAGGAGAGGGCAGGCTAGCAGAGATTGTTGAGGAAGAGGAGCGGGCAGGCTTACAGAAATCGTTTGTGAGCCATACCTCCTGCGAATCTTCTGCAGATCATGTACACTCTTTCCACCCTCTCCGAGCTGGTCGGCAATGTCCTTCAGCTCCTGGGCCATACCCTTGTTCTCACGTCGCACGGCGTCCACCTGAAATAAGCGAAAATCACGATAATCCAGCTAACGAATGGCACCTGCTCGTTGGCCTCCTCGAGCTGGCTCTTCAGCCGGAACACCTCGGTGCTGGCGTTCCTGTGGTCCCGTTGGGCCGAGTCGAGCTCGTGAACGAGGACATCACACTTCCGCTTCCACTCGTCGATGACCTAACATGGCTCAATTTTTGGCAAAGGCGGGTAAACCACCTTATCGAAGCCCTTCTGCTTCTTCTCCAGCGAGCTGGCGATGGAGTTGGCGCGGTCAGCGTCGACCTGGGCATCTTCGAGTTCCTGGGTGAGGCGCTGGCGCACTTTTTCGAGGGTGGAGATCTGGAAGGGAAAGGTAGAGAGCGAGCCTGAGCTTAAGCCTAAGCATAAGACAAAGCCTAAGCCTACCTTCTGCTGATGCGATTCGACGGACTCCTGCATCTCGTTGAGCTTCGACTGGAGGCGACGACTAAAACGACCCATAAGACCAAAATGCAGACGTTTTCAGCTGGGGCAAGCTAGCGGAGGCCATTTGCCCGGGTCTCCCGATCCAAAAAACCCACCGTGCCTCCTCGAGCTCCTCGGCGCGGTTCATGCCCTCGCCCTCGTAGCGGGCGCGCCATTGCTGCGCTTCGGCGTTGGCCTGGAAATTCAAGACTTTTAAAGGTACTCGAAAGGCAAGAATATAGTCAAAGCCAGTTCTATGTTGAGACGAAAACTAATCTTGATCATGAGCCCAAGCCAAGCCTACGCCTAAGCCTAAGCCTAAGCCTAAGCCTAAGCCTAAGCCTAAGGCTAAGCCTAAGCCTAAGCCTAAGCCTAAGCTTAAGCCTAAGCCTAAGCCTAAGCCTAAGCCTAAACCCTTGCCTAAGACCCGAAACCCAACCTTTGAAATGAGTCTCTGCAGCTCGGTCTTCCCGTCTTGCTCCTCCTCGAGCGCCTCGCGTAGTTGCTGGCACTCCAGCTGGTAGTTCGACGCCTAATTTGCATCAATTAAAAAACAAATTTAATGGATTTCCACCTGAATATGCGCCTGTTGGCGCTCACGGGCCTCCTGCTCAAGCTGGCGCTTCAGCTCCTCCAGCTGGCTGTTCAACTGCGACTTGATGCGGTTGAGCTGGGACAGCTGCGACTCGGCATCTTCGAGTTGTCTGCAAAAACGAGGGTAGGATAGCAGGGATCCTTTAGGACTGACCGGTTCAAATCGGTGTTCTCGGTGTGGAGTCTCGACTTTTGCGATTGCAGCTCTTGGTTGGTGCGCTGAAATGAGTCCGATTTTCGAAGACGGGGCGAAGCCTGACCTGTTGCTCATCGCTGCGGAGCTGCAGCTCGGTCAGCTGAGCCTCCAGCTGCTTGGCGAGCCGCTCGGCGTTCTGGCGGTGCTTGCCCTCGACGTCGACTTGGTTTTGCAGCTCTTCGGCTTCCCTAAATTTGAAAATTTTGACAAATCCTCAGCAATCTCTGCTAGCCTGCCTTCTCCTCTTGCTCAACAATCTCTGCTAGCCTGCCCTCTCCTCTTCCTCAACAATCTCTGCTAGCCTGCCCCTCTCCTCTTCCTCAACAATCTCGCTAGCCTGCCCCTCTCCTCTTCCTCAACAACTCTGCTAGCCTGCCCTCTCCTCTTCCTCAACAATCTCTGCTAGCCTGCCCTCTCCTCTTCCTCAACAATCTCTGCTAGCCTGCCCTCTCCTCTTCCTCAACAATCTCTGCTAGCCTGCCCTCTCCTCTTCCTCAACAATCTCTGCTAGCCTGCCCTCTCCTCTTCCTCAACAATCTCTGCTAGCCTGCCCTCTCCTCTTGCTCAACAACTCTGCTAGCCTGCCCCTCTCCTCTTCCCTCAACAATCTCTGCTAGCCTGCCCCTCTCCCTCTTCCTCAACAATCTCTGCTAGCCTGCCCTCTCCTCTTCCTCAACAATCTCTGCTAGCCTGCCCTCTCCTCTTCCTCAACAATCTCTGCTAGCCTGCCCTCCCTCTTCCTCAACAACTCTGCTAGCCTGCCCCTCTCCCTTCCTCAACAACTCTGCTAGCCTGCCCCTCCTCTTCCTCAACAACTCTGCTAGCCTGCCCCTCTCCTCTTCCTCAACAATCTCTGCTAGCCTGCCCTCTCCTCTTCCTCAACAATCTCTGCTAGCCTGCCCTCTCCTCTTCCTCAACAATCTCTGCTAGCCTGCCCTCTCCTCTTCCTCAACAATCTCTGCTAGCCTGCCCTCTCCTCTTCCTCAACAATCTCTGCTAGCCCACCCACCTATGAATCTGTGCCTTGTCCTTCTCCAGCTTGGCCCTGCACTTTTGCAGCGTCTCGAGCTGTTCGGTGAGTTCAGCCACAGCGTCCTGGTGCTTCTTCCTGAGCCCGGCCATTGCCTGCTCCTGCACTAGACTCGCTTCCTCGACGTCGTGCCGCAATTTCTAGAAAATTCAATCAGGGAATCGATCTACCCATACCTGCAGCTCGGCCTCCCTCTTCTTGTTGAGCTCCATCTGGGCCTGGGTGTTTCCTCCAGCCTCGTCGAGACGGTCGCCCAGCTCCTCGAGCTCTTGCTGCATATCGGCGCGGGCGCGCTCGGCTTTGGCGCGGGCGTTGCGTTCGGCTTCCAGCTCCTCCTCGAGCTCCTGGATTCGGGCGAGCAGCTCCTTGATCTGCTTCTGGAGCTTGTTAACCTGAAAAAAGAGCGGTTGGCGAGCGAGAGAGAGAGCGAGAGAGAGAACGAGAGAGAAAACCAGACAAGACGTGATCCTCACCAAGCTCTGCTCGTCCTCAAGTCGGTTCGTAATGTTGTGAATCTCGACGTCCTTCTTCTTCATGGCGGCCTCCTGCTCGTGACGAAGGCGGGTCAGCTCCTCGATCGTCTCCTGGGCCATCTAGAAGGAACTTTTGGGTTTTCTGGCCTCCCAAAGTGCCCCTGCTAGCCTGCCCTCCTGTCTTCATACCTTGAATTCGCCCTCCAGCTTCCGGCGCTGCTTTTCGATGTCCTGGCGGTGGCGGCGCTCACTAAAAAATTAATAAAATTGTAGTCGTTCCAAAAATTCGTTCAGATGGCGAAGTTAAGCCTAAGCCTAAGCCTAACCATAAGCAGAAGCCGAAGCCAAAGCCTAAGCCTTAGCCTAAGCCGAATCCGAAGCCAATCCTAAACCAAGCCTAACCCTAAGCCAAAGCCAAAGCCTAAGCTAAAGCCTAAGCCATGCCTAAGCCTAAGCCTAAGCTTAAGCCCAAGCCCAAGCCCAAGCCCCAGCTATCCCTAAACAGTACCGCTCCAAATTGTCCTCCAGCTCATCGAGTGCGCTCTCCAGCTTGCTCTTGGTCTTGTTGAGGTGGTTGACCTTGTCCTCCTCGGCCTGGATGTCCTCCAGCAGCTTCCGGTTCACCTACAGGCTAGGTGTGGACGGGGTCAGAAGGTTGCGTACCTCCTCCTGGTGCTTCCGCTCCTTCGTGATCTTGGCAATGACCTCATCCTGGCTAGCGATGTCGTCTTGAAGGGAGCGTATCTGGTGGTCTTTGGCTTGCTTCTCCGTTTCCTAGAATTTGGTAGAAGCGTACAAAGTATCCTATAGTAGCTTGGCGTAGCCATGACAACCAAAAAAATTCCGGTCTTCTCCCACCTGCTTTTTTATGGTCGTCTCCAGGTCTTGGACGTTCTTTTTCAGATTGTCGTTGTCGCCTTCGACCTGGAAATTTGTAATATTAAGTACCCTAAGCCCAAACCCAAGTCTAGGCCTAAGCGAAGCCTAGGCTCAAACCGAAGCCTAAGCCTAGGACTACGCCTAAGCCTAACCCCAAGCCTAAGCCTAAGCCTATGCTAAGCCTAGATTCGAACCTAAGCCATGTCTAAGTCTAAGCCGAGGCCCATGCCCACCTTCTTCTTCGTCTTTTGCAACGCATTGTACTTGTCCTCCTGGTCAGCTAGCTGGTCGTTCAGGTCGGCGTTCTGAAAGTTGGAGATGGTGAGAGAGAAAAGAGAGAGAGAGAGAGAGGGAGAGAGAGAGAGAGAGAGCAACCCACCTTCTTCTCCAAATCTGCCTTGAGGGCCAGCAACTTTGCCGATCGCTCCTCCCCTTCGGCCGAGGTGTCGCGCTCCTGCTCGAGCTGCATGGCCAGGGCCTGTTTCTCGCTTTGCATACGCGCCAGATCGGCTTCGAGATCTTTGCGGGAGCGCTCCTCCTTGGCGTAGCTTTCCTCCAGCTCCTTGCATCTGGAAAAATTTAAAATTTCGGTAAAATTCTCTGCTAGCCCGCCCTCTCCTCTTCCTCAACAATCTCTGCTAGCCAGCCCTCTCCTCTTCCTCAACAATCTCTGCTAGCCAGCCCTCTCCTCTTCCTCAACAATCTCTGCTAGCCTGCCCTCTCCTCTTCCTCAACAATCTCTGCTAGCCTGCCCTCTCCTCTTCCTCAACAATCTCTGCTAGCCTGCCCTCTCCTCTTCCTCAACAATCTCTGCTAGCCTGCCCCATCTTCTCCCTCAACAATCTCTGCTAGCCTGCCCTCTCCTCTTCCTCAACAATCTCTGCTAGCCTGCCCTCTCCTCTTCCTCAACAATCTCTGCTAGCCTGCCCTCTCCTCTTCCTCAACAATCTCTGCTAGCCTGCCCTCTCCTCTTCCTCAACAATCTTTTTCTAGCCCTACCTCTTCTCGCGCGCCTCGAACTCCTCGTCCTTCTTGTTGCCCTTGATCAGCGGCTTGACGCGGGAGAACAGCGAGAACCACTTCCAGCTGCGCAGCGTGCACCAGGCGCGCACGTTGCGCTGCACGACGATGAGGCCGACCCTGAAAGATGGTTCAAATCAAGCCTAAGCCAGCCTAATCCTCAGCCTAAGCCTAAGCCTTCCAAGCCACCAACTTTTGATCGAGCTTCCGCTTGTACTCGCATTGGGCCAAATAGTGCCGGCAGGCGCACTGGAACTTGGTCATGATGACGCTCAGCGCCTCGTCGCGCAGCTCTTCCAGGTGGGCCAACACGCCCGCCTTGAAGAACACCTAAAAAGACAAATTAGAGGGGTATATCCCACGCGTTACTCTAAGCTTTACGCCCCGACTTCGAGCCGTACAAGAACGTCTCTGATAGAGCCAGTTTTCTGGATTTTGCCGGTGTTTCCGTAGCATTCCCGGTACGTGCAGGGCAGCATCATGTAGCGCGAAAAATTCTACATCGAATCGGGTTCCCATCATTGGGTAAAATTTTGACTAAGATCTCAAAAAGCAGCCAACAAATGGGGTATCCGTTTTATGCAACATAATTTGGGGGATTTTCACGCGCAAGCTTTGGATGGAAAAACCGGAAGTTATAATGGCTTTGACGACGCGTAAGCCCAAGGCGAAGCCTAAGCCTGAGCCTGATTCTAGCCTAAGCCGAAGCCTAAGCCTATGCCTAAGCCTAAGCCTAAGCTTAAGCTGTATCAAAGCCTAAGCCTAAGCCAAGTCCAAGCCTAAGCCTAAGCCTAGGGCTAGGCCAGGGTCTAGACATAAGCTTACGCTTCCGAAGCAGCTTGGCTTCGCTTCCTCGAGCGAGAGAGGCAGAGAGAGAGCCAGAGAGAGAAAGAGAGAGAGGGAGAGAGACAGAGGGAGGGAGCGAGAGGGACAGAAAGACAGCGAGAGAGGGAGAGAGAGAGAGAGAGAGAGAGAGAGAGTGCGACAAACCTTCGTCTGACCAAGCTGGAACTCCTCCGGCTTGAGGGAACCTTTCTTGAGCAGCTCCTCGCTGATGCCCTTCCCAGCCGCGACGTCATCAAGCGCATTCTTAGCCGCGTCAGCGGCAAGGATGGCGTATCTGCAAGGCACGCGAACTGAGGAGGAAGCGGTAAACTTATTTTATTCATTTTACCATAGTTTTTTGTGTATAATCGTTAGTTAAACCATGCAATTCATTCGGGGATCGATAAAATGCATGCAAAGGTTAGTCGTCGACGATATTTCGCCTTTAAAGGGCGCCTAGCAGAAACAATTTGCGGAATTGCGCCCCCATGGCAGCCCCCGCCCTGCGGAGGCTAGCACAGACAATTTGAGGAAAGTTGGAACCTTTGTCTGCCCGATCCGGTAGTCATCCAGTCGGATCCGGCCTCCTTCGGCCGCCACTCGGGCCATCAACCGCTCGCCGGCGCGCCGCGCGTCCATGTCGGAAGCTTCTAGCGGGGCCAACGGGCCATATCTACAACATGCGACGGACACACGGTGGGGTTATGTTGGTCTTTAAAGCGTGTGGCTCTCCCTCGCGCTCTCTCTTTCTCTCGCTCGCTCTCTCTCTTTCTCTCGCTCGCTCTCTCTCTCTCTCTCTCTCTCTCTCTCTCTCTCTCTCTCTCTCGCTCTCTCTCTCGCTCTCTCTCTCTTTCTCTTTCTCTCTCTCGCTCTCTCTCTTTCTCTCTCTCGCTCTCTCTCTCTCGCTCTCTCTCTCGCTCTCTCTCTCTTTCTCTTTCTCTCTCTCTCTCTCTCTGTCTCTCACAGCAGGTCGTGCCTCCACAGAATAAATCTAATCGCTGAAAGTTAAGCCGAAGTACACGCCTAAGGCTAAGCCCAAGCCTAAGCTCAAGCCTCAGCCTAAGCGAATTAAGACTAAGCCTAAGCCTAAGCCAAAGCCTACGTCTACGCAATTAGTGTACCGTAACCAGGGCAAACTGTTATCGTTATTTGTGAAATCGGAAATAGTGAGTACGGTTTTTGAAAGATCCTAAACATATTGGCAATTACCTCTGCTTGAAATCGGGGTATGGCATACGGTTGGGGAATCCCTTGCGGCAGATACGGATACCTTCGAGCACACCGTTGCACGTCAGCTGGTTGAGCACCAGATTCGCGTCGATGACGCCTGAAAATGACGTGGAGCGCGAGAGGAAGCGAGTGAAAGAGAGAGGGAGAGAGTGAGAGAGAAAGAGAGAGAGAAAGTGAACTCGCCGAATCCCCTTACCAGCCTTCTTCTGCTCGTTGGGGATGATGCAGCGGATGAAGTGGGGGTGCGTCTGGTGCAGCATGTTCATCAGCTTGTTCAGCGACTCCCTGTACATCATCGAGACCGTTTGGAACGAGGCCGATTTGCCCTGAAAAACGGCGTAGCAGAGATTGTTGAGGAAGAAGAGAGGGAAGGCTAGCAGGGATTGTTGAAGAAAAACTAGCCTTCTTCTTCCCGGGCGCGGCCTTCTTGCCGTCCTTCGCCGCGTTGGCGATGTCCTCCTGGGTGTCGTAGTTGGCCCAGAGTTCCCTCATCAGCTCGTTGCCCTTGTTGGCCTTGAGGACGGTGACGGCGGTGTCGTTCAGCGGGTCCTGCAACGGACATGTATTTCTCTCTCTCGCTCTTTCTCTCTCTCTCTTTCACTCTCTCACCTTGTTCTTCTCCAGCCACGCCTTGACGTTGTAGCGCACGGTGCCGGCGTAGTGGACGATGGCCAGGTGTGCTTCAGACTACAAAGAAAGATTAGAATTTGCTCTCTCTCTCTCTCTCTCTCTCTATCTCTCTCTCTCTCTTTGCATTGCACCTGTTTTCCCTTCGGCGGCTTCGGCTTCTGGAAGTTGGGGTGTTTGCCGAGGTGCTGGTCGTTCAGCTTCTGCGCCAAGGTCATGTCGGTGGCCTTCGGGACGATGCACTCCTCGTCAAGCATCGAAATGATGCCGAGAGGCTATAAAAAATGGTTTAAAAAAATCTCTGAAAACTGACCTTTTCGATCAGCTCGATGCAAGCCTGAAGGTCAAGCCCAAAGTCGATGAATTCCCACTTGATGCCCTCGCTGGAATGTCGCATTTAATGGCGAGAGAGTGAGAGATAGATAGAGAGAGAGGGCGACTCACCGCTGGTACTCCTCCTGCTCGAGGACGAACATGTGGTGGTTGAAGAACTGCTGGAGCTTCTCGTTCACAAAGTTGATCCACAGCTGCTCGAAGGAGTTCAGCTGAAACGTGAAATTGCTCTTGCTCAAAAATGCTGTCCTCTCCTCTTCCTCAACAATCTCTGCTAGCCTGCCCTCTCCTCTTCCTCAACAATCTCTGCTAGCCTGCCCTCTCCTCATCCTCAACAATCTCTGCTAGCCTGCACTCTCCTCTTCCTCAACAATCTCTGCTAGCCTGCCCTCTCCTCATCCTCAACAATCTCTGCTAGCCTGCCCTCTCCTCATCCTCAACAATCTCTGCTAGCCTGCCCTCTCCTCTTCCTCAACAATCTCTGCTAGCCTGCCCTCTCCTCTTCCTCAACAATCTCTGCTAGCCTGCCCTCTCCTCTTCCTCAACAATCTCTGCTAGCCTGCCCTCTCCTCTTCCTCAACAATCTCTGCTAGCCTGCCTTCTCCTCTTCCTCAACGATCTCTGCTAGCCACCTACATCAAAAATCTCAAATCCAGCAATATCGAGCACTCCGATGAAATGATCGCGGGCCAGCTCGTGGGCATCCAGGGTTTTGTTGCACCTGAAAAACGTTAAAATTGACAATTATGAAATTTTTAAATTTTAAGAGTTACAGTAACCTCCCCTGCCAAGCAAAACGTACCGCGTAATAAGCCAGGCGAACATGCGAGCGTACAGCGCCTTGGCCAGGGCCCCAATGGCCCAGTTGACCTGCTCCAAGTTCTGCCCCTTGTTCACCCACTCGGTGCCGACCTGAAGCAACGGAATTTGACGTTGAAAATTGAAGAATCAGTGTTTTAATTTCTTCAAAAGCATGTCGATTGAAGAGCTTTTTAGCACTGAAAAATAGCCCCCACCTTGACGCGCGGCTTGAGCAGCGCCTGCACAAACTTCTCAAAGTCGCAGTCGTACAGCTTGCAGGCCAGCTCACCCTCTAAAACATGGAATTTTTTAATGGCTTTTCGAATTAACAAAGCCCGAGCATATACAGCCCACCCCCTCCCCCCCGATAATGCAAAAGAACCAATTCTTGAGCTCACCGCTGCAGTCCTCGACCTCGGCCTGCTCCTCGCGCGGGCGCTGCTTAAATTTCATCTCGCCCATGTGCATCAGGCCTGCAGTCACTGCGAAAAGTTGGTCCTTCTCGGTTTGGGTGAACTTCATGATGTCGAAGGCTTCCTGAAAAAAGCGGAATTGGCAAGAGGAGGGTTTGTTGAGGAAGAGGAAAGGGCAGGCTAGCAGAGATTGTTGAGGAAGAGGAGAGGGCAGGCTAGCAGAGATTGTTGAGGAAGAGGAGAGGGTAGGCTAGCAGAGATTGTTGAGGAAGAGGAGAGGGCAGGCTAGCAGAGATTGTTGAGGAAGAGGAGAGGGCAGGCTAGCAGAGATTGTTGAGGAAGAGAGGGCAGGCTAGCAGAGATTGTTGAGGAAGAAGGGGCAGGCTAGCAGAGATTGTTGAGGAAGAGGGGCAGGCTAGCAGAGATTGTTGAGGAAGATGAGAGGGCAGGCTAGCAGAGATTGTTGAGGAAGATGAGGGCGAGTGAGAGAGCCAAAGAGAGAGCGAGAGAGAGTGAGAGAGAGCCAGAAACTCACATCCGTGAGCATCATCTCCTCCTTGTCGTCGACCCCCTCGATGGTCAGCTCGGCCTGGGCGACAAAGTGGTAGTCCTTCAGCGGCCTCTTCAGAAGAAGCTTATCTGAGCAGAACCGACGATTTATGCTATTCCAGACGTTTCTTAATTACCCCTGGTACCGGACACCCCATCGGAGTACAGCTGGTAGAAGATGTGGTAGCAGCGCTCTCCTGGTGCTTGCTTGATGACACGCGACTTTTCCAGCAAGTCTAAAATTTCAATCGGTAAAAATTCCCAACTAATCTCTGCTAGCCTGCATGGGCCTTGAAAATTCCAAAAACTGACAGTGCTCAATGTCGGCGCCGGCCAGCTTGCCGGCCGTGTTGAAGTGGATGCGGATGAACTTGCCGAAGCGGGATGAGTTGTTGTTGCGCACCGTTTTGGCGTTTCCTAAAAGAACGATTAAGCTATTCTGACCTTCTATTTAGCCTCAGCTTGGGTGAAGCCTAAGCCTAAGCCTAAGCCTAAACCTAAGCCTAAGCCTAAGCCTGGGCCTTTGCCTTCAACATCCCGTTAAAAGCACCAACCGAACGCCTCCAACACCGGGTTCGTCTGCACGATCTGGTCCTCCAGCGACGCGTTCTTCTTGTCCTTGTTTTTCGGGGCGGAGCTGGAATTGGGGTAAATAGCGGGAAAGCAAGCTAGCAGGGATTGTTGGGGAATCCAGCTGACCTCTGGCTGGCGCCGACGTACGCAAAATACGAGATGACCTTCTTGGTGTTCTCGGTTTTTCCGGCGCCCGATTCTCCGGTGATCAGCATCGACTGGTTTTCGCGATCTGGAGCGGTTTTTTTCCTCGAAAATCTTTGCTAGCCTGCCCTCTCCTCTTCCTCAACAATCTCTGCTAGCCTGCCCTCTCCTCTTCCTCAACAATCTCTGCTAGCCTGCCCTCTCCTCTTCCTCAATAATCTCTGCTAGGCTGCCCTACCGTTTGTCATATTGCGATAGGCCTCGTCAGACACGGCAAAGAGATGGGGTGGCATCTCGTTCCTCCGCTTCCCAATGTACATCTTGCACACCGACTCCGAGTAGATGGGCAGCCGCTTGTACGGGTTGATGACGACGCAGAAGAGGCCGGAGTAGGTCTTGAAAATGGCTCGTTCAAGATTAATTTGAAATCGTTTACATAGATCATCATGGCATAATAGCGCTGGCGCAGGTTGTTCAGTACCGACGCGTCGTTGAGGAACGTCAGGTTGGCCATGTCCTCTGGAAAATTTTATTTCTCTTTCTCTCTCGCTATCTCTCTCTCTCTCTCTCTCGCAAAACTCACCGGTCTTCTCGTATTTCGGCGGGTTCATCTGCTGAATGTCGTCCTTCTTCAGCGTTTTCTGAAACAGGAGCTTAGGTGAGGCTTGGCTTAGGCTTAGGCTTAGCTTAGGCTTAGGCTTAGCTTGGGCTTGGGTGCCGCTTAGGCTTGCCCATTGTCATCAAATAAGCCAAAATTCCGACCTCGGCCCCGTTGGCCGTGACGACGGTGAGGATGTCGCCCTTCGTCGTCTTGATCTCGGCGGTGATGAACCTGCAACAAAGTTGGGCTACAGGGTACAAGGATTGTCATATTTTGTATTCAAACTGAAAAAAATGGCGGACCCCTCCTCTGCGTCGGCGATCCACACATTCTTCTTCGAGTCGAATTTCTTCGTCGACGCGGCCAACGCCTGAAAAAAGCTGATTTAGACCATTAAAAACGCGTCACTAAAAAAATACGATTACCACGGTACAGTACGAGACACTAACGCGATAAGCGCGTTTTTGACGAAGACAAGGCGCCCCATGTCCGATTTTTACGATTGAGGTATCTATCGAAAGCCCTAAATAAGGCGGGTCCAGCACGTCGCTGCGATTTTTTAAATGATGGATTTTTTACTCGATTTTCGACATTTTTCATGAAAAAGGCACGCTTTTACAAAATGGCTTGTAAAATAGCAGGTTTAAATCCACATAGTTTTGAAAAATATAGCAAACCCGCCGTTTCAAGAGCTTTCGAATGGTGTAACTACCATTTCGATCAGATACTTCGGAGTCGAGTTAGAGGTGTTTTTTCATGGCTACGGTTGACTTAACCCCTCGGTCGGAAGTTTTTGGCTATAACTTTTTTATTTTACGTTATTTCAGGCTCAAATTCAAGCTCATAGTATATTTTTCGACGTTCTATCGAATGGCATAGCAAAAATCGCGATAAAAATAGCGAAAACATCGAAAAGTTTGAGGCTGTGGGGGGGGGGGAATCAAGTAAGCTCTTACCGTATTTTTTGGGACACCCAGTATTAAAAACTCGTCTCAAAATTAGTACGGTGTGTTACGGTACAGTACGATACGCTACGACGAGATAATTACGTTTTGGGCGGAACGTAAAGATAGAGTGCTGTAAATGAGGTCGAGCCATACCTGTTCGGCACTCTGGCGCAGGTACTGCCACCCGGGGTCCTGCTCCAACAGTCCGTCGCTCATTTTGGCGGCCGCAACTACTGAACGGGGGTTGTAGATGGCTGTATAAAGAAAACCTACCAAAACACTCGTTTTCTCAACAATAACTTCTACAGGCTGTGCGGAGTCGGGGGGATCGCGGTGGCGTGGCCTCGGGGGTAACCCTGAATTTTGTGGTGGAAATTGTCATATACAATCTGGACTGGAACAGGAGGGAGAGAGAGAGACAGAGAGAGAGAGAAGACGAAGAAGCCTGAGCCTAAGCTTAAGCCCAAGAACCTAGAAAAATCAATAATCCCAAACTCGATCCCATCGAAGCCGGTGGGGGATTTATTTATTTTTGGCAGACAGAAATCCTTTTAGCCGAGACCAACCTCTCCTTTCCCACCACCCCAAAACCCATCTATTTGTTGTTGAGGCAGGGGGAGGCAAAAAAGAAAACATTTTGAGGCGAAAATCTTCGAATTGAGAGAGGTGGCTAATTTGTAATTAGGACAGGCTAGCAGAGATTGTTGAGGAAGAGGAGAGTGCAGGCTAGCAGAGATTGTTGAGGAAGAGGAGAGTGCAGGCTAGCAGAGATTGTTCAGGAAGAGGAGAGGACAGGCTAGCAGGGATTGTTCAGGAAGAGGAGAGGGCAGGCTAGCAGGGATTGTTCAGGAAGAGGAGAGGGCAGGCTAGCAGGGATTGTTCAGGAAGAGGAGAGGGCAGGCTAGCAGGGATTGTTCAGGAAGAGGAGAGGGCAGGCTAGCAGGGATTGTTCAGGAAGAGGAGAGGGCAGGCTAGCAGGGATTGTTCAGGAAGAGGAGAGGGCAGGCTAGCAGAGATTGTTGAGGAAGAGGAGAGGGCAGGCTAGCAGAGATTGTTGAGGAAGAGGAGAGGGCAGGCTAGCAGAGATTGTTGAAGAAAGCGGAACCGAGAACATGCCAACAGAAATTCTTTAGGAAATAGAAGCTCCAGGGCAAGCTAGTAGAGATTTTTGAACAAAAAACAGAACTCGGAGCCGAGATCATTTGGGAAAAGTAATAAATTGGTTACGAGGCATTTCTAGACTAAAAAAACATCGTAGTGTATTCCCCCCCCCCCCAACCGATCATACGAAAAAACAAACAAGAAGCTATGAAAAAAACGATTCTCCATGATTTTGCCGAAATTTCCATTCGCTGTAACTTCAATACTTCACTGTTTGAAAGGAAAATTCGCGGCAAAAAACGCATTGAAACCTCGACAAAATGATTTTAGAAAAAATGAATTTCATGAAAATGATGTTTCGACAAAATTATTTTAGAAAAAAATGATATTTCGAAAAATTGAAAATTACACAAAATGGTTTCTCAACATATTTTCGAAAAATGGAAATGGCGATAAGGAACTTTTGACGAAATGACCTTCCGACAAATCGAGATTTCGAAAAAATGATGTTTTGACCAAGTGAAAATAAGCCAAAAATCGGTACAAGCTTAATACGATAAATTCCGGACAACTTCAAAGCACCAAAAAATCTCTAGAAAGAATCGGGGGCACCCGGGCGCGGCGCGGGGGTGCGCGGCAAATTTGCCGAAGCCCAGAAGAGCCCGGGCTCTGGAGAAATTTGTCTTGTGAGCTTTCCCCCCATGGATTTGCACGGCGAGATAGAGACAGAGAGAGAGAGAAAGAGAGAGCACGAGAGAGATATTTGCCGGGGGATTTCGTCTTCTTCGGCCTGGGCCCTGTATTCGAGGGCCCAGTTGAGAGGGGCACACAGTGGCATCCTCCCGGTCTCTGGGCGGATCTGTACGCGGGGCTCCGGAAAACAGGGGGGGCTAGCAGAGATTGTTGAGGGTACTGGGCTGCTAGCGGGGGGGAACATCCTGCCCTGACCCCATTATTGAAATATCGACAATTTATACAACTTTTACGCATTTCTTGACAAGTGGAGCAATGCGTCAGCTTCTTAACATTTTCGAAAAATGTTTTCGAACCAGAATTTACAAAAACATAACCGCTAACAGTATAGCACCAAGTTACGAGCAAACTAGCAGAGATTGTTGAGGAAGAGGAGAGGGCAGGCTAGCGAGATTGTTGAGGAAGTGGAAAGGGTAGGCTAGCAGAGATTGTGGAAGAAGAGGAGAGGGCAGGCTAGCAGAGATTGTTGAGGAAGAGGCTAGAAGAGACTGTTGAAGAAGCGCGATTCTATCTTTCCGAGGAATTCTGGGTGAAATATCATCTTCCCGGGTCGGGATAAACCCGAAAAAATCCATTTCAGCCTGGACGGCAGGAGGAGTGTTCCGGAATCTGCCCACTTCTGCCCGATTGTCAGGTGACTGTAAGAACCGGGACGGGGAGGGGGATTGAGTCAACAAATCCCATCTCATCCACCCCCACACCTCGTTTCTTTGCGCCCCGGCTCTCTTGGCCTCAAAGACTCTCTGCTAGCCTGCCCGCTCCCTCTCTCGGTCATTTTTGATCGGCTGGGTTTCGGTGATTCATTGGGGTTGAGTTGATTGTTCAATAGGAAGGTGAGGAAACAAAATGGCGTAAGGGCTGGCTAGCAGAGACTATTCACCCACTTTCCATGCCCTTTTAAACCTCTAGCATGCTAAAATGCGCGCTGATTACGGTAATGGGCCAGCGGCGAGGCTCCACTCGACTCCCTGCTGCCCGCCCTGGGGGTAAACATTCCGCCCCACCACTCCTCGGGGCACCAAAAAAATTCTTGGAAATAGCAAACAGACTAGCCGGACGAGATTCCCGGAAGCCGGCTGGTTGATCTAGCGGAAGGAAAAAAAATCATTTTTTGGCATAAAAATTTTGAAAGACCTCTGCTAGCCTGCCCTCTCCTCTTCCTCAACAATCTCTGCTAGCCTGCCCTCTCCTCTTCCTCAACAATCTCTGCTAGCCTGCCCGCTCCTCTTCCTCAACAATCTCTGCTAGCCTGCCCTCTCCTCTTCCTCAACAATCTCTGCTAGCCTGCCCTCTCCTCTTCCTCAACAATCTCTGCCAGCCTGCCCCCTCCTCTTCCTCAACAATCTCTGCTAGCCTGCCCTCTCCTCTTCCTCAACAATCTCTGCTAGCCACCCCTATAGGCTGAAATTCCCTCAAAAATCACCGCAAGCTTGCCCGGCGGTTGACTGGATACTTGAATTTCCGCAAACGGCCCCTGTTAAAATGCCAGAGCTATCAGGTTGGTAGATAAGTCCTGTCACAATTTTTTGAAAGCGCCCTAGAAAGCCGCAGAAACGTCGGATTTTCACTTTCGATCCATGATTTGATAGATCTTGGGACGCGCTACTTGGGCAAAACCCGATTTGGTCCCCAAAGTGGCTCGCCGTCGAGTTACAGCTCCGGGAAGTTTTTGATAAAATCTTGAGAAAGCCATTTAGCGTGCTATCTCTGCATAGAGCAATTTGAATACGATACCATTAACGACAATCGATAGCTCTCGAGGAGTAGATATCGATAGATGTTGAGATCATCAAAATCGGACACCGGATGAACGAGATACGGGCCCTTCAAATTTGGTCCATTTCTTAGAAATTTTTCCGAATTCCCATACATTTAGACAAAACCTTCTCCGGGCGCTCAAAAACCAACTGGCAAGGTTTGTCACAGCTGCGTAAAATGTATGGGATTTCGGGAAAAGTTCTAAGAAATCAACCAAATTTGAAGGGCCCGTATCTCGGCCGTCCGGTGTCCAATTTTGACGATCTAAACATTTATCGATATCTACTCCTCAAGAGCTATCGATTGGTGTTGAAGGTATCGCATGCAAATTTCTCTATGCAGAGATAACACGCTAAAAAGCTTTTTCAAGATTTGATGAAAAACTTCCCGGTGCTGTAACTCGGCGTCCTGCAACTTTTGGGCCTTGTGCGGCAGCTCCCATTATAGCGCAACCCAAGACCTATCAAATCAGGTATCACACGTTAAAATCGGCCATGTCTGCGGCTATATAGAGAGATTTAAAAAATTTGTGACAGGACTTATCTACCAACCTGATACGTAGCCCTAATTGGCGCTAAATTCCTCAAAAGCCTCTGCTAGACTACCCTGGCCCTGAATTTTCTAAGCTTTCTCAAACGCTCTCTGCTCGGTTGCCTGGAGCGCCGAATTCTTGTGGACAAATCCCTGCTAGCAGACCTTTTTCTAAGCTCCAACTTTGTCTATTGTAGTTTGTTGCTTGTAGTTATCTAATTGCAAATCCGTATCCTTAATTCATGCCTAATTATTATTTATTCAACGTATTTAATGGAGGTTTCTTTAGCTTCTTTCGTTTTCCGATTCCATTTCGCTCCGCCCTTCCGGTCGTGATCTGTAACAAATCTTTTCAGTTTTAACAGATGACAAGGGCCACGTAAAACTGAGCAGATTTCTTACCGTAGCTCCGGGATACAATCCCGGATTTGCCGAGTTTCGGGCCTCCAGATGCGGCACGCTCCAAATTACATTATCCGTCGTCTGCCGCAGGTTTTTGTCGTCACATCCTAAAAATGGGCGTTAGTTTTGATCGAGTGTAATTCGCCTTTTTGGATATGATACGCTACGATGCACTACTCTACCTTAGTAGGGGCAAAGTACTACATGCTACGATAAGATGAGATACGATACTTTACGCTACGGCCCATTACAATACCTTATGGTACCGTACGATACGGTACCTTTCGCTTGGACACGTTACAGTACGCTGTACGTTACGTTCGTATTGGATGCTATACGTTACTTTACGGAACACTACGGTATGTTGCAACAGGATACTGAATATTACGATGCGCTACGGGGAGCTACGTTGCGGTACGCCACGATACGGTACGCTACTTTACGGCACACTACGGTTTGACGCAACAGGATACTGTAGACGCGATTGGCTACAATGTGCTACTTTCCTGTACTCTACGCTACGCTAAGTTCCTCTACGCTACGCTGCGATACTTTACGGTACGCTACGTTACTGTACTATACGCTACGCTACGATAGGATACTCCGGTGCGCTACGTCGCTCTTGGCTACGGTACGCTACGGTAAGATACACCAAAAATTAGAAAACGCACCTTGTAAGCATGGGTTTAAAGAATAGCATAGTGTGTCGTCGTACTGTATCGGAATCCAGGGTGTCGATAGTATTGTCCGGAACCCCCAGCTGACCAGCTAGCTGACGGTCCCTTGAGCCGCTATTTATGTGCCCTGGGGGCACAGCGAATCTGTCAGCCACACGTCAGAATGAGGCTAGTGGCCAGACGCACGGACGGATGGAGACAGAAATGGACGGCGGGAGTGGCGTACAAACAACACCAATTGACAGCTCCCGGGGGCTAGCTGACACCCGCGCCGCCCCGACGGTAAATACCGTAGCGCACGAATGGGGGTTGTTGAGCGTCCAAAATGGTCTCTGCTACGTTGCCCCAGGGCAGGCTAGCAGAAACAATTTGCGGGGGTTGCACACTTTATTCATACAGCGGCACACAGAGAAAACACACACGATCCGCGAGAGCGAGAGAAAAACGGGGATGGGGGGAGAGGGAGAGAGATAGAGAGGGAGAGTGAGAGAGAGGGGGGAATCGAAGGGGCAGAGATGCACAGGGCAAAAATTTGCATACAGAACGGGAATACCTCGAAAGAGGGGGCGTGGCCATTTTAAAGGGACGATGAAGGCGAAATTCACCCAGAAAGTTTGACTTTTAGCTTCTAAAGCCTAATTTTTCGTTATTTGGCCCATTTTTGCCTTCAATGGCCCTTTAAAACGACTCCAAAAAACATCTAAGTGATTTTACAGGGCCATTGAAGGCAAAAATGGGTGAAATCTGCACGGATTATCCCGGAAAATTGCTTTAGAATTTACATTACGTGAAGATTGGAGGAAATTCAGAATTTACAGAATCAACCGGGCCAAGCATTTTTGCCTTCAACGCCCCTTTAAAATGGCCATAGAAAAAAAGAGGAGGGGGAAAATGCTTGTTGGAGTCGTCGTGATGCGGAGCGGTTAGGCCGAGTTGGAGTCGTCGGAGCGCTGAAAAAGGGACTGTCCGCGTGCTCAAACCCCCCCCCCCCCCGCTAACAGCCTAGTACCTAAAAATTAGACAGACGGTAGGACGCGATAACGAAAGCGTTTTAAAATTTGCAAAAAAAATGCAAATTAGGCGGCAGCAACCTTGGATGCCTGCGAGTCCTTGGTGGGTGAGATCGGCTCCTCGTCGTCGTCGTCAGGGAACCCGCCGACGTACACGTAGCAGCAGGCTGCAAAATCCGGATGTGAATTGTCGAAAGCCAGGCGTTTTAAAGGGATCGAGAAGGCAAAAAATTCGCCAAATGGACTGACCCTGCAGGGCGTAGATGAGCCAGACGACGACGATGATGCCGCCGTAGACGAACATCTCCACCATCGGCATGCCCTAGATATTTTGGTTTGGGCCAGGCTAGCAGAGATTGTTGAGGAAGAGGAGAGGGCAGGCTAGCAGAGATTGTTGAGGAAGAGGAGAGGGCAGGCTAGCAGAGATTGTTGAGGAAGAGGAGAGGGCAGGCTAGCAGAGATTTTTGAGGAAGAGGAGAGGGCAGGCTAGCAGAGATTGTTGAGGAAGAGGAGAGGGCAGGCTAGCAGAGATTGTTGAGGAAGAGGAGAGGGCAGGCTAGCAGAGATTGTTGAGGAAGAGGAGAGGGCAGGCTACAGAGATTTTTGAGGAAGAGGAGAGGGCAGGCTAGCAGAGATTGTTGAGGAAGAGGAGAGGGCAGGCTACAGAGATTGTTGAGGAAGAGGAGAGGGCAGGCTACAGAGATTTTTGAGGAAGAGGAGAGGGCAGGCTAGCAGAGATTGTTGAGGAAGAGGAGAGGGCAGGCTAGCAGAGATTGTTGAGGAAGAGGAGAGGGCAGGCTACAGAGATTGTTGAGGAAGAGGAGAGGGCAGGCTAGCAGAGATTGTTGAGGAAGAGGAGAGGGCAGGCTAGCAGAGATTGTTGAGGAAGAGGAGAGGGCAGGCTAGCAGAGATTGTTGAGGAAGAGGAGAGGGCAGGCTAGAGAGATTGTTGAGGAAGAGGAGAGGGCAGGCTAGCAGAGATTGTTGAGGAAGAGGAGAGGGGCAGGCTAGCAGAGATTGTTGAGGAAGAGGAGAGGGCAGGCTAGCAGAGATTGTTGAGGAAGAGGAGAGGGCAGGCTAGCAGAGATTGTTGAGGAAGAGGAGAGGGCAGGCTAGCAGAGATTGTTGAGCAAGAGCAGGGGCCGCAGCGGCGTTTTTCTTCCCACCATACCTTCATGGGGTTGACCATGGACAGGATCATCTCCGTCAAGTTTCCAAACGACACCGTCAACGTCCAGACGGCCTGCATGACACTCTTCATCAGCGGGTGGCTCTGCGAGTACGCGAACTCCAAGCCGGTGATGGACAGGAAAATCTGAGGCAATTTTTCATGAAAAGTTTTGCCGCCCACCTCGCCCAGGGAGATGATGAAGAGCTGCGGAAGCTGGAAGAGTACGTGCGTCTGGTAGGGCTCAATCTGAAAAAAAATCGAAGAGCTCAAATCGAAAAAATTCAAGGGTTTTTGGATAAATGTATCACGTGGAGAAGCCCTAAACCGACCACTTGCACCAGCTGGGGCTCGCCGCTAGCCGGTACCCACAAGACGTACACGGCCGCCGCACCATTCTCCAGGGTGACGGTCTTGCACTTTTCGGGGGCGTCTGAAAATGTTGGGAGTTCTCACATGATCTCTGCTAGCTTGTCTTCTCCTCTTCCTCAACAATCGCTGCTAGCCTGCCTACCTGATTTGCATCCATCGCCGACACGCACGTTCCATTCCACTTCATCCCAGATGCGGTGCGTGAAGAGGAACGTGGCGCCGTTTTTCAGCTCCCAGTTTGACACCACGTTGTCGTCATCGCCCTCTGGCCTGCAAGAAGCTGGTAAAGCCTAACCGTAAGCCAAACCTAAGCCTAAACCCAAGCCTAAGCTTAAGCGTAAGCCTAGGCCTAAACCTAAGCCAAACCTAGGCCTGAGCCCTAGCGTAAGCCCAAGCCTAAGCCCAAAACAAAGTCACTCACGGTGGTCCCCAAATCCTCCATCCCTTCGTGGCGTTGGTGGTGAAGATGACCAGGCGGCTCTGGCCGAGTCCCTGGGCATTCCGCGAGTACTCAAAGTCGACCCAGTGAAGTTTTCTGAACCAAGCAGTTGGGCGCGCTAGCAGAGACAATTTGAGGGAGCCCCGAACAAAACTCACTTCTCGGCTTCATCAAAATGGAACATGGCAGCCACGCTGTCGACGGCTCCCTCGTCGGTGTAGGTCTTCTGTTGCAGCGCGTACCGATCGGGGCCGCCCGATGATGTGTACTCGCCGAACGGGACGGCCAGGAAATTTTCGTGGAGCAGATCTAGAGCAAATGGTCTTTTTAGGAAGCGGCAACCCACACTGCCCGGTTCCGTTGATCGAGTTGAGCGGGATCTCGTTGTGGTTGAGCGAGCGGACGTAGGCATGGTTGGCGGGCGGGAGACCGAGATCGGCGTCGATTTTGATCTGAGGAAAAAGTTTTTCATAGCCTAAGCCTAAGCCTAGCCCAAGTCTAAGCCTAATCGAAGCCTAAGCCCAAGCGAAGCTAAGCCTAAGCCTAATCCTGAACCTAGGGCTAAAAGCCTAAGCCTAAGCCTAGACCTAAGCCTAAGCCGAAACCTAAGCCTAAGCCTACGCCTAAGCCTACGCCGAAGTCCAAGCTCAAGCCCAAGGCCCAAGCCCAAGCCTACGCGTGCGTCCTCACCTGCAAGAAGCCAGCGACGAAAAATGAGACGGCCGCCATCAACATGCCGGTGCCCAGCTTGCGCAGCTCGGTCAGGTGCACGCATTTTTCGAGGGCCGGATACAGTCCGTAGCGGCAGATGGGGATCAGCGTCACGATCAGGATCGGGTTGATGACTTGCATCGTCTAGGTGATGATGTGGACCACGCATGCGATTCGCTGACCTCGGCACTGATCCAAATCTTGCCGAACATGCGCCCGTTCATGTGGGTGGCCTGCTCGACCCAGGTGGTGCCCTGCTGGTCGTAGAGGAACCAGAAGAAGATCAACGGCCACAAGACGACAACGACAGCCAGGGTGCTCTGAAGAGGAGGGTTGGAGAGTGGCGAGAGAGTGAGAGAGAGAGAGAGAGAGATACTACCTTCACAGCCACAATCTGCGTGGGCGAATATTCTGGGGCGGCGCAGTCGAGCCAGCGGTACCGTCGGTTGAACTCATCCGGTTGCTCCGGCTTGACCGCCTTGGCCGGCTTGGGCAACTCCGCCTTGCTGTGCTTCGATTCGGAGACGCCGGACTTTCCGCGGCGCGACACCTGCGACTTCTGGGACTTTGACTGCGACTTGGACGCGTCGCCGTCGTCGTCCGGCGATTTCGGCTCCGGGGGGGTGCTGACTGAACGCGAAGATCGTGGGATAGGGAACAGCTCACCCAGACAGACGTCGCTTGGCGCCAAGCCAGATACAGCCGAAGATCTCCTTGAAGATGTTGCGCCCGAGCGGGCGGCGCTTCACGTACCACGCCGAGCCGCAGATGAACAGGACCAGGGCGATGAACATCAACACACCGGGGACGCCTGGAGGAGAGGGATCTCGTCAGGTCGCAGCCTAGGTCTGAGCCTAAGCCTAAGCGTAAGCCTAAGCCCAGGCCTAAGCCAGACTCAAACATACCAAAAGCCACCGGGTAACACGTCTTGCCGCCGGCGCAGCGCATGTCGCGGAGCTGCGGCGTCAGGAAGGTGGAGAACAGCGCGCCGGTGTTGATGGCCATGTAGAAGTAGGAGAAGTAAGACCCGCGCAGCTCCTCCGCATCGGCTGGGATCTTAAGTTGGGGAGTCACAGCTTGTTGAGCTTAGGCTTAGGCTTAGGCTTTGGCTTAGGCTTCAGGCGCACCTGGTCAGCGCCAAATGCGGAGACGCACGGCTTGATGCCGCCGGTGCCGAGGGCGATCGTCAGCAGCCCGAGGTAGTCGAGTGTCTGGCGAACGCCTAGAAGCTGCGTCAGTGTACTGCTCGAAGAGTACTTACCCGACCCAAGCGCCGGCCACGCACCCATCGACAGCAGGGCGTGGCCCAACACGTAGACGATCGACACCACCAGGATCACTTTATATCTAGAAAAGACAGCATATCAAAAAGGTTATTCCGCTACTTTCCAAAATACGAGTCGGCCGCAACGGCGCCGAACACGGGCGTGAAATACGCGATGCAGTTGAAGGCGTGCGAGATGGCGCGGGCGACGCTGAAAATCGGGGTGAGGGCTAGCAGGGAGCATTGAGGAAGCTGAGATCTCAAAAACACTCACTGCCCCTCGAGCCCGTGCTCATTCTTGAGGTAGATGTAGAGGAGGGCGCGCATCCCGTAGAAGGAGAAGCGCTCGCAGAACTCATTGCCCAGGATGAACCAGACTTGGCCCGGTAACCTGCGAAAGTATACCTTGAGTCTCAGGGGTTTTAAAGCCAGATTCTAAGCCTAAGCCTAAACCTAAGCTTAAGCCTAAGCCTAAGCCTCAGCCTAAGCCTAATCCTAAGCCTAAGCCGAAACCCAAGCTTACCTAAGCCTAAGCCGAGCCTAAGCCTAAGCTTTTCAGCTTTCCACGAGCTTTTTGCACGTATCCACAAATAAAAAATAGGGTGTGTGTGTGTGTGATACTTTGCATGCAACTTCCGTCACCATGTCCGGAGGATATCTCAAGAGGGAATAAAGTTTAAGGTATATATGATACGTCATTAGATGCGTAATGGCTCTGGGATGAGTGCACGCTTATCAGATTTTACAAAATTAATTGATTTAAATATTAAATTTCAGTTTTTGTAAAAATTCCGGACACCCTCTTTGTTAGGATACAATTAGCATGCACCGGAAGTGGCGATTGCCTATTTAATCAGGTAGAGAGTGTCATTTTTAATTTTTTCTCATCGGGATTCGAGAGACTTATGCAAAAAGAAAAATATTATGGGGAGAGACAGGGCCAGGGTTGAAAAGTCGCGAAGCGGCTTTTCAACCCTGGTAAATCAAAAACCGCCAAAGTAGAACCCCCTCCCCCGGTTCCATCCCAAAAATTAGCATAAACCGACTGTCGAATGACGGAGCAGGCGCCCATGTTGGATGGGCAGTGCGGGCGGGGAATGACAGAATTTTTGTGACTCGGCGCCCCGGTACGGGAAAATTGAAATACAGAGAGATGGAGAGTCATTCGTCTATTGTAAGTGGCGCCGCACAATGGAAATTGGCCAGCCCTCGTCGAAGTGTTGGAAGGCGGTCGAAAAAGTTGTGCAAAACTCCAAAAAAAAGCATTCGACATAGCAGCAGAAGACGTGTCCTAAGTGTCAGTCCTAAGAATAGTGCCGAAATTGCGATTGCTGATTTGTGTCGTACGCCCTTTGCTCCAGGACGACGAAAAGCCACACCAAAATTACGCAAAAAAAATCGTGGAAGCCACACCCGGTCCAGTTTTCGTGATGAACTTTTTCCGCAAAATTTTTGGTTCTCTTTCCGATGCATAGATCAAAACCATTTCGCATGGTTGATTTCTCACGAAATCAGCCGCTGCCCTCTCCCCTTCCTCAACAATCTCTGCTAGCCTGCCCCTCCCTTCCACAACAACCTGCTAGCCTGCCCCTCCTCTTCCTCAACAACTCGCTAGCCTGCCCCCCTCTCCTCAACAATCCTGCTAGCCTGCCCCTCCTCTTCCTCAACAATCTCTGTAGCCTGCCCCTTCTCTTCCTCAACAACTCTGCTAGCCGCCCTCTCCCTTCCACAACAACTCTGCTAGCCCCCCTCCTCTTCCTCAACAATCTCTGCTAGCCTGCCCTCTCCTCTTCCTCAACAATCTCTGCTAGCCTGCCCTCTCCCCTTCCTCAACAAACCGTAGCCTGCCCTCTCCTCTTCCTCAACAATCTCGAGCCTGCCCTCTCCTCTTCCACAACAACTCTGCTAGCCTGCCCCTCCCTTCCTCAACAATCTCTGCTAGCCTGCCCCTCCTCTTCCACAACAACTCTGCTAGCCTGCCCTCTCCTCTTCCTCAACAACTCTGCTAGCCTGCCCCTCCTCTTCCTCAACAATCTCTGCTAGCCTGCCCTCTCCCCTCCTCAACAATCTCTGCTAGCCTGCCCTCCTCTTCCTCAACAATCTCTGCTAGCCTGCCCTCTCCTCTCCTCAACAATCTCTGCTAGCCTGCCCTCTCCTCTTCCTCAACAATCTCTGCTAGCCTGCCCTCTCCTCTTCCCACAACAATCTCTGCTAGCCTGCCCCTCTCCTCTTCCTCAACAACTCTGCTAGCCTGCCCTCTCCTCTTCCTCAACAACTCTGCTAGCCTGCCCTCTCCTCTCCCAACAATCTCTGCTAGCCTGCCCTCTCCTCTTCCCAACAATCTCTGCTAGCCTGCCCTCTTCTCTTCCTCAACAATCTCTGCTAGCCTGCCCTCTCCTCTTCCACAACAATCTCTGCTAGCCTGCCCTCTCCTCTTCCTCAACAATCTCTGCTAGCCTGCCCTCTCCTCTTCCTCAACAACTCTGCTAGCCTGCCCTCTCCTCTTCCTCAAAAATCTCTGCAGCCTGCCCTCTCCTCTTCCTCAACAATCTCTGCTAGCCTGCTCTCTCCTCTCCTCAACAATCTCTGCTAGCCTGCCCTCTCCTCTTCCTCAACAATCTCTGCTAGCCTGCCCTCTTCTCTTCCTCAACAATCTCTGCTAGCCTGCCCTCTCCTCTTCCTCAACAATCTCTGCTAGCCTGCCCTCTTCTCTTCCTCAACAATCTCTGCTAGCCTGCCCTCTCCTCTTCCTCAACAATCTCTGCTAGCCTGCCCTCTTCTCTTCCTCAACAATCTCTGCTAGCCTGCCCTCTCCTCTTCCTCAACAATCTCTGCTAGCCTGCCCTCTTCTCTTCCTCAACAATCTCTGCTAGCCTGCCCTCTCCTCTTCCTCAACAATCTCTGCTAGCCTGCCCTCTCCTCTTCCTCAACAATCTCTGCTAGCCTGCCGGATCCTCGTGCTCCAAATTTTAAAACATTTTGATAAATTAAAATAGCCAGTGGGCGTCAAAGGGCGGCAAGGAAGCGGTCGTAAAGATGGGCGGCTGATAAAGGGCGGGGGTCCGGTTAGTCGGGCCGGAAAATATACTCTATACCTCCCCCAAATACTTATATCTGGCTCAAACATTTTTCTATTAACTCCATTTAATAATGCCCAAACTACAAGTGGGGCCCGGAGAAAGTCTTTTTTGGGCCGATCTGGCCGAGGTGCGAGCGAGCGGCCTCGAGCCGTTCATGCTATATCGACTGGAGCTGAGGTTTGCCTGTAGTTTTTGTATTTTATGTATTTTACTCTAGTAAGTGTATTTTTTGATGTTATATCCTTCTTTTCAGTAAACTTTTTGCAGCCTAGAGCACAAGACGAAATTCCGGTCGCTAGCCTACTATTTTTCCGACGAGCACGGGGCGTTGGACTTGGCAAGGGAGGCGCCGGTTTTTGGCATGTATAAAGGTGAAAAAAATAGCTTTTTTGCTTCTAAAAAATTGTTATTAGGGTTCTTTAGCATTATCGGGGGGGTAATTGATTATGCAAAATAAATTTTAAAATAAAAAATTGGTCAAAAATCGGCCGTTTTCCGTAAAAAATCAATCGTTGTTTTTTTTTCGTGTTTTTGCATACAAATCCGTATAATTTGGACGTGTATAAATAGAAAAACTGTTTAAAGAATCTTCCACTATTTGTATTTGAATAATTAGATCCTAAAAAAGAAGAAAATAGCGAAAAGTTGAAAACACCCCCCCCGCTAACGGACCAGAGCCCTTTAGGAACTCAGGCTCAAGGCAAAATCGGTTCTTAACGCTACAAAATCCACGTAGCGACAAAATGGTCTCTTTTCAAGTTCAGTGCCATTTTCAGGCATCGATAAAATGGGCCTATTCACGGCTCTCTACACCCATCCCGGGGAGCGGCAAACGGCCAAGCTGTTGCTCAATCCACTGCCCGAATTTCTTGAATATACACTCTCGCTGTATCACCGAGAAGAGACGAGGGCTTTGGATACGGTAATCGGGGCAATTTAACAAAAAACCCTAGAATTTAGGTAAAGCTCGCCCGAAAATTGATACATCCCGGAATCACGCGCGAGCCGATAAAGCATGATAAGCTGGAAGGGGCCTTGTACTGCCCAAAAACTCGGGGTGGGCCCTGAAAATTAAAACGTTGGAACCTGATTTTGAAGGCCCCGAAAAATTGCCGTGTATTTTGGACTTGTACGGAGTGGCCATGGGGACAAAGGAGCATCGGTAATGGCAAACATCGAAAAATGAAGATGATAGTTTAGGGCGGCAATGCTAGCCGCGCAGGGATATTGTGTATTGGCTTTGGCAATTTTTGGAACCGGAAAATTGAGCAAGAAGCATGAGGACGTCACCTCGGAATATTTGCAGGCAAGCTAGCAGATATTGTTGAGGAAGAGGAGAGGGCAGGCTAGCAGAGATTGTTGAGGAAGAGGAGAGGGCAGGCTAGCAGAGATTGTTGAGGAAGAGGAGAGGGCAGGCTAACAGAGATTGTTGAGGAAGAGGAGATGGCCGGCTAGCAGATATTGTTGAGGAAGAGGAGAGGGCTGGCTAGCAGATATTGTTGAGGAAGAGGAGATGGCAGGCTAGCAGAGATGTGAGGAAGAGGAGAGGGCAGGCTAGCAGAGATTGTTGAGGAAGAGGAGAGGGCAGGCTAGCAGAGATTGTTGAGGAAGAGGAGATGGCAGGCTAGCAGATATTGTTGAGGAAGAGGAGATGGCCGGCTAGCAGATATTGTTGAGGAAGAGGAGATGGCAGGCTAGCAGAGATTGTTGAGGAAGAGGAGAGGGCAGGCTAGCAGAGATTGTTGAGGAAGAGGAGAGGGCAGGCTAGCCGAGATTGTCGAGGAAGAGGAGAGGGCAGGCTAGCAGAGATTGTTGAGGAAGAGGAGATGGCAGGCTAGCAGATATTGTTGAGGAAGAGGAGAGGCCGGCTAGCAGATATTGTTGAGGAAGAGGAGATGGCAGGCTAGCAGATTGTTGAGGAAGAGGAGAGGGGCAGGCTAGCCGAGATTGTTGAGGAAGAGGAGAGGGCAGGCTAGCAGATATTGTTGAGGAAGAGGAGATGGCAGGCTAGCAGAGATTGTTGAGGAAGAGGAGAGGGCAGGCTAACAGAGATTGTTGAGGAAGAGGAGATGGCAGGCTAGCAGAGATTGTTGAGGAAGAGGAGAGGGCAGGCTAGCCGAGATTGTCGAGGAAGAGGAGAGGGCAGGCTAGCAGATATTGTTGAGGAAGAGGAGATGGCAGGCAGCAGATATTGTTGAGGAAGAGGAGATGGCAGGCTAGCAGATATTGTTGAGGAAGAGGAGAGGGCAGGCTAGCCGAGATTGTCGAGGAAGAGGAGAGGGCAGGCTAGCAGATATTGTTGAGGAAGAGGAGATGGCAGGCTAGCAGAGATTGTTGAGGAAGAGGAGAGGGCAGGCAACAGAGATTGTTGAGGAAGAGGAGATGGCAGGCTAGCAGAGATTGTTGAGGAAGAGGAGAGGGCAGGCTAGCCGAGATTGTCGAGGAAGAGGAGAGGGCAGGCTAGCAGATATTGTTGAGGAAGAGGAGATGGCAGGCTAGCAGATATTGTTGAGGAAGAGGAGATGGCAGGCTAGCAGAGATTGTTGAGGAAGAGGAGAGGGCAGGCTAGCCGAGATTGTCGAGGAAGAGGAGAGGGGCAGGCTAGCAGATATTGTTGAGGAAGAGGAGATGGCAGGCTAGCAGAGATTGTTGAGGAAGAGGAGATGGCAGGCTAGCAGATATTGTTGAGGAAGAGGAGATGGCCGGCTAGCAGATATTGTTGAGGAAGAGGAGATGGCAGGCTAGCAGATATTGTTGAGGAAGAGGAGATGGCAGGCTAGCAGAGATTGTTGAGGAAGAGGAGAGGGCAGGCTAGCCGAGATTGTCGAGGAAGAGGAGAGGGCAGGCTAGCAGAGATTGTTGAGGAAGAGGAGATGGCCGGCTAGCAGATATTGTTGAGGAAGAGGAGAGGGCAGGCTAGCAGATATTGTTGAGGAAGAGGAGATGGCAGGCTAGCAGAGATTGTTGAGGAAGAGGAGAGGGCAGGCTAGCAGAGATTGTTGAGGAAGAGGAGAGGGCAGGCTAGCAGAGATTGTTGAGGAAGAGGAGAGGGCAGGCTAGCAGAGATTGTTGAGGAAGAGGCGAAGGGCAGGCTAGCAGAGATTTTTTCGGTAAATTCCACGAATTCGTGAAATTCCAGCTAGCAGTCGATTTTCTGACCCAACTACCGTACACCCAGAGCCGCTGCGCGGTCGTGGGTACTTCCTTTGGCGGTACCCTCGGCTACCACTTAACGTTCGAAAAACCGGAGGTGAGCTTGGATAATCGAACCCCAGGGCAGGCTAGCAGAGATTTGTATGGAAAACGCCTTCAGGTAGCCTGCGCCGTGAGCATCAACGGGCAACGCGGGCACTACATGGTGTCGCAGATGAACGCCGGGGGCGAGAAGCTGCCATGGACCCCGTGAGTCCGAAGTGCTATCCTCAAGCACCCCTGCTAGCATGCCAAAACTCCGGTTTTTTTTCAGGGTGCTCCCCCACAACCTACCCAACATTGACCACTACGGCGGGTTCATCTCCTATGGCCGGATGTACGGGTCGTGCGAGCTGGACGAGGAGCACATGCTGCGTTTCGAGAAGCTACGCCAGGATCAGCATCTGCTGTATATAGTGGGAGCCAGAAAACTTAACGGGGGCTTTAAAGCTCGATTATAGGCCGGCGGCCAAGACCGAGCCATCGATGCCCAGGTGCAGGGGCGAGAGATCGAGCGTCTACTGGAAAGTAATGGAGTCGGGAAGCAGTTTGAGTTGCTAGAGCTGCCTGACTGTGGCCACATCATTGATCCTCCGTATATGCCACTGAATGATTTTTTGTATCAAGGAGGTAGGCAAACTAGAAGAGATTGTTGAGGAAGAGGAGAGGGCAGATTGGCAGAGATTTTTTGGGGGTCACTTGTCAATTTTCCAAGGAAAAATTTCAGGACGCTACATGGCCTTCGGCGGCGATCCATACCCGCATGGCGTTGGACAGCACGTAGCCTGGAAGAAACTCCTCGAATTCCTTGAGAAGCACATTGGCCCCGGGACCTGCATTACCGGCAATAAATTGTGAATTTTTAAAGAAAACTACGTATTTTTGAAGTTCCCAAAAGGGCAGGCTAGCTGAAATTGTTATGGAATTATGCTGAACCTTCGCGGCCCTTTAAACACCTCGCATTATCGCATGCCTATTATCTGGCCGGGCCATCATGTACCGTTTTATCCTAAACACGATCTGGGTCAGCCGGTTGCATAAAGTAAAGGATTAGCACTCGGCCACCCGCTCCACTTCCTCAACAATCTCTGCTAGCCTGCCCTCTCCTCTTCCTCAACAATCTCTGCTAGCCTGCCCTCTCCTCTTCCTCAACAATCTCTGCTAGCCTGCCCTCTCCTCTTCCTCAACAATCTCTGCTAGCCTGCCCTCTCCTCTTCCTCAACAATCTCTGCTAGCCTGCCCTCTCCCCTTCCTCAACAAACTCTGCTAGCCTGCGCTCTCCTCTTCCTCAACAAACTCTGCTAGCCTGCCCTCTCCTCTTCCTCAACAATCTCTGCTAGCCTGCCCTCTCCTCTTCCTCAACAATCTCTGCTAGCCTGCCCTCTCCTCTTCCTCAACAATCTCTGCTAGCCTGCCCTCTCCTCTTCCTCAACAATCTCTGCTAGCCTGCCCTCTCCTCTTCCTCAACAATCTCTGCTAGCCTGCCCTCTCCTCTTCCTCAACAATCTCTACTAGCCTGCCCTCTCCCCTTCCTCAACAATCTCTGCTAGCCTGCCCTCTCCTCTTCCTCAACAATCTCTGCTAGCCTGCCCTCTCCTCTTCCTCAACAATCTCTGCTAGCCTGTCCTTCCTGCTCCCCAATTCCATTTCGGGACCCCTTGTTTCGGTGCGTCCTTGGCGTTTTTGTTTCAGCCCCCTGAAATTACATGTGAGTGTGAGTGTGGGGGATGGAATACCCCCCACAAAAAGGCCCCGAAACGGCCCAGAAAGTGCTCGTTATGGTCAACGGCCAGCTGGAGAGACTCCTCCGGCCCATTCCAAGCCAAGGGCGAACGCATTTCCGCGTTTTGTAGTGGAACGGTGGTCAGAAGCTTGGGTTAGAGCGAGGGGGGGAAGGGGAGAGAGAGAGAGAGAGAGAGAGAGAGAGAGAGAGAGAGAGAAAGAGGTCATAGCTCAAAAACCGTCATTTTAGCTTCCCCTTTCTCAAATGGTCTCTGCTAACCCGCCGGATTTTAATGCGTGTTAATTGCCAACTCTCGAGGGCGGAAGTAGTAGCGCGCGGACCGTTAAAGTTGGAAAACTGTCTAGCAGGGGAGGACGTGGGGGAGGGGAGGGGTGCCGAGATGGCAGCTTGGGGCGGCCGGTCCATTTCTTTTGGCGTTCCTCTCGTTTCCAATCTACGAACGGGGAGGGGAGGCAACCTCTTTTTCTTTTGCTGTTCAACTTCGAGTTTGGTGCCAGCCGCTACGAAATATTCCTAAGAACACCGAAAATCGTGATTTGTTGACGACGGGGTGCTATTTTCAAAGAATCTCTACTGGCCTACCAAAAACACAATTTCCTAAAGCAAGTACTGCAAGCCTGCCGCTTGCCGCCATTTCCTAAAGAATCTCTGCTAATCTCTGCTCACGATTTCCTAAAGAATCAATGATGTATATTCTCTTTGTTTTCCTAAAGAATCCCTGCTAGCTTGCCTTGCCCTAAGATTTCCTAAAAATTCTATGTTACCTTCCCGTTCTCTTCGTTTTCCAAAAGACCTCTCCCAGCCTACCCTGTCGATACGGTTTCCCAAAGAATCTCTGCTAGCCTGCCAAGAACACGCTTCCGAACGAATCTCTGCTCGCCTGCCCTTTCGCTTCGTGATGTAGCCCGGTGTGAAAAAGCGGCGGCGAGCAGAGGCCGCTTGCGGAAACCGATACGCCACCCCTGACCCGGAATAAATGACCGCTCCCCAGGAGATTGTTTACAGTCGAAATGTGGCAGCTGCGAGGGGACCCGGCCGGGCCACGCGAAACATGAAGCCCCGCCCCCTGGCCTACTCACAATGCTTTTTTTTGGACGCGGTCAATTTTTGGAATGCTGGAAGTGTTTTTCGGGATGGTGGGCTAGCAGAGAATGTTGAGGAAGAGGGGAGGGCACGCTAGCAGAGATTTTTGAGGAAGAGGAGAGGGCAGGCTAGCAGAGATTTTTGAGGAAGAGGAGAGGGCAGACTAGCAGGGATTGTTGAGGAAGAGGAGAGGGCAGGCTAGCAGAGATTGTTGAGGAAGAGGAGAGGGCAGGCTAGCAGAGATTGTTGAGGAAGAGGAGAGGGCAGGCTAGCAGAGATTGTTGAGGAAGAGGAGAGGGCAGGCTAGCAGAGATTGTTGAGGAAGAGGAGAGGGCAGGCTAGCAGAGATTGTTGAGGAAGAGGAGAGGGCAGGCTAGCAGAGATTGTTGAGGAAGAGGAGAGGGCAGGCTAGCAGAGATTGTTGAGGAAGAGGAGAGGGCAGTCCAGCAGAGATTGTTGAGGAAGACGAGAGGGCAGGCTAGCAGAGATTGTTGAGGAAGAGGAGAGGGCAGGCTAGCAGAGATTGTTGAGGAAGAGGAGAGGGCAGGCTAGCAGAGATTGTTGAGGAAGATCCGGTTTTTGATGTTATTTTCCTTTCCTTTGTTCAAAATTCTCTAAAAACCTGTATTCCCTTCAGCGAAACGCGCTCGTTCAAATTGAGCGCTTCTCGGCGCGATGGTGCGTGCGGGGGCGTGGGTGGCGGGCGCGGGCGGTGCCCTCTTTGCTGCCCTCTACCTCATCGCCGCCATCCTGCAGCAACCGCTTGGCGACCATCGCATCGAGCAGACCACGAAGGACACGATTCCGCTACACTACACAGGTAGGTGATCTCGCTCAAAAAAATGCCCCTGTATGGCTTCAGGTGGTGGTTCAGACCAATCCCCCGGCCGCCCTCAACAGTTCTCCACCCTCACGAAGGAGGACATATTTTCGCAATGCCGGCTAACCATTCACGACCCCTATTCCGCGGCCATAAACCGGACGATAGAGTGGCGGGATCCGTTGGCTGGATGCCAAAAAGGATATGTGAGTTCATAGCCAGAGAGAGTGAGCATGAGTCCTTTTTTAAAGGAGCCCGCTACCCAGCTGGTCGACGGCAAGATATCCATCGCGCCTAGGTGGACCGACAAAATTGGGCACTGCAGGGCTAGGTGGAAATACGTCTGTTATAAAACCTCTTCTTAGGTGCCACCAGTACGCATCTGTACGCAAGTACAGTCCGGGGCCCTGGGTCGAGTTGGGCCCTAACGATCGGGTCCCAATGGAGTGCGACTTTGTCTATGCGGAATGTTTGGGGCTTGGTGGCCATATCGTTGATCAGTACATTCACTCGCAAATTGTGGAAACGGAGAAACGGTGGGTGCTTAAACGCTCTCTGCTAGCCTGCCCTCTCCTCTTCCTCAACAATCTCTGCTAGCCTGCCCTCTCCTCTTCCTCAACAATCTCTGCTAGCCTGCCCTCTCCTCTTCCTCAACGATATTTGCTAGCCTGCCCTTTCCTCTTCCTCAACAATCTCTGCTAGCCTGCCCTCTCCTCTTCCTCAACAATCTCTGCTAGCCTGCCCTCTCCTCTTCCTCAACAATCTTTGCTAGCCTGCCCTCTCCTCTTCCTCATCAATCGCTGCTAGCCTGCCCTCTCCTCTTCCTCAACAATCTCTGCTAGCCTGCCCTCTCCTCTTCCTCAACAATCTCTGCTAGCCTGCCCCTTTAGCACCTATTCCTCATCCGACTTTGAACTTCCGCGCGAAGACTTTGGCCCGCTGCCAAATGTCCATATTTTCCTGATCGACTCTGTATCGTCAACTCAGGCTAGAAGGTTGGTTTTAATGGCGTTAGGACGCTTTCTGAGATCTTCAAAACTCGCCATCTCCACCTCAATGTTCCAGATTCCTCCCAAAAACCCTCGATTTTCTGGAGCACCAGATGGACGGCGTCCAGTTCCACCACCTGAACAAGGTGGGGGACAACAGCCGTCCCAACGGCTATGCACTGTTTATGGGTAATATTTTGTCACGGGTAGCCTGGCAGCGATGCTTTGCCGAGATAAAAAGTGACCGATCGAACTTTAGGCAAGCGGGTGTACGAGGTCGAGCGCGAGGCGCTAGGTGGGGAGGATTTGAAGCCTGAGATGTCGTACAAGCAGCATTGCCATGAGTATCGCGATGAGGACGCCGTCATCTTCAAGCTGTACGAGAAAATGGGTAGGCCACAGAGTACAAAGCTAGAGAGTAATCAATATAGGCTATAAAACGCTCTACAACGAGGAGTATCTGACGGGCGATATGTGGAGTTGGCCGGCGACTTGCCGAGGATTTGAAAAGCAGCCGACAACGCATTGCTATCGGTGAGGGGGGCTAGCAGAGATTGTTGAGGAAGAGGAGAGGGCAGGCTAGCAGATATTGTTGAGGAAGAGAAAAGGGCGGGCTAGCAGAGATTGTTGGGGAAGAGGAGAGGGCAGGCTAGCAGAGATTGTTGAGGAAGAGGAGAGGGCAGGCTAGCAGAGATTGTTGAGGAAGAGAAAAGGGCGGGCTAGCAGAGGTTGTTGTGGAAGAGGAGAGGGCAGGCTAGCAGAGATTGTTGAGAAAGAGGAGAGGGCAGGTTAGCAGAGATTGTTGAGGAAGGATCGGTTCTTTCCAGGCCGATTCCAGCCACGCTGCTCGCTAACCAAAAGCTGCGAAGAGGGCTACCCCGGAAATGCATCGAACAGCACCACCTGCAATACAAATACCATCAGCAATTCCTCGAGGCGTATCAGGGTATTTTTTCTAAGGATCCAATTGTTCTGATACAAATAGAGGTGTTTCTAACCTATTTTTACTATTCCTAAACATGGAAACTTCCAGAATTTTGATCATAAAGCCAAAAAATAGCGATTTTTCGACAAAAATGCCCGAATTTTGGATCAAGGTTTGAACTAAAAAAATTTCCAAGTTTTGGTTCTTTTATAATTAAAATGCACTTCAGTTTTAGTAAAAACCCTAAAAAAAATTACTATTACCTTACTAACAAGGGAACCACCTAAGGTCAAGGTGGCGTTTCGTTATGGGACCCAGCCTATTTTGTGTAGAATTTTTTGCTGATTCCGAACCCGCTTTCAATTTTTGCTAAATAGCCCAATTTAAAAAGTTATAGCGATTTTAAGGTCAAACCAGGGTTGAAAAGCCGCTTCGCGTCTTTTCAACCCTGGCCGCCGTCTAGCGTCATAATATGCTTCATTTTGCATAATTTTCGCGAATTGCGTTGACAAAAAAATGAAAATCTCTCCCTCCGCCCATTATATAGGCTTGCGCCATTTCCGGCATATGCTAATTGATTCCTAACAAAGTGGGTGCTCCATTTTCTAACAAAAACTTAATTTTAACGTTGAAAATCGCATAATTTGCAAAATCTGTTGTGTGTGCAGTCATCTCAGCGCCATTACGCACCTAATGACGTATCATACATATCCTAATACCCGTCCCTTCTTGAGATATCCTCCGGACACCCTGACGGAAGTTGCATGCAAAGTGGCACACACACACAAACACACAGACACTATTTTTTTATATATAGTAGGATCTGTGCCCGCGGGAAGTCATCGGTCACGATGCCCAACTTTTTTATTTTAATAGGGCAGTCGATTTTTAATAGCCTATCTTGTAGAGAATTTTTTTCTGATTCGATTGGTATATTTCATTAGTGCGCTACGACCTATCGACGATCACTTACGGGGGTGTGAAATAGGCAATTTTTCACCATTTTCCATACAAAAAACAAAGTCCATATCGTCGATTTTTTCAATTTTCAACAATTTTTAGTTAAATAGTTCATTCGATAGAGAAAAATTTTCTGAATACGATGGCGATATTCGTTTTTGAGGAATCAGACGGGAAAGGCAAGATAAATGACTTTGAAGTTCGAAAATTTGTGAAAAAATGGAACTTTGAAACGCTATAACTTTTTAAATTGGGTTATTTAGCAAAAAATAAAAGCGGATTCGAAATCAGCAAAAAATTCTGCAGAAAATAAGCTGGGTCCCATAACGAAACGCCACCTTGACCTTAGGTGGTTCCCTTGTAAGCTTCCTGGACGTATGGACAAAAGTTGGGCAAAAACCTGTCTAGGCCGCCCAAAATTCGGCATCACGTGGACCGGCGGGCTGGCGCACAACGACCCGAATCAACTCTGGCACACGGACACGTTTTTTGAGGTAACTAAAAAGCCTAAAAATCACCATGTTGCTTCAGGATTTTTTCCGGCGCAACGAAAAGCTGCTCGCCGACGCGTTCGTCTTTTTCATGGGCGACCACGGGCCGCGGATCGGGCAGGCGAGTAAAAAATTACGAAAAAAAAACTGGGATTCGGACGAATCCGGAAATTACCAAACCCCCCTTCTGGTGTTGGTCCTTGGCCGATCCAAAAAAGACAATTTATTTCAAAGCAAAGGATACACCTCGTACCGAAGAAAAAGAAAATTCAGATCACAGAACTCTGATGATCCGCAAAAAAAAGGAAAACCAAATAATGTACAGCAAAAGAAAAACGAATCAGAAACAAAATATAAAAGCTAAGAAAATTCTTTTTTTAAAAATCATTTGGCGTCAAACCACGCCGACACCGAGATGGACGTGTTCAGCGCCTTGACAAAGTGCCAAAATTGGCTGGGGATCAGCAGGGCGTCGCCGGGGTGCAACTAAAACGCGACTAATTACGATTTGCTAGCAAATCTCGAAAATCATAATGTCGAAATTTCATAATGCCGAAAAATTTTCCAATATAATGGGGGTTTTCCGTAATGTTGAGATTATGAAATTTCGTCAATATGCATTTCGACATCCTGAATTTCGAAATTTTGAAATTAACCCAATACTTACCACCACATCCACCGTATGCACCTGGGCAACGCTCGGGAACCGCTCGACGTCCCCGTCCGGGTGTTGCATGTTGATCTGAACAACGATGCTCGGTTCTTTCGCATTATCGGGGGGGGGAGGGGGAAATAACTTTTTCTGAGGAACCAAATGATTTAAATACAGGTTCTAAACTTATTACAACCACTAAATGTAAAAACTTCACGAGTTTCCAAGAAAAAAAGGCAAAAAATATCGATTTTTGGCCCAAAAATGGCCGATTTTCCGCAAAATTTTCACAAAACAATTACGAAATTACGAAAGTACCTGATTCCCATAGGCTAACCTGCTCAAGAAATCTGCAAGAATCTCTGCTAGCCGCCTCTAGCCGCCTTAGATCTCAAGCAAAACTCACCTGGCTCGTGTTTTTCAGCAAATCCTCCCTCGGGCACAGCTTCTCGCTGTCGGAGGGGTGGGCGAGGCGCACGAATTTCGAGCCGTAAATCTAGACAAATATTAGTTTTTCAAGGGGCTCACCTGCACAAAGAAATTCTCCCTTGGGTCAAAGTGCATCGACGAGACGGTGCCGCCAGGGCCAAACCACATATTCCAATCAACATGGGCGCCGATTTGCTCAACCTTAAAGGATGTATATGTGGTGCTTTTGCATTATCGGGGGGGGAGGGCGCAACGTACCCTCCAGGATCAAATTCTTTGTAAAATAAATTGATCCATGTCTCCAAATGGTTTTTTGACTATCCCGACACGTCCAAACCTGTCAAATTTTTATGAAAAACCAGGGTTGAAAAGCCGCTACGCGGCTTTTCACCCCTGGCCTTTGCGCGGAGATCTTTCGAGGCTGGGCACTTTCCATAATTCTAGCGAGTTAGCGCCAACCTCTCCACCCTAATAATTACAAAAGCGACCGACTGAGAGCGTGACAAAATCCGAAATGAGCTTCCTAACGCCTCTTATGCAAATGAGGTTATTTCCATATGTTTTTAAATCGTTAAAATAAGGTATAAATCGTCATTTTATTAAAATTCTGATAAGCTTGCAGTAATCTACGCCTTCGACTACCCCGAAATACTTTTCGACCCGATCCTAAAATTCTTCCCCCTTCCCGATATCTTGGTAACCCGGTTTGTTCGAGCCATTTATGGAAAGTGTCCACACACAAACACACAAACACTATTTTTTTATATATAGTAGGATACAAAAAAAAATAAGATTTTTCCTCAAAAATTGAAGTTAAACGAATTTTTTGGCTTTGTCTACTTCGAATATCGTCCCATTTTTACTAATATGACGCTTTGGTCCTCGCTTTCTAGCCGGCTTAAAATTCCAATCCTGGCAATATTTAAATGAAGAAAACAACAAACCTGATGGGGCTCGATCTCGTCGAGCAGCTCGGGGATCTGGTCGAAAAGCCGGTGTTGCGCCAGGTAGCCGGGCGATTCGGAATCCTGAGAAGACAAATTTTTCAAACCACTGCACCAAAAGCAGTACCTGCTTCACCAAAAAGTCCCTCAAGAATTCGTTGATCGTCATGAGCTTCTGGTTCCAGTCGTCGCCGTCGTAGCGACTGCCAATCTAACAAGGAGACCTTTTTATGCGCCCACAGGGTTTCAAAATCGGACCAAGTCTATTTTATGCAGAATTACGTTACGTTTCAGAATCTGCGAAACGATCAAAATGGAAAAGTCACGAAACGTTCGAAAAATTCTGAAAATTTGCGGCGGAAAATTTACTTGGGCGTAACTTCTCTGCTTTCATCATTTCGTAGATTCTGAGAACTACGTCTTGATCAGCAAAAGAAATTCTGCATACTTAATACCATTTCGATCGAAACCCCGTGGACACCCAAAAACGTCTCGCTTGGAATTTTAAGCCATACCTCAACCGGCACCGTCCGGCCCCCAGCCACATTGCTCAAGTATTCGGGGCTGAAAAACAATGAATTAAAATATCTGATTGTCCCAACCTCCATTTCTCCGAGGCCGGCCAGCCCGCCGCAAACCCTCGCACCACGCACGGCATCCCGGACTCGATTTTCTCGGCGATCCGCTCGGCGTCAAAATGCTGAAAGTCCAGTATCCCGTGCAGAAATTTCCGCTGATTCCAAATCTGTTTTCAAAAATTGCCGAACAGCCGTATTTCAAAAGCTACAGCGCTTGGGAACGTGTTTTTGGGCGAAAAAGTGCAACATTCAGCCCTCTAAAAATCGCAGGAACGATAATCGGCAAAAGTTATGCGCCGCATCTTGCCGGTCACGATTTTTCATAGCGTTTGAGAGTTTTCAGATGCAAAAAAAATTACAGAATAAAGAAGAAATTTCGAAAATATTTGAGTTTTTGTTCAAAAATTTATCAAAGTGGCGAAAAAACGGCCTAAATCTCGAATTTTCAACATTAAAAAAAATACTTTTTTAACTTTCTGGCAATCCCGCCGGTTTTCCCTCTGCTACCCCCCCACGCTAACAGTCCAGAACCCGAAAAACACCAACCTCATACTCCGCCAGCTCCCACCAGGGCTGGGGCACGATTCTCCGGGGCGGTGGACTGAGGTACGTGTGGGAAGCGATGGCCTAAAACAGCGTAAATAATCTATAACAAATGAGTAAATCTCAAAAATAAAGCCCGAACCAACATGAAAATCGATGGCCGGCGTCGGGGTGGCTTTTTGGAGGCCCGTGGCGAAATGCTTGATGAAAAGCCCGTCGCGCGGCAAATTCTCAGGTCTTCCCATGATCAGCGCCTCATCGACAGCGCGGAGCGCACGCTAATGCAAAGTAGGAGTAGTTGATTTGTGTAACTTACCGACACGTCGCCTTGCAGATATACGGTCAGGAGCGCTTGCGCAAATTTGGCCACCGTAAAAAAAGTGCGCCAATATTCCGGAATGTCAGCGTAGATGCCTAAAAATTGAAATGGGCGTAGCAAAGTAAAGGGCAAGCTAGCAGCGAAAACTTAGGAAAGATAACCGCGCATAGGTTCTTTCGCATTATGGGGGGGGGCAACTGTTTCTTAGGGTTCCTTTTCAAATATTAATAGCGGAAGTGTTTCTAAATGGTTTTTTATTATTCTTAAGCGTGCAAACTATACAAAATTTTATTAAAAATGTCACAAATATCGACTTTTCTTGCAAAAATTGGCCGATTTTAACCAAAATTTCGACTTTTAGATAGTTGTTCTACTTTAAATATAGTTATTTTCGCCTAAAAACACTCTCAAAACCATTGCTATTAAGTTATTAGAGATTTCTAGGCTTATACAAAAGTTCGGCTTCCGCCCCCCCTCCCCCCCTCCCCCCGATAATGCTAAAGAACTAATAAATCGCGCTTACCAATATTCAGTCGATCCCTGCCCACTTGCACCAATTTATCGAGCACTTCTTTCACTTCCAAGGGACTCGTTTTGTCAGCTTCCGGTCGACCAATCGCTTCCGGCCAAATTTTAATCCTAAATACTGTTTCGTAAAAATGTCTCCTTCGCCACATACTTGCTCAAAATCAGCGCCTGCAATTTCCACGCCGCTTCTTTCAGGCTTTTCCGGTGCGCACCGCATTCGAAGGGGACCAGCGCAGCCAAAGCAGCCGGGTAGACGAAGTGGGGCTCGTTCTAAGCAACGAGTATCCACCGAAATAGGCCGAACAACTACCAACAAAGATAGAATGTGCGCTTGCGTTTCCACATCATAGCAATCACCATCGTATTCGGGTGCATGGCCAGCAAAGTCGATGGCTAGACAAAAAAAAAACTCTTAAATGCTCCTCGTTACGCCCCTGCTACTGGGCAAAATGTGGGGAAAACAATCGTCCGGTGCGGGATCGACACGGCCCGCAATTTCTCGTCGAAGACTGGGGAGACTGAGAAAAAGCCGAGACGCTCGTAGAACCCCATTTTCTAAAAAGATCATTTGAGAATTTAACAAAAAAAACAAGGTTCTTTGCCATCGTCGGGAAGTCCAAAAAAAAATTTATGTCTAGAAATGAAACTTCAAGGGAGTGGTTTAATGGTGTTTTCATTAATATACAACTATATTTCAACTAAAAAAACCACATGAAAACGCTAAAAAAATGTTTTTTAAAACGTCGAATCGGTCAAAAATCGGTCAGTTCGGTCGAAAAATCCATATTTTTGATATTATTGACAAGAATTTCAAAAGTTTTGACATTTAGGAATAGCAAAAACCGTTTAAAAACACTTTCACTCCCCCCCCCCTGATAATGCGAAAGAACCAAACATACCTGAACTTGAGCATGGGCGACCATAATTCTTTCCGGAAACTTCTTAAAATAGTACTTGAGCGCTTCGATGACAATCAGCTCGCCGAGGCCTCGCCCTTGCCAATTCTATAGCTCAAGGAATAAAAATAAAGCCCAAGCCGATACCTCGCGTAGGGCTACCCGTTCCAACTTCAAATAGCTGCCGACCGGACGCAGCCGTACGGTGCCGATCACTAAAATATTCACTACACTAAAAATTCGTGCTTGCATGAATCTCTTTAGAGCTGCACGCCAAAATCCAAACCTTTTTCGACTGTTTTTTCGGGGCTCCCCTCGAATTCCACCAAAACCATGTGAAAAGTGGACAGATCGTCAAAGTCGTGCTCGTCCACCTCTTCGTCTGCCGTCACGCCCTGGCCCTCGTATACCTAAAAAAGATTATTTTGCATTACCTAGACCGGCTTTTTTCATGGGATCCAACGCTATTAAAACACTTTCTATTAAGCTACTATACATTTCTAGACTTCTACAACACATTTTCTCCCCCCTCCCCCGATTATACAAAAGAATCCTAAAGGACAAAATTTCGCCAACCTCGAGCCGTGTCCGTAGATAGTCATCCCAATGCTTGTGGCTTCTCTTGATTTGTACAACTTCGTAGCGGGTCGCCGATATCAGAACAGTGTTGCTCATCAATTTCCTGAAAAAGAATATATATTGTCTTGCCAGGTCTTCGTGAGAACGGCACGAGGAAGAACAAAAACAACATCTTTACAACGAAGTTCGCGGGTAGCCCGCGTTTACGCAATGTTTTTGCCTAGCGGGCTCGCGAAAAATGGGCCCAAAAAGAAAAGGGAGCTGCTCAAAAGCCCGAAAAACCGCGAAAAAGGAAGTAATGTAACGAAAAACCAAAAAATGCGGGGTTTTTTTCAGTCTGTTCACACGAGCCTCGGTGCCATGGAGCTGAAAAATCCATTCTTGATGCTAACGGTTCCGGAGCGGCTTCGTGCAAACAAAGAGGTGAGAAAAAGAGGATCTTTTAGAAGGAAAAATCTACATTTTAGCTCATCGAAAACCTGAAAGTCAACGCACAGCACCTGATCACCCATTTCGACCTCCACGCGACCCTACTGCATATTTTGGAGGTATTGGCTCATCGCCCTTGCGCTTCGCGGGCTTCCTAATAGCAAAAAAGATGTTAGAAATGCTTCTAGGATCCCGAAAACTTCGTCGCCAAACCAGTGGTCGACCCGAATAACGCGACCTCGATTCTACGGCCGCTGGGCCCAGCCGAGAATAGGTAGATTGGCCATGTAGGACACGAAAATGCGTTCTGTTGAAATATCATTATTCCGCAATTTCTCAAAAAAAAAGCAGATTTGGAATCAGCGTAAAATTCTGCAAAAGGTGGTTTAATGTTAGGTCGTGCCGTGATATACCAGTGCCGGCCAGCTATTGCCTCTGCGAATTCGATAAGGAGCCTCTCAGGTCAGTGGAACAAGACAACACCCCCCTCTTTGCATCAGAATTAGTACGGAGGCAGACGAGAAGCTGGCATATCCCGAAAATGTAACCCTTTACAGCCCCGACAACTACCGGGAAATGGCCGACTATGCGGTGCGCGAAATCAACCGCAAGCTTGCCGACGAGCGGCTCGCCGGGGTGTGCGCCAACCTGACGCTTGGCTCGGTAAGCGAAAATTCATTGTATAAAAATACACTTGAGCGCAGGTCATTTCCGTCGAAGCGTACACCCCGGAAATGGTGACAAAACTGTACGAGATCACGTTTGACGTACATCAGAATCGCGCAAGATTTCGAGCCGTAAGTGTACCGACAGCGCGCAGATCAGCAATTTACAGACGATCCGTGGCGATGTCATGGTACCATCTACTTTCGAGCTAACCGGTGGCGTCGATCGCATAAACGAATACGGGAAGACGGCCGATTGTATTGCCGACCAAAAACCACAAATGAGTCCTTATTGCTACTGCACGGGTGCTAAACTATAAAGCTATTTTTGGGTAACATTACTTGCTCAATTTACAGTCACTACGCTTTCACTGTCACGCCTTATCATCTCAAAAATTCAACCGGAAACGGGGCGTTGAATGCAAGCGGAATTTATTTATTGAATGCATTGACAAATTTATCTCCTGAACTCAAATAAAATCAATCGGCAAGACATTTGAATCAATAAATGTGAAATGTTACAGATGAGGATTCGAGATGGACAACTGCTGCTCGGCCTTCTAAACAAAAAGGTTCGGCGAGCGAGAAAACGGCTACCTTAACCAGTTGACGGGTGACGGTCTGGCCCTTCTTTAGCTCCTTGATGCGGCGCCGGATGTCAATCAACGGGTCGCGATCGGTGTCGGTGCGCGGCTCAGAGAGCTAGAAAAATGCTTGGCGATCGTGTCGTAGACAAACCAATTGCTGTAAGTTCGAGTTATCGCGTGGCGGGGGAAGTTCAGCGGCAATAATGACGGCGTTCTCTTTGTCTTGTCGCGTAGCATCGTCCGGATACTCCATCTGATCAAGCTAAACTAAATGATGATAAAAAAAATTAGGGATACCAGAGGTTCTTCCTTCGCCGAGGTCTCAGCAACCACATCGACAGGTGTGATGGGCTGGCTATCGTTTGGCTTGCCGGCGTCCTCGCCACTTGACGGCTGCTCATTTTCCTATAGCATACAGATGTTAAAAATAGGACAGTAACAAACCAGTTGCATGTAGGGTTGCTGCTCCTCTGCTTGCTGCTCATCAGCGGGGGAGCGTGGAGACATCGGACGAGAGGCCGGCTCGTCCACATCCGATTCCTAAACGACAATGAAAATTTCCCACAATCCCGTACCAGATCCAGCTTGGTGTAGAATTCGCCTCGGCGTCGTGGAGTACCTTCTAGCTGCGGGGAGACGGTGAATTTCGAAGACATCTGGAAAAAGGTGAGTTTTTTAAAGGCCGTCCCATACCGGAGTTTTTACCAGCGACCGTTCGATCAATCTAGCCGTGTTCGTAGACACCCTCACAGGCGATACTTTCGAAGTGACGACGGACGGGGTTCCTTCCAGGTGCGAGGTCTAAAAAAGGGTATGCAGAAGCCTTACGAAAATTACCTGGTCGACCAGAATAGTGAACGTGGCCCCGAAGCTTTCAACCCGTATCTCCGATGTGGTGGTTTGGTTAGCCGGGGAGCGCGCGTTATTCTTTGGGCTCATCGCCGTATGATCCGAGCCCTTGCGGTTATTGGAGACGTCCGACGAAGCGGCGCTTTCCTTCCCGTCCATCGTAGCATCGAGCGCCTCGGGCAAGGTAGCGTTTTCCTTACTTGCCTCCTCATCAACGAGGGTTTCCTCGAGAGCGCTTGATCCATCCAACGAAATGCTGCCTTCCATTGCGGGCAACGGCGCATCCAGCTTCGTGAAAGTTGCATTTTCTTTATTGGACTCCTGGTCCACGAGAGCTTCTGGCAGGGGCACGGAACCATGAAGCAAGTTGCTGTTGTCCTCGGCAAGCTTTTCTTCGACAGTCTCCGGGTTTTCCTGGCCGGCCTCTCCATCTAGGGGAGCTTTCGCCATAGTGCTGGCTTCCGATAAACTGCTGGTGTCCTTGCTCGGATTCGTGTCGTCGAGGGCGTCCGGCATCGACAAGTTTTCCTTGTTTGCCTCCAGGTGTACGGGAGCCGCTTGCTGCACGAAAGTGTTTTCGTTGTTGTCCTCCGGCTCTTCAAACACGTCGGATAAGGCCTTCTGTTCTTGGTGCCCCTCAGCAATGGCAACTTCGTCGAAAGAGCTCGTGCTCTCGTCGTCTGCTTCCGGTTCAGTAGACGCGGGTCGATCTTCTTGCGGGACGTTGAGAATCGTGCGATCATCATGGCATTCCTTGAGACGTTCGAAAAGCATCGCCACGAAAAGCGATGTGGTCCGATCATCGTCTTCCATACAGGCGGGCATGTCAAAATATTCGTGTGCCTAAATTTTGATGTATCAATAACTAAATAAAATTACGGCGCTCGAAATCTTATCCCATGTGGTAGCCCCTGGGAAGTCGTCGATGGCCGGTCGATAGTCCATGCAGCGATTCCAAATCTCAACGAGGGCTGAACCATCGCGAATTGCCCTGTAGCACTTGACCTGAAAGAAAAAGTAGCCTGATGCGACCGAAATAGAAAGCTTACCTCGACACCAAATTCCGCACCAAATTGACGACAGCGGTGCAGCAGGTCGTCGCGAACGTCTTGATCCGTCTCGGCGGGGCTGCCCACATCGATTGCACGAGGGTGAGATGTAGTCGCGCGCGAGGCTGCCATGTAGTAACCGACGAGACGCCAGAGGAGCTCGAGGATACTCGGACGATCGAGCCCGACTATCTTCGACGCCGTCAGCGCTGAAAGTGACGATTACTATCAGGTTGGAAAGAAAAGTAATGGCACAAAATCTTTAAACCGCTGTAAAAACCCGCAGGAACGTCCGATTTGAAAGTTTGATATATGGTTTGGTAGATCTTCAGACGCTCTATCACGAGACAACCCTTAAAGCACCCAAAAACTGAGGTACGCGAAGATACGGGCCTCAGAAGTTTCACAGAAAATTAGGTGCAAGCTTCCAAGCAAGATATCTTTGCATACCGGCATTTGCCTACGATACTTTTAACACCAATCGATAGCCCTCGAGGAGTAGATATCGATAAATCTTGAGATCATCAAAATCGGACACTGGATGGCCGAGATATGGGCCCTCCAAGATCAATGCATGTCCTGGATTTTGGTTCGGGAGCTGAAGCAAACGCTGCAGTTTTTGGCTCGCGGAAGCCTAAATGTATGGGAAATCGAGAAAAGTTCTAAGAAGTGGACCAAATTTCAAGGGCCCATATCTCGGCCATCCAGTGTCCAATTTTGATGATCTCAAGATTTATCGATATCTACTCCTCGAGGGCTATCGATTGGTGTTAAAAGTATCGTAGGCAAATGCCGGTATGCAAAGATATCTTGCTTGGAAGCTTGCACCTAATTTTCTGTGAAACTTTCTGAGGCCCGTATCTTCGCGTACCTCAGTTTTTGGGTGCTTTAAGGGTTGTCTCGTGATAGAGCGTCTGAAGATCTACCAAACCATATATCAAACTTTCAAATCGGACGTTCCTGCGGGTTTTTACAGCGGTTTAAAGATTTTGTGCCATTACTTTCTTTCCAACCTGATAGAATACAATAGGTGCCAACCTCCAATGTCCCTTTCGTGATCCTTGAGCGCATTCAAAAGCGCGCTGACATTGCCAATCTTACGCAGGCGGTCGCCACACGGGTTCCGCAGTTTACACATCAGTGTATTTGGCTCCATGCCCAAGATGTACTCGACAAGGCGACTAAATTAATGCTTAACAAAAACGTTGACGGCACGTACCCAAGCAAGACTCCATCGCCAAGATCTTCGAAGCTGGTGACGAGAGGGCGGTAGGACTCATAAAACCTAAAGAAGAAATTCTTTAGAAAAATATTCTTACGGTTGGATGAAGGTAAAATCGAAGCCAGCCTTCTTGAGCACCTTTTGCAGCGGCGTCGAAGCGAGGAAAAGGCGAGAGCACTCCGAAAACACATCGGGGAGACTCTTAAAAAAGACCGTTGATAGCCGATCTTAGCAAAAGTCTTACCTTGTACTTGGAGGTCCTAACGAATATTCCCGGGCTGCGGGCGATGATATTGGCCTTCTTGGCTTCTTCCACAAATGCGAAGAAAGAGAGCAGCTTCCGCAACAGGTGGTCGTGGAGCGCCCTTGTGCCCTCTGGGGTCGTCAACCGGATGCTGAAAATGGGAAATCTCGTCAAATAGCCAAAAGCTTACTTTCCGCCGCCACCTTGTGTGTTCCTTTTCGGTTTCAATAGCGACTCGGAGATGAAGAGATTTTCCATGCAGAAGTGGGTAAATTTCTATTGAAAAGCACATAGATATGATATTCGGAGTCGTACCTGCTTGAAGCTGTCGTTCTTGTTCAGCTGAATCTGCTGCTGAAAGACGACGGCGAAACCGAGGTGCAGCCAGAGCGGTTGGAAGGAGAAGAGGATTTGCATGATGTTGTACTGCATGTTGACGTCAAGGAACAGCTTCAAATCGCCGCGCACGTGCGTTTCGCCCTGAGAGACGATCTGCTTGATTCTGTCCTTGATCTCGAGCTCATCGAAGAACAGTTGGCTTCTAAAAGAAACTCATAGAAAAAATTCGGAGTCTCTAAAACAAACTTCTTTCTGTACTTTTCCTGCTGCCGCTGTGCCCAGTCGATGTACTTTGGCCTGACGCTATGGGCTTCGACCTTCTTGGAACGGCCCTGTTTGAGCATCCTCAGAAGTTCCTTGTTGGCGGATTCCGTGCCAGCTTCGTGGTCCTCCTCCTCCATAAGTCCGCTTCTGAGCAAGGAATTGGCCCAACCGGAGATGGCTTTGAAGTGGCGCTTCATCTAAATAAGCGAATACATCAATTAGTCGGTGGTCTATGGCACCGGTTCCGCCAATGACCAAAACCCCAACAATATAAGAACAAGTCAAAATGCTACCGTCTGTTCCGGTGTCAAATATTCCGGCGATTTCTGCCGCGGCGTGGCTTGTATCTTGTGCTGGGGCAGGCTAGGCGTCTTGAAGTCGGCGTCGTTGAAACGGCGCTGTTGCGGGGCACGTGCAAATGGAGTAGACGAATCTAAACAAAAATTATGGTTCAAATATGCTTCTTACTTGGGCCCGTTCCATGCATTGCAACAATCGAGGGCCTTGGCGAGCCGATGCTTGAGAAGTCTCCAAAGTTCTCCATCATGCCCGACGGGCCCTGGCCGTCAACGCCTTGGCGGAAGCTCTGCTCGATGGCCTCGAAATCGGGGCCAAGTTTGACCTCGCGAGCACGTTGTTCTGCACAGCAAAATGAAATCAGTGAGAAAGAAAGCATACCGCGTTTCTCCTTCAGCGCGCGCTGTCGAGCTTCCATCTTTTCTAGGATGGTTCGTTTCTTCTCCTCGCCATCTTCCATTGTCGAAGCTTACCGTCTGGAATCGGGAATTTGAAATAGGAGGCCGAGAAAATTGAAAGCGGTGCCTTGGCGCGCATTTCCCTTTCCAGCCGTAAGCCGTCTCCCGGCTGGGGGAAAGGGAAAGGCAAAGCCAAAGCAGGGGAGAAAACGTCGAAGAAAACGAAGTAGGAATTAGAATATCTTAATAACTTTTTTTTAATAAAATAAAACGATATTTCAACTGGAACTGCTTCAAAAAATTCCAAGCCAAAATTTACGTAAAAACGGCCATTGTTGGTCCAAAAAATCTAATTGTTGCTGCATTTTTGATGCAGATGTAATGTTTATGCGTTTGGGAACAGTAAAAAAAAGTAAATTCAAACCCTAAAAGAAAAAAATGCCCTCTCCGATAATGCTAAAAACCAAGGGATGAAAATCGTGTGGCGAATACCCCGTCGCTGCGCGTACTGGCGCGTAGTACCGTAGCTAGCCGTTGCTTCGCGTAGCAATTGGTTTTTGGTTTCTTAGAAAACTGCAATTATCATCAAAAAAGCTTTGAATAGCCTCAGTCTCTGAATTTGCGAGCGAATTTGCCTTGAAATGTGCGGAGCGGCGTCAGAGACATCAACCTGCCACCGCCTACATGGCAGCGGGTGGTTTGGAAGAGCTCGACTACTATCACGGCTTACTGCCCAGGTTTTTTCTCTGAATTATGATGTTTATCGGGGGTCTATTTTAGAGAAGACTTGCCGGTGCTGCTCAGCAAGGAGGGCGACTATCTGTTGCGATGTTCGCAAGTCAAGGCGGGCGAGGATCGCCGCACAATCCTTTCGATGGCTTACTCGGTTGATGGGAAAATTAAGGTAATTTTTTTATTAACGGGAACTTCGAAAATAAAAATGAGATCACAACATTGCGTGGAATCTTTCGCTGATTCGAAATCCTTCTTGAATTTCCCCAAAAGTCATCGTTTTTCAGTTTTCAGAAATTCCGAGCTTAGAAATTTTCTGATGTCATCAGAAAAATAGTAGACTGTCATATTGTTATATTATTTTTGGTGACTTTGACGATATTTAAGGTAGGTATACTTTCAGGCAAGTCGGAAAAGTGTTTGAAAAATTGCAAAGTTGGTGATTTTGGCTCGAAAAGTTAATTATTAATTGAAATTTGTAAAGTTTTTATGATTAAAAGTAGGTAAAATGAAGGTAGAAGTGCAGCCGCTATCATTAAAAATCTAGGCCTGCGCCGAAAAAAAATTGGTTCCCCCCTACCCCCGTGAATCCTACAGAACCAACATTTGTAACGTTTTTTGAGTTTAGGAATAGAAAAAAGTTTAGAAACACTTCCTGTATTTATATTAGGAAAATTGGAGCATTAGAAGAAAAGTTGAAAGCGCATCTTTGCAGCAAGGCCACTACATCATCACACAAGAAAGGGAGCCCCCGAATCACTACACGATCGACAAGACCCTCTCAAAGCCCACCGTCGATCTCCTTGTCCAAGAGTACAAGACGCGACGAGTGCCACTCAAGAAAGAGGTGCCGAGCACCGTGCTCCAGAATGCCGTTACTCGTCCGTCATGGGAGCTTCGTGCCGACTTTGTGCACACTGGCAAGAAATTGGGTGATGGTGTGTTGTGTCTTTTCTATTGGAAGATATTTCTTACTTCAGGCGAATTCGGCGATGTACATCAGGGCAAGCTGAAGCAGCTGATGGGCCCTGGATTGCCGTCCAAGGAAATCGATGTGGCCATCAAAGTGGCACGGAAGGACATTATTTCCAAGGAAAAGGTAAAGCATGCCTAGGTTTACTTTACCCCCCTCCCCCCCAGCCGGAAGTTTTTGGCTATAACTTTTTTATTTTACATTATTGTAGGCTCAAATTAAAACTCTTAGTATATTTTTCGACGCTCTATCGAATGGCGTTGCAAAAATCCCAACAAAATAAGTGAAAATACCGAAAACTTTGAGACCCTTCGGCTGTGGTGGGGGGTAAAGTAAACTCTTACCACTTCATAGAACTTTTTTAATAATGTTTTTAGCAAAAAATAACGATATTTCAACTAGAAAAACGATCTACAAATAGTTCGAAAAAGTCTAAACTTTTGTCAACAAGCAGCAATAATGTTGGTCGAAAAATCGATGTTTTATTTATTTAATTTTTTTCATAAAAATTGTCAGGTTTTGACGTTTGGCAATAATGGATATTTATACTTCAATTTTTACTTATTTTACTAGTTTATTTTTCAATTTTTACGCATTTTAAGAGATGACTTTTCGATGCTCTCAAAGTGCAATTTCAGATCAAAGAAGTGATGAAAGAGGCTCGTCTCATGCGCGACTTTGACCACCCCAACGTCGTGAAGATCTACGGAGTGGTGGTGGAACGAGACCCGCTGATGATCGTCATGGAGCTAGTTGACGGAGGCGGTCTCGACAAATACCTTCGAACGAACGCGGCACGGATAACGCCAGCTGAGCGGTTGTGTATCATCCAGGTCGCGGATCTGCTTGCCTCCAAAAAAAGCTTCTTCCGGTTTTAGGACGCCGCCTGGGGCATTGAATACCTTCACCACAAGCGCATCATTCACCGAGATTTGGCGGCTCGCAATTGCTTGATAGTCAACGACCATGGCCGAAATTTGGTAAAATCATGCATTTTGTTTGTCATCGCGTTTTCAGGTGAAAATCTCGGACTTTGGGCTCTCGCGTGAAGGCGATGCGTATGCAATGAAGACGGTACGCAAGGTACCGATCCGCTGGCTCGCCCCCGAGACGATCCAAACGTTCATCTACACGGCGAAAAGTGACGTTTGGGCTTACGGAATTCTTGGTGGGTCGCCCGGTAGTCGAATTGGGTTCTTTCGCATTAGCGGGGGGGGGCATTTTGTTTTTCTTAGCATCCAATATTTGAAATTTTCATATTAGAAATGTTTCTAAACGATGTTTTACTATTCCTAAAGGTACAAACTTAGCATTTTTTTTGTTCGAAATTACAAAAAATATAGGCTTTTCGAGAAAAATGGCCTTTTTAACCAAAATTTCGACTTTTTGAGAAATTGCTCAACGCTTTCAGATGGTTTTTCTAATTAAAGTATAGTTTATTTTACTTGAAACATTATTAAAATCGTTTCTATTAAGTTACTAAGCATTTCCAGATTAATACAAAACAAATTGTGCCCCCCCTCCCCTGATAATGCGAAAGAACCTAGAATTGAAACTAGTCGAATCCTTTTTCAGCCTGGGAAGTGTACACGAGCGGTGAAGAGCCGTATGCTGGCCTCCCCAACGCGCACATCAAGCAGAAGATCGTGGCCGGCGAGCTGCTTGAACTCCCGGCCAGCGCCGGCGCCGACGTGATCAAATTGATCAAGGTCCAGTGCTGGGAGAAGGACCCAGTGCGCCGAATTTCGATGAGCCAGGTGGCGTGCAAGCTGGAAGCGATGAACGGCCGCACCCCACCGCCCGTACAAGAAAGTTCGGTGCGCAAAGGGGTCCATGCGGCTCCGGCTGAGCCTCCTCGAAAGGTACGGTGTTTTTTAAAAGCTCATTGCTCTTCTTTTCTAGCTCCCAACCGCGAGGCGCACCAAATCGCGGACCCGGGAAGAGCCGAGCAGACAGATGACATCCGGTCGCATCCCGCAGAACAAGCGCGCACGTGGCCCTTGATGCCCCGGGTTATCCGCCATCCTTGGCCTACCCGTCATTACCATTTCCGGTTTTTTGTAAGATAATTGTCAAAAATTAAAGCACTGAAATCGCTACCAATAAATATGTTAACGTTAATTGACTGAATAAACTCGTTCTACATTTATTGGAACTCGTCGATCAGATCTCCTCAAATGTACAGGGAAGTGGGGCGGAATCACAGATGTATACAGTAACTGTGTTACAGTGAAATACAACCAGCTGGTCTACTAAACGATACTAAATGCCATACAAGACTTCTAGAGCCGGGAGCAAGCTGAATAAATGGCAACCGTAACAATGTAAAGATTTGAATAAAGCTAGCAGTTTTACTGGACGAGGTGCCCCAGCGAGTCGGCAAAGAATTCGGGCACCATGTTGTGCTTGCCCTGGGCGAGGTTGTCGCGCACGTCAGTAAGCTGAAAATTAGGATTGAGATGTTTTTTAGCTTCGCCGCTTTTTATCGCTGTTTTAAGATGGTTTTTATTATTTTTAGCGTAGTTCTATTATTTATTTTTTGTGCTTGATGGAAAATGGCACTTGTGAATGGGTTTTTGCTGCGTTTTTTTCGCAACTAGAGTTGTTGCACGTCACGCCTTCCAATGCCCTACCTGATGGCATCCAGAGAGCACGAGGCACGTCCTCAGCCCGTGCCGACGTCCGAACAGCACATCCGTGTTCGTCCGGTCGCCGATCATCATCGTGCGGCTTTTCTCGATGCTCCAGCGTCGGCAAATGTAGTCGAATGCCGGGCTGTAGGGCTTGCCTGGAAAGTGTTGATGCTCAAAGCTATACTCTCTCTCTCTCACTCGCTCACTCGCTCTCTCTCTCTCTTTCTCACTTATACTGTCGAGTTTGAACTCACCAACTGTAATCGGCTCTCGGCTACTTGCGCAATTGACCGCAGCTACGATCGGGCCCGCGTCGGGGATGAGCACGTCGGGATTCGGGCCCGGGCACACTTCGTCCTCATTTGTAGCGTAGTAGTGCGTCGATTTGTTCTAGAAATTCGCAATTTTGTGAAGCTGTTTTTTTCGCAAAGCCATTTGTAAGGAAAATGGAGTGAATTCTCTCTCATTTGTCATCAAAATACAAAAAAATCCAGTTTTCGACCAAAAATCACCGATTTTTGTTACATTATACTAAAAAAGCTATCAAAACTCTTCCTGAAAAATGACAATAATTTTAGGAAATTTTCAGCCTGAAAACCCTGGGAATTATCACGAACCTGCAGGTAATTGGCGGCCTTCATCAGCTTCTGGTAGTCAAAGTGGCGCTCGTAGCCGACGACGACGGCCGCGACCTGCTCGGTGGGCACCTCGAGGTCGATGTCGAACTGGAAGGCGCTGCCGTCGAGGTGCGACGTCGATGGTTCGCTGCCGTAGCCGAAATAGCGGATTTTCCGGGCATCCATCTCCTCGCGCACGCCCCGAGCCCCGATGAGGTAGACGAGCTTGTCCGAGTTGCCGAAACCTTTCCTGAAGAAGCGGTTTAGTATTAAGTTTAAATTAGTACTTTTGCCGTATGAAATAGTGGAGAAAATAGGTTATTTATGCCAAAAAAATTACCTCTGAAGCTCCTCAGCAACCACAGCCGCCGGGTTGACAATGTCCTCGGCGGTGATCGAGCCCGGGAATCCGATGGCGTGCAGTTTCTGCGCGTAGCTGGCCCGTGACTTGGTGGCGTTGTTGGTGAGGATGATCACGCGTTTGCCCTAGAGAATGACCGTTTAGCAGGTTATCCAATGTTTCGAGGCCGGCGGTGCTTTTACGTTATCGGGCGGGGGGGGGGGGGGGGCGGCTAGAAGTCTACTAATTAAAAACCTGAGAAACTACCAAAAAATTGAGATTTTTATAAAAAAAAACTAACTAAAAACTAAAAACAAAATTTTAATGCTTTTATTAAAATTTAACTATATTTTAAGTATAAAACCAACGATTTTGGTCGAAATGGTCAATTTTTCGTGGAAAAATTTATATTTTTGTATTTTTTAGCCGGCGGCCAAAGGAAAATTCCAATTTTGCACGAAATCGGCAATTTTTGCTGGAAAATTATATTTTTTATCAAAATTTAGTATATTTTTGTGTTTTATAAAGTTTTCACCTCTAGAAACAGAAAAAAAAGCCGTTTAAAAACTCTTGCTCAATTTCTGTTAGCAAAATTTGGGCCTAAAACGCAAAAAAACGAGACTAAATCACCCCACCTTTTGCATAATTTGAGCCAGGAAGTCGGCGGAGCCGGGGAGGGCTTCGTTGCCCAGCCAGAGCACACCGTCGGCGTCGAAGATGAACGTGTCAATGTCCTCCATAACGCGATCCATCGCCTCGGGGTTGAGCTTCGACGGCATCGTGACGACCGGGCGGCGCTGCTTGATCTCGGCGGCATCGCTGGCGAACACGGGGTTACGGTAGGCGAAGATCAGGTCCTTCATGTTGAGGGTGGTTGGGCTGAAAAGGGGTTGAGATTTGCACAAATGTCGCCAGGTTTAGATATGAAATTGACTTGGAAATGGCTAATAAGTTGAGGTACTGGACTGTTAACGGGGGGGGGGGGGGAAGCAGTAACTAACTTTTTCCAGTAATCCTTTGGGGCCTATGACAAAGGTCAAACCTTTTAATAGTATTTTACCCAGTTTTTAGACATAAAGAGATCATAAAAACTATTAAAAATTATCGAAAATCTCACTTTTTGTCAAAAATGTATGAAAAATAACGATTTTCAAATGTTTAAAATATTTTTTGTAAATTTCTAGAAATAAAAAACCTCTAAAAACGCACGCTAGAAAAAGTTTTTGTCAAAAACTTCAGAAGACTGATGATGGTAGATTGCTAGCTTAGGCATAGGCTTTGGCTTAGCCTTAGGTAGGCTTGACTTGGGATCAGGCTTAGGCTTCGCTTAGGCTTAGGCTTAGGCTTAGCTAGTTATAATTATAGTACCGTAATTCGGCCAGAAAAAATCTAATAATAGAATAGCGAAGCGAACCAGGGTTACGGTATTTTAGGTAGGAGAGAGAGAACGAGAGAGAGCTAAGGTGGCTCGGGAAGGCTCCATTAAAGGGTTGGATCTTCGAAGATCGAGCCCGGCTACTTATACCCGAATCTACGTCATACGATCACAGACCGGCGCACCCAGCTGCTCCAGAAAAGGGGCGGGGCCAGGGGATCACCTTTAGAGATTGTTGTTGTGACACCCTGGGGCCATTCTCGAACATCTGGAGGCGGAATCTTCGAAGGTGATGGCGAGAGAGCGGGGCTGATGGTGGAGAGGGCAGACGGGGATAGGGGCGGGTCTGGTTGGCGAGAGAGAGAGAGAGAGAGAGAGAGAGAGAGAAACTAAAAAGCTCAAGCTCTACCTTGCGCCGAATGAAAGTTCACACTTCATAAGCGAGAGAATGAGAGAGAGAGAGAGAAAGAGAGAGAGAGAGAGAGAGAGAGAGAGAGAGAGAGAGAGAGAATGAGCGAGCGAGAGAGAAACTAAAAAGCTCAAGCTCATCCTTGAACCGACTGAAAGTTCACAATCCATAGGAACCCCGTTTTGAGCATGGTATTTCATAGGTGCACCCCGATTCTTGAGCCCAACAATCTCTGATAGTCTGCCAAAAAAGGAGAGCTTTTCCTGCTAATTACCAAAAAAATGCCTGCTAAGTTGCCCCAGGTTCTCCTCCAATTTCCCTAAGAGTCTGTCCTAGCTAGCCCCTAGGAACTTTGTTTGTTTTCTTTGGTTTATTAACCTCAAAATCTCTGCTAGCATGCCCCTCTTTTCCATCTATCTATCTCTCTCTCGCTCTATCTCTGTCTCTCTCTCTCTCTCTCCCAAAAGTCACACACACGTCGCGTATCTTCGAAGGTCGCTCCCTTAGGTAGAGGAGCCCTCCCGGAGAGGTCAGACGAAAATGGTGCGCCCAGATAGTAGGGTGAGAAAGGAGAGGAGAGAGAGAGAGAGAGAGAGAGAGAGAGAGAGACCCCTGTCGGCACCATTTCGACGTGATCACCAAAGATCACCCCCCCTGGAGATCTTTGAAAGTAGGCCCCGCGGGCGATACGCAGAGGGCGCAGAGATAGCAGAGGGTGATCTTGCTACGTCACGCGACCACCCAGCCACCATTTCGCACCCTGGCCCCGCGGGTGGGCAAAGTTCGGCCCCTGGGTGTTGCGCGACAAGAGCGGAGTGGGGAGGTCGCCTCGGTGATACCGTAATCGGGGCACGTGAAGAGCAGCAGGTAAAGGCTTAGGCTTGGGCTTGGCTTAGGCTCAGGCTTGGCTTAGGCTTAGGCTTAGGCTTAGGCTCAGGCTAAGCACGTGCAAAAAAGAAAGGGGATAAGGCAAACACGTGCAGAGGAGCATGCCGTTGTAGACTTGCTGGTGCTGGGCTGTTATCGGGGGGGGGGGGGGATATCTGGCCTAACCAGCAAAATTCATGGTACTTCTTGTGTAGTTTTAAAGTGTTCTTAGTAGTTTCGGTCCTTTCGCGTTATCGAGGCTACCGAATTTTGCCCTATTTTATTCGTTTTTAGTAAAATTAACGATATTTAAGGTGGAAAACAATCACACAAAAAAAATCATAAAAAAAGGCGAAAAATCGTCGAAATTTCGCCGTTTTCCGTGGAAAAATCTATATTTTTATATTTTTTTACTAAAATGTTATGTTTGCCATTTTCCATTTGGCCGAAGCCACCGAAACCATCTCTGATCGAAAACACCTTGCCACCATTTCCCATACCCTGGGGGCTGTTTTCGAAAACAAATTCGAGGAGGCTCCGCGGGGGTGACGTAGTGATAAGCCCCGGTTCTCGCAAGCAGCTGCTAGATGAGCGCGCGAAAACATAGCCGCGTTTCCTAAAGCATGTTCACTAATCAGCTTCCGTTTTCGGGGAAACCTCTGCTAGCCTGCCCTGGAGTCCACAAAATTAGCTCATTTCCGGGCGCCGTTTCTCGTGTAGCCGGAGATCACGTGAACCGAGCAGTGGGTACGGTATTGGGTTCTGGGCGGTTAGCGGGGGGATACATTCTTCCCCGTGATTCCCTACGGCTCTATAACCAAGTACATAGTTTTTAGATATAAAAACAAGACAGAAGTTCATAAGAAATTTCGGAATTTTTGGTCAAAAAGGTATGAAAAATGGCTAGGTTCAAAATTTTTGAATTTTCAAAAGAAAAATCTTTTTTGTAGCTTTCTAGCAATCAAATACAACTAAAAACACTCTAAAAATACAAAATATATCATCAACCTGTAGGTATAGGTGAAAAAAAAACAGAAAATCCCTCCCCCCCGCTAACAGTCCAGAACCCGATTTTGAACGTACTCTGTGTTGTCGGGCGTTCACTGCTGATTCTTTCTGGAAAACATCACTCAAACCAAGGGCAGATAGAGGATTTCCCACCGGTGAGACCCGACTGCCAACGCCAGTGCTTTTCACGAGGAAAATCAGGGGGTCCCCGCACCCGTGTTGCCCTTGCCACGCCCAAAATTAGCGGCAATAAAGGCCTAAGCAACGCGACGCTACATTCGTCAAGAAAATGTATGGGGCCCAAACTTTGGAGGCTTATATCTTGAAAGAAAAGACCTAACTTAAAAAAAGCTTGTTCCAACTTTATAGAATGGGAGACGGCGAGTCTAATGATACTAAGAACTAAAAAAACTGAGTTCAAAAAGTATCAAAACGAAGGCGATCTTTATTTCGTTTGAATTTTCTGTGATGTGCCGGGCTTTTGAGGGTCGTTTGTATTGGTGTGTAGCGAACCGCCCTGGGAATGAGATAGCCTGGTGAAAACCTAAAATGCTTATAAAAATCTGCTACTTCATCGTTAAGGCTTGTCCAGTATACCAAAAAATTCGCCTTTTTTCGGGCTACAAAACGAGCTACAGGTCAGGATGCCTACATACCAAATAGCTGAGAAAATTACGAAAAAAGTCGAGCCACCTATCCTTTTGTCACAAATTGTAGTAAGAAAGTAAAAGGAAACGCCTGGTAGTGATTCTATCGCCAAATTCTATTTTATTTCACTTATCTTTTACATTTGCCTGTCCGATTACCCATCTAAAACATTCGAACCGAATGTTGCTTGCCGTCGTGGTACGTACGTGCCGTGTAGCGCCCCGTAGCCTTCGCCTCAAATTGCCGAAAATCTATGCATTTGAATGGGCGTGTTGCCGGATGTCCCCTACCCCCACCCACAACATGCACTTTCCCCAAAAAATACTTGGAATGTTCACGACGTCTAGCCGGAGGTGAAACCGGCCAGGAATAGGTAGGGCAAAGTTCGAGCAGGGTGGCCCAGACAGTCGGGAAGTTTACAAAATAGTGGCAAGTGGCGTCAGACCCGGGATAATATTGTCGTGTTTAGGGACGGTACTGGGCTGTTAGCGGGGGGAGGGGCAGCGGGGTATAGTTATTAGTAATTCTTGATTGCAATACGTTGTCAAAATATCTTAAAAGATTTTGAAAACGGGGAATTTTACCTTTTTCATACATTTTTCATCAAAAATTTTTTCCAGAAATGCCACAATTTTTCATCCGCTTTTTTTGCCAAAAACTGTTGAAATGCGATAAAAATGGTTGATATTTCGTTATAGGTCCGGACAGGAATGCTGTACAGGGAAAAATGTGGTGCCCCCACCCAAGATAACACATTGTACAAACATACGAAAAGCGGATATCATGCACAATTTTATTCACACAAAAAAGAGAGACGGGGATACACAAGCGATCGGGCTTTTCGAGGCTTTTCCTAGGCAGGCTGCGGCTTCGCCGGGTGGTCGCCATCTTTCGACTTCTCCTTGCCGCCCTCCTCGGGAAGCACTGGAAAACGAAGCACACGTTGCTACTTTTTTACCTTCATTACGATTTATATGTGTAGGCAAATTGAGAACAGAAACCGACCAAATTCGTGATGGTGGCCCTTCTCGATGGCCGGATGCATGCTGACGGCGACCACCTCGAACCGGGTTGGGTCTTCCTGAAACCAATTGTTGAATCAGATCAGCGGTGCTGGAATAAGCAAAAGAAACTGGAGTTCAGTCAAAGACCCACCACCATCACTTCCGGGATGCTCGTCCGCATATTCCAGTCGTCATCGTCATCCGAGCCCTGGGTGTTGTCCAGGTTCTTCTCGGCCTAAATTGTGTGTTTTTACAGCCGGGTGCAAAGGTTCGGAGCCGCCGGGGTCTAGATTGGTCCTACCGTCTTTTTCTTCTTGCCGGAACGACCGCTTTTCTCTTTCTCGTCGACCGGCTTCTTCTCCTTCTCCCTCTCCTTCTCCTTACTCTCCACCTGCCTCACCCCCGAGCACTCGACGACGGCCGGCTCAGCTCGAGACTCTTTCTAAAATTTCGTCGAGTTGATCTTTTTTTTTCTTCCAAACCCCAGTCGCCATCTCGGCCGACGGCTGTGTGCAGGCATTTGGGTGACCGGGCTCAGTCTCCCGGGCAGCATGCATAGTCGGTCCCATCAGCAGCAGATCCAGCTTCGGCATCTTTTTGCGCTGTTCACGCCCCGACGGCTCGCGGTCCTTCTCAACGGCCGAGCGTTTGCGCTGTGTCTTGCCACTGCCGCCACTTTTTGCACTCTTGCCCATGATCCTGAGGACCCTGCCGCTCAGCGAGACCCTATAAAATAGGGTTTAAGTTTAGGCACGACTGCGCAAACCCCGCCACTTTGGTATATCGGCTCCCCGCTAGCCTATAAGTCTGTAAAGTATAGCAAAATGTTCGACTTGTCCTTGCGAGTGTTTTGGTATATTTTCCAACCCACTCGGACAACGGGGAGCCGAGATACAGTAGGAGAGGTTCCTCCAGTTTAGCCTAATCTCCCCTAATGTATTACATCTGCTCCCGGCTGGTGACAGGCTCCCGGGAGGTACTGGCGGCTTCATTCTCCCTCGAGGGGCGACGGGCTAAAAAATGATTTTCAAAAAATTATAAAAATTTTTATTTACCAGGAGCCTTGGTTTTGCGCTCCTTCGACGTTTTGCGCTCTCCGTCGACATCTGAACGCTTCGTTTTCAAAGGCGGGCTCAGCAAAGCCTACGAAAAAGTTTGCCCAGCGTCTCCTTGGAGCTTTGGTAAAAGTTGCCGGCGCTGGCCAGGACTTTCGGGGTGGTCGGCACGCTGTGTCGGCTTTTGTGCCGCGAGACCTTCGGCGATTTCTAAAGCATTGAGGTATCTGATCAAATAGGGTGAATACCTTAATTTTGGCGCGATCCGGGGACGGCGACTTGCTCTTGCGAACGGAACCACTCATTTTGTCGAATAGAATCCGGGTCGAGCTAAATAAAGACGGCCATCGAAACCCAAAAGGCCTTACTCTGAAAATTGATCAAATGCAAGTAGTGAAATGAGACCAAGTGGTCCAGGTGGCTAATGTAATTAGAAATGTTGCTTTTTTTGCCAACCGGCCAAAACCCCCTTCCCCGCCAAACAAAGTGTGCTTGCAAATGTTGATTTCGAAATTTATTGGAAAGACTGGCATCAATCGCATGTACCGGTAAGCAAGTAAAAGATTCTGGAAATGGTCAGTAGGGTATCGGGACTCGGAATTTCACAAGCAAACATCCAAATGCTCATTGATTAACGAACGCGGGAAATATTCTTGGCAAGCCGGGCACTCGAGCAGCGGATCCGGGTCGTCGGCTTGAATGTCTAAACGAAAATTAAAGCCATTTTTGAAAAACTCTACCTTCAACAAGCTCGTCAATAGTCCGTTCAGGCGGCGTCATTTCACGTCTAAAAATAAATTTGTACAACCATCACGAAAACCCACTTCTCGCTCGGCTGTTTCTGCGCAACAAGCACCAATTCTTGTGCACGACCTGAAAAAAAGCAATTGTAACAACATACATCCAAACAAGAATGTTCAGTTGACCCAGAAACAACACCTCGATTCTTTTTCATTTTCGCCACTACGTCCCGCTCATTGCAAAGTTCGGAAAGATTCACTAGAAACATGGTTGTCGGATGGGGTTCGGCCATACGTAATAACTTTTGATATTTTTGGAGAGTAGCAGGCGCACCGGTGAGTGTAGGGCGCTTCGAATCTGGCTGACGGTCCTCGAGGGCCGGTGGTCGCTTCTAAATTAGGCTAATTTACTAACATAGTTTTCCTACCCGATTCGATGGGCCCGGCTTCTCCTCATCTTCCTCAATTGTCACGCATTTCGGCTGACTGGCCGGCTTCTCTTTGCTCTCGAACAGATCGAGCAACCGCGAACGTCCGCCAGTCGTTCCGCCGCCAAGGGTTTGACCTAAAGTGGAAATTTGTAAATATTCGTAAGAATACCTGAGCCAGTGAAAGCAGGCGCTGAACTCGGAGTTTCCACTGTCTTCTCATTTTGCGGGGGCTTTCCGTTAATCACAATCGTCTTCGAGCCTCGTCCACGGACGGCCGTCTGCCCAGTCGGAAGTTTGTGGATATTATCGTTGGAGGAGCTACCTACAAAAATATTTTTTTACGTCGTGATTTACATTACCAGAAGCTCCAGCCGCGTTCCCATTCTTTTTAATCGGAGGGTTCTTGGAAGTGGTCGGCGCATCTCCGAGGGCTTTTCCTAACAACCTCCGTCCAGTTTCCCAATTTTCGGGCTCCTCACCTTTTCCGGCAAATGGCTTGACCTTCTTTCCCGACACGTTGAAGTATTCATCAATCTTGCGATTTTTGGGGGCACCCTCCACGGCTTTCTAAGGCTCACGTTTCACCAAAAAATGAAACCGAACTTGAGAAGACTTCTTTTTCTGGCCATATCCCTCCGGTTCTTTGACTTTCTCGAAATGACCTCCGCAACTCTGCATATGCTGCTTCCACCACAAATCATTGGGTCCAGGTGCTCTAGAAATGCCAAAATTAAACCGTTACTGCAAAAAACCTGTTCGAAGCTCTCTTCACCCAACCGAAAAACGGTCTGCGCTCTCGGCAGCTGCCTCTGCACCTAAAAATTGGATAGCATTTCAGGAAACGGCCGCATTACCTCCACCAATGCTGCTTGAAATTGGCCACTTCGGCATGGAACGAGTGATAAATCGTGATACGAGTCCCCGCTTTGCCATTAATTCGATGCATATGCTCCTAAAAATACCATCCATTATTTTAAACAGAAAATACTTGAAACATTGGACCATGGCCGTCCGCACCGTCTCGTATGTTGAAGCGACGCGTGACAAACAGAAATGCGTGGATCATCTCGTGCTAACATGAAAAACAGCATTGATGACGCATATTCACTAACCAAAAGCGTCTCCACCAAATCCTTTCTGGGCCGCAAAGTAAGAAGCGGCTTGCTCAACCGAATCGAGCACAGACCACCACGACCTTCATAAACGCAGATCCCAGCGCATCTAAAACTATGTGGGAATTTGGAACAAACGAACGTCGTCATTCTCGGGCTCCATTTCACTTCACACATGGCGAGTTGGCCAGAGAAGAACTGGTCATCGAACTGTTTGAACAACGCGAAAATGTCGGGGCACGGGTCAATCAGTTCGAAGCTCGGGTCCACCAAACTCATTCCCTTCAAGACAAATTGTTGTCATCATCATCGATGTTGCTCTGTAAATACTAGAACGACCCTTACGTGCAGATGATAGCTTCAAAGCTTCCCACAAAACTTTATTTCGTACAACCTAAGCGTATACGCACAAATAAGGAGACGTTAAGCTGATCATACGCGTAGAGATTTAGAAGAGGCATGTTATCAACAAGAGACTATAAGAAACGATTTCTAGAAGATGAGGATGACCAATGATCGGGCGGGCAGCCAGCAGAATCCATTTACTTCCGCTCGCGGTAGCTCTTCGGTGGGCGCCAAGCAGCCTCGTAGATGAACAGGTCGCTCTTCAGGGCGTAGGCGAACGAGGCGACGAAGGCGGTAGCGGCGATGGCCAGGTAGACATTGAACTTGCTGTTCAATTCACCAATGACCTGAAAATAACAAAATATGAGGTGGCGATTCTCGCTATCTTTGTCTCGACTAGCAATGAAATCGCCTTCCGTTTCGGCCCTCAAGAGTAAATGAAATAACCTTGTTGTAGGGCTGGAAGGGGATGGGCGCATAATCGTAGGTGACTGGCGGGCCGGGGTTGACTTCGGCGTGGCCGTGACCACCACCGTTGCGCTTCTGCTGGAAGACGCGGCGGAGGGCGAAGAGACGTGCGCCGACGCGATTCATATTACCTGAAACAGAGATTCAGTTGTAAGATTCGAAAAAGCGGAAGTGAACGAAAAATAGAGAGCCGCCATCTTACATTAATCCAGGGTAAATATCTATGTGAAGCTGAGTGTTTTTGTAAAAAACAAGTTGCTAAAAAGCTTCCAAAAGGAGAGAAACTTGGATTTATAAAATTTTAGTAAAGTTTTCAATTTTTACAAAGCAGCAAAATGGCGCAACGCGCATAGAATCAATGGGAGGCCCAGATGTTGGCAAAGCACGCCGTACGACCGTCGTTTGGAGTGCAACGGAAGCTTCTTCAAATCTTTTCCAAAATCGCGATACAAATACTCGCAAAATATAAAAATTTCTTTCAAAAACATTGAAAATCGCATTTTTTTTGAAAATCTCTGAAAAAGGAGGGTTTGCTATTCCTCGAACTCGATTTCGCGGGCTGAAAATTATAAAAATGACGAACAAAAAGATAAAAAAAGGTGTCTGTTATTTCTCGAGGTTCTCTCGGTCAAGATCTGATTTACCGGAAGTGCTAATCAAAATTGTTGTTTTTGAATAAAGAATGAGCACTGATTTCCATCCCTTCTAACCGCTAAATTCAGAGACGACGATGCGCGGCATCATTGTTTACTACTTCGCGGTTGCCTGGATCTTCGCTGATTCTGATGCTCCACCTATTCATCCTGGTCGCTCTGGCTGCTCTGGGCTTCTACTTCTACCAAAAGAAAACGAAGGCTCGCCCCCTTTCGCCCAAGACTGCCATTCCTCGTTCATGTCTGACGACTAAGACAGCCACGACTGCCATCGCCAAGACCACTGGGCCGGATGATGAGGCCCAAACGGCTCGTCGCCCGGATGCGTAAGTCGTTATTGATATTCTTCTACTGATTTTTACATCTAGAACTTCGGGCGAGCCGACGATGACCCCTCGCACGACGGTGCCGGAAACGGCCGTGGTGGCTACACCCACAGACGTCAATTACTTGGTGGCCAGCCCGACTGGCGATGGGGAGATGAAGGCTATTCGCGAGGTAGATCAGCGATATTTTTGGCTTTCAAAAACATCTTTTAGACGAAGCGGCGTTCGCCTCCGAAAGAGGCTCCGAAGGACACTCCCCCTGCAGACACACCTCAAGTCAACAGCACCGTGACTGCTACCGTCCCGAAGACCGAGGGCGATCCGGCCACCGCCAGTGCGGCTTCGGCTGCACCCACCCCTGCTCCTGCAGACACCCCCGCGGTAGATCAACATACACGCTTTTCAAACATTTTTAGCCGCAATCCGCGCCGCCGCCTTCTGAACCCGCTGCATCGATTGCCCCCGCCACTACCCCGTCCGAGGCCGTGACGCCCACCGTCAACAAGGAGGGCGGCGAGCCAACTACGACGACTTCTTCGGTGATGACCAACAGCGCGCCGTCCGAGCCTGCGAAGCCTGAAGCTGGATCTGCGCCTCCGGGAACTACGGTGGGATCTTGGGAAATATTGCCCTCTCACATCCCGCAGAACTTCGTTTTTTTACTCAATTTCGAATTTCAGCCCAACGTCCCGCCGACTCCGGAGCCAAAGGTTGAAGCGCCGCCACCACCTCCTGCTGCTCCCGCTCCTCCCGCTGCACCAACTGAATCGCCGAAAGACCCCGCACCGCCCTCCATCAAGCCCGAGCCGCCGAAGCCTGAACCTCCCAAGGCCGCCGCTGCTCCCAAGCCTGAGCCTCCGAAGCCGGCTGCCCCCGCCGCTGCTGCCAAGTAGGCCATTTTTCCGATGTCTAAAAATTTCTAATTTTAGAAAGAAGGATGGATCTTCGAAGAAGGTCAAGAAGGCCGCTGGCAAGAAGGACGGTTCCTCGAAGAAGACCAAGAAGCCCGCCGCGACGTCGAAGGCCAAGGAAGCCAGTCTCAAGGCCAAGAAGGAGAAGAGCGCAAAGATCAAGAAGGAGAAGGCGAAGGAGAAGAGTGCCAAGAACAAGAAGAGCGTCGTCTCCAAGGCCAAGAAATAAAACGGATTCCGGACAACCGCTCGACCCCCTTTAACCCCCTGGAATAAATGACTTTTGAAACATACTCGCAGCGCATTATTGTTACTTGCTGAATAAATGGCACTCCTAGTTTCTGTCGTGATCGCAGTTGTTGATCATTCATTCACAAGTCGTTCTAGATGCTAGCGAGATCGAGTGGTGCGGTAGGGCGTTGTGTCCTTACAGTTAGTAGAAACCTTGCTGCAGTGTCTTCAAGTGAAGCTGGGGCGCAGGTGAGTGAAACTAAAATTTCGTGATTCGTCTCTAGGTATCACCAAGCCATGAGAGCATCGATAAGATGCGCGCTAGATTGCTCTACCAGAGCAAAAAACGAGGGATATTGGAGAACGATATACTGCTGGGAGATTTTGCCGATGCCAACTTGAACAAGATGGACAAAGGATTGTTGCAAAAATACGATGCGGTGAGTCGGCTTTTTTATTTTTTTTTACTAAACATCGCGTGGCCCCTGCCTTTGTGATTTCGGTTTTAATAAATTGTGTGTGGGGGTATTGGACGCGGGAATCCGCTATTCGCGGTTGCTTGTTTGGACTGCTGGGACCGAATGTAAGAGATTTAGGTTAAGGAATGAACCCTCATTTTTGTTTACTCGGCGTTGCCGCTGCTGCCGCATCCTTGTTTTTTATTGCTAGAGGCGCAAAAGTAAGCTAGATTTTGCTGCCCAGACGAGAATGATCCGGCTTCCCCAAATAGGATGTTTCTAGCGCACGACCGCCAAGCAATTGCGAATCGTCTTTGTCAGTGTGCCAGCGGGAGACAAGGCTGCTGAATTGGCTCGCCTGATCGTGAATAGCCACTTGGGAGCTTGTGTCAAAGTTCTCCCGCCCCTCACTTCCTACTACATCTACGAGGGCCAGTTCAACGAAGACGCCGAGCAAGTGTTGATGATCAAAACTAGCGAGGCGGCTCTCGAGGAACTGGAACAACTCGTGAAAAGCAACCACCCGTACGACGTGCCCGAATTCCTGGCGGTCCCGGTCGACTACGCGCATGCCCCGTATGCAGAATGGGTGAAAAACAGCGTGACGCCGAACAAAAATTAATCAGTACAAATGCCGCACATTGTGATTTCAATTTTTTTTCCGCCAAGTACGCTTTTGTCTGTACCGCTTATACTTTGAAAAATGTTCATAAATATTTTTTTAGCTGATCAACGGCTCGCACATGGAATGGGATCTCTACTACTTCCTCTCCGGCAAGAAACCGGCACCCACCGATGTATCCGAATGCCCGGCGTTTCAGAAATTGAAGGAATTTGTCGATTCTAAACGTAATGGTTGATAGTTTTTGACGGTTCTGCTTACATTATGTATATTTAGCTCGATGTCGAGTAGTTAGTTTGTATGAATTTTTATTGAATTTTGCGTTTAATTTTTTTCTGCTTTTATTTGATGCCATAAATTGTCAGCAAACCTCCAAAATTTGACTTTTCAAAGCATTGGTTTTTGCTCCAGGCTCCTTATCTGCGCTGATTGTTTCGCAGCGCAAGCGGGTTCCAGGAGAAGTTGATAACGGACCACACCATTTCTTGTTGTTCTCGCTAACTCTGAGATTCAGGCAGAATGTCGGCAGATTTGAAGCCCGTTTATGAGTAAGGACAGAGATTCTTGAGGAAGTAGCACTCTTAGGACGATCGACAAGCGGCGCAACGAATGGATTCAAATATTGAAGGAGGTATTGGCTAGCCCTTGCGATGAAATTTGGGATTTAGTCGATCGCCATCGAGTCGGTGTCCTCGGATCCGGCAAGACGCGGAGACGTTCGACGGATGGTGGAGTGGACGATGTGAGTCCCAGACACTAACTATGCTATGTTCTCCTAGGGCATACCTGTCCAAACAAGGAGCGAAATGCTGGCTGGAGGAGCTTGGCGAACAAACACTTCACGACGGGTATCTCGAAATCTTTTTAGAAGTAAAATGTCTTTAGGAAGAAATTGCCACTCCCACCCTGCCTTCTTGGCGAGCTCGGTCACGATCCCAAGAAGAAGACTGTGCTCCTCTACGGACATTTGGGTGCTTCACCTTTTTGTGATCTCAACGGCTTTTAGACGTGCAACCGGCGCGAAAGGAAGATGGCTGGAACACGGAACCTTTTCTGATGGTGGAGAGTGGTGAGTTTTCATAGGTGGAAGAAATAATCCTAAAGGAAAAAAAAATATTTTGAAAGGGATTTCTTTCCAGATGGCAAGCTGTGGGGCCGCGGAACAAGCGACGACAAGGGCCCGGTGTTGTCCTGGATCCACGCCATTCAAGTTCTCAACGAGCACAAAATTGAGATTCCCGTGAACATCAAGGTATCGCCCCAAAATTTATGGCTTGAAATTTGTTGCGTTTTGCAGTTCTGCTTCGAGGCAATGGAAGAGAGCGGGTCCGAGGGATTGACTGAGCTTCTGCAGCGGAAAAAGGCGGACGGCTGGCTGGCGGACGTCGAGTACACCTGCATCTCGGATTCGTACTGGCTGGGCACGGAGAAGCCGTGTCTTTCATATGGACTTCGGTAAACAGTCGCCCTATTTTCTACTGATTTTATCCCTTTAGTGGTATCTGCTCGTACCACGTCGAAGTCTCCGGCTTGCAACAGGATCTGCATTCCGGAGTGTATGGCGGCAGCGTGTATGTCTGGCCACAGAACTCGATATTTATCGGAATTTAGTTACGAGCCGCTCAACGATCTGTTCTATCTGATGTCCCAGCTGATGGATGTCAACGGAAAGATTTTGATCCCAGGTTGAATCCTAGTTTTTGGTTTTTGAAAATTTGCGCTTTAGGCATCATGGATCAGGTTGCGGAAGTGACGCAGATCGAAAAGGAGGCTTACGAAAAAATCGACTTTGACGTACGTTTGAGGAATAATATTTTTGATGTAAGTTTAGGTGAAAGAATACCGCGAAAGTGTGGGGGCCGCTAAATTGCCGTCGGAACACAAGGAGACACTGCTGATGAACCGTTGGCGTTTCCCGAGGTTCGGTTTTTACACTTAGTTTCATTCGCTTTGATGCTTCTTTCGCATTATCGGGGCTTATTCGCACTAGCTAAAAAGTTTTTAGATAGTAAAAACTGGATAAACTAAAATAATCTATTTTTGATAAAATTTTGTGAAATTTTTACGTTTTGGAATAGTAAAAACAATTTAGAAACACTTCCAGTATTGACATTGGGGAAAAGGATTCTTAAAAAAAGTTGTGCTCCCCCCCCCCCGATAATGCGAAAGAACCGCGTTGATTTAGCTTGTCGGTGCACGGAGTCGAGGGAGCATTCTCGGATCCGGGCGACAAGACGGTGATCCCCTCGAAAGTATCTGGTGAGTTTAAAGACGTCTGCAATAACTTCCGCTTCAGGAAAATTCTCCATTCGCGTCGTGCCGAACATGGAGCCGGAGAAGATCAATTCCTTGGTCGCCAAATACCTCAACGAGCTGTGGGAAAAGCGAGGCTCCGGAAACAAGATGAAGTAGGGTGTGTTCGAATTGCTTCATTGATTTTTAGGCTCATCACAAATCAAGGCTCCGTCCCCTGGGTCCACCCAATTGACCACCCACACTTCAAAGCCGCCAGTCGAGCAGTGAAGAAAGGTTGGTGCTTTCGCATTATCGGGGAGGGGCCAAAATTTTTTGTTCCTCATTGAAATGCCTAGTAACTGTAAAGGAATTATTTCAATAGTGTGTGTTTGTAAGATAAAACCATATTTCAACTAGAAAACCTGCCTGAAACCTTCAAAAATTTTTAAAAAGTCGAAGCTTTGGTCCAAATCGGTCGTTTTCGTCGAAAAAGTGATTCTTTTGTATTTTTTTATAAGGTTAGGTAAAGTATTTACGTTTAGAAATAGTAAAAAACAGTTTTCAAAACTTCGCTATTATTATTTGAAAAATTGGATTCTAAGAAAAATTTTTGGTATGCGCCCGATAATGTTAAAGAACCGAAAGGTTTCTGAAATCGTTCATGTTTTATCTGCGTTTTTCAGTGTACAACGTAGAGCCTGATTTCATCCGCGAGGGCTGCAGCATTCCGATCACGTTGACTTTCCAGGTTTGTTCCTTCTATTCAAGCTGAAACTTCTTGTTATATAGGAGCTCACCGGCCATTCTGTGATTCTCCTGCCGACGAACGCGTCGGACTCCATGGCTCACTCGCAGAACGAGAAGATGCGCACTCACTGCTACATCGATGGCATCAAGCTCCTCGCCACCTACCTGATGGAACTTGGACATTGATTTGGATATTTTCCCTGTGATTCTACTGTGATATGACTTGGCATGCTTTTCCGGATAAATAATTGCTATTGCGAATGTGGGCCGCTTGAAAATAATACAGTTTAGCGCGACTAAAATGGCTATTTCAGCAGTACCAGCAATATAAATTTTCTTCTATTCTAACCATTTCCAGATCTCGAATGACCTGCAATGATAAAGTGATCTGCCTGATCGATATGGACTGTTTCTTCGCGCAAGTCGAGCAGCGCGAAAAGCCGGAATTGCTAGGGCTTCCGGTCGCCGTTTTCCAGGCTTCTGCCTCCCGATCGGGCGTCGGAGGCATCATCGCGCTCAGCTATGAAGCGAAGAATCTCGGTGTCAGGCGAGGGATGAATCAACAAGAAGCGTTTGCCGTTTGCAAGGACCTGAAGCCCTGCGTCGTCCCCTTTGCCGAACATTTACGCAAGCCAGACATTCAAAAGTACCGCAACGCGTCAAAGGAGGTGTTCGACGTCTTGCAGAACTTTTTTAAAGGCGTAGTCGTCGAAAAAGCGAGCATCGATGAGGCGTTCATCGACCTGACCCCACTCGTTGATAAGAAGCTGCACGAGGACCGTACAGGTTATCTGGAGCGATTTGAGCCACGCCTGGGAGCGCTGGATTCGACGCATTTGGCTGATGGCACGGATCTTGACGAGAATTACGACAGGGCAGTCCTGATGAAAAAATGGTACCACGAGTATTGCAAGATGGACAACGACCATTTGAGGATGCTGATCGCGTCCGAGATGGTCGACGCGTTACGGAAAGCGATTTTGGACAAAACAAAGTTCCAGTGCTCGGCCGGGATCTCGACAAATAAAATGCTGGCCAAGCTGGCGTGCGCGAGACATAAACCAAGACAACAAACGATCCTCCCACATGCGTTCTGCATGAAAATTCTGGATGATACTCCGATTGAAGATGTGCGATATCTGGGAGGGCTGACAGGAGCCAATATTCGAGAAGTGCTCAATATCCAGACGATGGGCGAGCTGGCAGCGGTGCCGTTGGCGACGCTCGAAGAGGTCTGCCCGGATAAAGCAAATTGGCTGTACCGGACATCGAGGGGCTTCAGCGACGAGCCCGTGAAGCCGCGCCATCTGGTCAGCAGCATCGCCACGAGCAAGCAGTTCGCTGGCCGATCTGCGCTGGTATCGGTAGCCAAGGTGGGTCGGGATCTTTTTCATTTTTTCGGTTCTTTCACATTATGCAGGGGAGCAGCTTTTTGCATAAGTCTAGAAATGTCTATTATGTTAGTAGTAAAGTGATTTAATAGTGTTTTTAGTATGATAGTTGAAATTTTTTAGTAGTAAAAACTATATATTGAGCTAGCAAAGACTCTCTAAAAGATTTTGAAAAAGTCGAGGTTTTGGTCAAGAATCGGGCATCTTGGTTGAAAGAATTATATTCTGGCATTTTTTCAGAAAATTTTGTATAGTGTTCAGGCTTAGAAATAGGAAAAAGTGTTTTTATAGATACTTCAACTTTTTATACTTGAAAAATTAAATTCTAGGAAAAAGTCGGTCCCCCCGATAATGCGAAAGAACCTTCTTTTCACGCTTTTCCACGCATTCAACAACACATTTCTCGTTTTTAGGTCCGTGAATGGCTCTCCGGACTTGCGAAGGAGCTGTGCAAGCGGCTGAATGAGGACCGGACGACCAATCGGAGGACAGCTACCAAAATCGTCCTATCGTATAGCCAACCGGATCGACACAGCTCGAAAACACTTCCGCTGAACACCTACGACCCGACGAATATTTTTGAAACGACGATGGCGGCCTTCGAATCGGCGCTTCGATCGGAAATACGCGGAGACTCCTGCCCGAGCATTACGTGCCTAACCTTGTCTGCATCGCATTTTGCCCTACCCTCGCTGCACGAACAACAAAAAACGATGAGCGAGTGGGTGGAGAAACGGAGGCTGGAACGCCAAGAGCGAATGATGCCGACGACATCTAATCGGAATCCAGACGACCTGGATTGGGAATTTTTACAGGAATTGCCGGAAGACATCCGGGCCGAGGTGTTGCACGAGCGGAATCTGGAGAAAGCTAAGAAGCTGAAGATGAAGGCTAATGTGGAAGAGCCAAAAGCAAAAGCGCCGGAGAAGCGGAAACGAAAAGCCGAGCCCCCGAAGAAGGAGGTGATCTCGAAGAAGCTGGACACGTTTTTCAAGAAGCGATAAATAGATGCATGTATATTTTTCATTTTTTTTTGTTGATGTATGTATGTGTGGGTTTTCATGTGTTTATAATTGTGTGTTATAGATCTCATTGTTTTTCTGCTCTGCTCAACTTGTTCTCATTTTGCCGAATCGATTTTAATAATAAAATTTCCAGATGAATGCGATCGGGGGGCAACTGGAAAAGTACAGCGTGGCCTATCGAACAATTGACGAGAGATTGAGGGCCGAGAAAGGGTATGGAAATATTTTAAAACCTTAACGTGATTTAGTTTTCCCTGGGTCTTCGCACTGGTGCTGGATTGTGCTATCGGAATCGGCGTGGCTCACTTGCTGAAAGGTTCGAGAAGCTTGAGAAAAATTGTATTTTCAGGCCTCGATCTCTACGAGATTGTATGGCCGTTCGTCGACGCGAGAATAGGGCATCTGGACGAGGTCGGTGGATTTCCCCAAACTACGTGTTTTATTTTAGGTTATAACATGGCTACTATCGAACCCAGTAGGCTTGAAGCTCAACGAGCCGTTGAACACCGCCCTCGCCAGCTTCTTCCGCTACCATATTTACCTATGGCATAGTTAGTTTTCGAAAATGGTTCTTTCGCATTATCGGGGGGAGGGAGACTTAACTTTTTTGTATAAGTAACGTAATAGCAAGCGTTTCAATAGTTTCTTAAATAAAAAATTAAATCTATCTAAAAACTTTGAAAAAGTCGACATTTTGGTCAAGAACGGCTTAACCATTTCCAGTATTTCTATTTGAAACATTAGGTCCTGAGAAAAAGTCAGCCCCCCCCAGATAATGAGAAAGAACCTTGAAAATCTAGTTGACCTATTTTCTTAGCATTTGTGCGGATGCTACGAGTTCCGGCGATCTGGGCCAATTTGCCGTTGGCCCTCTATGCTGGAATTTCGTTTGCTGCGGCGTTGTTTGCAGATTTGGTTTCAATATTTTCGATGCACATCGTTTGCTTCTACATCTATGCACTACGGTAGGTGATTCGGGAATTTCCGGGCAAGAATCCGTCTCCAGACTCTTCCTGCTCACCTTCACCTCGCTCGGGTCGCTATGGAGGGCGTTCCGGGGCCAAAAATACAACCCACTGCGGAAGCGTGTCGATACTGTAAGGCTTATGGCAAGATCTTGAGATCATTTCAGGCCCATCTGGACTCGCGGCAGCTCTTCTTGGCCACGCTGCTCTTCGTCGTCCTCCTCTTCCTCGCGCCCACCGTAACCGTGTATTGCTTCGTATTTTCGATGGTAAGTGCGCTTTTTATATATTTATTTGTTACGTTCCTTTTTGCATGGTTTTTCTGTTTTTACGTTTTACAAAAAAGTTTCAAAACAGAAATTTTAAAAAGTTAATAGAATTTTTCAGCTCCGATGGGTGGTCCGTGGCTTCCAGCTGGCGATAGAACGGATAGCGGAACTGCAGTGCTATGTACATATGATATTGGATCGATTCCGAAGCGAATAAATGGCTTGTTAGGATTTCTGGGCCCCAGCTTTTATGGACCTTGAATGGGTTTAAAATACTCAAGTTTTGGCGTCAGGATCAAATTTTTAGCAAAACCTTTTTACGAACGACTGTCTGCGCTATCCTAATATAGCACTCCCGCTATCTCTTTTTCTCTTTCTCTTCTTCTGCCCATCCTCCGATTTACCGCCTCTATTGATAACGTGCCCATTTTTGATGGCCTCATCCCGGGTGTCGATTTTTCCGGACTTGCCGGCGTTTTCGAGTCGACTTTGTTTGCTTTTTTTGCCAATTTCTGTCAATTTTGACGGTTTGATTTCTCTTCTGTCTTTTTCGTTGCTAACCGGCTCCAACACCGCTTTTCCAGGCATGAATCGGGCCGCTAAATTGTTGCCGACGACGATACGCGGTTTTTCTACGAAGTGAGAACTCCGCTATTTTTGCGCTTAATTTTACTTTAGGGCCGAGGGGAAGAAGACGTGCCTCTACGACCTGCACAAGAAGCACAAGGGCAACCTCGTCAACTTTGCCGGATATGAGATGCCGGTCCGTTGATGGTTTTTTTTTGCGTAGAAAATCCAATCATAGGTGCAATACGCCGATCTGTCGATTAAAGATTCGACGATTCATACACGGAAGTACGTGTCGATTTTTGACGTCTCTCACATGCTGCAGACGCACATTACCGGAAAGGATCGGTGCGTTTTTGAACCGGCTGCAATTTAAAAGGCTCTTCTTTTTCTCAGATAATTTATAAGTTGCCATTTTGTTTTTTTTATCATTTCCTTTAGAGTTGCCTTCATCGAATCCCTGACAACAGCCGATGTCGAGGGGCTGAAGCCGAACACCGGCACGCTCTCCGTGTTCACGAATGAGAAGGCGAGTTTTTCTATTAAAATAAAATAAAATCAGCTTTTATTCAATAATTTTTATTAATTTCTATCCATTAAATTTCACTAAACACCGTGTGAATTTTTCCTTATTTCAGGGCGGCATCAAGGATGACCTGATCGTCACGAAAACGGACCAAGACTTCATCTACATGGTCACCAACGCCGGCTGCATCGACAAAGATCTGCCGTACTTGCAGGTTCGCACGAATTTTTTGGATCTGAATGTGATTTTCAGGAAAATGCTGCTGCTTGGCGATCCAAGGGCAAGGATGTCCAAATTACAACATTAGACGGACGGGGCCTCGTCGCCGTTCAAGGTTATTTTTACATCCGAGATTTATTCGTCTGATTTTTGGAATTTAACACGCTTGAATTCAGGCCCGGAAATGGCCAAGGTCTTGGACACGGACATTGACCTCAGCAAGCTGACGTTCATGAACACCGCTGTCGGCAAGGTTTCCCTTTCTTTCTGAGGGCCCGACGTTGACCGTGTTTTTAGGTGTTCGGCATCGACGGCTGCCGCGTCACGCGTTGCGGTTATACGGGCGAAGATGGTGTTGAGGTGAATGAATGTCCTTAAAAACTGAAAAATCTGGATCCAGATCTCCGTCGACCCGGCGCAAGCGGCTACACTGGTAGAACGGCTGTTGGCTGCAAAGGTGAGGGTTTTTGTGTGCTGCTTCGGAATTTCCTGCATTTGGTTCTGATTCGTTAGCGGGGGGGGGGGGGGACAAAATGCCGAAAAATATCGAAGATCCCCGAGAAATAGCTTACCAACCCCATTTTAGGGTTATTTTTGCTGTAGCTTTCTTAAATTATTGTGTTTTGATCTAGAATTAAGCTTCTTAGTACATTTTTTTAGATGATTTAGCCCAAAAAAATGAAATATTGAAAAATCTACGACATACCCCTCCCCCGCTAACGAACCAGAACCCTCATTTTTGAATTTGGTAAAAATTATTAGAAAACGCATCTTTCAGGAGAGCCAAGTCCGTCTGGCCGGCCTCGGCGCCAGGGACGCGTTGCGGCTAGAGGCCGGACTTTGCCTGTACGGCAACGACATTGACGAGAATACGACTCCGATTGAAGCGGGGCTGGCTTTTGTTGTTGGTAAGTGGCTCAATTTTGTGCTTTCTATTTCAATCTAGCCAAAAAGCGACGTGAGACGCTCGGGTTCCCCGGTGCCGAGCACATCGTCGAGCAGCTCGCCAAGAAGAGCTGGAAGAAGCGACGTGTCGGGCTCGTAGCCGAGGGCGGACGAGCTGCTCGAGGTGGCGTGGACGAATTTCTTAAGATAGAATCATCGGTTCTTTCGCATTATCGGGGGTGGGGCTAAGGCAAAAACAATTTTAGGGCCCAATTTTTTAACTATGAAAGCGGTAGTGTTTCTAAACTTTAAACCAGGGGTGGGCAAGGTTTTGCAGCGGCAAAATCCCGGCAGTCCATTTTGCGGGGGCCCGGCAGTCCATTTTGGAAGGGAAAAAGCGATTTTTGGCGGGGCGGCTACGCCGCCATACTTGAGTTACCATTTGCTGGCGCAATTAGATAGATTCCAAGGACTTTCACGGTCTGGGAGTGACGCCAAATTGTGGATCTCATTGTTCCGCGTCGAACCATACCCCATATGTCCCGTCGGCAGTCCGTTATCCTTGAGCTGTTCGAACGGATATATGGAAATAGGGTTATTTTATAGGGGTTTCCGCTCTATTTTAGTAATATGTTAATTTTTTACGCTGAAAGTGACACCAGATTGTGGATATCGTCATTGCGCGCCGAACCATACCCAAGATGCCCCTTCGGCAGTCCGACTTCATGGACATGTTGGACTGCCGGAACGGAAAAACTAGTGTTTCGAGGTTTTTCCGGCATAATTCCGGAATGCGGTAATTTGAGGGCCTGAGAGTGGCAGTAGATTATAGATCTCATCGTTGCGCGTCGAACCATACCCTACATGTCCTTTCGGCAGTCCGACTTCGATGAAATGTTGGACTGCCGGATTTGAACCCACGTCTGCAAAATGTCTGCAGAATGTAAATCGCTCTTTTTACCTCCCAAATCGGACTGCCGACGCTTCGCTTTTCCAGGCCTTTGATAGAACAGATTACGGTCCATCTTCTCCGAAAATTTGAGCCAAATCCATCGAGAAATTATCGAGATATGATTTTTAGAAGAAACTCGTAAAATGTGCTCCTGCAAAATGGCCTCAAACTCGGCAGTCCAGGATCTCCGGCCTCCTACGATTTCTTAAGAAGACTGATACACCACCAGATAGCCCCAAACCTGAGCTACAAAATGAGCTATCTACCGTCCCGGTGCGCTGTTGGGGCCCCGAGATATGGGCCCCTAAAGGGTCGCGACCCGGTCCTCAAAAACCCGTTTTTTTCATTTTGCAGATGCGGTTTCAAATCCGGCAGTCCAACATTTCATCGAAGTCGGACTGCCGAAAGGACATGTAGGGTATGGTTCGACGCGCAATGATGAGATCTATAATCTAGTGTTACTCTCAGGCCCTCAAATTACCGTATTCCGGAATTATGCCGGAAAAACCTTGAAAAACCAGGTTTTCCGGCCCGGCAGTCCAACATCTCCTCCAAGCCGGACTGCCGAAAGGACATATAGGATATGGTTCGACGCGCAATGATGAGATCTATAATCTGGTGCCACTTTCAGGCCCTCAAATTACCGTATTCCGGAATTATGCCGGAAATACCTCGAAAAAACCAGATTTTCCGGTCTGGCAGTCCAACATGTCCATGAAGTCGGACTGCCGGTGGGCCGTGTGAGGTATGGTTCGATGTGGAATAACAAGCTCTACAATTTGATACCGCTCCCATAGCTGGAAATCATCGTATTCCGGAATTAATCCGGAAAAACTCTCAAAAAGGCACTTTTCATTTAAAACCCCCAAAATGTCTCGGAGACGGACAGCCGGTTGGGTATGCAGGATATGGTTCGATGTTCGATTCTACAATTTACTGAGCACCCAAGAACCCCAATGCTTACTACATGCAATAATTCAAATATTCAAACAAATGCTTCTTTCCGTTTTCCCGATGAAATACTTGTTACCTGCAATGTTGCATTGTTAACAATCTCAAATTTTTTCCGGCGCTCCGCGCCGTCTTCCCCCCGCCCTCCCGGCAGTCCCTGCCCCGCCACCAAAATCCCGGCAGTCCCCATTTTGCAGATCTACCTACCTTGCCCACCCCTGCTTTAAACACACTACCCCTATTTATAGTTAAAAACGACTGTTTTTCTAAACGTAAAAGCTTGACAAAGGTTTATTAAAAAAATACAAAAAATATAGTTTTTCGACGAAAAAAAGACAGTTTTTGACCCAATTTCGACTATTTGAACTTTTTTGGATAAATTTATAGTTGAAATATAGATTTATTTTGTTAGAACGATTATTAAATTACTATGAAGTTACTAGACTTTTCTAGGCTTATACAATTTTTTTTTGTTTAGGTCATCTCCCGCTGAACGCCGCCTCCCCGTTTGGGCCGGCGACGGTCGGCTTCGTGACGTCGGGCTGTCCGAGCCCGTGCTTGGGCAAGAATATTGCCATGGGGTTTGTGATGGCTGGAAAGGAAGTAATCTTCGTTTTTAGGTACGTCGACACGCCCTACGCGAAGGAGGGTACCGTGCTTGACGTCGACTTCGGGACCAAGCAGACCAAGGTAAGGCTGCGATTGCTTTTGTTCTCAAAGGCCTATTTTCAGGTCACCGTCGCCAAGATGCCGTTCCTGAAGACGAACTACTACACCGGGAAAAAGAATTGATTTTTCTAAAGGATTTTGTGATTAATTTTGTCTCTCGGATTTCTGCCATCGCATTTTTGCTCATCTCTCTGTGATCACTGAGCTCAGCCAACCGTTATCGCATGTATCTTGATTGTATTGTAGGTTAGATCGGCTATAGTAGTGGGTTGATTTGTATAAATGGTTCGTATTTGATCAGCTACAGCGGAAACACTTCCTCGGATTGGAATTACTTATTTGATGGAGGGGTGATAATGGCACGACGCGCTCATCGCCAAAAGGGAACATTCAAGTTTTTTTCCGGGGAATAGTCGAGGGTTTCTTTCGTCTACCTTTCTACAAAGTAAAGTTTTAAAGTTTCTTTTTTCTAAAATTTTCGCGCGGAGGATTCGATGGCGTAAGCGTCCGCAGCCAGCGCGCTGGATCTGCGCCCGTCGATAGTACAGGGGGTACTGGGCGACGTGTTCGCCGATGACACTGCCGATTTTGCCATCGGAAGTGGTCTCAAAAATTAGTGGAGAACTTTCATTTGATTTTTGAAAAATTAGATTTACTTTATGCCTTTTTCTGTCTGACTGCCAAGCTTTACTCGATCTCCTTATCCTCATGTCATTTTGCGAGCTTCAACTTTCTGATATTGCAACTTTAACAATATTTATTTCCAGATGGCGACTTGGGAGGAGTTCATCGCCAATCAACAAGCCGTTGATGGCGTGCAGTTCTCGTGGAACACGTGGGTTCCCATATTTTTGCCTGAAAATTTCCATTTTTAGCTGGCCACACTCGAGGGTCGATGCGCAGCGTCTCGTCATCCCGTTGTCTTGCTTTTTCACGCCACTCAAGGTACATTTATTATTGAGAAAGAAAGTAATCCTACTTAGGAACGGCCGGCAGATCAGCCCCAGCAGCCGCCGCTCGAATATGACCCGGTGCTGTGCTCGAAGGCACAGTGCAAAAGTATTCTCAACTGTTATTGGTTGGTTTTTCGTGTTTTCGAAGCAAATACGATTAAATAGAAGAAAAGAAAGTCAAGGAAATGATAAGATTTCGGATACCATAAAACAAAGTTAAAGTAATGAATAGGAAATAATGAACTTTTTCAGCATGGTCGACTACCGCGCCAAGACGTGGGTCTGCGCCCTATGCGGCAATCGAAACGCCTTCCCGGCCCACTACGCCGCCATCTCCGAGCAGAACATGCCGCCCGAGCTGTACCCACAATTCTCCACCATTGAATACACGCTGAAGGTACTTTCTCGGAATTTATTGTGGATTTTAATGACATTTTGAAAATGAACTCGGATTTACCTAAAAATTTGTTTGAAAAGTTCTTTTAGAAAGCGACGACCATGCCGCCAATCTTCCTCTTCGTCATCGACACGTGCCTGACCAGCGAGGAGCTGAAAGCACTCAAGGAGAGCATTCAAACGGCCATGGCGCTGCTGCCCGCCGAGGCGATTGTCGGGTTGATCACCTACGGGCGCATGGTGCAACTGCACGAGCTCAAGGTGTCCGGCATCTGCAGGAGCTACGTGTTCAAGGTAATTTTAGATGGTGCTCGACATTTTTCGATCAAAGCTCGTCGAATTTTTGTAGTAGCAATTACTTTTGATAACCATTGGCTTAGGAGACCCTACGATAAGATCCTTGAAAAGCATGTTTAACAGACCTGATTAGGTTGTTAAAAGTTTTCAGACGAGCTTTCGCCTTCTAAGATGGTCTTCTAGTTTTCTGAAATACATATTTCAATTCAGGGCACGAAAGAAGTCAACCCCAAGCAAATCCGCGACATCCTGGCGATGCAAATTGGCGGCCGCGGCCCGGGGGGACCGCAAGGAGGAGCCCCTGGCGCGATGGGAGGTGCCCCCGGTGGGCCGGGAGGTCCTGGTGGCCCCGGAGGGCCCGGCTTGCCTGGAGGACCTGGAGGACCGCAAGGTTTGCCGTAATTTCCCCACTAAAAATATGTTTTAGGGATGCCCGGCGGACCACGTCCTGGCGGCCCACCCGGCCCGGCCGGTGCCGGCCCGATGCCGATGGGACCCGGCGGAGCCCCCGGCGCCCCGAGCATGTCCTTCAACAAATTCTTGCAGGTAAATTTGTAAATGAATAAGCATTATGTATTTAATTGACATTTTTTAAATTTATAAATTATAAATTCTGTATTTTTAGCCGATCTCTGAATGCGACGAATCGATCAACGACCTCATCGACGCTGTCGTCGTCGATCGCTGGCCCGTGCCGCAAGGACACCGCCCGTTGAGGGCCACTGGAGCCGCGCTTTCCGTGGCTGTCACTTTGTTGGAGGTGTGTGGTTTTTCCAGCCTGAAAAGGCATGCATTTTTGAGAGTAGTAGAACTTCCACCTTTTAAACTGTTCGAATTTAATTTAAAGGGCTGCCGACGGCATGTGTCGATCCACCCCATCAACAAATTGGCAAGTAGCCAACAGGGCAGAGAGCGCGCCCAGGGGGAGAGGCGCATAGACATTTTCTTTCCAGCGCGTAACCGATTGATTATGCCGTCGGCATCCCTTTAATCTTTCAACACAATTTTTTCTAGACCTGCTTCCCCAACACTGGCGCCCGGATCATGAACTTTATCGGTGGTGCCTGCACGCACGGCCCTGGCATGGTGGTCGGCGAGGAGTTGAAGGTATCTTTGGCCTTAATTTGCCATGTTTTTGTCTTGTAGAACCCAATCCGCTCGTGGCACACGATCAAGGAGGACAACGCCAACTTCATGAAGAAGGCCAACAAGTTCTACGACTCGCTGGCGGCGCGCGTCGTCAAGAACGGACACGTCGTCGACATCTACTCGTGCGCCCTCGACCAAACCGGGTTGGCCGAGATGAAGAACCTGTACAACTCGACGGGCGGTAATTTTTTTGAGATTCAAAAATTTTCTGATCGAGGAAAAATAGTTATCCACATTTTTTTCAGGCCACGTTGTGATGGGCGACTCGTTCAGCTCGTCGCTGTTCAAGCAGACCTACCAGCGCGTCTTCGACAAGGATGGCTACGGCAACCTGAAGATGGGCTTCAACGCCACCATGGAGGTTTGATTCGCTTCTTCGGCATCAATCAGTTTTTTTAGGTGAAAACTGGAAATGGGCTAAAAATCGAGGGGCTGCTGGGGTGCTGCTCGAGCGGCGCTGTCAAGAACGCCTACGTGTCGGACCAGGAGATGGGCATTGGTTCGTTTAGATTTTTTTTCTAGTGAGTTTTATTTGAGGTTAGGAATTGACTTTTCAATTTCATTTTTAGGTGGCACCTGTCAATGGAAATTCGGCGCCCTCTCCCCAAGGACGACCGTCGGCGTACTCTTCGAAATCGCCGGGCAGCACGGCACTGCACTTGCCCAGGGCAGCCGCGGTGTCGTCCAGTTTGTCACGCAATATCAACATGCTGATGGGTCGGCTTTTAAAATTTCTGTTATATTTATTTGAATTTATCGTTTTTACCCCCTCACTTACAGAAAGAAGCGCATCCGGGTGACGACGACCTGCCGCTCGTGGGCCGACATGAACTCGCAACAGGCCAACATTGCCTACGGCTTCGACCAGGAGGCAGCGGCCGTCGTCATTGCCCGATTGGCCTCGTGGAGGGCCATCAACGAGAACGACACCCCCGAAGCGCTGCGCTGGCTCGACAGGACCCTCATCCGACTGGTGAGCGGCTTCTTCGTGTTTTTTTAAAACAAATTCCGTTGCAGTGCCAAAAGTTTGGCGAGTACCACAAGGACGACCCGGCCTCGTTCCGCCTCACCGACAAGTTCTCCATGTTCCCGCAGTTCATGTTCCATCTCAGGAGGTTCGTTGATTTTTAGCAATAGCAAAAATCGTAACTACGTGTTATCCATGCAATTACGGGAAAAAGGGACCTTCAAATTTACGTAACTTTCTCTAGGTCCCAATTCCTGCAAGTGTTCAACAACTCCCCCGACGAGACGGCCTACTACCGCCACATTCTCTTCTCGGAGAACGTGCTCGAGTCGACGACCATGATCCAACCCGTGTTGTTCAGCTACTCCTTCAAGTGGGCGATTTTCCTTTTCTTAGAAACTTTTCGTTTTTCAGCGGTCCTCCAGAGCCGGTGCTGCTCGACTCGTCCTCCATTCTGCCCGACCGCATCCTGTTGATGGACGACTACTTCCACGTGCTCATCTACCACGGCCAGGTTTGTGGGTTGTACTTGACACCAAACTCCGCCATCTTCAGACAATCGCCGCCTGGCGCAAAGCCAAATACGACGAGGACCCGCAGTACGCGACGTTCAAGCAGCTGCTCGAGGCGCCGGTGGCCGACGCGACTGCCATCCTGCAAGAGCGATTCCCGATGCCCCGCTACATTGTCACCGAATACGAGGGATCCCAGGTATCGCCATTTGGCGTTGTTCGCCTACTGTCCCGTCCCTTTAGGCCCGTTTCCTGCTCTCGAAGGTGAACCCCTCGACGACGCACAACAACCCGTACGCGACGGACGGTGGCGCGGCCGTGCTCACCGACGACGTCAGCTTACAGGTTTGTCGAGATTTCAGTACACTTTTCGAAGTCCATATTTGCCATAAATCACCTTTGTCACTTGTCGCAAGTCTATTTTCGAAAATCTTGATATCGAAAAAGCCTGTCCCTTTATCGGGTGGGGGGGGGCGGACACAAAATTTTTCTTGGCATCGTTTTTCTCAAATAGAAATAGCGGAAGTGTTTCTAAATGGTTTTTGCTATTACTAAACCTGAAAACTATGCAAAATTTTATTTTAAAAATGCCAAATATTGATTTTTCGACCAAAATTTCGTCTTTTATGTCACTAAAAATATTGTAGTAATTACTATTTATTGACCAAATTAATAAGGCTTGCCAAAAACGATTTTCCGGGATATGATTTTCGAAAAGCCTTTTTTCGACGCCTCTGAACCCCTTTATTTCCAGGTCTTCATGGAGCACCTCAAGAAGCTGGCCAGCTCCTCGTCCACGTAGACGACCACGACGCCAAAGACGTCAATTTTTCACCTCAACGCGCCTTCCCGATTAAATTATATGCCCCGTTCGTTTGGTCGTTCGTTTCTCACCAACCAATTAGCATTGTCTATCTGTGATTTTTCTAGGGTCCTCATTAAATTATTCGCACCCGTCCCGCCGTGTTTCATTGGTCATTCTTTTTTCGTGTTTTTTTTGTGTCTACTACGTGCTTGCTTGTGTCTACAGTAAACCGATTTTCCAAGGCAAAAACTGGATTTTTAAAAAGATTTATTCGTTAAAGCCCACACATAAATATCTTTTCGGTTCCCACGGCATTAATGCAAAAAAAAAAGAAAGAAGAAAAAGCGGAAAAGGAGGAGCAGAAAAAGGGAGGGGACGGCGTAAAAACATTGGGCTTCGGGCGTGAGAAAAGAAAGCATAACTTCTATGGCCTAATTCGGAATTGGATCTAGCGCACAAAAACAGACAGATAGAAATGGAGAGAGAAGGAGCCGAGAGACGCGCAGAGAAAGCGAGAGTCTCGTGTTAAGCGGTAAGGTGATGGAGAGGTGGAGCAGCAGCAGCAGCGGCAGCAGCAACACATCACGACATCGTGCTGGCGGCCGGCAAAAAGTCGGCCAGCGTGGTGGAGTGGCTCTGAAAGGGGGGGGGGGGGCTTGGTTTGGGCTTAGGATAGGCTTAGGACTGGACTGTTAGCGGGGGGGCGGGATAGCGTGAAGCCTAATTTTGACCGATTTCACTGTAGAATACGACGAATAATGAAATACGAATCATTTTTATAGCTTTGAATACCATTTTTTTAGTATAGAAAGACTAGAAAAATCAATAAATTCAAAAATTTTGATTTTTGCTCAATATATCTGAAATTGCCAAAAACTTAAAGATTTTAAAACAATTTACGGCTTTTTTATGGCTTATTAGGACTAAAAGACGAGTGAAAAAAGCTAAAAATTTTGCTACATAGGAAATGCCAGATGTCTCCCCCCGCTAACAGACCAGCGCCTTACCAGGCTTGTTAGGCTTCGGAAGCTTACCGGGACGCCAAAGTTGCGTTGCAGGTGCTCGGTCCAGTGGTTCAGCTGGGGGTTCCGGTCGCCGGGGTCGCAGTGGCACTTCGGCCCGCAGAACGGATGGGCAAAGCCGCAGTCCTGGGCCTGGAATCGAGGGGATTCCCCAAAGAATCTCTGCTCACGCCAGCTATGCCTTGAATTCCACAAAGAATCTCCGCTAGCACGCCCGCTATGCCTTGAATTCCCAAAGAATCTTTGCTAGCATGCCAGCCACGCCTTGCATCCTCCCAAAGAATCTCCGCTAGCCCACCCCACCCACCTGATGAGCGCACGTCGGGTAGAAGCGGCACGTCTCCTTCGGGTGCCACAGCGTGCAGCCGGTCTCCTGGCGGTGGAAGCGGTTCTCCCAGAAGACGCACTGCGGCGCGGGCTTGCGGAAGCGCTCGCGCGCCAGCGCGCCCGGCGCGGCAGCGCCGCCGGGCGTCTTGGCGGCGGCGGGCGGGGCGTTGGTGAGGGGGCTGGCTGGGATGGTGGCGGGCGTGGGCGTGGCGGGCGGCGGCGGGGCGAGCTTGGTGATAAGCGGCGGGGCGGCGTTGAGGCGGAGCCGGGGCGTCTGCGGCGAGGGCGAGATCGGGGCGATGGCGGCGACGGGTTTTTGGCCTAAAGGGGGTTTTTGTCTCAAGAATCTCTGCTAGCTTCCTATTGGTTGCGGGATCCGGTTACGGCCCGTACCCTTCTGCAGGTAGCAATAGTCTCTGTTTCGCGCCCCGCCGGTGCCGCCGCCCGTTCCGCCGCGCTGCTCCTCGACGATCGCGTAGTCGTGGGGCTGGTCGCGGAATGAGCCTGGAAAAGGAGGAATGCATTACGGTATAAAATCCCGTATACTGTGCCCGCGACTACGCTAATAATGTAAAGAGTACCGGGTGTCCCAAAAAAAACGAACCATCTGGCATTTCGCCGTGTTACATCCAATCCGCCCCAAATTTGGACCAGAGGTGTATCAGACCCTAAATAACAACAATCCTGACTTATAGTCCTGTAGCTACAGTCGTTCTCGAGTTATAACGATAATACTGTTTTTTCGGAATCCTGAACAGTTTTTTCGGCTATCTTTTTGGACTTTGCATCGATTTGCATCCACTTCCGGCTGCGAATCCCTAATTTCGATTAAGAACTTGGGTAATTTTGTGTTGTAAAAATAGCTTAAATCGAAGCTGATTTGATTAATTTTAATCCGCAAAAAATTTCTTAAGGTAAAGAAGGCCTACCGAATCATTTTCACTTAATGTTTATGGGGTCTAATTCCACGAAAACCCTGTGAAAAATGGAAAATAGAGCTTGTTTTTGCGATAACTCGAGAACGACTGTAGCTACGGGGCTAAAAGTCAGGATTGTTGTTATTTAGGGTCTGATACACCTCGGGTCCAAATTTGGGGCGGATTGGATGTAACACGGCAAAATCTCAGATGGTTCGTTTTTTTTTGGGACACCCTGTAATCATGTGTACTACCATGTTTCTTGAACGTCCCCGCACCGGGCGCGGCGCTGCCGCCGCCGCCGCTGGTCACCGCCGGCTTTTGGTAGTGCCCGTTGGGGTTACGGTGGTCGACGTACGGGGCCACCGGATCCGGAAAGTCACGGCGAAGCGGTTGATGAGTTGCCCGGTGACGGTACCCATCTTCGGCCTAGAGAGCAAGGTGTTCAGTTCACTAGCTAGCTAGCCTAAACCAAAGGCTAAGCCTAAGCCTAAGCCTAAGCATACTTTCCTCAATAATCTCTGCTATCTCCTCACCGTCTTCCCAACATTGCCCGGGCTGTAGCGTCGATTGTTGTAGTTCGTAGCCTGAGTCTTCTGGCGCTGCTCACGGTCACGCTCGCGCAGCTGCTGGGCCCCAATGGCGAACGGGTCGCGCGGCTGTCCGAACGAGGCCGACGACGCGCCCGGCGCGTCGGAATTTTGGCGCTTCGCGTCGCTGGGCACGCGTGGCGGCTTCCGCGCTGAAATTCAGGTTAAAGGCTAGCAAGACAATTCGGGAAATACCCTGAAAATTGGAGGCGTCGCCGTTGTGGCGTTGCGCAGCGTAGCCGTGCTGCTCGGTGTTGTTGTTCAGCTGCCGTGCGGCCGCCTGCCCATTCCAGGCGGTCTTTTTGGGTGGCTTTGGCGGGACGGCGGGCGGGGGAAGGTGGATGGCCGTCGGGAGGGAGAGCCTGGAAATTCGGGCGGTTCAGAAATTCCTCAAATTCTCGCTGCCAGCCTGCCCGCTTCAAAACCACGCACAAACTCTTCGGCGACGTCGCAGCGGCCACGTCGGCAGGTTGGTAGCCGACGGCTAAGCAGACGCGGTTCAGCAGGCTCTGCAGGCTGAAGGGAAGCTGCTTAAAGGGACGGTGACAGGCCCACCTGCGGTGCGTCTCCTCGACCGTGTCGGCCTCGATGACGATGACCGCCTCGCGGGTGACCTTGTTGAAGTGGGCCATGTGCTGGTCGGGGCCAAGCTGGGCCCACAGCTCGACGACTGGCATTGCGGGGACCTGGAAACAAGGGCAGGCTAGCAGAGATTGTTGAGGAAGAGGAGAGGGCAGGTTAGCAGAGATTGTTGAGGAAGAGGAGAGGGCAGGCTAGCAGAGATTGTTGAGGAAGAGGAGAGGGCAGGCTAGCAGAGATTGTTGAGGAAGAGGAGAGGGCAGGCTAGCAGAGATTGTTGAGGAAGAGGAGAGGGCAGGTTAGCAGAGATTGTTGAGGAAGAGGAAAGGGTCAGAGATCGTATGGGAAACTACCTGCAACAAGAAGCAGCGCGATCCGATGAATGGCTGGGCGGTCTTCAGCTGTTCCTCATCCTCCGTCCCATCCCCATCCTCCTCGTCGTCCACATCGTCATCGTCGTCCGGCTCCTTGGGCAGGCTACCAAAGATCAGTCGGGAATCCCCACCTGCTGTCCCCAGTCCAACAACTCGTCCATGGTCAGCGCCTCATCGGCGTAGTCGGTGAAGGTGGGGTCAGCGCCGGCAGGGTGGACGATCACGAGCCGCCAGTGTTTGCGCTGCAGGTGCGTCAGCGTCAACGAGTAGTTGCCGGCGTCTGGAAGGGGGTTAATGGTTTCTGCTAGTCTGCCCTCACCGGCGATGAGCACCATCAGCCCCGGGTCCTCAGCCTCATCGTCGGCTAGTCGTTCCATGGCCTGACAGATCTGGTCGACGGCTCCGGAGCGTTGCACGTGTACGATGGGGCCCGACTGGAAGAAGGGTGTGAGCCTAAGCCTAAGCCTAAGCCTAAGGCTAAGGCTAACCTAAGCCTAAGGCTAACCTAAGCCTAAGCCTAAGCCTAAGCCTAAGCCTAAGCCTAAGCCTAAGCCTAAGCCTAAGCCTAAGCCTAAGCCTAAGCCTAAGCCTAAGGCTAACCTAAGCCTAAGGCTAACCTAAGCCTAAGCCTAAGCCTAAGCCTAAGGCTAACCTAAGCCTAAGGCTAGCCTAAGCCTAAGCCTAAGCCTAAGCCTAAGCCTAAGCCTAAGGCTAACCTAAGCCTAAGGCTAACCTAAGCCTAAGCCTAAGCCTAAGCCTAAGCCTAAGCCCAAGCCTAAGCCTAAGCCTAAGCCAAAGCCTAAGCCTAAGCCTATTCTCCCACCATCCTCTGCTCGACCATGTGGATGAGGGCGGTGTTCGTCGTCCGCGCGTCGCAGAACAGCATCAGCTCCAGCCGCTCGGCCAGCGTTTTGGCTTGAATCTGAAAGGGGTTTAAAAGGCTTAAACGGATTAAAAGGATTGAATTCGGCCTATGAGACTTAGGCTTAGGCCGAGGCTTGGGCTTAGGCGATACCTTTAAGAGGAATTCCTGGATCTGCTCCTTGGGCAACGGCGCCGACAGGTAGTTCCAGAAGGCGTGCACCCGCTGGTAGCTCCGCTCCGAGGGCATCCTGAAGAGGGTCGGCTTAGCTTCGGCTTAGGCTTAGTTAGCTTGGCTTACTTGACTTCGCCTGGCTTTAGGCTTAAATTCAAAACCCGAAAACAGACCTGTTAAGTGTGGAGACCGGACTGTAAAGAAGTTAAGGGGATGTAATGAAGTTTTCCCGCGCAATTTTGCTATTTTACACTTAAACCGATTGATTTCGTATTCTAAGGTTCATATGCAAATTATGGGATGTATCTAGTAAAACCTCGTATGCAACTTTCATGCTAGTTTGGAAGATTCAAGTCAGAATGGTGCTTTCTCTGCAACATTTTCTCTCGCTGTCTCCTCTCTCTCTCTCTCTCTCTCTCTCTCTATCTCTCTCGCTTTGAAACATAATTTGGAAGCATATTCCGACGTGGTTTTGCAGGCAGATTCCGAAAAACATGGCCGGAATCACTTTCGCCAGGAAAATTGCCCTCTAAAATGGTTTTGAAGTCTAAGAAAATTTCTCTCTCCCTCTCTCTCTCTCTCTCTCTCTCTCTCTCTTTCTCTCTGACTCGACAATGTTTATTCATTAAACGCACACAACAGGGACACAGGGACACGCGAGGACATTAAAAACACCAAAAAGTATCGTAGCAAAAAAGGCTTCGGGGCTTCAAAAGGAGATCGGTAAATGGGGGCGTCCGTTTCTATCCGCGCTGACGGTCGCACCCCTTGCTGCGGCGGCGACGGCGGTCGCGCCGGCGGTGGCTGCTGCCGCTGCTGCTCGCGCTATCCGACGTGTCGCCGTCGTTCTTACGGGAGCTCTGGAAATGAGAGAAGTTCCTTAAGAATCTTTGCTAGGCTGCTCTCTCCTTTTCCTCAACGATCTCTGCTAGCTTGCCTTGATGGGCGGCGGCGGGGGAGGCGGGGTCGTGTTATTCTTCTCGACGATCGACGCGTTCTCGTAGATGGTCGTCTGCGAGTCGACCTTGGACGGCTGGCCCCAGTCCCAGCCACGAGGGCCACGGTTGACCTCCGTCGGCTGGTCCTCGCCCTGGCCGGCCAGACGCTTCAGCGATTCGCGCTCGCCTGAAAATGGGCATGCTAGCAGAGATTGTTGAGGAAGAGGAGAGGGCAGGCTAGCAGAGATTATTGAGGAAGAGGAGAGGGCAGGCTAGCAGAGATTTATCGAGAAATACCCACATTCCTTCTTGCTGCCCTTGCGCGAGCGACGTCCAGACGAGCGGCCCTTCAAAACCACCCATTCTTCACCCAAATTACCGTACCTTGGAGACGGAGCGGCGGGACCGGGGTGCGGCAGCGGCAAAGTTGTGCTGCTGCTCCTGGCGGCGGCTGAACTGGGGCAACGGCTCGCACGGGCCCATCGAGCGCAGATCGATCCTCACCTAGAGGAGCAGGAGAATTTTTGGCAACGTGTCTCTGCTAGCCTGCCCTCCCCTGGAGAACAAAATTCCTCAAATTGCCTCTGCTAGCCTGCCCCACCCACCTTGACCTCGATGTCCTTGCCGGAGTGGCGGGCGATGGCCAGCTTGTCCTGGATCTGGCTCATGATGCTGTCCATTTGGGTGTTGGTCTGAAATTGGAGGCTTTTCAAGTACAAAAAATTCATTTGCATTCGTTGGATTCCGAAAAATTCAGCTTACCTCGGCAAAACGGCTGACCATCGCTGGGGGTGGCGGGTGGGTGAAAATGGGGGATTTTCCGTGAGGGGCCGGGCTCTAAAATTTTTGGTAAAGAAGGCTGTATGCAAATGGCGGATTCGTCCTGAATACATGCAAAGGATCAGACACACAGACAGACTTGCTGATCCGGCCTCGATTACCCTGGGCGAGTGATGCTCACCGCGATTTTCGGAACCTGCGGGCTAGCCCCGTGCCTAGGTGCAACTTCAAAAAATCGCGGCGACCACATCCGCTCTCTCTGAGTAGCGACCACATCCGCAATCAAGCCAGTTAGGGCTTAAGTGCGTTTACGCCCCCCCCCCCCGCGCCCCAGCCGGCACCCACTTACCGTATCTTGGCTCCCTGTTCATCTACAGGTGTTTAAAGTATATCAAAATACTCGTCAGAGCAAGACGTACATTTTGGTATACTTTACACAGCTGTAGATGAACAGGGAGCCGAGATACAAAAGTTGGGTGCCGGCTGGGAGGTTAAACTGCACTCTAACCCCAGTTAGTACCCCGGAATCAGCGTTCCAAGCCGGTTCGAATAAATTTAGGTTGGAAAACTGATCTTTTGTACCCAAAATGACCGAATTTTTGACGTTTCAAACATTTTTAGAATTTATTTGAAAGTTTTTTTACTTTACACCAGGGTTGAAAAGCCGCTTCGCGCCTTTTCAACCCTGGCCCCCGTCTAGCATCATAATATGCTTCATTTTACATAACTCTCGCGAATTCCGATGACAAAAAAAAAATGAAAATTTCTCCCTCCGCCCATTATATAGACTCGCGCCATTTCCGGCATATGCTAATTGATTCCTAACAAAGTGGGTGCTCCATTTTCTAACAAAAACTTAATTTTAACGTCGAAAATAGCATAATTTGCAAAATCTGATGTGTGTGCAGTCATCTCAGCGCCATTACGCACCTAATGACGTACCATACGTTGCTTAAAACCCTTTCCCTCTCGAGATATCCTCCGGACACCCTGACGGAAGTTGCATGCAAAGTGGCCACACACACACACACAAACACACAGACACTATTTTTTTATATATAGTAGGATATAGTCAAAACTTACCAAAAACAATGCAAAACTACTTTACGTCTGAATTACTAGACGGACCGGGGCCGCCAGGAAAAAAATTTGTCGCGAAAACGAAAAAAGGAAAAAATGAGAGATTTTAGCCATTATTTTCTTTGCAACCTGATATAATCGTTTATTCGCAGTCGGTGAATTAAATGGAGAGAGGAGAGAGGCATTTCAAACAGTTTCTACAAACAACCAATTCAAATTCAGCGAAGGTTGAACGGGCTGAGGGCGGCACGAGGAGGAAAAACGGGCGAACGAAAAATACACACACACAAGAGTACCAAATGCAACACAACACGAAAAGGAAAAAATGATAGGGGGGCATTAAGGGGGGCATTAGCGCTAGAGTTGTCTTCTTCACGTTGCCGACTTTCATTAAAGTGCTGGACAGCAGCCGATCGAGGGATGCCGGTCTGAAAAAAGGAAAGGATCGAGTTTCTATCGTTTTGCCGCTCTTGCTCGCCACGTCTCTCTCTCTCTCTCTCTCTCTCTCTCGCTCTTTCTCTCTCGCTCGTTATCTCTCTCACTCACGCTTTCGCGCCCTTTTGCTCTCGCTCTGACTCTTACTCCCTTTCTCTATCGTTCTCTCTCTTGCTCTCTTTCTCTCTCTCTCTCTCTCTCTCTCTCTCTCTCTCTCTCTCTCTCGCTCTCTCTTTCTCTCTTGCTCTCTCTCTCTCTCTCTCTCTCTCGCTCGCTCTCTGCTAGTTTGCCCTGTTAGCCACGTGAGCTAGATCATTGGTTTTTACAGGCCGCACCTTTAACGGGGTTTCTTGTCGTTGGGCAGGATCCGGGGCTTCTTCTTCGTCATGACGCGTTCCGATTTTTTGGGTAGCTAAGAAACATGCGAATTTTTTTGTAACTTGGATTCTCACATATTGCGGTGCGAGGTAGGTGCTCATGGGACCGGCGGACGCCGAGCGGGTCGCCGTCACCTGGCGCATCATGGTCGGGGGCGCCGGGGCGTGGGTGATTTTCTGGAATCGGGGTTAGCGGGCGGAGCCCGCTAACCCCTTTTGGTTTGGGATACCCCCCCATACGACTCTTTTGAGGTCCTTTTCCGGATTTAAAAAAGAACCACGCATCGGATCGCAAAACTGAATACACCATCGGAACCGGCGACACTTTTTACATACTATAAGATTTTAAAATTTGAAAAAAAAGTAAAATTTCGAATTTTAACAGCCGATTTAAATTGCGTTTCGAGGGGGAGGGTCTGCGTTTGTTTGTATGTCTGTGCGTACGCAAAACCTTTGTAGTCGTCAAAAAGTGTCTTCCCATAGTCCGTTTGGGCTGAAATTTTCCACATATATCGACTTGATGTAAATGAAGGTGAGGAAGAAGCGTTTTTTTCAAATTAGGCTTTTAAAAAATTTATATTGAATTTTCAAGTTTAAAAGCTAAATTGGGGCCAAAACAAGGGTTTGTGATGTCCGTTTGGGCTGAAATTTTGCTCAAATAGGAATTAGACCTTGCCGGAAAAAGTAAAGAAAAGATTGCATCGAAAGAATGCTTCTTCTCTGAGATATTATAACTTTAAACCTTCGCCATACGGGGCGCCACCCTCCCCTTTGGCGCCCCTGTCCCGAGTCCGGGCGGGCGGGTCTAGCTTCCCCAAGACAGGACTCCAGTCTCCCGGTTGGCGTAGTGGTTAGCACGCTGTACTGGGAAGGCTTGGCCGCCGAGTTCGAACCCCACCCGAAACATGGTTTTTGCCGATTGGTCCCCGTGTAACCTTATGGTTTCTAGTGCCGTTACACAGCGCCGCAGGCAAATTTTTTTGAAGTTGTGCGTACAAGGGTTCATCTGAATAAGTATTCCTTGACTTATTTTACGATCTTAACAATAAGATTGAGGCAAAAAGGGCTAAATTCTCTCTAAGGTTAAAAAGAGTCTTTTCAAAAAAGGGCTTTTGGTTTTCGCAAAAAGAGAAGAATTCTCGTGGCAACAAAAAGAGCTAAATTCCTTTCAAACTCTTAAAAATGCCACAGAATGTGGGATCAACCAAAAGTTGCTGGCACCTTATTAAAATGGACAGATCCAGTTTCTAGCGGTTTCGGCTTTCAAATAATTGCTGTATTATCTTCTATTTGCACTTTCTTGAAATTAATCTGCGGGCCTGACCTCTGATCTGGGATGATACCGAGTTTATTAAGATTTTAAATAGCCAGCAATTTTTTGTTGTTCCCGCATTTTGTGGCATTTTTAAGAGTTTGAAAGGAATTTAGCTCTTTTTGTTGCCACGAGAATTCTTCTCTTTTTGCGAAAACCAAAAGCCCTTTTTTGAAAAGACTCTTTTTAACCTTAGATAGGATCTCTCTCGCTCGTTCTCGCGCGCTCTTCTTCTTCTCTCTCTCTCCCTCACTCTCTCTCTCTCCCTCTCTTTCTCTTTCTCTCGCCTACCGTAGCCTGTGGCGTTGGGGGCGGGGCCTTCTTCTCGGGGGCAACTATGCTGGGTTGTGTCGGCTGTGTTCCAGGGGATGAGGGCTTGTTTTTGCCCTTTTTCTTCTTCTCATCCTAAAACGAGCATGGACTCGACCGCGGTGGGATTATTTTAAAGGGGCGGTGACAGCTGTCCACACCTACCGAGTTCAAATCCGGCTCCCACTCGAAGGGCAGGTGCGGATCGTTTTTGGGTTCTCGCGCGAGGAGGGACTAAAATTTTTCCTTTCTCTTTTATTCTCTCTCCCTCTCTCTCTCTCTCTCTCTCACTCTTTTACTATCTTCGCATAACCGCGAAGCCTAAGCCTAAGCCTAACCTAAGCCTAAGCCTAAGCTTAACCTAAGCCTAAACCTAAGCCTAAGCCTAAGCCTAAGCCTAAGCTTAAGCCTAAGCCTAACCTAAGCCTAACCTAAGCCTAAGCCTAAGCCTAAGCCTAAGCCTAGGCTTCCCCGTTTGAGCCCCACCTCAAGCAGCGTGGCCAGCTGAGGGTAGTCGGGGCAGTGGACGTCGAGCTCAAAGTCGAGGATGTCGTACATCTTTTGGAATTGGATCGGCATTCGCTTCGAGACGCGCTGCTTCTTCTGGTCCTTCATGTTGAACACCTACAACTTGATGGCATTGCTGCGGCTCTGAAAGACACCCGGGGATCGAACCCGCATCATTTCCCCCCCGGATCTAAGATCTAACCGTCTGCGCCAACCTGCATGTCATCGACGAGATGGGACCAGGGAAGGCGGCCGTCGGCGAGTTCGCACAGCGTGTAGTAGAAGGCCACCAGGTCGTCCACGGCGCACTAATGAAAATCGGAGATGGTTGCTGCTAGCATGTTCTCCTCTTCCTCAACAATATCTGCTAGCCTGCCCTCTCCTCTTCCTCAACAATCTCTGCTAGCCTGCCCTCTCCTCTTCCTCAACAATCTCTGCTAGCCTGCCCTCTCCTCTTCCTCAACAATCTCTGCTAGCCTGCCCTCTCCTCTTCCTCAACAATCTCTGCTAGCCTGCCCTCTCCTCTTCCTCAACAATCTCTGCTAGCCTGCCCTCTCCTCTTCCTCAGCAATCTCTGCTAGCCTTCCCTCTCCTCTTCCTCAACAATCTTTGCTAGCCTGCCCTCTCCGCTTCCTCAACAATCTCTGCTAGCCTGCCCTCACCGTACCTGATCGTATCGCCGATGCGCGTTGAGTGAAGCGTAGCGTACCGTACCCCGGAAGCCGATCCCATTTCGCCGGGTGATCAGCTTGCCTGAAATTTTTTGGATCAGGGCAGGCTAGCAGAATTTATTTGGGGAATTTTCCGGTTTTCACCGCACCTTTGGCGTCTCGAATTTCCCGGGCGAGGCCGAAGTCGAGCAGGTAGATGATGCGCTGCTTCTCGCCGCGTTGGCCGATGCACATGTTGTGTGGCTTGATGTCCCTAGAGGCAGAGGTAGGCTGGCAGAGAATATTGATGAAGCTAGGGCAGGCTAGCAGAGATTATTGAGGAAGAATTCCGAGGCACACCTGTGTACATATCCCTTTTTGTGGAAGACCTCCATGGCTTTGAGGCCCTGAAGTCCGATGCGGTAGACGGTGACGGCCTCCAGTCTGAAAGACGAGAGATCGGGAGAGAGAGAGAGAGAGAGACTGAGTGAGAGAAAGCTAAAAAGCTACCTCTGTTCCGGTCTCCGCTTCCGCAACTCGGCCAGATTCGGTCCTAGCAGGTCCATGACCATGTAGTTGAACGTCCGTTGGCCGATCGTCTCCTTGCCGCTCGAGTACTGTAGGAAAGGCGCGGTTTAAAGGTCCATTTAAGGCAAAAACTAGGTCTGAGAGGTTTTTCTCCTCAAATGGTCTCTGCTAGCTTCCCTTGCGGCTTCCAGTCGATTTTATAGGCCCATCGAAGCCAAATTTTCGACGCATGCTTACCAGCTTGGGAAAGTTGGGCATGCCGGAGAGGTCGCGGAGGATCTTCTGCTCGAGGACGGCTCGTTTCGCCTCGGTGGCGCGTTGCTGACGGACCACTGCTTTCACGGCTACTTCGAGGTCTTTCTGAAACCGCGTAAGCTACGGTAGTTGGGGCAAAAAAATAGGAAAACGGAAAAACTGAGATGGAACTGACATCATTTGAGAGGACGCGGGCCCGGTAGATTTGGCCGAAGCTGCCGGCGCCGACTTGCTGAAAAATTGGGGACTTGCCTCTTAGCGGGTGGGGGGGAATAGCTTACGACCTATATTAAAATATAAATCATTTTTATGGCATTTTACATAGTTTTGAGATAAATAACTCATCAAAATTGCAAAAATTTCCGAAAATGTGTTTTTTTTGGTCAAAATGGTATGAAAATCAACAAAAAAGCCAGCCTTTTAAATTTACGAAAATTTGAAAAAGTGATAAACTGAATAAAACAATAATTTTATTGCAAATAAAGCCACTAAAATCATTGTAAAAAATTCTATGTATTATTAGCAGATATTATCAACGGGCTCTCACCCTCACTCTCTCTCTCTCTACCCTCTCTTTCTCGCTGTCGTTCTCTCTCTTGCTCTCTCTCTTTCTCTCTCTCTAGCTCTCTCATCTCTCTCTCTCGCTCTCACTCACCCCAAGAATCCGAAACTGATTCTTCAGCACGTAGTGGTCGGGCATCAATCGTCCGGGCTGCTGGTCGGTATCCTGCGGGTCTCCCTCGGCCACCGCCATCACGCTGACCTTGTGCTAAAAAAATGGGTGATGGCAGGCTAACAGAGACCATTTGAGAATTTTGGCACTCCACTGCCCCAGACCTGGGCAGGCCAGCAGAGATCATTTGCGGAAAAGCTCAACCACCCACCGCTTTCTCCGGTTTGGGCGGCTTTCGCCCCCTCGGGGTTCCGGCCAACGCCATCGGGACGGGGGAGCGGGAATCGTAGAAAAATGCGAGGATTCTCATCGAGTGGAAGATTCCGATGGGTCGATTTGAGTTCCGGTATTTGTATTCAACATCCAAATCTGGGGAAGCTATGTAATTCCTAAAGGATCTTTGCTGGTCTACCTCCCGCGTGCCGAGCTGGTTTTTCCCTAATGAACGCTGCTAGCCTGCCCGAACTCACCAAAAATCATACATCAACCCTTTTTGCTATTTTGTGGAAAAGCGCTGTTTGGCATGTAGTCACTCGCCTTCCTCAATGAATGGTGCTTGCACCGGAAATTGATTTACCTTGGGTACGGTGAGCATGCGCTACAACCTATTTACGGGTACGCGCCGAAACTCCACTCGTGATATGGTTATTTTGGTATTGTCGAGTCCAGGTTCCTCAACAATCTCTGCTAGCCTGCCCTCCCCTCTTCCTCAACAATCTCTGCTAGCCTGCCCTCTCCTCTTCCTCAACAATCTCTGCTAGCCTGCCCTCTCCTCTTCCTCAACAATCTCTGCTAGCCTGCCGCTACTTCACACAATCTCACCCCCAATGATCTCGGCTAGCCTACACGCCTCCACTTTTTCACCGCCGCCCAATCACACTTTCTGTTTCCCGGTATTGTCGAAAATTGGCAAAAATAATCAAATCTGAGCGCCATTTACGCGTGGCACAAATTTCCTCCCGATTGGGGGGCATTTGCAATTTTTCTCATTTTTATTTCTGATTTTTGGGCATTTGGGAAATTCGTGGCTAGCAGAGATTGTTGAGGAAGAGGGGAGGGTAGGCTAGCAGAGATCCTTTAGGCGGGATTCTCAGTATTCCTTTGACTTTCAACTCCACGTGCTGAGCAAAAATCTCCCAAAACGAACACAAACTTAAATTTTCAGCTGCTCCCGTCGCCCACTCATTCATTTTAACTAGGACCCTCTTTTGCGCTCTTTTTCCCTTTGATTCCCAGAGCGTGCGTTTTTTTGAGGGTGTAGTGGAAAGGTGAAAAGTGTGGAGTGTAAAATGTGGAATCAGAATGTATAAACGCATAGCCCAAATGATCTCTGCTAGCCCGCGCTTTTCCGCAACTTTTCTAGTCTGGCTCCATTCTGCCCTCGATCGTTGAGAGACCAACGATCCGTCATTTCCCTTCGACTGCAAATTGCGTTCATTATTTGGTGGCGGCGGCGGGGCCCATTTCTCGGGTCCCGCCACGAAAACCCATCAACCGATTTTTCGCAACCGTTAATGGTATATGGTAGCCCAAAAAGTTCACAGTTTTTGATTTTTTGGTTTGTCGTACTTGCAGTATCTTGCTGTCCGAAGCCCAAGCCTAAACGTAAACCTCAACCTAACCCTAAACTTAAGCCGGAGTCTAAGTCTAAGTCTAAGCCTAAGCCTAAGCCTAAGCCTAAGCCTAAGCCTAAGCCTAAGCCTAAGCCTAAGTCTAAGTCTAAGCATATCCTAAGCAAAGCAAATGCTTCTAAATTCTGATTTTTTAAAATATGATTTTTAGAATAGGTACTGGACTATGATTGGGGGGCTTAACGGGGAAATGCTATTTTTTTGCTTTTTTTCGACGACTCCTATCTTTTGCTGTAAATAATACATTTTTTAGCGCCATTGTTACAAAAAAAAATTTAAAAAATTTGGAAATTAGAATTTTTTGCCTTTTTGGTCATTTCTCATATATTTTTTTGTAAAATGTACTTTTTCCTGTTTTTTTTTAATCTAAAAGCTATGCAAAATGCGCTAACAGCTTTCCAAAAATACTTTTCGAAATTTCAGGTGCTCTACAGTATGCGGGTCCCCGAATTCCAGCCGATAATCGTGCTATCCACTACAATATTGTCGTTTGTGGTCAATGGCATACTGCTGTTCTTGATCATCTACCACACGAGGGAGCAGATGAGGGTGTACTCGCGATTTATGCTCTCGTTTGCGTTATTTAACACGATCTACCCGTTGGTGTGCTTTTTCGTGGCGCCGGTAAGTTCGCGCAAATTCTTTGCGGAATATTGGAGAATCGGGCAGGCTAGCAGAGAGTCTTTAGCAAAGTCAAGGAAATCGGGCAGCTAGCGGAGATTATTGAGGAATATAGAAGGGCAAGCTAGCAGAGATTCTTCAGGAAAGAGCAAAACTCGGCAGGTTAGCAGGGATGCTTCAGGAAAACTGCAAAAAGGCAGGCGAGCATGGTTTTTTGCGGAATTTATATGCAGAAGGAGGGCAGGCTAGCAGAGATTCCCTAGGAAATCGCGGGAAAGAGGCCGGATAGCAGAGATGCTTTGAGAAAATCGAAAACCAGGCAGACTAGCAGAGATTCCTTACGAAAATCGCAAACAGGGGCCTGCTAGCAGAGATTCCTTAGGATTCTCGAGTTGGGTAGGCTAGCAGAGATTCTTTAGGAAGGCAAGGCAGCAGAGATCTTTGCAGATCCTCTTCGCCTCCGGCAACGGCTTCATGATGTTCACCACCGGCATCGTCACCTCCGTCCCATTCTTGGCCTTTTTCGGCCTGTTGATGTACGTGTCGGCGTACGCGCAGTCGTTGGCGCTGCTCTGCTTCCACTTCATCTACCGGTATTCCCTCGTGTGCAAGTGGGTGAATTTTCCCCAAATTGTCTCTGCTAGCCTGCCCCGGAAATGGATCTCTGGGAATTCCGGAAGGACCTCTGCTAGCCTGCCCATTTTCAGAATGCGCTTCCTGCGCGAGATGGACCCGTGGGAGGTGTGGTGCTGGCTGATCGGACTGTACTTGGCGATGGCCTGCGGCTATTGCCTGAACGCGTACGTCTTCTTGGTCGAAGACCCCGTCGTGCAGGTAGCAAAAAAATCCTAGCTGGCACCACCCCTTTAACCGTAATTTTAGGCTCACTTCGAGAAGCCGTTCCGAGAAAAGTTTGAGGACAATATTTACTCGCTGATGACGTTGGGAGGGGTGTATTTTGTAAGTTCCCAAAAAAATCAGATAGCGTGCCCTCTTCTCTTCCTCTCTGCAATGTCACCAATTTCAGGCAACGGATGCAAAAACTGGCGAGCATCGTTTTTATTGGAAATCGTGGGTGGGCACGGTAATTTGCATGGTCGTCATCTCGTCTTCTTTCGTACTCATTACATTTTGTGGGAGAGCAATTTACAGGTATTTTTTGAGATCGTTCTAGGGCATTCTAGCAGAGATTGTTGAGGAAGAGGAGAGGGCAGGCTAGCAGAGATTGTTGAGGAAGAGGAGAGGGCAGGCTAGCAGAGATTGTTGAGGAAGAGGAGAGGGCAGGCTAGCGGAGATTCTTCCTGGAAAATCGATTCCAAATCCATTTTCCAGGGCAATCCTCGAGTCGTCCTCCTCGGAAAAGACGAAAAAGGCGCAGATGGGCATTTTTCGGGCGTTGATTATACAGGTATTTGGAAATTCATGCAAATAATGCGATTTCTCGAATTTTTCAGACGCTTATCCCGGTGGTTTTTGAATACGTCCCGAGCGGAATTATTCTGCTTTTTCCAATTTTTGGAATCTCGTTGGATACGACTTTCGTGACGATATCTTTCGGTTTGTCTTTGTTTACATTTTGAGGAAGTTGAGGTGCTTTCGCATTATCGGGGGGATTTGTTAACTTATAAGGTACAACGTTTCAAATATTAGTAGAGGAGTTATTCATAATTGCATTTTTTTCCGTATTGCTAACAGAGATTCTTACAAATTATGATTAAAAAATATCGACTTTCCACCAACAAAATAATCGATTTTCGACCAAAATGTTAACGAAAATTTGTTAAAAAATGTCAAGTAAAAAAATTTGAAAACTGAGCGTTTTTTGGATTGTTTTTTCATTTTAAATATAGCTGAATTTTACAAAAGCATTACTCAAATACTTGTTGTTACATTCCTAAGCATTTCTGGATTTACAGGACAAAATTTTGTTCGCCCCACCCCCCGATAACGTAAAAGCACCTAAATTTTTCTGCTTCAGGAAACAGCCCTATACAAATGATGCAAATGCTCGGTTTTTAGGCATCTACTCGTTCGTCGAGCCGCTGGCCATGATCTATTTTGTGGCCGACTACCGTAACGCCGTATCGTACTATTTTTGCCGGGCTGCGGGTAGACCCCACGACCGCTCCCTTAAAACCACCGTAAAAGTGATTACGACATTTTAATAGCGATAAATTTTTGAATTTTTAATTCGTTGCAAAATTGCAAGAAAATTATAAACAAGAATATTGCAATAAAATTCTTTAATATATTTAACGAAATAATAAAACCCATATTTGATTTTTCATCAATTTGTTAAGGATACTGTATTTAAAAAATTCCGGATTTTCCATATTTTTCATCGGAAAAATTGGATATTTTCGAAACTGTCGTTTGCTCTTCTCTTCTTTCAAAAGTAGATATAAATATTATTAGCCGTTTTTAGTCATTTTTTAGCAGTGAAAAATTAGTTTTAATCACATATACAAATTTACCCTTTTGTTCCACTTCTTAAAATAGGTTATTAGCAATTTTTGGGTATAAAATCACGAAAACGACAAAAAAGTTATAAAAAGTCAATATTTTAAACTTTATTAAGTCTAAATGCTTAAATTAAACAATTGAAATTAAACAAAATATTGCACAACAAGGGCAAAAACTGGGATCGGGCTGGCGAGGCTGGCGAATTTGGTGGTGGTGGCCGGGGGCTGGCCGGTGGTGCCCCGAAAAATAGTTTAATTTGTGAAGAAACAAAACCGAGGTTGCCTCAAGAATATCTGCTAGCTTGCCGTTTCCAAAACATGGTTTTTCAAATAGCATGAAAAGAAAAATACCAGTTCCAGTCGGGACGGTGGCTCCAGTGGGCGGAGCTTGCCTTGGGCCATCAGTATCTTGCTGAAAACAACATAAGTAGTCGCTCTCTCTCTCTCGCTCTCTCTCTATCCCTCTCGCTCTCTCTCACTCTCTCTCATTCTTTCTCCCTATCTCTCTATCTCTCGCTCTTTTTCCTCTCTCTCTGTCTCTCACTCTCTCACACTATCTGTCTCTCTCTCTAGCCCTCTCTAGCCCTCTCTCGCTTTCCTCTCTCTCACCCTCTCGCTCTCTTGCTAGCTTCTCACTCTCTCGCTCTCTCACCGTCTCGCTCTCTCTCCGTATCGCTCTCTCGCTCGCTCTCTATCTCTCTCCCTTTTCCCTTCTCTCCGTCTCTCTCTCTCTCCTCTTTCTCTGTCTCTCGGTCTCTCTATGTCTCTACTCTCTAGATCTCTCCCCTCTCTCCCTCTCTCGCTAACCTACTCCGGATACAGCAGCTGCCGCGTCAGATCGTACTGTATCGGAGTGAAATGTACGGCATTTCGGAACTTCGGAATTGAACGAAACGAAAACGGCTTCCTTACATTCACCTTATGGTTTGCCAAGAAATTCTGGAGCATCTGGAGGGCCGGGCCGGGTCGGTCGGTGGGGACAAAGTGGCCGGCGCCCTGAATTTCGCAAGACTGATCCTCTCTCTCATCCCAAATGCTCTCTGCTAGCGGCTTCTGGACTCTGACAGGATATGCAACGTCCCCGAAAAGATAGGCAGTCCGGCGAAATAGTTGAACGAATCGGACCTCAAACGGGAATTTGAATCTAGTGTCAGCATCCTGGGTTGCATCCCCGGAACCTTTTCGCGATCTGCATCGCAAGGCGGAAAAGGCTGGTTGGGTGGCATGATGTGTACTGAAAAACTGCGACTTATTCTTCCGACTGAAATCGAATTCTTATTCTGATAAAATGGTGGGTTTGTCTGTCTCTCTCTCTCGCTCGCTCGCTCGCTTTTTCTCTCTCTGTCTGTCTCGGGACTCGCGTCTTCTGAATGTATGTTTCTAGACCCCTCTTCCCGACCTCAATGGCCTTCATCAGGCCGTCGAAGGCTCCTTCATCATCTACGAAACTTCCTGCAGGGCTCTGTCAACGGCCGAAGGCGCTTTTCAGACGGAAGTGAGCCTACCAGGGGCGCGGGGGTACTGGGCTGTTGGGGGGGGGGCGGATGTTGAATTGGGGAAAATGGAATTTTACCTTTCATAGCACCGTTTTCACAGTTTCTAGTTCTTATCCTCATTTTCAGGTCCAAGCGCTGCGACCAGCAGAAGCCGTCGCTCTAGCCGACGAACAGACTCGACTGTTATCGGCCCGAGCCTTCCAACAAGCTGTCGCGTATGAAGGGATCAACTTGCCGCTGCTGTTCGACGTGGGTGAATTGAAGGATCTTTGGGATGAAAGAGAGTGGAGGGGCAGGCTAGCAGCGATCATTTGGGATGCGAATATGTCCATGCACAGGTGTACAACAACATGTACACCACGCGTATGAGGGAGCTGAACGATGCAATCACGGCGGCGAAAGAAGCCAAGGACATCGCCGAGAAGAACTATCAAAGCGAGGTATGGCGGCTAAGGGACCAGAAATTTGCAATTTTTGAGGTTTATTTTTGGAATTTTTTCAACGCCGTGGTAGTCGACGACTCCCTTTGTTTTATATGGCTAACGCTGGAATTTAGCTGAAACGGCTGTCGAAGGGAATCGTGGCTATCCAGCAGCATACGGCGTCGCGGGAAGACGGACTGAAGACCCGCAGCGGTCGACGCGGAACACCCGACATCAGCCTCGCGCTCAATTTTTTGGCAAGTTGTTGAGGGTGAAATGTATGGTATCATTATAGTGTTTTTAAGTAAGTTTTTGATTGCTATTAAGCTAAATTAAATTTTTTTTAATTCGAAGTTTTTTCACCTTCCTCATTTCCCCTAATTCCCTCTGCTAACCCCTCCCCCTCCCCTGGTTAATAGTCTATTATACATTGATTTTTTGCAGGAACCTCTCCGCATCGATATCTTGGCACCAGAGGACCCACCGGATGACGACGACATGCAGGACGCGGCCGCAGTTCCACCGGGGGTCTGATGTGCCCACTGGATCTCCTCTCTTTTGCCCCCAAAAACCCTCGCCTTGTTCCTCCACCCTCGCCTGCACACATCTTTTCCTCATTTCCCCTAATTCCCTCTGCTAACTTACTAACCCGCCCCCTATCGACTTACTGATTGTTTGTGATGTTCATTTCGGTCTTCCCTTGTACAGATTCTTTACGCGGAATAAAGAAACCTTGCGATTATCAGCGGGGGGAGGCAACCGAAGGCATCTGCCTTACAACGTTCCTTTCCTCAAAACCGAGAAATTTTGTGTTTTATCCTTTTTAACCCTTTTTTGTAGTTTTAGTCATATATGCCTACCTTTTACCTTTTTGTTCCACTTCTCAAAATTGGTTTTTCACAATTTTTAGGTTTAAAATCACGAAAAAGACAAAAAAATTTATTTTAAGCTTTATTACGTCTAAATGCTTAAATTAAACAATTAAAATTAAACAAAATATTGCACAACTGCTAAAAGAAGGGCAAAAACTGGGATCGGGCTGGCGAGGCTGGCGAATTTGGTGGTGGTGGCCGGGGGCTGGCCGGTGGTGCCTAAAGAAAAATAAGGTATTTGGGGGGAAAATAATCCATATTCCCTCAAGAATCTCTGCTAGCTTGGCCTAAGCACAAAATTGTTCTTGTAAAAAAATTACCAGCTCCAGTCGGGACGGTGGCTCCGGTGGGCGGAGCTTGCGTAGGGCCATCACCATCTTGCTGAAAACAACACAAGTAGTCACTCTCTCTCTTTCTCTCTCTCTCTCTCTCTCTCTCTCTCTCTCTCTCTCTCTCTCTCTCTCTCTCTCTCCTCCTCTCTTCTCTTTCTCTTCTCTCTTCTCTCTCTCTCTCTCTCTCTCTCTCTCTCTCGCTTTCGCTATCTCTAGATCTCCCTCGCTTTCCCTCTCTCTCTCTGACTCACTCGCTCTCTTGCTAGCTTCTCACTCTCGCTCTCTCTCCGTCTCGCTCGCTCGCCCTCTCTCGCTCTCTCTCTCTAACCTACCGTAAACTCCGCATACAGCGGCTGCCGCGTCAGATCGTACTGTATCGGAGTGTTGTAGGTCTGAAAAGCAACGCATTTCGGAACTATCACTATTATTACGAGGTTGCTACTAACGAAATTACTTTCTTAAAATTACCTTATCATTTGCCAAGAAATTCTGGAGCATCTGGAGCGCGGGTCCGGGTCGATCGGTGGGGACAAAGTGGCCAGCGCCCTAAATTTTACATGATTTTCGAGGTTTTTAAAGGGGCTCACAATACCGTAAGGGGGCTAAGAATTCATTTTAAAAAAATGGTAAAACGATAAAAAATAAATACCATACCTTAACAGTAAGCAAATCGATGGTGGCTGCTCCTTTCTCGAACCGCTTCGTGTAGCCGGCAATTTGGGGCAGATATTTAGAGGCTATCGTGTAGTTCCATTCGCGACGGGTGTACGTTTCCTAAACGATCCCTGCTAGCTCTCCTCTTCCTCAACAATCTCTGCTAGTCTGCTCTCTCCTCTTCCTCAACAATCTCTGCTAGCCTGCCCTCTCCTCATCCTCAACAATCTCTGCTAGCCTGCCCTCTCCTCTTCCTCAACAACCTCTGCTAGGCTGCCCTCTCCTCTTCCTCAACAATCTCTGCTAGCCTGCCCTCTCCTCTTCCTCAACAATCTCTGCTAGCCTGCCCTCTCCTCATCCTCAACAATCTCTGCTAGCCTGCCCTCTCCTCATCCTCAACAATCTCTGCTAGCCTGTCGTTTCCTCTTCCTCAACAATCTCTGCTAGCCTGCCCTCTCCTCTTCCTCAACAATCTCTGCTAGCTTGCCCTCTCCTCATCCTCAACAATCTCTGCTAGCCTGCCCTCTCCTCTTCCTCAACAATCTCTGCTAGCCTGCCCTCTCCTCTTCCTCAACAATCTCTGCTAGCCTGCCCTCTCCTCTTCCTCAACAACCTCTGCTAGCCTGCCCTCTCCTCGTCCTCAACAATCTCTGCCATTCTACCTGCATCATGTTCTTCTTAGCCAGATCTTCGATGAAGTATTCAGCCTCAAACATCGAGCATGCCGTGTCGACGTCTCCGTTGTAGAGTAGAATTCTGAAATACGATTTAAAGGGGACATCAATCAGTGGGCGCTGCAGAATCCCTAACCATGCCTTTCCCGTTCTTTTAAAGGGACCGTTTCACCCACCGGAGCGAATAGTTACTATCAAGAATCTGCTGGAAGACAGCCCCGGTATCGTTGTGTTGGACTTGGTAGTTGAAGTCGTCGTTTGAGCTGGAATTTCACGTCGAAATTCTAGAAGCATGGAACTAAGCCTACTTGCAGAACGACCAATCCTGCACAAAGTCGGGCACGTTGATCTTGTCCCTGACGTGTGACTGGTTGAGGTACTGCGTCAGAGCGGCTGTCATGTAGCACTGGAAGCCGCCCTGGGAGTCGGTCGAGGCCGGGTCGAGGTTGGCCTAAAGAGAGGTGATGGTTGGTTGGAAGCTGATGCCTAAGCCTAATCCTAAGCCTAAGCCTAAGCCTAAGCCTAAGCCTAAGCCTGAGCCTAAGCCTAAGCCTAAGCCTAAGCCAAGCCTAAGCCAAGCCTAAGCCAAGCCTAAGCCAAGCCTAAGTCAAGCCTAAGCTCGACGTCGACTCGAAGCTAGCTATACGCTTCAAAAACTTGCCAGCATATCCGTAATGGCCGCCTGGACGTGAAGCTTGGCGCCGATCTTGTACTTCGACATTAAGCTGTCCGCAGACATCCCGTAAGCCGATTTCCGGGCCGCCGAGCCGAACACCTGAAAAAGAGCTTGATTCGGCTCCTAAATTGTTACTGCTAGCCTGCCCGGGCCCAAAAATTCTGAAAACCTACCGAACTCGTCTGCTCATAGCAATCCTGGTACAGGTTGTAGACGTCGTTGTTGCTAAATTTTTATTCATTTAAAGATTGAAAAACGCAAAATCAGGGCTATATCTTCATCGAAAAATAAATTCATTACATTTTAAAACGTAATTTATAACTTACGCAATTTGCCACGTCCTGTCATAAGCGAGTTGCTCGATTTTGTAGGCGCAAGCCTGCTGGTCGGCGTTGGTGAAATTGCGCGCCACGACGTCTCCTGGAAAGATGCATATGATGAAGCCTAAGCTTAAGCCCAAGCCTAAGCCTAAGCCTAGCCTATTTTCTTACCTGTGCCGTTCACATAGACGAAGTTAGCGAAATCGCACTGGCCGTAGTTATTTCCGGGGTAGTACTTTGTACAACATGCTCGGATGCCCTCCCATTCACTAGAAAATTGAGCAAATCAAGGGCAAACTAGCAGAGAAAGGGTTGAGGAAGAGGAGAGGGCAGGCTAGCAGAGATTGTTGAGGAAGAGGAGAGGGCAGGCTAGCAGAGATTCTTGAGGAAGAGGAGAGGGCAGGCTAGCAGAGATTGTTGAGGAAGAGGAGAGGGCAGGCTAGCAGAGATTGTTGAGGAAGAGGAGAGGGCAGGCTAGCAGAGATTCTTGAGGAAGAGGAGAGGGCAGGCTAGCAGAGATTGTTGAGGAAGAGGAGAGGGCAGGCTAGCAGAGATTGTTGAGGAAGAGGAGAGGGCAGGCTAGCAGAGATTGTTGAGGAAGAGGAGAGGGCAGGTAGCAGAGATTGTTGAGGAAGGGAGAGGGAGGCTAGCAGAGATTGTTGAGGAAGAGGAGAGGGCAGGCTAGCAGAGATTGTTGAGGAAGAGGAGAGGGCAGGCTAGCAGAGATTGTTGAGGAAGAGGAGAGGGCAGGCTAGCAGAGATTGTTGAGGAAGAGGAGAGGGCAGGCTAGCAGAGATTGTTGAGGAAGAGGAGAGGGCAGGCTAGCAGAGATTGTTGAGGAAGAGGAGAGGGCAGGCTAGCAGAGATTGTTGAGGAAGAGGAGAGGGCAGGCTAGCAGAGATTGTTGAGGAAGAGGAGAGGGCAGGCTAGCAGAGATTCTTGAGGAAGAGGAGAGGGCAGGCTAGCAGAGATTGTTGAGGAAGAGGAGAGGGCAGGCTAGCAGAGATTGTTGAGGAAGAGGAGAGGGCAGGCTAGCAGAGATTGTTGAGGAAGAGGAGAGGGCAGGCTAGCAGAGATTGTTGAGGAAGAGGAGAGGGCAGGCTAGCAGAGATTGTTGAGGAAGAGGAGAGGGCAGGCTAGCAGAGATTCTTGAGGAAGAGGAGAGGGCAGGCTAGCAGAGATTGTTGAGGAAGAGGAGAGGGCAGGCTAGCAGAGATCGTGGAAGAAAACCTTACCTCTTATCGTACATCCCATGGAAGTACATGAAATCGGGAATGGAGTTGATCTGAAAATTTTGAAGAATGAGAAGGGAGAGAGAGCGAACGAGAGAGAGAGAGAGAGAGAGAGAGAGAGAGAGAGATCAACTTACATCCTGCAGCGTGGAGACCATGCCGTTGCCGACCATCATTCCCTTCAGGTTGATGTTGGCCTGCCCGCTCTAAAAAGTCCATTTCCTCAAATTGTCTTTGCTAGCCTACCTGGATGAGCTGAATCAGCTTGGCAGTCAGAGTGGGGACATAAACACCACCGTAGGATTCTCCTAAAATAGAGTAATTTAAGCAAAAAATCAGAAAATAAGCAAAAGCGTTTCTTAACTCACCAGCCACGTAAAATTCAGGCGCGTTATCCCCGAAATGCGGGTACAGCTTGAAAAATTGCACGATGGCTGCAGCGTTGTCTTCTGCGGTCTAAGAAGGGCGGGCTAGCAGAGTTTTTTGAGGAAACCTTGTCGTCATTCCACATCGTATCGTTGTTGATCGACTTGTCCTGGTAGGAGAATCCGACCTGGCGAGGCGATTCGAGGAACAGAATGCTGGCCGCCTAAATTCAGTTTTCTCATTTTTGTGTTTACCTTTTTAACACCCATTTTAAAGAGCCGTTGAAGGCAATTTTGGCCATCGATTCTTTATAGATTTGCCTTGCGCGTCCCTTTAATGGACCGCAGAAGCTAAAAACACACCTTATTCCACGAATAAACGTTCTCGAACAGCGTCTTGCCATCGGGATTCGGGTGGAACGGGCCCAGCTCGGTGAACAGACCTGAATTTTTCGCGATTACCGTAATCCTACAGTAGTTTTAAAAGTTGGCTTTTGTAGAGAATTTTTCGCTCCATTGAATGTGCTATTTTTAATGTCGTGAAAGTGCGAAATAACTTTACAACCGGTGTAGATATTGGTGATACTTAGCCCAACAAGAAAAAGCGACTGTTTCAATAGCATTTTTCGCGCCTACCGTAATCCCAGAGCAATTTTTAAAAGCGGGTTCTTGTAGAGAATTTTTCGCGCTATCGAATCCGGTATGTTTCATTTGCTACGGGTGCGAAATAACGGAACGACACCAGTAATTCAGACAGGCTCAGGCTGATATTTCTTTATACTACTTCCCACTACTTCCCACTACTTTTGATATTTCTTTTAATTTTTCTCAGCTACCGTAATCCGACACGACTTTTTGAAAGCTACATAGATCCTGTACAGAATGTTTTGCTCGATCGAATGAGCTGTTTCTGATGTCGTGGGAGTGCCAAATAACTTCAAAACAGTTGCAAATATGCGTGATAAGTAGCGAAAGATCATCATATTCTTGTTTCTCACCAGATTTTTCTCAATTACCGTAATCCTACAACAATTTTTATGGCTAGCTAAAGCTGGCCCTATTAGAGAATTTTTTGCTCTAACGATCGAAATTTTTATGATGCCGCGAAAGTGCGAAAGAGCTTCACAAAAGGTGTAAATAGGTGCTCTCCGTAGCGCAAGATGATCAAATGCATATTTCAATGAGATTTTTCACGGCTACCGTAGCCCTACAGTACTTTTAAAAAGCTAGATCTTGTAGAGAATTTTTCGCTCTATCGAATGGCATAGTCCACAAATTGCAGGATCATACGGAATTTTTGAAAACCCTAAAAATCCTCAAATTCCCCCACCTCCAAGCGACGAGCATCCTGGTCCGCCATTGAGCCACACGATCACCGGGTCATTCTCGGCATCATTCTGCGACTCGACAAACCAATAGTGGAGGTAGACACCCGGGGTGTTCACCGACAGGTAGCCGGAGTGCTGCGCGAAGTTAGGGCGGTAGGTGAGGCCGGGCAGGTCGAAGAAACGGTCGGCAAGGCGTTGCCAATCTGGATGGGGGAGGATTAAATGGTCTCTGCAAGCTTGCCCGGCTCCTAAAGAATCTCTGCTAGCCGGCCCCTTACCCAAAGAATCTCGCCTAGCTATCCGACGATACCGGACTTTCCTTATAGAGCTCTGCTAGCTTGCCTCTTTCCAAAAAGATCGTTGCTAGCCTGCGACACGCTTCCTCAAAAATCTCTGCCAGCCCGCCCCACCTTGAACGGGCTGCGGCTGGTATTCCGGCTTCAGCGCCTGTCGCGTGAGAGCTGTCGGGATGTTCAGGGAGTAATCGCGCTTGTTCAAGAAGTTGTACAGCATCTGGAGGGCCGGGCCGGGACGGTCGGTTGGGACAAAGTGGCCGCCACCCTGAAAAAATGGCTTTCCTGAAGAATCTCTGCTTGGCTGCCTTCTCCTCTTCCTCAACAATCTCTGCTAGCCCGCCCTTACCTTAACAGTCAGCTGATCGATCGTCACTCCATTCTGGTACGTGAACGATTTCTGATATCCGCCAATCTGCTGATCGAAGCCCTTGCTCCCGGCATTTGTATAATTCCACTGGGTCCGTTGGGTGGCCGCCATTTTATGGTTAGCGGCGAGCTCTTCGATAAACCATTCGTCGCCCAGGAATTGGCAGGCCATGTCGGCGTCGCCGTTGTAGATGAGCATACGGAGGGGGTATTCTGAAATTCAAATGAGTGTTTGGTAACGGATATTGGAGAAAAGTGCGAGAGAGACAACGAGAGAGCGAGAGAGCGAGAGGGACAGAGAGAGAGAGAGCGAGAGAGAGGAGAGGGCAGACTAGCAGAGATTGTTGAGGAAGAGGAAGGGCAGGCTAGCAGAGATTCTTCAGGAAACTCACTGGACGCCAAAATCGACTCAAACACCGGCGTGGTGTCATTATGTTCTTGTACGTAGTTCGCGTTCATATCGTCATTACATCCATTCCACCGCGGGAAGTTGTCGGGCACGTGGAGGGCCTTTCTGACGTCCTTATTGTTCAGGTAGCTGTCCGTAGCATCTCCGTTATAGCAGGTAAATCCAAAGCCGGCATCGGTGGACTGGTAGTTGATACGCTTCTGAAAAATACGCTAGGTTAAATACACCAAAAATTGCTCTATGAATAAATATTTTCTAAAAGTTAGCTTACAGCCTGGTCAACGAAGAGCTTGGAATTCTGAAGCGGCTGAAGCGCGGCGCGTTTCGCACGGATTTTCACGGAATCGGAGTTGTCCTTTGCGTCGGAATAGTGGTTCGGCTCGTTGTCGTCCATATAGCAGTCCTGGTACGTGTTGTAGACGTCGTTACTGAAAAATTAAATTTGTTTGGGAATCCTAAATGGTTTCTGCTAGCTTACCTATCTTTTCACTCTCCCTCCCTCCATCTCTATCTCTCTGTCTGTATCTCTCTGTCGTTGCCTCTCCTTCTCTCTCATGCTCTCTGACTCCTCGCTATCTGCTTCTCTCACTATCTCAAGCTCCATCTCTCTTCATCTCACTCTCACTCCCTTATGCTCCATGTCTCTCCTTCTCTCACTCTCTCACACTCCATCTCTATCCATTTCTTTCTCACTCATCCATACTCCATTTCTCGAACTCCCTCACTCTTGTGATCCATCTCTCGCAGTCTCTCATGCCCCTCTCTCATCTCTCACCCACTCTCTGACTCTCTGATTCCGCTCTCTCTTAAGATCCACCTCTCGCATTCTCGCTCGCTTTCTATGTATCTCTATCCCTTTCTCTCTCTCTCTCTCTCTCTCTCTCTCTCTCTCTCTCTCTCTCTCTCTCTCTTCAAAAACCCTTACTCTGTCGCCCAGACATCGTTGAAACCCTGCTGCACGACCAGATTTCCGCACATCGCCGCCACCGAGTCGTCGTTGAACTAAAGATTTTCTCTTCAATGGTTCTGTAAAGCTACGCATCTAGCTGTCACACTCCCTTTAAAACACAGTTTTTTGCAATTAAACTACCGTAATATTCTACCTTTGGCCAGGCGTTTCCGGCTGTATCCAGATTGACGTACTGCATAAAGTTACAGTTTGCCATCGGCGAGGTCAGGTTCTGGCAGCAAGGCTTCAGCGCATCGTAGTCACTAGAAAACGTATACCTTCGAAACTAGCAAAGAATCTCTGCCAGCCTGCCCTGGAGGTTCAATTTTCCTCAGGAATCTCTGCTAGCCTGCGCTGGAACCCGGATTTTCCTAAAGAGGCTTTGCTAGCCTGCCCTGGGATCCGGATTTCCAAAGAACCTCTGCCAGCCTCCCTGGAACCCAGATTTTCCAAAAAAATCGCGGCTAGGCTACTATGAAAATCGGATTTTTTAAATAACCGCTGCTAGACGGCTCTGGGATCCGGATTTCCTAAAGAATCTCTGCTAGCCTGCCCGAAGGCCCTTTTCAACAAAAATCTCTGCTAGCTTGCCTTCTCGATCTGATTTTTTGACGCTTTAACCTCCGGAAGAGGACTTACGCCTTATCGTGAAGTCCCTTGAAATAGGTGAGCGAGACGGCCGAGTTGATCTGCTTGATCTCGGAGAGGATACCGTTGCCGATCGCCACGCCGGCTAGTTTGATATACGGGTAGGTGCCGGCCTGAAAAAGAGATCTCTCTCTCCCTCGTTCTCTCTGTCTTCTTCTCTTTGCCTACCTGAATCCCCTTAATTAACGCGTCAGTAAGTGTTGGAATGTACACGCCACCGTAGGATTCGCCTAAACAATTTTATTTTCAGGGTTTCAAGATGTTAGCAAAAATCCTGAGGAAATTAGCATACCAGTGATGTAGAAAGGGCGACCCTGGAGCTCGGTGAACTTTTGGAAGAAAGACGCGAGGCCGAGCACGTTGTCGTTGGCCGTCTGAATGGTCTCTGCTAGCCTGCCCTCTCCGCTTGCTTAACAGTCTCTGCTAGCCTGCCCTCTCCTCTTCCTCAACAATCTCTGCTAGCCTGCCCTCTCTTTTCCTCAACAATCTCTCTAGCCTGCCCTCTCCCTGCCTCAACAATCTCTGCTAGCCTGCCCTCTCCTCTTCCTCAACAATCTCTGCTAGCCTGCCCTCTCCTCTTCCTCAACAATCTCTGCTAGCCTGCCCTCTCCTCTTCCCTCAACAACTCGCTAGCCTGCCCTCTCCTCTTCCTCAACAACTCTGCTAGCCGGCCCCTCTCCTCTTCCTCAACAATCTCTGCTAGCCTGCCCTCTCCTCTTCCTCAACAACTCTGTAGCCTGCCCTCTCCTCTTCCTCAACAACTCTGTAGCCGGCCCTCTCCTCTTCCTCAACAATCTCTGCTAGCCTGCCCTCTCCTCTTCCTCAACAATCTCTGCTAGCCTGCCCTCTCCTCTTCCTCAACAATCTCTGCTAGCCTGCCCTCTCTTTTTCCTCAACAATCTCTGCTAGCCTGCCCTCTCCTCTGCCTCAACAATCTCTGCTAGCCTGCCCTCTCCTCTTCCTCAACAATCTCTGCTAGCCTGCCCTCTCCTCTTCCCTCAACAACTCTGCTAGCCTGCCCTCTCCTCTTCCTCAACAATCTCTGCTAGCCTGCCCTCTCCTCTTCCTCAACAACTCTGCTAGCCTGCCCTCCCTTTTCCTCAACAATCTCTGCTAGCCTGCCCTCTCCTCTTCCTCAACAACTCGCTAGCCGGCCCTCTCCTCTTCCTCAACAATCTCTGCTAGCCTGCCCTCTCCTCTTCCTCAACAATCTCTCTAGCCTGCCCTCTCCTCTTCCTCAACAACTCTGCTAGCCTGCCCTCTCCTCTTCCTCAACAATCTCTGCTAGCCTGCCCTCTCCTCTTCCTCAACAACTCTGCTAGCCTGCCCTCTCCTCTTCCTCAACAACTCTGCTAGCCTGCCCTCTCCTCTTCCTCAACAACTCTCTAGCCGGCCCCTCCTCTTCCTCAACAACTCTGCTAGCCTGCCTCTCCTCTTCCTCAACAATCTCTGCTAGCCTGCCCTTCCTCTTCCCTCAACAACTCTGCAGCCTGCCCTCTCCTCTTCCTCAACAACTCTGCTAGCCTGCCCTCTCCTCTTCCTCAACAACTCTCTAGCCTGCCCTCTCCTCTTCCTCAACCTCTGCTAGCCGGCCCTCTCCTCTTCCTCAACAATCTCTGCTAGCCTGCCCTCTCCTCTTCCCTCAACAATCTCTGCTAGCCTGCCCTCTCCTCTTCCTCAACAATCTCTCTAGCCTGCCCTCTCCTCTTCCTCAACAATCTCTGCTAGCCTGCCCTCTCCTCTTTCCTCAACAATCTCTGCTAGCCTGCCCTCTCCTCTTCCTCAACAATCTCTGCTAGCCTGCCCTCTCCTCTTCCTCAACAATCTCTGCTAGCCGGCCCTCTCCTCTTCCTCAACAATCTCTGCTAGCCTGCCCTCTCCTCTTCCTCAACAATCTCTGCTAGCCTGCCCTCTCCTCTTCCTCAACAATCTCTGCTAGCCTGCCCTCTCCTCTTCCTCAACAATCTCTGCTAGCCTGCCCTCTCCTCTTCCTCAACAATCTCTGCTAGCCTGCCCTCTCCTCTTCCTCAACAATCTCTGCTAGCCTGCCCCTCTCCTCTTCCCTCAACAATCTCTGCTAGCCTGCCCTCTCCTCTTCCTCAACAATCTCTGCTAGCCTGCCCTTTCCTCTTCCTCAACAATCTCTGCTAGCCTGCCCTCTCCTCTTCCTCAACAATCTCTGCTAGCCTGCCCTTTCCCGACTTACATAGGTATCATTATACATCGTATCCGGATCCACATCATTAGATCGATAGGAGAATCCAACTCCTCGTGGAGCTTCCAAGAAGAGTACGTTGGCGTACTGTAACGGGTGAAAAATGAAAATTCATGAAGGCAAAGAGTAAACAAATAAAACAAAATTTTTCCAAATCATGTTTCAAAAAAATTCTGGTTTCGACCTGTTTCGAAACGGTCAATTCCATCAAATCTTGTCATGAATATTAACCTTATTCCATGCGTAGATGTTTTCGAAAAGCGTCGTTCCGTCGGGGTTGTTTCTAAAGTTTAAATATGGTAAAAATCAATAATATCGGTAATCCAAAATTGTAAATTGAGCTCAATACCTCAACGGGCCTAATTCCTGGAAGAAGCCGCCAAGCGATGAGCAGCCGGGGCCTAAAAATTTTGCGCTTCGCTCGCTATATCTCACATTCGCTCTCTCTGTCTCTCCCTCTGTCTTTCTCTGTCTTTCTCTCTCTCTCTCTCTCTCTCTCACCTCCATTCAGCCATAATACAATCGGATCGGTGGATGGCTGATTTTGCGACTCGACGTACCTAAAACCGAATTGAACGTTACAACTACCATAATTCTGTTTCCCTCACTTTTGATAACCAGTTTTTTGCCTGAAACATATTTTTCGTCTCCAGAAATTTGTTAAAAGTTTATTGTTTCTACGCTATTAAAAACATTAGAAGGTGGAAAAATATCCTCAAAAAATTTTTGCTGCTTCCAAAATTGAAAAATCTCCTAAATTAAGGTACCTCTGCTATTGCAAAGACCGAAAACCCGCAAAAAAAAACGAATTTTGCTGCTGCGATCAAATGTTGAATTACAAGGCTCCGCCACGCTTGTAACGTGTTATTTTGAGAAACATGATTTTTTTTCGATTTTGAAAAAATGGTAAAACGTGTTTTTGTTATTTTTTGAAATATAAAAACCATATTTCACTAAACATTTTTTTGAATGTTTTGCTTGCTTTTTCCAGTCTAAAAAGCGCCATCGAAATTATAGCAATCCAGAAACCTTTGTAGACTTTTTCGCAGAACGTCTTTTTAAAATTTTGTGGTTTTGAAATGTGCTAAATATTTTAATTAAAACCCATCGATGAAAAATAAAAAACTTTCTTACTTTTCTAACTTTCAAACGCTAACTTTAAAAAAATCAGTTATAAAGATTCTTCAGCTAGCAACCAGTTTTTTTTTTGCGAAACACGCTTTTTCCAAATTTTTGAGCCCCAAAATCTTACAAAATATTTTTATGAAAAAACGGGTGTAATAAGTGTAATTTGTTTTCTTCGAAAAACAAAACCCTATCAAAGGAAAAATTCAAAAAAATGAGCTTTCTAACCTTTCGGCGTATTTTTAAGTGCTAGCGCGAGTGGGAATTTGCCAAACTTTACAAAATATTTAGCTGAGAAACGGGTGTAATTTCTTTTCTCCTATCTAATCCTATCAAAAATTCAAGGAAAAAAATAAATTTTTCTAATGCTTGACGTATTTTTAAGTGCCAACGCTTCAAAGGGATTATAAGTTTTTCCACGGTTATAACCACTTTTTTTGGTGAAACACATTTTTTAATCCTCGCGGCTAAAATTTGCAAACAATTACAGGGTGTCCCAAAAAAACGAACCATCTGGCATTTTGCCGTGTTACATCCAACCGGTCCCAAATTTGGACCAGAGGTGTATCATATCCTAAATAACAACAATCCTGACTTATAGCCCCATAGCTACAGTCGTTTTAAAGTTATAACGAAAATACTGTTTTTCCCGGAATTCTGACAGTTTTTTCGGCTATCTTTTTGGACTTTGCATCGATTTGCATCGACTTCCGGCTGTGAATCCCTAATTTCGCTTAAGATATTGGGTAATTTTGCGTTGTAAAAATCGCTTAAATCGAAGCTTATTTAATTAATTTTAGTCTGGAAAAAATTTCTTGAGGTAAAGAAGCCCTACTGGATCATTTTCACTTAATGTTTAGGGGGTCTAATTCCACGAAAACCCTATGAAAAATGGAAAATAAAGTTTGTTTTCGCTATAACTCGAGAACTACTATAGCTACGGGGCTATAAGACAGGATTGTTGTTATTTAGGGTCTGATACACCCCTCGTCCAAATTTGGGGCCGATTGGATGGAAGACGGCGAAATGCCAGATGGTTCGTTTTTTTTGGGACACCCTGTATAAGAAACGCGGATAATACACAAAAATCGCTTTTCTACTGTACCACTGAAAGAGATTTCTCGTCAGAGTAAATTTTTTGCGGCAATTCGGTGTGTCTCACTATATCGCTTCTCAATTTTTGTGGCTACTTTTTTGGCAAAACACATCTTTCTCAAATTTTTTCAGCTCGCACATTTGAAAGTTTTCCTTTTTAAAAAACCGGATATACCATTAAAAAATTGCCTTCATAACTAACCAATAAAAGAGATGATTTCCCTTCGAAGCGTCGAGATATCCGGAGTACATTTGGAAGGTGGGGGTGAAGGTGAGACCGGGCAGTTGGGAAGCATCAATGCGGTCCTGGTCCCTGGTGGTCGGGGCCGGCGGGGGGATGTCGAGGATCGGGAGCTGGAAATTTGTGCATTAATGGGCCATGTACAATCGAGCGAAAATTATAAGACTACGAAACACCACAACTAACGACTACTTTTGGCTACGCAGGGCTACAAACGACACCTCCAGTCTTTGTACGGAAAACTACGTACACTACAGACTACAACGAAAGCCCCACCCAGATACAAGTTGCAAAGATCGAGATTCTAAGCTATAAGCTACAAACTACAAGGTGGTAGTGGTGGCTCCGAAAGCGCTAAACTATCAAGTTTAACGGGAAGTACGGGCTGCACCTAAAGACGGTGTAAAAACGCACAAATTACGGACTACAAATTAAGCGGCCAGGTTCGGAATGCTCACTACAACCTTGACCTGGCTACAGACTGCATGTCGATCAGAGTATAAGATCAGAAAGCTACAACGAAAGACTGCCAACTACATGTTAAAATTGCGCCCTAAAGAGTAGCCAAAAAAAGAATACAAACTTTAAACCACAAACCTCGAGCTTGACTCCTCGTGCCGTCTTCGCTGCCCCCAGATGCATTTCCATTTTCTTGCCGTAGTGCGCCGAGATCGGAGGCTTCGGCCGGGATACGGTAGGTGCTGAGTAGTTGGAGGCCTGGGCTGTCTGAAAGCAAAATATTTAGCCGATCGCTGGCAGTAATCAATTACTAAGCTATAAATAGAAGTGTGCGACCATGAAAACCAATAAAACATTTTTTCAAAAATTCAAACTTCTTTGAAAAGATACTTATTACCAGAAACTACAACTAATTTGAATTGTTCCGTTAGGAGCTTAGGCCTAAGCCTAAGCCTAAACCTAAGCCTAATCCTAAGCCTAAGTAAAGTAGAATAATCACACTACGTTATCTATATTACCTTACACATCCTCGTTGAATTAATCTAAAATTTTCAAAGAAAATATTCGAAAACTATAAAATTCTAAAAGGTCTGTAAGATACATCGTAAAATGCTGAAAAATGTTTATCCGAATTACCGTACCCTTTCCGCATTCTGGTAGCCGCGCGTCAGCGGGGTCAACGACTTTGAGACGATCAGCTTGTTGCCTAAATGGACGGATTTTTGGGTACTGTAGCTGTAGGATTACTGTAGTCTTGACCACGGAGGAAATTGGCAATCATCTGGAGGGCCGGGCCCGGGCGGTCGGTGGGGACAAAGTGGCCAGCACCCTGGAAAGTGGATGATATCTCTCTCGCTCGCTCTCTCTCTCTCTCTCTCTCTCTCTCTCTCTGTTTCTCTCTCTTTCTCTCTCTCGCCCTCTCTCTCTCACCTTAACCGTCAGCACATCAATCGATCCTGACCCGTAGCTGAACTGCTTGACGTAGCCGGCAATCTGGGCCATGTAGCGCCACTCCTTGCGCGCCTTGGCGACGGCGAAATTCTGGCGCGTAGCCAGCTCCTCGACGAACCACTGATCGCCCAGGAAGTTGCAGGCCTGAATTGGGAGAATTGGGCAGGCTGGCAGAGGTTTTTGAGAAAGGGTAGAGCCGTCGAGATTCCTTAGGAAATTCTGAAATTTTGCCGCTAACCTGGTCGACGTCACCGTTGTAGATGAGCATGCGCAGGGGGTAGCCGGATCTGGAAAATTCACGTCGCTATTCGGGAAAAATTAAAATTTACCGAAGCCCAGAAAGCATGGACACTTTTTAAACACTGTTTTCTAAGCTTACTTAACGATGTGGTCAAAGACGGAGCCGGTGTCGTTATGTTGCTGCATGTAAATTTCGTTGATGGTGTAGCTGAAAATGGCAAACTAGCAGAGATTGTGGAGGAAACGTACTTGCAGTTGGACCACGTGCCCGCCATCGGCGAGACGTGCAATGCGTCACGGACATCGTTCGAGTTAAGGTATCTGAAAACTGAGAATGACGCGAGACCGAGAGGCAGAGAGAGAGAGAGCGACAGTGAGAGAGAGACAGACAGAGAGAGATCGAAAAAACTTACTGAGCAGTAGCATCATCTGAGAAACACGGGAATCCGCCCTGCCCGTCGGTCGAATAACCCGAGATTTTGGCCTAAAAATTTTCCTCAAGAATCTCTGCTGGCCTACCCCCTGGTCGACGAAGACCTTCTGCTCCAGATGCCGCTGAATGGCCTCCTTATGCGGGCGGAACATCCGTGTTCCAAGCATCGTCGACGTCGTCTGGTAGCAATCTTGGTAGATGTTGTACACGTCATTACTAAAGACGATTTTCAGGTTAAGCGAGGCTTTTATGGAATCCTCGCGTGATCGTAGGATAGCAGAGACTTTTTAGGAAATTCTACGCAGAGCAGGCTAGCAGAGGCTGTTGAGGAAAACTCACATGCTCGTCCAGACACGCATCTGGCCTAGATCGGCCACTTGGGTGCCGCATGGATCGTTCGCCACCTTGGCTTGGGCGTTTCCGGCGGAGTCGAGCTGGAAAAGAATTATTTTTCGCGTTTGGCTCTATCTCTCGCTATCTCTGTCTCTCTCTCTCGTTGTTATCTCATGTTATTTGTAACTTAAATTGAAAATATATGTAAAATGAAATGGAGGAGCATAGAGAGAGACAAAGCGAGGGAGTGAGAGCAACAGAAATAGAAAGGGAGACAGAGCAGCAGAAAGTGAGAGAGAGAGAGAGAGAGAGAGAGAGAGAGAGAGAGAGAAGGAGAGAGAGAGAGCGAGAGAGAGAGAGAGAGAAGGAGAGAGAGAAAGATAAGGAGAGAGCGAGAGAGAGGGAGAGAGAGAAAGATAAGGAGAGAGCGAGAGAGAGGGAGAGAGAGCAAAATTATTGATTTTTAGATATCGAGAAGCGTTGGAGCATTATCTCCAAATCGCCTAATTTGCCTACCCACTCCCATAAACAGTTTTTTCCACAAAATTAAATTTGAAAAATTCCTACAGTAATGAACTGTGAGAAATCGCAGTACTCGAACCAGGTCGGATCGCCCGTGTTGTTGCAACACTTTTGCAGCTGATCGTAGTCGCTGAAATTTGGGTTTAAAGGGACTGGGTGTCATGAAGAAATGAGATTTGTTTTTGATTCAGCTACCTCTTCCCGTAAATCCCATGGAAGTACAGCATCGAGATGATGGAGTTGATCTGCTTCAGCGCGGACAGCTCGCCGTTGCCGACCGCCATCCCGGCCAAGTTCAGCCCCACCAGGTCGCCGGACTATAAATATACACACTATCTTTTTAACAAAAGCTGTCTGAATACCTGAATTTTGTCGATCAACAGGCTCGTCAACGTCGGCACGTACACGCCACCGTAGGATTCACCTTAAACTTTGCCTATATAACCAGAACGGAGGTCTAGGCTCCTCAAATTGTCTCTGCTAGTCTGCTCTACCATACCTGTAACGTAAAAGGGTCGATTCACGTATTCCGGATACGCCGTCAGGAAGTCTTTCAGCGCCAAGTAGTTGTCGTTGGCTGTCTGAAGGTGATAGTAAGCCTCAGCCTAAGACCAAGGCTAAACCCAAGCCTAAACCTAGGCCTAAGCCTAAGCCTAAGCCTAAGCCTAAGCTCTAAGCCTAAACCTAAGCCTGAACCTAATCTAAGCATACCCTATCATCATTGTAATCCTCATCCGGATTTATCGATCGATTCTGGACTGAGAAGCCGACGTTGCGTGGGCCTTCCAGGAAGAGTACGTTGGCCACCTAAAAGTCAAAATTCCAGGTAGGCTAGCAGAGATTGTTGAAGAACAGGAGCAGGACGGCTAGCAGAGATTCTTAGGGAAACAGCTGCTCACCTTGTTCCATGAAAACACATTCTCAAACAGTGTCTTTCCATCGGGATTCGGGTGGAACGGGCCCAGCTCGGTGAGCATACCTACAACTTCGAGTTAGAGAGAAAGCGAGAGAAAGTGAGAGAAAGAGATAGATAGAGAGAGAAGGAGAACAAACCGCCCAACGATGAGCATCCAGGGCCGCCATTGAGCCACAGCACCAGCGGATCGGTTTTCGGATTTCCCTGCGACTCGACAAGCCTGAAATAAAAAGTTTGTTTCAAAGAATTCTAGGGTAAAAATGATTTTCCTTTTAATAATCCATCTTATGTTCGTACCAATAATGCAAATAATTTCCAGCGACGCCGCTCAGGTAGCCGGAGTACTGCTTGAAGTTCAGGTTGTAGGTGATTCCTGGAAAATCAGAATCCTCAACAATCTCTGCTAGCCTGCCCTCTCCTCTTCCTCAACAATCTCTGCTAGCCTGCCCTCTCCTCTTCCTCAACAATCTCTGCTAGCCTGCCCTCCCCTCTTCCTCAACAATCTCTGCTAGCCTGCCCTCTCCTCTTCCTCAACAATCTCTGCTAGCCTGCCCTCTCCTCTTCCTCAACAATCTCTGCTAGCCTGCCCTCTCCTCTTCCTCAACAATCTCTGCTAGCCTGCCCTCTCCTCTTCCTCAACAATCTCTGCTAGCCTGCCCTCTCCTCTTCCTCAACAATCTCTGCTAGCCTGCCCTCCCCTCTTCCTCAACAATCTCTGCTAGCCTGCCCTCTCCTCTTCCTCAACAATCTCTGCTAGCCTGCCCTCTCCTCTTCCTCAACAATCTCTGCTAGCCTGCCCTCTCCTCTTCCTCAACAATCTCTGCTAGCCTGCCCTCTCCTCTTCCTCAACAATCTCTGCTAGCCTGCCCCTCTCCTCTTCCTCAACAATCTCTGCTAGCCTGCCCTCTCCTCTTCCTCAACAATCTCTGCTAGCCTGCCCTCTCCTCTTCCTCAACAATCTCTGCTAGCCTGCCCTCTCCTCTTCCTCAACAATCTCTGCTAGCCTGCCCTCTCCTCTTCCTCAACAATCTCTGCCAGCCTGCCTCCAAAATGAATTCAAACCTGGCAGATCCCAGACTCGATCGGCCTGCTTGCGGGTCCCTAAAAAAAGCCGCGTTTAAATTTTCTAAGCTGAAAAATTACAAGTCTTGGTGGGTGGTGGCTGGTACTGCGGTAGCAAAGGTTTAGGTGCGTAGTCAATCGAAGCAATCGATGTATAGTTCGATTTTCCGAGGTAATTCTGGAGCATCTGGAAGGCGGGCCCGGGGCGATCGGTGGGCACCATGTGGCCGGCTCCCTAAAATTTCCGCAATGATCGCTGCTTGCTGCCTACTCTTCCAATTACGCAAAAATCTAGGATAACATTTTAAAAATTTAAAGAAAAACTGGCAAAAAATTTAGAAAAAAGTTGTTTTGGGGAATCGGGTTGGAAATTTGGGGGTTTTTGGTGTTAATTGCTGATGCAATGCATTGATCTGACTCTCTCTCCCTTTCTCTCCCTCTCTCTCGCTCTCTCTCTCTCTCTCTCTCTCTCTCTCTTGCCTAAAATCACTCACCCTAACCGTCAGCAAATCGACAGTCATGTTGTTCAAGGCAAACGTCTTGGCAAAGCCGCCAATCCTGGGCATGAAACCGGTGGTCCTGGTGTAATTCCAGACTTGACGAGGGGAGGTGGTGGGGATCTGAAGAGGGTAAATTTAAGCGCTGGGAGTTCGGAGCTGCTGGGCACGGGGAACACTAGGATATTCTGGGAGCTAGGAGCTTCTGAAAGCGCTTGAATGCCAGGAAGCAAGAAGACTTCCAGAAGTTAGGAGCCGCCAGAAGTTAAAAGCTTCTAGGAGTTGGGAACTGCTAGGAGAAAGGAGCTGCTAGGAGCTCCGGGATAGGCAGTAAATATAATCTTTGGAGAAGGGTGGAGGGTAGGAGTTGGGAGCACAACAGCGATTTCCCCCGGCTAACCCTCAACTCCCGGCTCCCAGCTCCCAAAAAATGTTTCTGCCCGCAACTCTTGGTTTTTTCTAAGCCGGCTTACCATGTTCTTGGCGATAAAGCGCTCGATGAACCACTGGTCGCCCATAAACTAAACATATTTTAATGAGGTTTTTATCAGAACCGATACCTGGCAGGCCATGTCGGCATCGCCGTTGTAGATGAGGAAGCGGAGGGGGTAGCCTTTAATTTGAAATAAATCAATATAAAACTGCCGTACCCGAGTCGAACATCTCCTGGAAGACGGGAATCATGTCGGGGTGCTGCTGCTTGTAGTAGATGGCGTTGATATCGTCGCTAAAAAGCAAGCGATTGGCAGGCTAGCAGAGATTGTTGAGGAAGCAGAGAAGGCAGGCTAGCAGAGGCAATTTGATCCCTTACTTGCATAATTGCCAAGCCGGTAGTCCATCCGGAATATGGAGGGCCTTTTTCACGTCCTGTCGATTCATATAAGCCGTAGCAGCGGCCTGAGCATAACACGAGAAGCCGCCGACGGAGTCTGTTGAGGTGGAGGTGCCTTGGCTCTAAATATATGGAAACTTGAGATTTACGAAGTAGCGGAGTGCCTCTTATTAGAAAAATTTTAGCATTTGGATCCTTGAAACACAGGTTTTTCAGCTTAAAAATTTTCAAATAATTTGAAAAATTACCCCCTGGTCGACGAAGGGGTTCTGGCCATTGCTGAACATTTGGTAGTCGATCGAGTTGGCAAATCTGAATGTATTTTGCTTCGTAATACGCAGGAGCAACAGAGAAAGAGAGAGTGAGAGAAAGAGAGAGAGAGAGAGAGAGAGAGAGAGACAGAGGGAGACAGCAAGCTCACAATTTAAGGTACGGGTGCTGCCGGACGAGCTGCTCCAACTTCTCGCCCATATCCATCGAGTCGGGCGACTGGGTGTAGCAGTCGGCCCACGTGTTATACACGTTGTTGAGCCTGAAAATCAGGGGCTTTTTTGAGCTTCAGGCAAGCTAGCAGAGGTTTGTGAGGAAGCGGGCGGGTTTAAGAAGGCGCTTTCTTCTTAGCGGGGAGAGGTATCCGAAAAAACCCAAAAATATCGATTTTTCGGGAAAAAAATGACCATATTCGTCAAAAATTTCAAATTCCTGGTAAAGTCCTGGTTTCTTACATCTTTCCCCCCCCCCCCCCCGATAATGCAAAAGCACCGAAATGATCTATTAATTCAAATTCTCAAAATTCCAGCTCCCTTACGTGCTCCACACCAAATCCTGGCCGTACTTGACGGTGCGCTGGGAACAGCGCAGCTTCACCGGGTCCGTGTAATTGACCACGACCGCATTTCCTAAAATTGTTGTTTATTAAATTTCCCGTTCTACCGTAATCATCAATATTAACATATTGCGAGAAGTTGCACATCTGCAGCGGCGCGCTCAGCTCTTGCGGCGCCTGGCAGCACTCTTGCATCGCGTCGAATTCGCTGAAAGGGGAAGGCTAGCGGAGAGAATTTAAGGAATTCTGGCACTAGAATGTTATCGGGGGGGGGGGGGGCAACGGTTTTGCCAGCAGTTTGCCGGAAATCATTTCGTAGAAATATGATTTTTTCGTAATATCATTTTTCGATTGATAGATTTTTTTCGAAATTTCGGTGCGCTGAAATTGAATTTGCGAAATGTGTGAAAAAGGCAGTTTTAACAAAACGTTAGCAAATAAAAACATACCTTTTTCCAATAATTCCTCGATAGTAGACGAGGTCCAGCCCGGAATTGACGAGATCCATTCGATTCAAGGCTCCGTTACCGACGGCCATTCCGACCAGCTTCACATACGGTAGGGTGCCATTCTAAAAGTGTCTTTTTTGGATTAACGACAATTAAAATCAAGTTAAACTTGAAAGGTTATTGATTTAAAACGGTTCCAAGCCCTACTTTACCTGGATCATTTTCACCAACAAGTTCGTCAGGGTCGGCACATAGACGCCGCCATAGGATTCACCTGGAATTGATGGATTTAGGAAATTAGGTACTGCTTGTAAAAGGTACACTTTATTACTTTATGCGTTTTTATACGTCTTTAGGTTTTATATTTTCATAGCCTCACCGGTCACGTAGAAATCGCGATTTTTGTACTCCGGGAAACGAGCGAAAAAGGCTTCCAGCGCCAACACGTTGTCGATGGCGGTCTGGAAAAAGTTCGATTCTCAAAGAATTTCTGCTAGCCTGCCCTCTGCTCTTCCTCAATAATCTCTGCTAGCCTGTCATCTCCTCTTCCTCAATAAACTCTGCTAGCCTGCCCTCTCCTCTTCCTCAACAATCTCTGCTAGCCTGCCCTCTCCTCTTCCTCAACAATCTCTGCTAGCCTGCCCTCTCCTCTTCCTCAACAATCTCTTCTAGCCTGCCCTCTACTCTTCCTCAACAATCTCTGCTAGCCTGCCCTCTCCTCTTCCTCAACAATCTCTGCTAGCCTGCCCCCTCTTCTTCCTCAACAATCTCTGCTATGCCTTCCAGTTCTCACCTTATCATCATTGTAAAGATCATCTTTCGGAGCCGTCTTATCCCGATACGAATATCCGATGTCACGTGGTGATTCGAGGTACAGCATATTCGCCAGCTAAAAAACGATGTTTCTATATTGCCCTAAGTACCAAAAACACACCTTATTCCACGAGTACACATTCTCCACCAGGCTGCTTCCGTTATCCTTTGTCGGTCTGGAAATTTTAGATTTGCATAAAAAATGTGCCGAAAACGTCAAAACTATGAATTCGAGCGCCTTAATTTTGCCATAGCTCTGCTGATTTCGTGTATTTTTTGGCTGAAAAATTTTGGAGTCCTTAGTGAATGTCCATGTACAGCTATGGCCGGAATTTCAGGCCGGTAAGAGACCTGAAACTCTTGAAAATCTACCTGAACGGTCCCATCTCGGTGAGGAAGCCGTCCATCGACGAGCATCCGGGCCCTCCATTCAGCCACAACAGCAACGGGGCTTTATCCGGGTTTTGTTGCGCTTCGACGAACCTGAAAAAAAGCAAAAATAAACCCGAATTCAGTCAGAAAGCAGAGTTTAGTATAAAAGTAATTCAAAAAATTACCAGGCAAAATCCCGAAACATTTTTTTGTAAAATTATGATTTTCAAAATTGCCCCAAAACTTTATTTGGATATAGAAAAACGCGGCTATTTTAGATTAGCTATTTAAATCAAACTTTCCATAAGATTTTTAACGTTTTTTAACCAATAAAATGTGGCCCGGAAATGGCCAAAAATAGGCTCTCCTAAAATCTATATTTTATAGCTATTTTCTTGAACCTTTTTGATTTTCCCTTAATTTAGATATAGCTTTATTAATTTTCTTTTTATTCACATACCAGGGTTGAAAAGCCGCTTCGCGACTTTTCAACCCTGGCCCCCTTTGGACCAATGAAACTGTAAATTTTGCATCTTTCAGCCTCAATCAAGTTCACAAAAAAATGAAAAGATTTTCTTCCATCCCTTTTTATAGGCTTCTTCTACTTCCGGTATACGCTAATTGTTTCCTACCAAAGAGGGTTCTCGAAAATTTTAGAAAAACTTATTTTTAATATCGGAAATAGCGTATTTCGATAATTCTGTTATGGGTGCAGTCATCGCAGAGCCATTACGCACGTAATGATGTATAATACGTCGCCTAAGATACGTTCCCTATTGAGTTATCCTCCGGACATAGAGACGGAAGTTGTAGGCAAATCGACACACACACACACACACACACTACTTTTTTTATATTATTCACATATCTACCGTAAATTTTTAATTTTGCTAAAAATACTTTCATGGTTTGGAAAAGCTTTTCTAGATGCTAAAAAGTCTAGTAAAAATTGCTTTCGGACGTATCAATGATCATTAATAATTTCAGATTTTGGCGCTGGACGCTGAATTTTGAAACGCTTTTCTGGAAATTTTGAAAAAAGCCGATGTATCATACCAGTAATGCAAATGGTTGCCGGGGGATGTATCCAAATATCCCGAGTACTGGTTGAAGGTGGGGGTGAAGGTGAGGCCTGGAAAATGGACGTGACTCTGTATCTCTCTGTCTCTCTATTTCTCTCTCGCTCTCTCTCCCTCTCTCCCTCTCTCTTTCTCTTTCTCTCTATCTCTTTCTCTCACTCTCTCTCTCTCGCTCTCCCTCCTGCCCTACCTGGTAGATCGGTGATCTTGTCGGATGCCTTATCGGCGGCCAGGGCCAGCCCCAAGAGGCCCAGGGCCCAAAGTGGTACCCATCGGAGACGGTTTCCCATCTAAACGCGCAAATTTCGCCATTAATGCGCCGTTCGCAGAGCGAGAGAGAGAGAGAAGAAGAAGAGAAGAGAGAGAGAGAGAGAGAGAGAAAGAGAGAGAGAAAGAGAGAGAGAGAGAGAGAGAGAGAGAGAGAGAGAGAGGAGAGAGAGGGAGAGAGAGCGAGAGAGAGAGAGCACACAGTACAAATTCCAAACGTGTACCCGAAAGTCCGATCCGATAAAACGTCACCCATTCCAAGCAGCCCTCGCCCTGGGGGGATAAGCCCCGAATTTTAGAGAGGGCCAAAAGTGATAAGCGAGCCCGCTCCCGTTTTAGCTTCTTCACGGGCTTGGCAAATTTTTGGCGATAAGCTAGGGGCACTTTTTTGGCCTTATTGGTCACTGCGGAATTTTAGGGGCTAGAAAGCCTAAGCCTTAGCCTAATCCTAATCCTAAGCATATGTCTCAGGGTCGACTAGAGCCTAGGCCTAAGCTCAAGCCTAAGCCAGGCCAAAGCCTAAGCCTAAGCCTAAGCCTAAGCCTAAGCCTAAGCCTAACTTAAGCCTAAGCCTAAGCCTAAGCCTAAGCCTAAGCCTAAGCCTAGGCCTAAGCCTAAGCCTAAGCCTAAGCCTAAGCCTAAGGCCTAAGCCTAAGCCTAAGCCTAAGCCTAGGCCTAAGCCTAAGCCAAGCCAAAGCCTAAGCCTAATCTGAAGCCAAGCCAAAGCCCAACGCTATTCTTAAGCCCTAGCCTAAGCTCAAGCCTAAGCCCAATTTTAAGCTAAGCCTAAGCCTACGCCTAAGTTAAGCGAATCGATTTACCCGTTTTAAAGAGACTCACAACTATGGAAAAATCAATTCTTGTTCCCAGCAGGCATTCCTAAAGAATCTCTGCTAGCCTGCCCAAAAAAATGTTGCGATTTGGGCCGGGAATCAGTCGAAAACTGTTTTTGCAGTATCATCATTCGTCGTGTCCGCGTTTTATGAGTGGCATTTGGCAGGTAAACTTTAGAATATGACCCGGTGATTCGGCCCCGAATGCACACAATAGAATTCCGGGCATTTCAATGCCCAAAAATCAGGAATTGAAAAATTATGACGATTTAGGAAGCTGCAAAATTTACACAATAACTATTTTTGAACGCAGGAAATCCACAAAAATCACTGCGGCCAGCCAGTTGTAATTTCCACGCTCAGGAAGGGGTAAAAAGCGAAAAGCAGCGGTCTCGTATCAGAATTCAGAACAGAGGAGACACGACCAATCTGCTTATCGCCTCCAGCGCCACCGACCAAAGCGGCTGTCTGCTAAAAAGCGCCCCAGAAACTCGACGAAAAACGGCCTAAATTAGGAATGACTAGCAGAGATCATTGGGGAGGGCAGGCTAGCAGAGATTGTTGCGGAAGAGGAGAGGGCAGGCTAGCAGAGATTTTTGAGGAAGAGGAGAGGGCAGGCTAGCAGAGATTGTTGAGGAAGAGGAGAGGGCAGGCTAGCAGAGATTTTTGAGGAAGAGGAGAGGGCAGGCTAGCAGAGATTGTTGAGGAAGAGGAGACGGCGGGTTAGCAGAGATTGTTGAGGAAGAGGAGAGGGCAGGCTGGCAGATATTTTTGAGAAAGAGGAGAGGGCAGGTTAGCAAAGATCATTCTGGAAATGACGAGAAGCTGGAGGCAGAAACGGCTTCTAAATCTTCTTTTAGATCGAATTTTTGCATCAGACTGCCGCCCGGCCAGAAGCTGACCGATTTCCAGAAGTGATGTGCGTACTCTGTGATAATTCCGATTCCGCGCCGCTCCAGATAACGGAATGCCAGTTCTCCCTGTCCTCGTATCAAATTTCGGACTTTCAGGAGAAAAATGTAGCTTCTTCAAGCCTTCCCTATCTAGATTAAGCAGCCAGAGTGTAGTGTATATAAATAGTATGTAATCTGAATTCAACGTGCCGCTTTTCCTCATCAATTTCCAGCAAAAGCAGCTGTAGCTGGTCGCTCACCCAGTGCCCCCGAAACGCCTGCTACCTGGCCCACTCCCGGGCTGCGGGGTATAAAAGAGGGCGCGGCCTTCCTCCCTTGCAGCCTGTCAATGAAGAGCCAGCAACTACGGCGGTCCTAATCCTCCATGTGGACGACTCAGTTGCACGGAGACTACTTTTTGCGTTTTGTAGAAATTGTTTAAAACCTTGTATAAATTTTTGTGCTGTTATACTATCGGAAGCTCATCATTTCGGATCGATTTCCTCATAGGGATTACTTAACTTCGACGACTTTTGCCGCTTTCGCTCCCAAAAGAGCTTTGTTAGCTTGCCGTATTTTTGCTGTACCTATAGAATTTATTAAATCATTTAGTTTATTAAAGCTAAAACTCGCAACTCGAAAACGTTTCTAGCTTTCTAGACCAACAACGCGCCGAAAGCCTTTTCCTTTTCCAGACATTGCCCCAATTTCTGTGTTTTTTGGCATATTTCTCGCTTGGCGCCTTCGGATAGTTGAAGATTTATCCTCCCAGATGCATGATTTGGCTACTACAAACAAGCCTCAGATTATAATTGAAATATATATTCAAAAACTCCCTTTTAAAGCCTCGACTTTACCCATGCTCCCTTGCGTGCGGCGAAGCACGCACCACCTGGCCCACTAGCCGGGCAGGGGGTATAAAAGAGGGCGGCCACCCCTTTCCTTCTCCAATGTGTGACCGGTGACGAGACAGCTAACGACGGGCGGTCTAAATCATTCTGTTGAGAAAAGTTAGCAGCTTAGGTCTTTTTATTTTGTTTTCTTTATTATTATTACTTTCATTCCTAAATTCCGATTATTTTGCTGCTTGCCCTGCTTTAAAGGTCATGGGCGTGTTCTTCCTTTTTGCCATTTTTCAACACCGAAACTAAAAGGAAACTTTATTTACAAACGAAAAGGCAGACGTAGGAAGAGGCTGAAATGAGATCGGAATGAAACTAAAACGATACTTTTGGATTTTTTTGGCGAGAATACAGTACAAATTCTCCTTTTTACAGTAATTACAACAAATCGACAGAGGCACAAAGAATCCCGGAGGATTTTCGGGATTTTCTTGTTTTGTCTAATTCGATTTATGCAGATTCGATGGATCTCCTCGGGAGTCGAGGATGCGTCTCCTGCATCTCTTCTTCCTCGTGAATTGGCTGAAAAATGCCGCATTAATGGGGGATAATGGCCAATAGTCTCTGCTAGCCTGCCTCTTGCTCACCTCAATGACGCTGCGCCTCGTGCTCATCCTGGCCCTCAGTTTCTGAAGAAGCGAAGCCCGGCGCTTTGGCTCCACGCCGCTTCCATCGACGGCGGGGGCGCTCTGGCGCCGGCGGGGCGCCTACAAAATTGATACTATTTAATTTTAAAAAGTCAGAAAATAATATTATTAGATAAAAATTATTGAAAAATAATCTTTACAATTTTTAAATAGCTTACTTCATTCTGCCCGGGAGCGCCAGAAGAGAATTCACGGAGTGAGAAAAAGCGACGACGGGGGCCGTTTTCTACTTTCTAAACGGATTTGAGTATGGTTTTTAGGTTTTGGAAACAGCTTAAGCGTATTTAATTTATTATGCGTTTAATTGTATAAATAAGCTGAAATAAGTTGAATTTCTCCTTGAGGAAACTCACCCTCGCCCAAATGCGCATCTCCTCCCTGACAGCGTTGTTGAGATGGATCTCGCGTTCTTTGGAGAGCCGGAAATCAGGGGTTTTCTGGAAGGATCGATGTCATAAAAATATAAAATAACTTTCAGCATTTTTTAATAAGAATAATAATTCTTAGCGATAAAATGCCCACCAAAATCAAGTTCTAGTAATTAAATTAGCGTACCTGAATGGCGACAAATTCCCCGAACATGTTTGCCATGCCGCTAAGCTTCATTTTTCCTGAAAAGTTTAGATTAGTTAAAAAGTTGCAAATAACATAATGAAAGTTGTTAAAAATTTAAAAATTAAAAATATTATTACAAACTATTAAAAAAATTGAAACATACAAAAAATATCGGTATTGGACTATTAGCGGAGCATTTTTCTGGTCATCCCGGCAGGCCCGATAACGAAAAACAAACCATGTTACAGGATTTCGACCGTTTTTAGCACTAAAAAATGCCCGAAAAATTTAACGTTTTCGGTTTTTGATTTTTGGCCAAAAATCTATGAAAAATCACGACAAACTCAAAATTACGAATTTTAAAACTTTTAAAACTGCTTTCTTGCACCCTTCTTGCAGTCAAAAACCACCAAAAATAATATAGAAATAGATTAGATATTATTCAGGTTTTGACGGAAAACTAAAACTTAGCCCCGCTAAGAGTCTAGCACCAAAAAAGCCCGAGAAGGAAGGCATGCTAGCAGAGATAAGCCTAAGCCTAAGCCAAAGCCTTAGGAGCAAAAATGGGTGAATTTCTACACAATAATCGGAATTTCGAAATTCCGGCGGCCACATGGGGGCGATGCGAGAGAGATCATTTGAGGAAGGGACGGAGGGCGGTGTGTGTAAATTGAAGAGATATGCGGATAATTCGTGTTAAATATCCCTCGGGTCACGTGTACAACTAGGTGGACAGAGATATAGACACACAAACAGACACAGCTGACCGCCCCGGGGATACGGTAGCGGCGAGAGAGAGAGAGAGAGAGAGAGAGAGAGAAAGAGAGAGAGAAGGGCGGGAGTCCGCTGAAAAACAGGTTTTTTCAACTCATCTTTCGAGTGCCTCTATTCCGAGCCGCACAACTTTCCATGCAAGGTTATGATAGTCGAAAACTCGAAATTTGTGTGAAATTGTCATCAGTTTTTGATCTGGGGAGTATAGCAAAGATTTTTGAGGAAAAGGAGCCTGCTAGAATTTTTCGGGTAAAATGGAGGCTAGCAGAGATCTTTGAGGAATTAATGGAAAGCTACTTAGGCTTGCTAACAGATGTCATCTAGGAAACAGCATTTTGAGGGCAGGCCAAAATTGAAGCGCAAACTAGCAGAGATCATTGTGGATTCAGTAAAGCTCGGGGACAGGCTAGCAGAGATTACTTGGGAGGCGGATTCTCTGACTGAGCCTGGGCTTAGGCTCGGCTTGGCTTGCCTAGGCTTAGACTTAGGCTTACCTTCCTAATTTCTACTTTCAGATAAAATTCCATTCCTCGCCACGCTTCACCGCTGACCGACCACCAACAGACATGTGTAACGGAGACCGCCCGAAAAAAATGTAGGCCGTGTGTAATTCCGCGCGAACCCGGAATTTGTTTTTGGCCGCAGCGCTCGGTTCGCCGACCTGGGCGGCGGCCGGCTGTAAAAAATAGGGGCAAAAGTTTATGTCCAGCACGGATAGATCCTGGTAGGATTTCCTAAAGGATCTCAGCTAGCCTGCCCTACGAAATCTTGAAAAGTGGATCCTTCAACAATCTCTGCTAGCCTGCCCTCTGCTCTTCCTCAACAATCTCTGCTAGCCTGCCCTCTCCTCTTCCGCAACAATCTCTGCTAGCCTGCCCTCTCCTCTTCCTCAACAATCTCTGCTAGCCTGCCCTCTCCTCTTCCTCAACAATCTCTGCTAGCCTGCCCTCTCCTCTTCCTCAACAATCTCTGCTAGTCTGCCCTCTCCTCTTCCTCAACAATCTCTGCTAGCCTGCCCTCTCCTCTTCCTCAACAATCTCTGCTAGCCTGCCCCTCTCCTCTTCCTCAACAATCTCTGCTAGCCTGCCCTCTCCTCTTCCTCAACAATCTCTGCTAGTCTGCCCTCTCCTCTTCCTCAACAATCTCTGCTAGCCTGCCCTCTCCTCTTCCTCAACAATCTCTGCTAGCCTGCCCTCTCCTCTTCCTCAACAATCTCTGCTAGCCTGCCCTCTCCTCTTCCTCAACAATCTCTGCTAGCCTGCCCTCTCCTCTTCCTCAACAATCTCTGCTAGCCTGCCCCTCTCCTCTTCCTCAACAATCTCTGCTAGCCTGCCCTCTCCTCTTCCTCAACAATCTCTGCTAGCCTGCCCTCTCCTCTTCCTCAACAATCTCTGCTAGTCTGCCCTCTCCTCTTCCTCAACAATCTCTGCTAGGTTGCCTCTCAAAAATGCTCGAAAATTCCATATGAACTCTTGGATGCTAGATCGTCATGAGAATGGAAACGTAAACATTGATATTATCAAATGACGGCGAGATCCAGAAATCATTCTATTTTCAGCTGATGATCTCCCGGGTGACATAGAGTACTTTCTGGTCGAAATCGAGACCGAAGAATACGAGATAATAAAGTCCTTAATCGTGGTTTCGAAATGAGAGATTGTTGATTTTATCGTACAAAAAAATGCCAAACAATATCTACCTTTGAAAGGTACCGTTACGGTAAGACTACGGTGGTCGAGTAATAGCGGATTTAGGAACACGGTTACGACATGAAAATTTGATCGGGCTTTTTGGTTCTATGAAGCCTTGCGAAAGTGAAAAATCACCCTAGAAAAGGCATAAATATCGTTAAAACCCCGGAAAAGGTCGTTTCGATTAGTTTGCCTCGGCTACCGTAATCCTACCGTACTTTTTAAAGCCACACTTTGCTCAGAATTTTTCGCTTTATCCGAATAAGCTATAGCCCAATGTTAAAGGTGCTCACCCAGCCGAATTAACCGCAAATTCGAGCCAAAAATTTTATGATTTTACCCTCAAAAATGATGTGTTAGTCAGGCAGAGAATGGTAGACCAATTGTCGAACGCGCCGAAATAGACCTCTACAAGTTGTTCGAGGAGCAGCCAGGGGGAAAACATGTTTCCCGGCTTGCCAACAACCCTTATTAGTTCCACCCGGGGGGAGGATGGCAAAAACACAGCCAGACCTACCATCCCCTCTACAAATTACCTCCCTTCCCCTTTTCCGCTTTCCGCTTTAATTTATAGCCTATTCTTTCGAGCGAATCGGCCAGAAATAGTAAGACCAGAGGATTCCTTTGTTTTAAGCTTAAAAATGGATATGTTATTCAAAAATTGCTCTAATCCGGTTAAAAAACTGATAAAACTTCCGTGAAACTTTAAAAATGAGAAAAGATACGCTTGAAAAGCCCTCTAAGTTACCTCTGCTATGTTAGTAGATTAGCAGATGCTAAGAAATCCAAAATAACGCAAATCGCCGAATACTGGTCATTTTTCGGTCAAAATTGTTCTGCTTTTATTCGTTCTAAACGTAAAGCCTTTCGAAATATCCTAAAACGGCGAAAATAAACAACTCTCTTTCTTAGTTTACAGCGTCAAAACTAGATTTTTTCACTTTTTTCGACCGAATTTAAATTGTTTATGAAGTTTTTTTAACGTTCTCGTGCTCAAAAACAGCTAAAACAAGGTATAAGCGCATTTATATAAAAAATCTAGGCTTATTTTTCCGAAAAAGGTTTCCTTTCAGTAAGTTTGAACCTGAAACAGTAGTTTAGGAAAAACTTACAAAAAAGTTAGCAAGATTTCATTTCGGGTCGAAAAAATGAGCTTTTCGATCTAAACTACTAAATTTATGCTAGTCAGAAAATCAAGCCCGATTTACAGGGCCACGCGCCGCGCTGAGGCGCCGAGGTTGTGTAAAATGGCAGGCAACCCCAGATTCGTGGGGCCGATTGTTTTTATCGGGGTCGTGAGGGAGATATCCGCGCGCTCGCGGAAAAAAAACGGATCCAGTCAGCCGCGCGCCAGAAAAAAAAATTCCTCAACCCGGCACCTCAGCCCTTTATCCCGGGCGCAACCCGCAAAAGATATTGAGGGAGCGCCGCATAGTATTCCCGGCATAAATCCGGCACGACACGATGCCACGCGGTCAAGGCTGAATTGACAGAGTGCAGAGCGCAAACCTGGGGAGAAAGCGCAGCCTCATAATGAAACCGGAAAAGGCGCGCGTGCCCCCGATCCTCAATCACGGAAAGTTTATCACTTGTTTCGACCCGGTGAGAGATGGATTTGGTGAGGAGGAGCTTGTAAAGCTAACACGAGTCCCAGCGCAGCAAAAAAAAAACAAAATCGTAAATTTCCCTGCCCTCCGGTTGCCTCGCGGCGCACGCTTGAAATAAATGCGTCGTTATTAATTTGTACGCCTGTATCTACCCTTCTAGAATAAATAGTGTATTTTACGCTGTTTTTCGAAGTGCTTGATTGCTAAAAAGTTATCAAAAATATTTAAAAAATTTTTGAAAATATATTTTTTTACCTTTTTTTGTCATTTTTAATCCATTTTTGGAGCTCTTCATATCGAAAACCCCTCTAAATTGCTATAAAAAGGTTTATTGAAGGTTATAGGGCGCTGCGGAATTACCGGGGCAAAATTAACCCCACCCCCGTTAAACGGAAAGAACCAAAATTTGTATAATCTACAAGAATAAGCTAAACATAGAACGAAATATAGATAAACTGGCCCCACGAAACCAGTCGGTTTTATGTACCGCTCAATCTACAAAAGCGCGGAATATCGTGTTGTAAAATTCGTGTCCGTGTCGCAACAGCAAAAATACGCACAACTTTGTCGTCAAAATATAAACATTTAAAAACAAGAATAAAAACACCAAAAAAAAAATCACGGGTTAGCTGTTGGAAGAGATCGCGCATCGCTTGAACGGTTAGATAGTGACGAAGCTCATCTCCGAATCAGCGGTACGGACTGTAGCTGCGCGAGCGCTCCCTAAAATCCAATTAATAAGAAATATTCCAAAACTAGGCTTACCTGCGATCACGACGAGGAGAGCGGCTGTAGGAGCGGCGTCTGGGAGCCCGGTAGTCATCCCTAGAAATGGGGGTACTGGACTGTTAGCAGGGGGTCGGTAAATTATTTTTCTTTTTCCACTTTTCTTAATGATAAATAATGTATTTTTAGGATGTGTTTCGTGGTTTTTAATGACTAGAACGTTACAAAAAATATTTTAAACGTTTTTGAAAATTCGAAATATTGGTCTTTTTATACATTTCCGTAAATTTTTATAGGCTTTTTATATCTAAAAGCTGTGTAAAAGACTATAAAAATGGTTAGATTTTTGCTATAGTACCGTAAATGATTATTGGCCAATTTGTTCCCTCCCGCTAACAGTCCAGTACGAAAATCTCATCTTTAAAAAACCCCGTAAGCGAACTAACCTATACGAGCGACGCGACGATCCACCGTACGACCGTCCATAGTCGCGATCCCTGTATCCGCCACGGTCGCCCCGGTCACCGTAACGTCCTCCACCACCACCGTAGCCGCCACCGCCGTAGCGACCGGCCGTCTTGTGTCCCATGTACTCGCCGGGGGTGGGCGAGTGAGCACGCTTCGTCATCGAGTAATCGACGCGCAGCTCTTTGCCATCCACCTAAAAGCGGACATTTTTGGGAGCTGGAAAACGCGCAAAACTTGCGAAACTCTGGGAAGTAGCCTATTTCAAACTAGTTTTTTTTCAAGAATTTTGTTTATGGACAACGCCAAATTAATTCTTAGCTGGTTACTACAAGCGCGGGTGAGTTCTGCTATTTTGAGGCTCTGTGTGTCTGAGGTGACTGGACTGTTAGCGAGGGGACTATTTTCCCCACTAATCCCGTTTTTTCTTCTTTTTGTAATTTATTATCAATCAAAAACCACCTCTTAGAATGCCACACAATTTTTAGATTTATAGAGGTTTAGAAAAACTTCTAAACCTTGACTTTTCGATCAAAAACCTATGAAAAATGGTCAAAACGTCGAAAGGAGGACCTAAGGTCAAAATTTTCGAATTTTCAAGTTTTTAAAAAGATTTTTGCCTTTTTAGCTATCAAAAACTACGAAAAACAAGAAAAAAATCGATTGCATTAATGTAAAAAATCAATAAGAGAAAACCTAGAACGGAGAAACACCCCCGCAAACAGTCCAGTACCGCTGTGTCAAATTTAACACCTATCCGCCTCTAGAACGCCACAAATGAGGAAATTTAACAACTAAAAGCTCAAAACACGCTTAAATTCGCACTTTCTAACGTCCTACACAACCACAACGTGCGCGACCGGCCCCGGGGGGATGGGATACCTGGATGCTTGTTCGAAGCCTTCTACACTCTTCTGTTCTTTCTACACCAAACTTCTTTCTTCCCGAGAGCCTTCACTCCATTTTTGCAACATTCACTATTCTCTGTGTTCACTGCTCTCATCCACCCGCTTCAGAGGAAGGCGTTCTTTTCTTCATGGGGTGCTGGTTTTTCTTCAACCCCACACGCATGCTGCCAAAGCTGTCTACCGTGGTGCCGGTCAGTCGTTCCTTCGCCTCGGTCGCCTCTTCCAGCTTGTCAAAGTAGATGAAGCCGAAACCGCGGGACTCGCCCGTCGGCCGGTCCTTGATCAGGTCCACCTGAAAATGGTAAAACTTATTTGGAAAAGGGCTTTAGTAAAATTTTAGGTGCTTTCGCATTATCGGGGGGGGGCGACGTTTTCTTAAGATCTAAATTTCCAAATATAAATAGTGGATCGACATCTACATGCCTTTTTATGATTCCTAAACGAGAAAACTATACAAAATTTCATTAAAACTGTCAGAAATATCGAGTTTTCGACCAAAAATAACGATTTTATTTACCAAAATTTCGACTTTTTCGACATTTGAGATAGTTTTTCTAGTTGAAGTATCGCCATTTTTTACTAAAACACGATCAAAATACTTGCTATTGAGTTCCTAGACATTTCTAGAATTATACAGAGAAGATAGATAGAAAAAAATTCGGCCCTCACCCCCGATAATCCGAAAAACCAGCATAGTAAATTCTTTGAAAAAGCACCTTCTCGATACGACCATAGATGCCGAAAACGTCGCGCAGCACCTCCTCCGTGGTGTAACGCGATAGCCCGAAAACACCCAGGCACCTGGAAATAAACAAATATTCACATCGCCCTCCTAAGTAGCTCTCTCATAAAAATATCACAAAATGCTACCTAGAGGGTGCCGGCTCGTCGCGGTTGCCACCATAACCGCCGCCACGTCTCGAGCCACGATCATCCGCGCGTGACGATCTGCGGGGAGACCTGAAAAATCAGGATTATCTGGAAGCTTGAAGAAAGGATAATTGGAAGTTGGGAGGAGGTTGGAAACAGATTAACTCCAAAAAGTACAAATAAACTCACTTTGCCGGACTTGGACTTCTCACGCGTCGCCGATTCTCGTGCGAGCCGCTGCGGCTTCGGCTGCGGCTCGGACCGCGGGAGTCACGCTAAAAAAAAACGAAATTTAGAACGCCGAAAAACATTCTTTACCCCGGTTTGGTAATAGTAAAGTCTATTCTACGCAAAATAATGTCAAAAAACAAACCTTCGGACTGGGGGTGTACGAGCGCGGCATCGCTTTCTGAAAAAAGAGGATATTTTGGTATTTGAACGATTTAATAGAATGGAGAAACAAATTCCCAAGCAGATTAATCAACCCCGTTCCCGCAAACCCCTTCAAATCGAATAGCATCGCGTTGGGGGCAAGGGATAGCGATCAGGAAAAGGGAGAGACGAAAAAGAAAGACAAAAAAAGTAGAGGGCTACAAAGGGCTTGAAATAGTGAATGAAAGTCGCTTCGGAATGGAGGGAAAGAAACTTGTAGCAGATGCGCTTTGACCTGCAGATGATACTGAAGGGGTGGTGGTATCTAATCGGCATTAATAGTTATTGGCGCTAGTAATATAATTCCGGACTTTAGTTTCTCCTTAGCGGTTCCAATTGGCCTAGTAATCTAATATAAAGTGTTTTACATAGTTTTTAGTAAGTTTTAACTATATCTAAAGGAGAAAATCTTTAATATGTTAGAAAAATATTTGAAGTCGAAAATTTGGTTAACTTGGGTCGAAAAAGCCCGGTTTTCGAATCATAATTGAATTTTGTAAAGTTCGGACGTAGCGTAAATAAAAACACATACGCTGATCATAAAAAAAATTAGGCTTGCGCCGAAAAAAAGTTGCTCCCCGCGAATCCTAAAGTGCCAACAAATCGATAGACAAATTGTAGACATATTATCGCCAAACAAAAGCGTCATTACAGTCAAACTTGGAGCGTGTTGTATAGCAAATTTTATTGAACGAAAAACATGAAACAATCGATTGAACAACAAGGTAACAAACCATCGACAACAACGGGTGGGGGAGCAAACTGAAAATCAAATAACAACAACGAACAACGAAAAAGATCTGAGGTGGTTTTCAATTGGCCACGCGCTCCACCCACTCCTCGGTGATGGTGAACACGTTCTGCGAGGTGAGCTTTTGTTTCGACTTTTTCTAAATTGCAAGATGAGTAATTTGATCACAACAAACCTGCGCAAACTTGGTCACCTCTTGCTGGGCGCCCCTGCCGGTCAGCGAGTCGGCGCCGGCGTGTTCGAGCACTTTCCAGGGCTTCCTAAAAACTAATTTTTGGCTTTAAAACCCATGGAATCTGATTGAGAGACTGTGGAGGGCTCTCAAAGGATCCAGAAACCTGTCCAAAAAAACCCACACGACCGTCATCTTTGCATAGGAATGCGTGTCGGGCGGTGGGAGACCCTTTAGCATATTGTTGGCAAACGCGCGTACTTCTGGGGCCCGGCCGTCCTGAAAAAAACAGGCGTACTTAGATAAGCTTAAACCCCTTACGACGTGTAGTTTTCGTAGGAATGGCCGTGCGTCACTTCCCATAGCCCCGCTGATGTCCGGGTCGTCCATCGATGGGGCGTAGATGGACGTTATACCTGGCTAAAAGAAGGAATTCAGAAAATGCCAGAAAAACTGACCCCGGTCTCGTCGTCCTCCAAAAGCGCCGACAGGTTGGGGTGGGACTAAAACAAGGTTGTGCTGATGATGGGTTGTCGATCGGAACTTTGAAATTCGGAATTTCGAGTTTTTAGAACCTTCAGTTTTTACAGGTTCAACAAACTGCGAATTTTCAGAATCTCGACATTTCAGTTCTGGACTGTTAGCGGGGGGTTGGGGGATTTTAGCAGGGAGAAACCAAGTTTTTTACAGTAATTCTGTACCGGCGGGCCCTAGAACAAAACATAAGAAATTCTGATTGCATTTCAAATAGTTTTTAGATATAAACAGCGCCAAAAAATTTATAACAATGTTCGAACTTTCGTGGCTTTCACAAAAATATATGAACAATGACCAAAAAAAGTCAAAATTTCGAATTTTCAGAATTTAAAAAAATGTCATAACTTTTTAGCAGGCAAAAACCACTAAAAAAACCATAAAAATACCGCATATATTATCAACAGGTATTGCTGAACAAACAAAAAGTAGTTCCCCTGCTAAAACGGTGATCCTGAGAATTGGGGATTCTGAAAATTCGAGATCCCGATTTTAGACTTCACAACTTTTCGAAATTCTGAAATTCTAACAAGTCCTGACAATTTGTAAGTCCTGATTTTCGAGAGTCTCTTACAATGAAAAACGAGCGGCACAACGCCAGCAGCACCAACGCCGGCCGGTCGTCGAAGAGCACGGCCATGCAGAGGAGTCGCTTGAAGAAGGAGGCCACTCGTGTCACGGGCACCTGGAAAAAAACAGGGTATAATTTTTCTTAGCTCAAGAAGCTTCACCTGCTTCTTGCGCACGTTGAACATGATGTCGAGCGACTTGGCGAGCATCAGCACTTGGTTGAGCAGCACCTCTAAAAACATAGATTTAATGGGTGACAATGGAAAAAAAGGATTTGCTATCAGTTTGTCGAAATTTAATTTTATCGTAATTTCAATTTGTCGAAATTTTATATTTTGATCCTTCTCAATTTCAACAAAATGGAAATGAGCGCAAAAGTGTCCAAAAAGCACTACTCACCCGGGTCCGTCTCGAACGGCAGCGTGTTCAGCAGGCGATACATCGTGCGATAGAATCTAGGAGCAGGGGATCAGTCCAGAAGCTCGTAACGTACCTGCAAGGGTCGACATTCAGCACTTGGCCCTGCCCGGAGAGGATGACAAAGACGGTGTTGATGCATTGGAGCCGGTCGATCAAGCGGAGATGCTAGAAAAAAAGAGCGTTTGCAGGTGAGGCTAAAATCGTACCTTCTGGTCGACCAGATCCTCGAGGCACTTGATGATGTCCTCCAGGAATTCAACGTTCAACAGATGCGCATATTTCGAAAGTCCGGCGAGTACCTGATCACAAAAATTAGGGGTGCTTTTGCATTATCGGAGGAGGTTAAAAAATCGTATCCGTATCTTTTCCGTATCTTTCAAATTTAAACCGACGTGTTTCTAAAGTTTTTTTTACTATTGCTTAAGTAAAAACCAACCAAATTTTTACCAGAAATACAAAAAATGCAGATTGTCGACCGAAATAGCCGTTGTTTACTCAAATTTCGACTTGTTGGATGTTTTTAGATAGTTTTTCTAGTTGAAAAACAGTTTTATTTTATTAAACACACTATTTTTTAGGACAATAAAACCTACCGGTTCCAGACAATAGAGATTCGGCATGCGCTTCAGGATCGAAAAGTACACTTGGAAGACGTGCTTCATTGATTCGGTCGCCTATAGAAAAATCGTTGGGCCCGTGAAAGGTCACAAACCATTTTCAGCTTTGAAGTAATACTTTCCGCCGCTTCCACTTCCTTCAGGTCACTTTCCAGTTTCTTGATTTGCTTGTCAAACTGAAAACAAACGGAACAAAAAAATTTTTCCGGGTGATTTCCAATACCTTTTTGGCCGTCTTATTCTTGCGCTCCTTCTTGATCTGGTACTTCTTCGCGATCAGCCGGTCCTTATCGTTATTCTTCTTGTCCGAAGCGACTTCCTAGACAGCGATAATTCGAACCTATTCGACTTCTACCCACCTTGATGGTCAGCGATAAAAATGTTCGCAACAGTGACGGTGATGCGGCCATCGGCTTCTTGCGTACCAGGTCGGCAATTGTCTAAATAGCATAATAAAGCTTTGCAAGGGCCAGACGCACCTTGCAGGCAAAACTCGTAATCTTCAGCGAAACGTCTCTCGCGAAAAGCTGCGAAATGACGGCGCACACGTTTTCAACCGTCTACATAAAAACTTTTTAAGATACGCATGCAACTCTACCTTTGCATGGCTGCTAAGCGTCAACCGGACGAGCGTCGTCACAATATTGTTGGCGTAGTTGAAATGCGGGGCGCCAAGGAGCAGTCTGAAACATGAGTCATTTAAACGGACCACGGCCACGATACCGCCCCATCGACTTCACGGCAAGGACGGCAAATTTGTGGGAGAACACCTTCTCGTCCCAGGTGTTCCGTTTCTGAAGCAGGCGATTTGACTGCTTCTCCAGGTATTGCAACAGCTTCACGTAATATCGGAGCAGCGTCTCTTCGAACGTGACGAGCTTGCGGGTTTCTTTTTTCAGCTTGGCCCCGCCGGTTTCCGTCTCGGACATTGGTCGGATCGGGTAGCCGGGGATCAGATCGAGCAACACCTGAATGTTTCTTTACCAAACGAGTCGAATTCGGGCCCCAAAAATCGATAAAAAACTTACTTTAACCATGTGGGCCATCGACAATTGTTGCACTTGTTCGCGCACCAGAGAATGCTGATTCTCACCCTTGCACATCGACAAAATCTCGCGTAGCTTGTGAATCTGAAAGTAAATTCGTAGAAATTCGGTAACAAAATCTCCCCCACATTTTCTTGCGGGTTGGCGGTTAGCGCTCGCTCGTGCCGGCGGAGCTCATCGATTGCGAGTTGCACCAATTCGGCGTGCTTCTGGTGCAGTTGGGCGCCGTGCAGATGCGAGAAATCCTTAAAGAAATTTGTAACTATCTCGAGAGCCCGCTCACCTCCTCCACGAATCTGGGCTTATCGTCGGACAAGTCGTTCTCGAACTTCACCTGGCCCCCCTCGTCCGCAGCTTCTTCTTTGATCTCCTTTGTGCGTGTGGGCCTGAGGATTGTGCCATCGCTCAACTAAACAAAAAGATGATTGAAAACGGTCTCAAGTCCAAACCTTGATGGGCAACATTTCCTCCTGATCTTCGGCAAGACCATCATTGAATTTTCGGCGCTTTTCTCCTTCCTTCTCGTCGTCGCTTTCATCTTCTTCTTTGACTTCTAGAATGAAAGGAATTGAATTTTGCCGTTCTGAGCCTAAAATTTAGATAGCTCCCCAGCGAGCTATTATCGTTTCAAAACGTTCTAAAACAACGCCCTACTTCTCGCGTCGTGTCTCCGCTTCACCGCTGCAAACGGCGTATTGTCCCAGTCAATATCCGCGTCAAGCATGTCCAGCGGCAAGATGTCGTCCTCATCCTCGTCTTGGAACTGCCGCTGACGCTCCGCCACCCAATCGTCTTCAATCTAAACAATATATAAAAATCCGCGCTGGGCCAACGTTACGTTGAGCGCTTTTTGCAGGCTGTGCTTCGACTTCTCCGCGTCGATCGCCTTGATCTTGTCGCGAACATGGCGCTTCAATTTGCCCTTTTTCTCGAGCCCATGCAGACGGCGGCCGGCTTTTTTGTTCTTCTTTCGTTGCGATACTTCTGCGGCGTCGGGCTTTTGCTTCGTCATTCCTATAAAGTGGATATAGAATGATATTGCCAGTTAATGCGCTTGGTTCATAATTTAAAATTCATATGAGCAAGAAGAAATAAATAAAATTAAAGCGAAAAACCTTTTACAAAAAATCTGAAGTAATTTTGCATTGCATAGCGTGATGGGTCCTCAAGGGGGTGTGGTAGTGCCGAGGCCTTTCCACGAGATAGCGAGCCGCCTTCGAAGCCATGCGAAAGGCCCCCAGTGCTCCCAACCTGCAAGCTTGTGTTGTCCAATACCCCCGCTTCAACAGAATTTGGACCTATTAAACCCTGAGCCCAAGTTTTGATACAACCCTCTGATGGTTAGATTGTTTAGGTTGCATCGCTAAAATCGTGTTCCCAGTAAAACACTGCCGGATTTATTTAGGTGCACTTATGCGATAGGTGATTGCTTCTGGACGGGTGTCGTGCGACGATGGTGCGGCTTTTTCAGCTGGATGGTCCCATTTTGGTGCTTAGCAGCCGGGGGGTCGGTCCGGTTGCTGTGTGATGGGCCTGAACAACTTGCGTAACGAAAAAAAGCCACTTCAAGCGCCGATCATCTTTAATACGTACTGCTCACTGGTGGTGTCGGGAAAGACAGTTGTCTTCTTGCCCCATCCAAACCATCCCTGTTGGACACCTTTGCACAAGCCGCAAGTCTGTGCGCAGAGACGCTTCGACAGCACTTCAGGCGCTATTTCGGAATAGGGGACCCACTTTGATTGTACCAAAACTGGGGTTTTTGCGATGCTTTCTTGGATAGTTTTGTGCGCTGGTTCCGAAAAGAACACCATACTAACTTTAAAACCTAATATTTTCACACAAAAAATTGATTTTAGTTTAATGGGCTTCTAGGGAACCTGGCGGCGCAGTCCCGACTGTTGGCTACAATACACTCCTAGCTCCGTTTTTCAAGCTGAAAACGCATGCATAAATGATGCTAAATGCTAGTAAGCCCGATCTTCGATTCATTGAGACCAAGCCTAGGCCAGCCAGGTGAATCTGACTGAAGTCAAGCTCTAGCCGAAAAATATAATAACCCAAGCGGGTTGCCTCACAATTGTGCTGGCTAAGCCAAGACCGCCCGCGCTGTCCTATAAACATCTTATAAAGATAAAATATTTTGTACAAATGTGCGTTTTTACGGGCTGGGATACCGTTTTTCAGAACAAGCGCACAAAATTACACCTGAAAAAGTGGTTTTTAGAGTAATCAAAGTGGGTCCCCTATTCCGAAATAGCGCCGCACTTCATTCATTGTGGGGGCGGCTGTCGAGCAGAGCCCCCCCTTTCATGAGGAGCCCACACCTTTAAATGGCGTGTTTGGCCTAATGGCCCCGATGAGCACCACAACTCACCCACGGGCCAAATCGCGGCAAACCAAACCCAGTTTCTTCTCCATGTTCAGATCATCTGTATATGCGCAAACGTAACAGTAGCCAAATCAGAGCACTAAACCTGCCGCCACAGCAACCAAGAATAGCGCCACCGACAAGAATATGACCTTAAAGAAGAACATAGCAAGCTGTAGCAGGTAAATTCCGACAGGATGATAGCCCGACGGTATATATAACCAAGCTGCTGTTGTCAGGCGCAAAGCACGCCACTAATAAAGCAAATATTTTCCGCCCGGAGCGATACACTGGAAATCAACGACGCCAATGACATGTCCGGGTAAATAAGACTACCATGATAGCGCGCCGACAAAAAGGATGAGTCTATAAAAAAATCTTGGAAATTAAGAAATCACTTTATTTGTGAAGAAACATGACCCGCTAACGCATTCAAAATTGTAAGCATCACACACAAAAGGCCAGTGGCAAAACATAATCACAATGCGATGGTTAACTTTCAAGGGGTGAGTTAACGATAGCCGCTCGCTTACTTCTTGACGCCCAGTCCGGAAGCGTATTTGGCGAGGTCGTCGTCTAAAACAAAAAAGAGGATGCAGTGAATCTCAATCACAAACCTGGCACGCGCCCACGATACTTGGCCAGCACTTCGTTGCCTTTTTCGATTCGCTGCTGATCTATGTTGACCCAGAGGAAGCAGTGACCACATCTCTGCGGGCACTCCTTGTCGTTCGGATGTTTTGGGTGGCTAAATTAATCCAATTATGCGTAGTCCTATGCAGCCAAATCCTAGGAACGAGATGCAACAAAATGTAATCTTTACTTGCAGAAATGGTCGTAACCGGCGATGGTCGCATCACAGACGTAGCATTGGAGGGCCCCGCAGCGGCATGTCATCTTGTTGCAACCCTCATCCTTTTGGAAGGCTTGGTTACAGCGCTTGCACTGGCGGACGAAGATGTTGGACAGATCTTCCTCTCTAAAAATCAAAGTTATACAATTGTACAAGCGCAACAAACAATTGCAGACGAAGAACGTCCTCCTTACTGAGCCCGCTTTCCTTAGCCTCCTCGCATTTCAGTCCCATGTGTGAGCTCCATTTGATCTTACACAACCTAGAATCTATTCAGAAGCTAGATAAAAAGCAATACCTGCAGAAAGAAGCACGGCATTTCCTGCAATCGAAAACTTTGTTGACTTCAACCGGATCGCAAAATTCTTGCGCAAACGAGCAGAAAACGCAACTGAAATCGTCAACGCCAAGTTACAAAGGCATAAGGGATGACTCACTCTTCGAGGGTCATACCGCAAGCAGCGACGGCAGCACGAGCGATAGCCGTTTCGAGTTTACGTCGCATTTGCTTCTCGCCCGACGGCAGTTTGCGCATGACCTCAGCTTAAATTGAACAATTTTTGAATAAACCGGAATGTCCACACCTTGCTTCAATACATTCGTGCAACTAGAATCCATGCAGCGAAGCCCAGTGCCATCACTCGAAATCGAGGCGATCTCGCTGACTGCCGCTCCAACGTACCCCTTAAGGCATTCAAAGCAGAAACGATGAGTTTCGCCTAAAGTAATATTATTGAAGGGACAAGGCAACCCAACCTCCTTCATGAGTAGCCGTGCACTCAATCGATCGGCTGGTATATTCTTCATTGAAGCAAACAGCGCACTCGAACATATCGGCCTGAAAAAAACCCAGAATTATTAACATACAGAACACACTTTGGTCAGTCTTAATTTGCAAACATAATCTTACCTTCGGCAGTAAACCTTCCAAGAAAGCGAGAGGAGCCATAAACCCCGGTGTTGGGTTATTTGCACTCGGATTCGCTTCCGCCTTCACGCGTAATGGTCTGTGGAACGCCTTGGTCCAAGCGGCATACTCTGCACGACGTCTTCCAAAAACCGATCTCCTGTCGCGTTCGGCCGCTTGAACTAAAGTACACAACCATCATGGTAAAATAGAGATAAACTTACTGTGATTTATGAAAAGCTGTTCCACCCGCTCTCGACCCGCAGAATTTTCACGTGAATATAGGAACATAGCGAGGAGTGCATTGTGATGGTTGAGTGAATATTCACATAGCTTGGTCTGCGCAGTAGCCAGGATCTAAAAAAACGTCGACACACCGGAAAAACGACTGACATTGGGGGCCAGTCGGCGAAGGAAGGCTTTTTCGTGCCAATTGAGCGCTAGCGGCTCTCGCCCCGCGGCAGGCATGTTGGCGTACGCATCCTGAAGTCGCTGTTCCAATTCGGCATATATTTTTGCCAGAGTTTCACGACTCGGCTTCTCGAACTCCGTCACTACGGGTTGAACGCCATCATCAACATCGTCATCACTAAAAGAGACGTGTGATCGCAGAAAGCGACTACCTCTCATCATCATCGATGTTTTGAAGGCTGATGTCTTGAATCCGGTCTGAGCGACGCATAGGCGGGTGCACACGTTCATCAGTGACGGCATCGACGAAGGCACGTGCGTCCCAGCCCGACCTCAGGAATCGATGTATGAAGTTGACCTCGATCTTTGGGTAGATGTCGAGCTGAAAACAGGATATAAGCAAGTTCAGACCAAATAGACTAAAAGAGCAACTATACCCACAATTTTAGCAGTCTCTCCAGCGATATCGACTTGAGGAGGCGGAGGCGGAGGCGTGGCTGGCGGCTGAGCTGGAAGTTGATCTCCCGGTAGTACAGCTGGAGCTGCAGGTACTGGAGCGGGCGGTAGGGCAGCAAGTCCTTGTTGAGCCGCTTGAGCTGCTTGCGCTCTTTGATCTTGCAGTATCTGGACGACGCGAAGTCGTGCATCCATTCTAAATGTAATTTTTAGGAAAGTCTGGTTTCAATAACAATAAATCGAAATAGTCGATGAGTGGAAGGCGCCCCCGAAAACGCAAGCAACACGCACGCGCCATGTAAACAGGTAAATTGATGCGCCCGAGCCTATTAAAGGGAGCCCACGAGCAAAATCTCCGAAAATAGAAAAAGAAGAGTGAATAGAACTGTACAAAGATGATTGGCAGGTTAGCGTTAAACCTTATTTTTGAAGCCCCATACCTAGGCGGTGGAACAATCCGAAAATTCGGCGTCTAATTGCGATAGCCAGAAAACTCAGCAGCATGCAGCGAAGTAGAGAGTACCACGGGTTCAGCGCGGGGGACGAGCAGCAAGAAAAATCTGTGCAACCCAGTAGGAAGCAGAGTAGGAAAGTAAAAATTTCCTCAAATTCGCGCCCCCAATGATCGGAAAGAAAACACCGAAAAGCAGCGGGCGGATCGCGGCGAAAAAAAAGAATGTGTAAAATGCGAGAACTTCCTTCCATTGTTCCGCGCGACACACAACTGCGGTGGCTACGGTGGGTTACGGTAGCCGACCCATGGTTTATTACACCATGTTAACCCCAGCAGTACGCGGCACGCCAAACGACACCCGGCGGGCCTTTCAAAACCCGCCCGCCCGCACGAGATCCGCCCCCTTTCCCGCACATACATGTTCAGCCATGTCGAAGCTTTGGGGCCCCTTTTGGCCATTTCCGCTGTTTTTGAGGGCAACCCGTATTTAACGCCCCTTCACGCCCTTTCGCGCCCTCCTGTATTTCGCGCCCCCTGTAAATAAAGCCCCCCTGTATTTAACGCCCTTCTGTATTTAACGCCCTCCAAATGACCACGAAAAGGGCGTTATTTACAGGAAAAAGCTCGTTTTGCAGGGCGTTATTTACAGGAGAGCGTTAAATACAGGGGGCGTTATTTACAGGAGGGCGTGAAGGGGCGCGAAAGGGGCGTTAAATACGGGTTGCCGTTTTTGAGTCCATTAATACATCCACGACTTGTTTAATTCGGCCCTTTGAGCAAAGCTATCAAATTTCAACCGCGCGCGAGTCTGTTTCAGGTTTTCTTTTCCTTTTGGCAACAGGGTTTTTGTATCGAATTCACCTTTCCTGTCTTCGTTTTTTTATTGCTTTCCACTCCCCTTATTCGACCTGATCGCCAATATTTACAGAATGCCCGCGATCGTCCCTGCCGACGAGATCGAGCAATTCCAGAAATACGCCGACGAAAATGGCCGGATTCAACTGAGCGCTGGCTTCTTCCAGGTGTGCAGCAAAGTTTGCGATTATTATCCCTTTTCTTTAGAAAATGTTCTCGCGCGGGGGCAACGAGACTGGCTACCAAATTCTGCAGATTTACGTATGGTTACGGTTATTCAATAACGCCCTGCTGTTTTAGCAATTGAAGTCGAACAACCAGGAAAATTTCTGTGGCCGCGCTCGCTGCTCGGATGGGATGTTCTTCACATCTTGTGAGTTCTACCCTGGTCTTTTTTTTTATTGGTGTTTAGGCGTCTACTTTGACGCGAGCCTGAAGGAGCAGCTCGAGAACGATCATATGTTCGACTCGACCTGCTCTCCGCTGATCGCCGCAAAGAGCTACCATTTTTCGAAGGACACCTCACTGGGAGGGTTTGTTGTTTTTTAAGCGGTTCTAGTCTCTTTTAGCGGCCTCAAGACGCCGATCGTCATCACCGAATACGAGCTGATCGTGAAGGACAGTCCGAGAAACGAATCTGCCACTAATTTGCCCGCCACAGTCGAGGCCGTTAAGGGCTACACGGGGTATCATGGAAACCCGGTGAGATTTTTTGCGCTGTGTACGTCAGAGATTGAAATTTTGGGTTCTGGACCGTTAGCGGGGGAACCATTTTCCGTCTTTCCATCTATGCCTGTCTGTCGTTGATACATTATGAATTTTTTACAGTGTTTTTAGTAGTTTTCGATTTCTAGAAAGTTGCTAGATGATTTTTTTTGGCCGAAAGTCGTAAATTTTTGTTTTTTTTATAGTGTGTTCAAATCTAAAAACAGTGTAAAATGCTATAAAATGATTTATTGTTTGTTATGGGGCCATAGAGGCTCACTTGGGAAAATTTGGTCCCCCCTAACAGTGCAGAACCAAATTTTGTTCAGAACTTTACGCTTATCGAATGAGTTTTGTCACGATGCTAAAAATCATCCTTTAGGCCTACGTCTCGTTGAAGCTGCCAAACGCTGACCAGAACGACAGTTTCGAGGAGTCTGAGCCACCCCGGAAACGTGAGCGCCTTGTTTATATTTTTTTTGGGCGGCTTGGGTGCTACGTCGGTTTCCATCATTCCCGTAGTGTGAAATGGACACGATCGAGCTGCCGATCGATCGACCAAAGGCGCCTGAAATTGTTGAAAACGCTGACACTATCGCGTACCTATTCTCACTTGTTCCATGGCTATTTTTTATGGGCATTGAGTACGCGGTGGTGATTCTGCTGGTGGCCCTGATTGGCTACGTCTGGTATTTCTACACTCGGCTTGCCATTTCGCCTTGAGCCAGGTGCTTAAAATTATTATTTTGTTTTATCAAAAAAATTATTAAATCTTTCTTGATGGGTGGTCGAGCCGGGGATAAAATTTCTTGTCTTCTGTGTTCAGCACAATAATACTGGCTTTTTTTAGCTACGGCGGCGCCCCAGATCCGTCACCCTCCGGCTCGCCAGGATTCAGGCGGCTCCGCCACTGTGACGCCGATTGCCGCTATCACGCCTTACATCAACAAGTGCGTTTTTTTACTTCGGTGGATGATCTTATTTTAGGTGGCGCATCCTGGGCAAAGTGACGAATAAGCAAGACATGCGCACCATTACCTCGGCGGCGCGCGGTCAGATGAAGGTAACGATTTGAAAAACCGTTTCGTGGCTCTCTCTCACGCTCGCTCTTCTCCTGCAAATTCTACATCCTTAGGTGCTCAACTTCGACCTGACCGATGATCGTGGCACCACAATTCGCTGTGCTTCCTTCAGCGAGGTTGCCGAGAAGGTCAACCAGAATATTCAATTACGCAATGTAGGTTGTACTTTTGATTTTTTTGAACCTGTTATGTCTGCATCAAAATTTTCTCGAGATTTCATCTTGTTGAAATTTTCAGATAGAATTCGGGGACTTTCGGGAAAATTTCATGGTAAATTCAACACATTGGATCTCCAAATTCAAAAAAAAATGTCGACCATCTTATTTCCGACATTCTGATCGTTATCCGATCCCTTTCCAGTCGTACTACCTGACGAACTGCACCGTCCGCCCGGCAAACAAGCAATTCAACGCGACCGGCCACGACTACGAGCTGACGATCCGCAACGCCGACGATCTGGTCCTCTGCTTGGACCATGAGATCCCGGAACCTAAACTGACGCTGAGGCCCGTGCTGCTCGACAAGCTCGCCCAGCACACCAACCAGCTCGTCGACGTTCTAGCCCTCATCGACGCGGTGGCCCCATTAAATGAGGTATTCTAATATCTTTTTCGTAGCGCTCTTAACAATCTGTGAAATCCATAAATTTATTTCAGATTATGAAAAGTTCTTTTCCCATTTTACTCACCCCTTTTCAGTTCACCGCCAAAAGCGGCAACGAGGTCGTGAAGCGTGACGTTAGCCTGATCGACGACACCGGCACGATGGTCACGCTGACACTGTGGGGCGACCAGGCTCGCGAATTCGAAACTAATCCTGGCCAAGTGATCGGCATTCACGGGGCCAGGGTCAAGGAGTTCAATGGCGCTTTGTCCATCTCGGCCGGCCAAACGATGCAATGGAACCCGGAGATGTCGAGGGTCCATACGCTGCTCGATTGGTGGGCCAACGCTCGCAATTACGTACGTAGCATAACATTTGCTCGTTTTATGTTGTAATTCCAGTGCCAGCCCACCTCAATCTCGGCCGGTGTCTCGCGAGGTCCGCGTCTGGGTAAGATATTTTACGCAGGCTTGTATCTACCTTGTTTTTTCAGAACGCGATCTCACGCTTCTCGGCACGGCCACGGCCCTCAACTACGGCAAGGATTCGGAGAAGGGCCAATACTTCTCGGTGGTCGGTTTCTTCCGCGACATCAAGCAGGACAATGCCCTCTATCAGGTGAGCTGCTCAAACTTATTGTAATTTTCGGCCTTTTCCAGGCTTGCCCCAACGAGGGTTGCCAAAAGAAGGTGATCGCCGAGCACAACCAGTATCGCTGCGAGAAGTGCAACAAAGTCATGGACACGTTCAAGTGGAACATGATTGTTCATGTAAGTTTCCTTCTGGTATACACATGTGTGCGCTTTTAGGCGGAAATCTACGACTCCACGAACCTGGTCTGGGTGTCCATGTTTTCCAAGACTGGCGAGCAGATTCTCGGAACGACGGCCCAGGAGCTTGGTGATTTGCGTGAGAATAATGTGCGTCATTTTTCCACATTTTTTAAAAATTTGTTGGTGACTTGAAGGGTTTTTTCTTAAAAATAATGTGTCTTTATTTCTCGTCGTGTTATCGGACCTGCTTATTTTAGGAAAAAACGAGATTGGTTTATTTGATTGTTTTTAGCAAGCTGAATACGAGGCCGTCTTCCAGCGCATCCTCCATGTGCCCTACCAGTTCCGTCTGCGCGCCAAAGCCGAGTTCTATAACGTAAGTTTTCTCTAGGCCTTTCGTGGCTTCACGATTTGTTCAATTCTTATCGTTAATGCGTGCAAGAGCGTCAACCCAATCTCCACTTTCAGGAGGAAGAACGGATGAAGTACAGCGTCGTCTCGGCCGAGCCCGTCGACTGGGACACACTGAAGGGTTGCTGGGAACGGACGCTGAAGCAGCTGAAAACCGTCGCCGACGCCAAGGAGGAAATGATGGAATAGTTGATCTATGCTTTTGATTGTGCCTTACCTCATTTTTATGTTGTACCCAATAGCCTTGACCGTTTTCCTTCATGCCGGTTCCCGCTGGCCCCTAAACCCCAGCTTTTACCATCACCTTCCCGATTTTCCTCGCCTAGTAGTACATTCTGATCTCGTGGCCTCCGCCTATGTTATGCCTCTACTGTCGTTTCGGTGACCGATAAAATGTTTATTGCTTTTTAGAGAATGTTTCTTTGCTGTTTTTCACGTCCCTGGTCCAATAATTTTTATTTACAATTAAATATCGACCAACAATAATACTATTTAGGTGTTGGGCAAAAAGACACAATTTTGCGAGGGGATGATTTGAGATTCACTAGGGTAATATCGGTAGCGCGTGGAAATGTGAGATCAGGGTTTGGCGGAAAAGCTCGACAACAAGGTGGGCAAAAATGGCAAACAAGGGAAAGGACAATATGTACAGGATAATACTGAGCCTTATTCTTGATGAAAAAGGCAGGGTGAAGAGCCGGCTCTTCTGATAGTAGAAAAAAAAGAGGGAAAAAATAGAATATATCCCAACTAAAAAGTCTGAGACAATTGTGACTTTCAGCGATGACTGGGGTAGGAATCAGGATTTTTCGCCCATTTCCAGGTGACTAGACCGGGCGAAAAACTGTATTGAAGCTTCCGGTACGTTGGCTTCAGCGCCCCTTTAGAGCGAAACCTTTCGGGGCACGTCGACCGGCTCGGGCTTCTTGATGACGGCGCCGATGTGGGATTGGCGGCGGTCGGGGCACGAGTCGATCAGGGCTTCTGCAAAGCGGATTTATTGGTTGTATTTTTGGATGATACGTTTTAATCTGCCCCCAAAAAACCTTAAGGATTTACGGCTATAAAAGTATCGCTAACAAACCTTGAGAAGAGGCGGGGGTGATGTAGATGTTCACGCGGTGGCGCGGGTCGATGGCGGGCTTGGAGTGGCGCCTCTGGTAGTCGATCGACTCGCGGCGGACGGCGTCATTGAGGTGTTCGTGCGTTTCGGGGCTCAGTTGGAAGTTGGGCGACTTCTCGATGCCGAACGACTCGCCGACGAGGCGGAGCAGGGTGGAAATCTTGGGCTGCATGGTTGCGGGGTGTTTTCTGCAAAATGGCAAGGATTATTGGGTAGGTCGGGAGAAAGAGAGAGAGAGAGAGAGAGAGAGAGAGAGAGAGAGAGAGACAGAGAGAGATAGTGTATATTTTGAAATTGGGACGATTTAACGGAATTAAATTGGACTAAAACGTAAACTTTTACACTATTTAGCGTATTTTTATAGTTTTGACATTTTAATATCGACTGAAAAGCGGTAAATTTAAAAGTAGTACTCTCAAATTTCTCGCTTTTTAATAGGTCATAGATTAATAGATTTTAATAAATACTAAATAACAAAATTTTCTCATTTAATAAGGTATATTTAGCGGAATCACCAAGGAAAAAGAGATATTCAGAAAAAATAACGGAAAGCCCGAGGTTCCTAGAACAATGGCAGTGGCAGAAGAATAGCAGAGCGGGGAGGATGATGTGGTGCTCACCCTCGGGCTCCCCGCGTTTATATGTGGCAGCCAAATTGGTTGGGGGAGGAGTTGCGGGTTCTCTGATCGAATCAACCGGAGGGGTGGAGTTTTGGTCCAAACACGAGAGCACAAACTCCCCCCACCCGGCTCCGAACCCCACTACTCACAGACTAGAAACACACGGTTTCTACCCCCAGCAGAGAACAACGGAACGGGGAGCATGACAAGACCAAAATCTCACCCACCCCCAAATTAACGGAATTTTTCGCCGGATTGGGCAATCAAAAGGCTCAAACCCCGAAATATCGACACGCGAAACCCCGACGTGGAAAATGCCGACATCTAGCATACCGAAATTGGAAAATCCCGACAACCAAAGAATACGTTAGTCAAAATGCCGACAAGTGAAATTCCCGTCTTCCGGAATCCGCTAGCCAAAATGCCGACGAGCAGAAAGACCGACAGCCGAATTTTAAAAATACCGGCGTCGAAAACAGGCCAATCAGCCACGGACAGCCAAAATACCGAAAGCCAAATTCCCGACATTCGGAATCCCCTAACCAAAATGTCGACACACAGAAATGCCGTCAGCCAAAATTCAAAAATACCGACAGATCAAATCAGGTTAGTCAAAATGCCGACGAATGAAAGCGCCGATGACCAAAATACCGGCTTTGGAATCTCGATTTTGCCCTGTCGGTATTTCCGGCCGCAGTGCCACGATCCCTTTAAAAGTTCCAAAAACCATTTTTCGATTTTTAAGCGAATTGGCTCATTTATGGCTTATAAGCGAAGGTATGATTTTAGTGCGTCGAAAAACGTCTTTTCTGCCCCCTCCGAAATCTGTCAAATTTCCAATTTTTACTGCCCCTTCCCCCGGAATTTTGGCCGGAAATCACTGATCAATGAGCGCCGCTGGGTTACGGTAGGTAGCTACGAGTCACACATTAGCATTTCGTCATTGTTCTTCGCGCTGCCGCGCCACGGACACAGGGTGGTTTTGTCCAGGAAAACTTGGGCCTCCCCGAAGAGGAGGTGGAGAAAGAGATTATGCTCGCACACAACCTCCTCAAATATTTTTAGGGAGGGTGACAAACCCCACCTTCAAATCCCATTAGCCTTTCGGGACTGTACCTTGTGTACAAAAAAAGGTGGAAAAACGAAGTTCCTATGGACGAAAATAGCGCGGAGGGTACGGTAGCGCACCGGAAATGGGTGCGAAAAAGGTACAAATCAATTTTTTAAAAATTTAGAAAGTCGATTCATCGAGTTAAAATTCTCCCGATTTCCTAGATTTATGGCAATGACTACGGGTTACGGTATACCGACCGGAAACAGGTGTGAAAAGGTGAAATATTCGGTTTTCAAACGACTCCAAAATTCTTTTTTTTCCAAAATTCCAATATTCCAAAATTTTTCTTGATGATCTTAAACCTACAAAATTACTGTAGAAACTCGTCCGAAAATAGAAGAAAACGGCGAAGTTCAAAAAAAAATTCAGAAAATATAAAGCAAAAATATTAGGGTATTTTGGAGGTTTTGAAACGCTTTTAGTCATACTAGCCACCCCCAATATTGCCATTATATACTTTTCAGCAAGCTAAAGGTCTTGCTCATTTTCCAGGAACCTCGGGGAAAGCGGGGGAAAGAGAGAGAGAGAGAGAGAGAGAGAGAGAAAGAGAGAGAGAGAGAGTGAGAAAGCGGGGCTGCCGTTTAGCCAACACCCGCCGATTTCCTTAGTTCCAATTTTTCCCGGAAAATGAGCAACACCTTTTGGAATGGTCTGTGTGCTCCGGAACCGGGTGATGAGTCATTTAAGCCTGAGAATGCATCATGAGAAATTTAAAAATGCGTTTTTTTCATTAAATATGATTAATTTAAGTGAAGACGCTGCAATATTTAAGTTTTAAACTTATTATTTAGGTTGAATTCAAAAGCAAAAATTTTAGCCTTTTTCCTTTTCATAGCTTTAAAGGGACAGGCAAGGCATAGCTACGCAACTTTCTGGCTATGGATTCCCTAGGATTCCATAGACCCAACTTTTTTGATTGCGGAATGGATTCCGACTCCTTTTTCGCCGGGGGCCATGATTTTTCTTGCCTTGCACGGCCCTTTAAAGCTGCCAAGATTCGTCGGGATTTGTCGTGATTTGTTCTGTCGGCATTTACCCTCACATTTTGGTTGTCGGTATTTTCGCCTTCTACTTTTGCTTTCGGAAATCGAACATCCGGATTTTAGCTGTCGGCATTTTGGCATGTCGGCATTATCACTTTCAGGATCTTGGTTGTCAGGATTTTGGAATTTCCGGGGAAAATTACCGAGATTCCGACAGCGTACTATCGTCATTCCTGGATACCGTATGCTGTTCCATCTCGCTAAAATTGCGCAAGTTTTAAGCCCTTCTTGGAATTTCAGATTTCTAAAACCAGCTTTCCCAAACCAGAGTCCTCACAAGATTGCACAATCGCTCCTAGCGAGAGAGAGCGAGAGAGAGAGAGAGAGAGAGAGAGCTACAGAAATCGCTAATTTGCGGTTTCTGCAGCCATTTCCTCAGCCCTCCTCGCCTCCAAAACCACATCATCACAGACTCCGATCGGCTAATAGGTTTAGGGTCAAGTGAAAATGCGCCACAGCCACCACCACAATGCACAAGACGCCGAAAAAGCGTCGAAATTCGGCGGGCTTGAAATGTGTCACGTGCCGGAGAATGAAAAACGAAAAATTTGGCTGAAAATCAGGAATTTTGAGTGTGGCGATCCATTTCAATCGATAAAGTTCTTCGTTATCATCGCTTTGAACAAGGTCCAGCTTCCAAAAGTACGCTAGGATTACGGTAACCGAGAAAAATCTACTGAAATCCGTCGGAAATGTCTCGATTTTGTCGGCTATTTTAGCTCCGATCAAATTGCCCGGGGTATTGTTCGTCTCCATTATTACTCCTTTAAAAATCGCGAGCACTGAGGTGTCCATTGTATCCGAGCATAGCCGCGATGGGAGAAAGAGTGACTTTTTTTGGAGCAAGAACTGCTCTATCAAATCTATGGACCATCCATCTCGCAAAATTGATGACCTTTCAAGGGATACCAATCTGCTCCGAAATAGCTGCTTTTCTTCAACAATCTCTGCTAGCCTGCCCTCTCCTCTTCCTCAACAATCTCTGCTAGCCTGCCCTCTCCTCTTCCTCACCAATCTCTGCTAGCCTGCCCCAAATTCAAAGTTTTGCAGGTTCACTCTACCATTTCGTTATCCAAACCCAACACACTGTAATGCATAGTAACAAGGTAAACATGTTTTCCCCATCCTCACCCCTTTAATTTCCGCTCGGGATCCCCATTCGTGGATCTCCGATTTGCGCGTGTGCACCGGGGAATAACATCCCATGCAAAACTCATTACAACAGGAGCCAGAAGAAAAACCCCCGAGAGTTCAAAAGTTCATTTGCGCCTGATTTCAGCGGGAGGGAAAAGGAGGCGCAGTTCGGAAAATCACTGCATCAAAAATCAAAAGATCGCCCAGGTACGGGAACGTTGAACTCGCGCGAAATTGGGGAGATTTTTCTGTGGTTTTAGAGGGTTGACGAGCATTGTTTCTGCCGAAAAATACGGAAGGGGGCAGGCTAGCAGGGATCTTTGCGGAAAAAAGCTAAAAGCTACTCTTGCATCGAGGGCTTGGGCATGCTAAAGCAATCGTTATCAGCTTCCAGCAGCAAAAAAATCGCTAAAAATGGAAAAGCCCATGGCAGGCTAGCAGATACGATTTGGGAAATGGGCAAGCTAGCAGAGATCGTTTAGGAACCGGCAAGCAAGCAGATATCTTTGACGAATAGCTAAAAATAAATGTTAGGACAAGCTAGGAGCCTTCTTTCTCTTTTTATTAATAGCTTCAACGATTATTTTCGTAGCGGGCAGCCTAGCAGAGATCCTTGGGGAAGTGAGCAGGCCAGCAGAGATCCTTTAAGAAACGGGCAGGCTAGCAGAGATCATTTGAGGAATCTAGGAAGAACCCGGATGTCGGATTACCCCCTCAGCAATGCGAGAAATGTGGTTCTAGGTGATGCGATCAGTGATATCATCCCGGATCCGCGGGGAAACGCCAGTTTTTTAGGACCGAAAACGTCGCCCTGCGCGAGATGACCCCCAAAACCAGAGAGAGCCACGTGTTTTTGACCGGCAAAGATCAAAATGTAATAAAAATTAAATACAAAAATTCAATTGGATTTTATTTACCACAAAAGTTTTAAGTTGGAAAAATCAGTAAAATGAAAATAGGAAGAGAATCGGTACTGGGCTGTTTGCGAGAGGGCGGGGGACATTTAGCGCCGAGAAGCTAGTTTTCATTTTTCGACCTATTTCGCCCATTTAATGATATATAACGTATTTTTATAGTGTTTTTAGTAGTTTTTAATTGACAGGAAATATAAAAATATTTTTAACTGCAATTTTAAAAAGCTTAAAAATGTCCAAAGCTATCTAAATCTACTAAAAATACTAGATCTAGATGATCATCTCCTCCATGTATACTATCTAAAACTATAAACAACATTAATTTTATCTGAATTGAATTAAATTAAATTAAGCTAAATGGTGTACAGGGAACTACGTTGCACTCCCCTGTACGCGCATTTTTGCTTGCCTGTACCGAGAGCCTGCAGCCCGTAGCACTCCATTTAGCGGAAAGTACGTACTTTTAGTTCCAGAAAAACTTGTTTTTTTTTTCAGCTAAAAACCTTTGTAAAGTTGTAGATCTAGTTTTTTTTTCAGTTTCCGGGATGCTCACCAACTGCATCATACCGGGGTGTACGGAACCAATCCGCGACCTGTTCGGCCATTTGTGCGGCCCGTCACATAGGTATTTTGACAAGTTTTATCGCCAGGTTTTGAACTTTCAGTCTATCGACCGCCGAGGCAAGATTCATGATCGAGCAATATTGCGCCGCCGGATTTGCGGGAATTGTGGGTTTTGCTTTTGCCTTGATGTGGAACTTGCTTTGAAACTTGGAAATTTGGAAGAAGAATGGTTTCTTTTTAAATCGAGAAACGTGTCGCAGGCTTTTCTTTGGGTAAGATAACGTCAGCCGGTTTTATACTTTTCCAGTTTTTTCTATAGTTGCTAGTTATTCCAACTGTCAGAAGAAAATATGCTGAAACAACAATATAAAAACATGACTTGTAAAACTGTGAAAAAAAACTTAACGCGCGTTTTGCTGGAAAAAATGTGATTGTTTTTAGTTTTATAGGGTTTTATTTATTACTTTTTCGTAAGGATATAAGGATAAGGTACTTTAAAGCTTTATTTTGTTTCGAAGAACCTTTTTAATTCTAATTCGTTTTAATCTATTACTTTTCAGCAAAAGATCATCGAAAACAACAATCGTCACCCGTTCCGGCAGGGCGAACGATTGCCCAAAGTCCTCCTGATCCGGCTGGCCGATGAGGGCCAAATGAAGGTTTATTACCCAGTTTTGCTGTTTTTATTTGCTTTAGAAATTTATATACTACTTTCGCAACCTCACCGGGCTTGAGTGTGATGTGGAGAACAGTCTGCTGTGGCGCAGTGCCAGTGGCCGCACATTTCTCTTGGTAATCATTGTAAAAACACTTCCAAAAACGAATTTAGCTCCAAAAGTTTGAAGTCGGTCGCCATCTCTACCTATCGGTCAACGATCCGCTGCGGCTCGACGCCGAGGGCCCGTTTATTCGCGGTACTTTTTGGATTTGACCGCACAGGCTAATTCAGACCTTCAGCTTTATAGAAAAGAACAATTTTGTTTTTATTGAAAATTATTTTTCTGGGCCTTTCGCGTTATCGGGGGGGGGGACTTTTTTTTGACAAAAATGGGAATGTCTAATACCTTCTAGGAGTGTTTTAATAGCGTTTTAGTAACAAATAATATATTTCAACAATATTTCAAGTAGAATCGAAAAACGTTTAAAAAGTTCTCAAAAGGGTGACATTTTTGTCACAAACTGGCCATTTTTGGTCGAAATATTCATATTTTTAAATAAAAATTTGTAAAGTTGGCACTTTCAGGAATAGTAAAAAAGCGTTTAGAAACGCTTCCGCTTGTTATATTGGAAAAATTAGGTCCTGAATCATTTAATCTCAATCTCCTCTTTCCAGAAATCCTGAAGTTTGTCGAGCACTACGAAGACTTGTGGGGCATGGTAAAGCCGTCTTCAAGACGAGATTGTATTTTCCGTTTTAGATCCACCACTTGCGCGCCCATCTCCTGCGCCGCGCGGAGACCGGGTGCCGCGAAGTTTTGAGCCAAACCGACCTCGACGTGCACCAAACTGTGGCTAGCTTGACGGCGCATGTACTCCTTTCTAAAACTAAGCTGAGGCAATGTTTTAGGTAGTGACGAAGGAACTTTCCGAAGATCGCTTGATGCAGCGTTTGGAGTCCTGGCTGTCTGTCCTCTTGGTCGGCGGCGCCTCGCAGAAGATGCTAGACGAGCTGACAGCCCGGGCGAAGAGCGGAAGGATTGTAGGCTGTGTTTTTTTACGGCCGGAAAATTGGTATTTAGGACCCGTCAATTTTCTCGGCACCGCTTTTCACCACGCAGCAATGGCCGTCGCTGGGTGTCGACGGCGATCACGCAGCAGCCGTTTGGGGTAATTTGGGGAATCGAGACTGTTAGCGGGGCGAAGACTAATTTTTCTACAATAATTTTGTACGTGACTTTATCGAAATATAAACGATTTATATAGCATTTTGCACTTGATTATTTATACAAAGCGCATAAAAATGTCATATCTTTTGGAAATTTTGACCTTTGGTCAAAAATCTATAAAAAATTGTCAAATGGTCGAAATTTTGGAACTTCAATTTTTATATTTTTTTGATAGTTTTCTATCAACCAAAAGCGTCCCGGCCCCCGCTAACAGTCCAGTACCCAAGCTTTGATTATCTGCTTTAGCCGAAGTCCTGCGCTATCCCATCACCGATAGTCGTAATCCGGCTCCTCATCTGTGTAAGGTTTAATAGATTTTTAGCTTGCAATTATTGTTTTTATTTTTCCCTTTATTGGTTTAATTTTTACAGCTGTTGCCGAAATCTTCGAGCCGATCACCGGCGCTGCGCGACTCGTCGAAGTGCACGGCGCTATGTAATGCATTCATTTTGATGATTAGCTTTTTTCAGTTGCCCCCGATGCTTGGCCAAATTCCAGTTGATGTCCCAGTTGGTGGCCCATCTTCGGGAAGCGCACAATATCGGTAGATTTTTTTCACTTTATTATTGACAAAAAGATATAAAACAGAGTATTGACAAACCCATTTTGCAAATTTATCTCGAAAATCCTTTCTTTCAGGCGATCATCGAATATTCTGCGACAGCTGCGGAAATTTGATTGCCGAGGATTCGCTCGATCTGCATGCAGCCACCTGCGAAGTGCCGGTAGAATTTTATATATTTTTTGTGTAATTTTTCAGCGCGGAATCCATCCACCTCGCCGCAAATGCCTCGATTCGCCGGGCAACAAATTGCGCTGCAATCATTGTGAGGTAGGTTTTTCAATTCCTTCATTTGATTTATTTCTTGAATTTTCAAAAAATTTTGGTTTAGGTCGAGTACCCGTCGAAAAAGAGCTTCCTCATCCACCACGAGACGGTACACCCGAATTGCTACGAGTTGTGTACGTGTTTTGACACGTTGCTGATCTTTAGTTTTTAGCAAAGGCCTGCTTCCACTATTTCCAACGTGTCTTCACTTGCAATAGGTATTTTTGGAGCCATTTAAAGTTGCAAACAGATTTTCAGATACCCCTGCCAGCAGCGCGACTTCCCCGGCTGGCGCTCGCTAGTCAATCATCTCAGGCAGACCCACAGGGTATGAATTTTTTTCACACACGACACTCCTGATTTTCCAGGTCTCGAAAGTCATCCAGAGACTGGCGATCCGGACCCGAGAACGAGTGGCCTGTGACGTCGTCCCGGATCTGCGCGGAATCCCCGTTTTGCCAAACATCCCGCAGGCCGCTAATCCTGGCAGAAAGCTCAAGGTATCGCTCTTACCAGCTTTTTGCACTGACTACAGTGTGTTTCAAACAACTAACACGTTGTTATCGTCGCTATACGTGAAATTACGTTGCGGAAAAACTTGGTACTGGACTGTTAGCGGGGGGTGGAAGTGAAACGAATTTCCCCCAGTAATTTATATAGCATTTTGCACAGTTTCAGACATAAACAGCTCAAATATTTCAAATATTTTGATTTTTTGACCAAAAAAGGTAAAAATGACGAATTTTCAAATAATGTTTATCGCTTTTAGCAATCAGAAACTACCAAAAACATATCAACGGGCACGCATAGGCAGAAAAACCAAAATGAGCTCCCCTGCTCGACCCCCCGCTAACAGTCCAGTACTAAAAACTTTACTGTTTTTTATAAAATCAATTTCAGTTCATTTCTACTGGCCCGGGCATTCTGAGGGCTATCCGACTTCAGCCCAACGACAACGAGGTGGAAGCGCTGCCGGTTCAGGAGACGCGCGTGGTGACCGAGGAAAACTTGCGCAACTTGCGCACCGAACGGCGCCGCAGGAGGCTGTCAAGCATCGAACGCGAGGCCGAATCGCACGACACTCAGCGGGTATTTTTATTTCAGACTCCGTATCTATTTCCGACAATTACACTTTCGGGTTCTTTCGCATTATCGGGTTGGGGCGAAATCTTGTCTATAAGTATCGAATGTCTAGTATCAAGTACCTAATATCAAGTTTTCTAATAGTGTTTTTAGTAAAATAAAAAATATATTTCAAGTAGAAAACTATCTAAAAACTTAAAAAATGTTCGAAAAAGAGATTTTGGTCAAAAACGGCCATTTCCGTCGCAAATGCATTTTTTGAATTTTTTTTTAGTACGAGTTTGTAGTTTTACGTTTAGGAAAAGTAAAAAAATGTTTTGAGACGCTTCCGCTATTCATATCGAAAAAGTAGATTCTTAGAAATGGATTTCGAAAAAAATTGTCGCGTACCCTAAGCCCAGACTTACACTACCTTTTTAGCCGTCCACTTCTGCCAGTAGCTACACACACGATATGAGCCAGCCATCCTCCATCTCGCTGGCATTTAATAATTTTAAGGTATCGCCCTGGGAAATCTAATCAAATATTTTTTTTGCAGAATCAACGGTCCACCTCCCGCATGGACTCCAATGGAAACATGACCGTCCCCGGAGGTATCGTTTTCCATGTTTGCCAAATCACTATTTCTTTTCAGCGAAACGCGGAAGCTTCTTCTATGACGACCGTTGGGACACCGTTAGATGAACATTATCATCCCATTTCCCACGCATGATCTCCCCGCACTTTTTAATTTGTCACTTTGTTATGTTGATTTTGCGACATTTATCGCCAATTCCCCCCTCGTTAATTATGCCCCATGTGCTGCACGAATTCTGTTATTGGTCTTATTGCCGTTATAAAGATTTTATCAGTCGAAAATTTAGAATTTTTTGAATCGTTCGGGCTGATTTTCCGCGCTTCCGTTCCGTTACGCGTCACGTCAAATTCGCGGCTCCGTTTATAGGCGCTTGAGGGCCTAAGGGGCGTGAAGGTTATATTTTTATTTTGTCATCTCACGAGTTTTTCGACAAAAAAAAAATGGCTCGTAGTATGTAAGTTAGTGAGTTACGGAAGTAAGTTGGACGCATAGCGCTTTATATTGCCAATTTTCAAATTCTCAGTTATTCCAGGCCAAAAACCCATCTTACCTGATCGATTCGATTCCACCCGGGCTCTCTGGGGGCAGTTCTTGACCAACGAACGCACCAACGGCCCTCACGTAAACAAGCGCCACGCCAGGGCAAGGCTATCGAGCGCCTCTCCCTTTTCGACGGCCAATCTCCCTCCCGCCTTGCTGCCGGCACTCGCTATCTCTCACCACCCAGGCCTCTGGTGGGCCGACCTTGACTTGTGTCCTGTGTATTCCCTTCGTATCATGATTACCTCCCCCCAAAATGATTGTTTATTAGGATTTGGTGCCGGTGATTGGCGCTCACTTCGGGGGTGTCGTTATTTTGCTGTGTTGGGAATCAGCTTTTTTCGTTTTTTTTTCTTCCGGATTTTTTTGTTAGCCTAGAAGACCCGAGGCAAATTCACTTCGAAACGGCAACAACGTGTTGTCTGTTTTTTTCCTTTTTGGTAGCTTTAGCTTACATCTCCGAAATTTCCAAAGCCATTTGCGATTTGGGAGTCTAGTTGGCTGCCAATTTTTTTGGCCTATTTGACCCTCCGTAATTACTGAGCAAGTCTTTAATTCTCTTCGTTGCTTTGTTTTCTCATTTTCACCAATTTTTTATATTTGTTTTTTTACAGGAAGTTCATAATGGCCGCCCCAATCCGAGCCCTCGTCACCGGAGCCGCCGGGCAGATCGGCTACTCGTTGGTCATCCAGATCGCCAATGTGAGATTTCGTGCGGTTTTCTAAATTTCTTTTAGGGCAGCGTCTTCGGCAAGGACCAGCCCGTAGAGCTGGTGATGCTCGATGTCCCCTTCTGCGCCCAGAGCCTGGACGGCGTCAAGATGGAGCTTCAGGACTGCGCATTCTCCACCCTGACTGGTATTCCTTTTTGTCTAATTGAAATTAACGTTATCCTTAGGGGTCGAAGCCGTTACGGACGAGGCCGCCGCCTTCAAGAACATCGACTACGCCTTCTTGGTCGGAGCCATGCCGCGCAAAGAGGGAATGGAGCGCAAGGTAATATTTATAGCTCCGTTGAATACCGACCTCTCTAGGACCTCCTCGCCGCTAACGTCAAAATCTTCAAGTCTCAAGGAAAGGCGCTCGCAGAGCACGCCAAGTCCACGACCAAGGTGAGGAATTTCGGAAAATCCGGAATTCTTGGTTATAGGTCCTTGTCGTCGGCAACCCGGCCAACACCAATGCGTTCATCTGCGCGAAGTATGCCGCTCCCAAGATCCCCGCCGAGAACTTCTCGGCCATGACCCGCCTCGATCACAACCGCGCCCTGGCCCAGGTAATTTATTTGCGAATTTGTTCAAAGATTCTTTAGGTCGCTGCTCGCGCCGGTGTATCCGTTGGCTCCGTCAAGAATGTGATCATCTGGGGCAACCATTCGAGCACACAGTTCCCGGATGTGCGACATGCTAAGGTTCAGAAAGGTAGCAACGTCTTTTTCGATTAGTTACATCCTGATTTCAGATGGAAAGGAAGCTGATGCTTACACTGCCGTCAACGACACTGCTTTCCTGCAGGGCGAATTCATTTCGGTATGTTTTTTATCATTCGCTTCAACAACTTGAACTTTAGATCGTGCAAAAGCGTGGCGCCGCCATCATCGACCGCAGAAAACTCTCGTCCGCCATGTCGGCAGCCAAAGCCGCTTGTGATCATATCCGCGACTGGCATGTTGGCACACAACAGGTTTTCATTTTTTTCTGATCTTCATTCTTTCATCTAGGGCCAATGGGTGTCGATGGCCGTGCCCTCGGATGGAAGCTACGGAGTGCCGGAGGGACTGATCTTCTCCTTCCCGGTTGAGGTGCGATTTTGGATTTTCATTGGAACTTGAAAGTTTTTCTGGTCGATACTGCACGTTACAACGCTTCCACTTTCAGATCTGCCCCCAGTCGAAGAAGTGGAAGATCGTCCAGGGGCTCGAACTCGACGACTTCGCCAAGCAGAAGATCGACGTCACCACCAAGGAACTGCTCGAGGAGCGTGACGAGGCGCTCAAGGCCTGCGAAGCCGCCAATATGTAGAGCCACACATGTGCCGTTGCCCCCCGTAAATGACGTGTACCCGCTGAAACTACCTTTTGAAGTTCCCAATTTTGTGTATGTGTATTCCTTGTGCGCCCCGTCAGTAGTTCTGTGATTAGCTGGGTAGTCAACGTGTCTTGATGCTTTTTATGTAGGCGAATAAAATATGAAAACTCGCTCGAAACACATGCACACCCATTGGTTTGACGACAATTTACCTTTTGCAATATCGAAGCGTTTGAATAATGATTAGTCATAGAAAAAGACTTGTAGCAATGCTTGAGAACCCAGCGCCAATCGTATACAAGGTGGAAGAGCGGAAGACTCGAGTTCAAGTAGATACAAGTTTGCAAGAGGACCCGATCGATGCCGGAGAAATATTCGACCTAATTTGGTAGGTGTTTTATTCCTGGAAATCATATTTTTAATTCAGTGATATCAACGACCCCGAGCATCCCTATTCTCTTGCCGAATTGAATGTAGTAAGGGAAGACCAAATTGTCGTGGAGCAGGACGATAGAGACGTCGTTGTAGATGTAAGTTTCGATTTTCGCAATTCAAACTTTTCAGGTAAAATTCACTCCCACCATTCCTCATTGTTCAATGGCCACACTCATTGGATTGGCGATACACGTGAAGCTGGCGAGGTCGTTACATCCGTCTGCTAAGGTTGGGCTTTAATGTTGTTTTTATAGTATTTTTTTTAGGTTCTCGTTTCGATTATGCCCGGCTCACATAACACCGAGGAGGCGATAAATCGACAACTGGCTGATAAAGTATGCTTAGTCGTTGTTCAATATAACTCTAATAACTTCAGGAACGTGTAGCAGCCGCCATGGAGAACCCGGGCGTGATGCAGGCGGTGAACAAATGCTTGGAGCCTCGAGAATAGTGAGCCGACCTTTTGCTTGAATTGTGATATAATGCGTGTGATTTCCATTTGCCTTTGCCGTTTATTTTTGGGCTGACAGTTCGACGATAAAACATTGAAATAATCAATTCTCCATGAAGAAATGTTGGCTTCAGGTGTACTTCTACTTTTATAAGTCATCAGGACTTGCATATTTGTTTCTAGGCGCCATTTTTCTCTGGGCGAGTCAAAGTTTAAGTTGAAATTCTGAATTTCCAAGCAAGAGCTGTTGGCGCTCAGTATACTTCTGGTTTTCTAGAACGATAGGCTTCGAGGCTGGCTTCGTGGTGCCATTTTTCACCTCACCGCTCAATGGTTATGACCGCAATTTGTTAGTTTTTGCAGCTCGGGAAGTGGATTTTCTTGTGCGCGGCTCGCTTTCGTGGGCGTGTTGACCCGATTCGGCCATCAGTGAAATTCTTTTTTTGGTACAGGGGGCTGGTCGGTGCTGCTTCATCTCAATACCGTCCTCATATCGATATCCGACGTTTCAGAGGAGACTTCGGCGGCCCTTGAAACTTCACAAGCCCATACCATAGCCATCCCAATTTGCCCCATTACTAACCGCAGGCCTACCCTAGCGAAGACCTTGCTTCGCGAACACCAAGGCTGTCTGTATCGTTACCCGAGCCTGCGGCAAGTGTCTGCGTCGAGCTCTCGCTCAGCCTCTCGCCCCCGCCCTGACCTACTTGGGGAACCGCCTCAGGGTGGATCCCGCTCTCTGCTGACCTGTTCGATCTCACCCCCGCAAGGCTCCGCGTGGATATGCTGCGGGGAAAACGACTGTCATTCAACCGCGCGCACGCACCGAGCTCTCATGCTTTTAATCATCACTCGCTGATTTTCTAGAAAATTCGCAAAGGATTATATATTAGATGCTAGGAAAGCTGTCGAAACTTCTGAATGAGGGCGTTCGAATTCTCTGTCAAATTGCCATTTTTCTCTAGATCGCATTTATATTAAATACGCTGATTTCCCTCAATTAGGCGCTTTTCTAGAAAAAATATCTTTAATTCTTTCTAGGAAATTTGCGAGAGGTTATTCAATAAGAAGAACCCCGAGGTCTCCAGGCAAATTTCTGTAACTTTTTAAGACGTGGATCTCAGATTAGTGTGTCAAAAATTTCTGCCTCTCCCTAAATACCGGCCATTGCGCGCAATTAGTCGGGTTTGGGATACGATTCTAGCGAGACCAAAATCGCCATAGAAACTTCTCGATCGCCATCCCTTCCGTTTTTCCGAAACCCATCAGCGCACCAGCTCTCCGGACGTGCAACTATTAGGAGGGGGGAGTGGTGCTTTTTTGGATGTAGACTGCGCGGGGCAAGTTCCACGATGGCACATACACGCGCTGCCTTATAGCCCGGGACAAGGAGCAGCGGCTGGTATGCGGGGGTTGTTGAGCAGGAGCGCGCGGGCTGGTGGTCAATCTAGCGCGATGCCACCCTCCACTCCCTTCGTTTTTTGATGCTTCCTTTTGACGGCCTGTGCCCTAGCTATTCCTTGCGCTATTGCGGGCTCGCATCTGGGTTTTAGGGCCCTCCCCCCGTCGGGCAACAACAAGGAATTGACCGCAATCGAGTGTTTTCGGACACGCTGTTTGCACATCTCGTTTTCGTGAACAAAACCCTTCGGCCCTTGAAGAACTATTGATTTCTATAAAGCCCTTTTCTTGCATTTCCAGTTTTGTTTCTCTAGACTTATCTACCTTCCTTTTTCAGGTACCACTTCATCCCAAAGGAGCAGCTAACGATATGAGGCAACTTTTCTTGTTGCTCGCTGTTCTGGCGGCCGTATCAGCGAACCGCAGGTAAAATTAGCTTGTTTTACTTAGTATAACTTACTTTGCAGCAGCAAGTTCCTCGTCCGGATAAATGAGACGAACTGGGCCCAGATTATGCGCGGGGAGTGGATGGTTGAATTGTGAGTTTTATAATTTCTTCTTCGTACCTACACTAACAATAAGCAGCAAAGCGCGGTTCGATAACTGGCAGCCCTCCGGGGGCGCATCTAGTTTCCCAAAGATTTTGAGCACCAAAACCTGTTCGGCGCCGTCCCCGTCAGCGCCTTGGTCAGAAACTCGAGAAAAACGGGGAACATGAATAGTGGAAGCCCGGCCGGAGCAGGGCCGCTTTTTCTATGCACCCCCTAATCGGGTAGCGCTAGCGGCATTAGGCTTCCAGGCCAATTTTGAGGAATGCCAATGTTTTTTTTGTTGCGAAAATTGGATAAACGGTTGTCGAGTTTCCCCTAACGACACGTGTAATTGTGGCGTTTCGCGCTCATGAATTGACCTTGCAGTCTGCCCACTAGGGATACCGCGAGCCTTTCGAGAGACCGTTTCGAGAGAGAAAGCGCTTCCGGCTTTCGTTTTTTGACCCACAAGGGGGAATTCTTACAGTGGGATGGGGTAGATGGTGAAAAGCCCTGAAAGCCGGAGTAAATTCAAGAAGAAAAATTAAAATAAAATAATTTAATTAATATATCTTTTTCTTCAGCCACGCTCCCTGGTGCCCGGCTTGCAAGGATCTGCAGAAGGCCTGGCATGCGTTCGCCGAATGGAGCCAAGAGCTGGATATTCAGGTGGGTAAAACGTTAATTTTTGCATTTTTTTATAGATTTTTTCAATACTTTTTGCGTTGTTCATAGACGGGTTTTGGCCATAAAAACGCAGCAAATATGATAATTCACAGATTAGTTCTTCAATTTTTTTTATAGAGGCTTGTGTTCTAAAAACGCAGTAAAAAATAATTCATAAATTCGTTTTTCCAGGTTGGCGAAGTCGACGTGACGGTCAACCCGGGTCTTTCCGGACGTTTCTTGGTCACTGCCCTGCCCACGATTTATCAGTAATTTTCAACCATTTTTCTGCAATCTCTGCTCTTCAGCGTCAAGGACGGCGTTTTCCGGCAGTACGCTGGCCCTCGCGACAAGAATGACTTCATCGCCTACGTCGAGGATAAGCGGTGGCGCAACGTCGAGCCCGTGCCTGATTACAAACACCCCAACTCCGCTCAGTACGTTTTTTTTTGGTTTTGCATTGTTGAAAGTTTGCCTAGATTTAATCACGTAAAAGGAATTGATTTACGCGTTTTTCGGATGGTTTTTATTCATGCTCTTTATAATATTTTATTTCTTAGAATTTATACATGAAAAAAAGGTTACGAGTCTTTGATTTACACTTTATTTAGGATGGGCGTGGTCGCCGTCTTCTTCAAGCTGTCGATGGCCGTCCGCGACCTCCACAACCACCTCGTCGAGGTGAAGGGCATCCCGTCGTGGGCCTCGTATTCTGGATTCGCGCTTGTGACGCTGCTGCTCGGCTGCATCCTTGGATTCGTGAGTTTTGCTAGAAATTCGTCTTTTCTTCCTAACGATATTTTCACTTATTTTGCTTATTATCCTGTGAAAAAAATAAGAGATGCATTAAAAAAACGGTAACCCCAAAACTATATAAGTTTTCGAACTACTTTTTAAGGCTTGAAATTCATTTTTTTTCAGTTGATCGTCATGGTGATCGACTACGTGTTCCCAACTGGAGCCCGTGCTGCCGCCCGCAAGCAGCAGCCCAAGAAGAAGGAGGCCGAGGCCGAGAAGAAGAAGGTGCGTTTCTTGGAAATTTAGACAATTTGGGGATTTTTGTTTCACCGAGCGGATGCACGCTATGTAGCAAAAATTTTTAGTGTTGTACAAGGTTTTTAGTGGTTATAAAAAGTTGTCAAAAATTAATTTTTATTTTACGAAATGTCAATTTCTAAAAACCATGTAAAAAGCTATATAAATGGCGTGTATTTCATTATCGGGGCCGTACGAGCCGAAATTTGGGCAATTTGAATTTTCCCTTTTCAGGACGAGGAGAAGAAGGACAACGGCGCCAAGAACGCCGGCAAGAAGGAGTCGAAGAAGAACCAGTAAACGCCCTTTCGACCCTTTTCTCTGTTTCTCCCGCCCCAGCTTCGTCACCTACCGCACAATACTCCCCCCTCAGGCTTCCACCAGGAACACTCCGCGCGGTGCGATAGGTTTCCGTAGTGCTTGCGAATTGCTCTATTTCAACATGTTTATCGTTTCCGCTTCTACACACACCCCACATCCTTCCATGCGCGCATTACGAGTGACATAATATCTACGTAATTTTTCGAACGTTGTGATCGACCCCTCCCAGTTACCACCCCCACTTGCCTTATTTATTTTTGTGCCCGGACCAATATTTTGCACCTGCCTGCATTTCTTTTGCTTGATGGTTCCCCGTTGGGTGGGTTTTCGCCTTTTGTTATTGACGTTGTGTCGTAATAAAGATTCACTTAGCACAAATGCTTGGAAAACGCAACGGCTCTGCGGGCACGTGGAATTGTTTTACCTATCACAAAATATAACAATTTTTATGGCACTTTACATAGTTTTAGATAAAAAATCTTAAAAAAACCTATAAAATTTAATATTCTAACTTTTTTTTTGTCAGAAATGCATGAAAAATGGTTGAAAACTTCGAATTTTAAAAATAAGTTTTTTTTTGGGGATTTGTAGCAATCAAAAACTACGAGAAAAGAAAAAGATTGCTTAGAAAAAGACGCCACGTTTGCTTACTCTGAAGTATCACGATCATTCAATGGGAGAAGAGCATTCCCCCGGCGACCCCCAGACGCAATTGGGCTTTTTTAATTAGACGCGCCTCTGCCTGCTCCGGGGCCCCTCCCATCGAACCGGCCGAGGGCCCATTTTAGTCGCCGTTCCCCGCCGTTCCCTTTGTGTTTGAGTGGTTCGAGCTTTGGGAGCTTAGTTTATTTAGAGTTTAGCGACGTTTCAGAATGCGAAATTACCACGCATTTAGGTTTTAGAGCCCGGAGACGGAACGACGAAAAACTCCTAGAAAGACGCGAAAGGGAATAATTCTTACTTCCCGGCTACTCAATCTGCTTCTGCCATGACGCATCCTCAATGCTATAATCCTAATCTTTCCGCGCCACCGCCGCCGCCACTTTCCCTTTGCGTAAACAACGGGATCAATATGTTTTGTGCAGCGGGTGACCGGTTGTTTTGCGGCACGGCCAGCCGGTGTGGTTGCCTTTCTTTTGCCACATTAATTCAGGGCGCTTCCCACACGTTGGATTTTCAAACCGAACGATTTTTTGCGGCAGATGCTCTTGTTGTATTTTCTTCATTTACTTGCACCAAAACTCGCTTTCCAGCTCAATTTCCTATTTTCAGAAACAGCAAAATGGCTCAGGTCGAATGGACAGCGCTGGAGAGCAACCCGGAGGCCATCAACCAGGCGAGGATACGTTAAAAGTTTCTATAAAACTCATTTTTTTCAGTTTCTCGGCAAAATTGGCGTATCCTCGGTGGATTGCGTGGACGTCTACTCGTTTGACGACGAGATGCTCGCGTTCATCCCGAAGCCGCAGTTGGCCATGCTCCTCTGCTTCCCGGATTACAGAAAGGTAGCCGTTTTATCAGATTTTTTTAGCATCTCTTCCGTTCTCGTGATTTTATAAGTTCGACGGTTTCAGGTTGACGCGATCATGCGGCCCATCTACGATAAGCTGCAGCAGGAGGGCACCAAGGTGGGACTTCATAGCATTGTTGTATTTTCATTTTTCAGGTCCCCGAAAACGTGTTCTTCATGGAGCAAAAGATTCGGAACGCCTGCGGCACGTTCGCCCTGTTCCACGCGCTCGGCAACATTGAAAAGCAGGCGGACATGGGTAAGGATTTTTTATCTTCTCTTCAAAATCACCATATACCTAAAAGAAATATTATTTTTTTAGGCCACGGCCCTTTCCGCGCCTTCCTCGACAAGGCGAAGGCGTTGAAACCGGCTGAGATCAGCGGGCTGCTTGAGAAGACGTCGGATTTGGGTAATTTTTTTGTGTTTTCTAAGCGTTATCTGTTTTCCAGCAACCGCTCATGAAGAAGCTGCTCGAAGCGGCGAGACGGAGACGCCAGCCGGCGACAAGGTGGAGCATCACTTCATCTGCTTTGTCGGCGTCGACGGGACGTTGTACGAAATCGGTTGGTTATTTTTTTGCTTTTTTCTGGTGCTCCCGTGTCAGCGGGGGCAAAAAACTGTTTCCTGTGCCGCTCTAAGCGTGAAAAAATTTACTACAATTTTATTGTACAAAATTTTTCGCTATTTCGATGTAGCTTGAAAAGACGCAAAGGCTTCGAACTGTCGTCAAAAATCAATGGAAGATGCTCATGGCGAGAATGGCGCCAAAACGGCTTGTATACTGTTTGGTGGAACTTATGTCGAAAGTTCCATGCCGGATTCCCGAATCCGCATGGCCCTTTCGAGGGAAATGCCCAGGCGGGGGTGGTCCCGCAACGCTCTCCCTGCGCGCCCCCTATACCGTAGGGCGGCCCCCAGGGGAGTGGGCTCTCTCGAGGAAACCAGCACTCGATTTATTGGCGATTTCCCTCTGGGAGGGAAATCCATGATACTTCGGGCGGGATTCATTCCCAAAGGGAATACCCGAACGCCCAGCAGTCCCACGCCCAGCATATGTGATCCACCAACGTTGCCCCCCTGATTAGGGGAGGTTTTGGGAAGTTCCTCACTTAGTGGGGGAATGACTGAGCCTTTCCCTCGTCGCTTGGCCCATGGCTGAGAGAGGGCAACGGTCCCCGAAAGGGGACGGTGCACTCCCCGCTTCTCACTTCCTTTCTCTCTATTGCTCTAGGTGTATTTGTGGTTCTCTAATAAACCCTTTCTTATTTACTCTATTCAATAACTGCATTACATTCATATGCATTAAACCTTGACCAAAATCCACTGAACGACCGACTCTCTATACTTTACACACGGCGCGCTTTGGTATTTTCCTACTCGTAAGGCAGATGGTGGCAACCTTGGATATATTGAGTTTACCCAAGAGGTACTCTTTATCCCAGGGGCATCTCGCCTTTCGACATGGTGCGTCTCGGGTTACGGCCTGTGTCTGTTTTCTTTTCTTGTTTTCACCTTTCCCTAGTTTTTTATTGAACTCCTTATACGGTGTCTTCTCTTTTTTGTGTTTTCGCGTGTGGCGGTGTTCTAGGCACCGTCGCCGGGCGGAGGTTTCTCTGATGCATGACGAGAATTCTCCACGGTTTGCCTAGCTCTGACCAGCCGGTCATTGGGCGAAAATTCGGATGGGTCGCGAACTCACGCAACGGTGCCACGGGGCCAGCCCCAATGTCGCGTCCCTCACGTTGGCTTCGGCCTTCACCCCTAAGCCTGACTTTACGGGATGGGTGTCCGCAGGGGTTTGCACGGCCGGTCGGAATGGACCGTCTTTGCAGATAATCCCCTAGTGTAGGATTTATCCTCACGACGCGGCCCCGGCTGTACTGGAAGTGGGCACCGTAAATCATCGGAAGGGGGAGGGCGTTGCATTTGTCAAAGGTACGCGAAGCCTAAAAAGCCCAGTCACAAGCCCAGAACAGCCGCCTGATCAGCGGTGTGGTTAGAAAGAAATTAAGATCGGTGTTCGCATCGTTTTCCTTTTGCGGCACTCGTTGCCTGATCAAAACCATGCCCAGCTCACGATTGTGAAAAGCCCAGTATCCGACCCTCGAAGATGGGAAAAGCCCAGAATCCTCCTGAAAAGGTGGATTGCGATGGCCAGCACATGCTTGGGACGAATGGACAGCGGGGCGGATGGTTCTCAACTTTACCGGTCAAGTTCTACAATGGTCAACATCGATGTGACGACGGAGATGTGGCTTCCAGTTTCGCAGATGACAAGACGGTATTGATTTTTGGCGCTAGCTACGCCAAAAATCTCATTCGTTTCCTCTTTTCCCTTTTCGAATAAGTCCAGCAATGCTCAGCACTTTTTACGTCCAGCAAAGTGTAAAGCAAGCTTATTTTCGCTTGTCTTTATTCTTTTTTATGCCCAGCAAGGAGAGAAAGCGTTTTCGCACTTTTCTATCTTTTTTTAATGCCCAGCTATGCTTTTTGTTGAAAGTTAGTACCGGCATTGCGTTTCGTATGCGCTCATGCTTGGGAAAACTTGAAACGAAAGTTTTTCGTTGCATTTGCAACGAACCAAACGCCCAGTTCCTGCTTGCAACGAAGAAGATGGCGGCGAACGGCGTGAAACAAGCTCAAGTCAATGGAAAGAAGCCAAATGGTCGACAGATGTGCCCGATTGCGCGCTGATGCTGGCGTTTGTGTCGATAGGGGCGCTCAAAGATGATGAAGCTTGCTTTTCGATGATGAAAGTTTGGTAAACACGCCCAGTTCGCGCTTTCGTTTTGCCTTTTAGCGCTTACGTCATTCATTTGACGCGCTGAAGCTAATGTATGAGAAATTTGCGATGCAGGGACGCCCAGTTTTCCTTTTTTATGACCAGCAGGATTTTTTTTTCAGATGCAACTTCAGTTAGTAATGTGAAATTTCTTCACCTCTTACTGATTGTTGTTCTTCCTTTTTCAAAGAGGAGCATCGAAATCCTTCTTTTTACGCCCAGTTTTTTCATTTCAGGATTCTCGTGCCGTCGCGAGCTTGTTATCGCGCGCCCGCGATGATTGAAATGGAGAAGTCCAGCCGCTCGGTCCGGCGCAAAGAAGAAAGCAAGCGGCGAATGGCAGATGAATGTTTTTCGCGTCGACTGCTTCGAATATTGTCAAAATTGGCAGCTTCTGTTTGCGCGGACCGAGGTAAACGTCCACCAGGCGTTTTGTTGCTTCTGCAACATTTTGCAAAGTCCAGCCAAATTGCGCTAGTAATAGCCAATTTAAAGTCCAGCTAGGTATAATTTAGCAACGGCATGTGCGTGGATTTCTTTATCCGCCCTCGTTGCTATTTTATCCAAAAGTCCAGCAACAGGATATCGAAATTTTCGATATTCCTGGTTTTTTTTAGGCCCAGTTGCGAAGTGAAGTGGAAGCGTTGAAGCATAACGATGCAGCAATACGCAAGTCGAATGCCGCAGCGAGCGCCCTTCCTTCGTCGAAGCCCAGTTCCGTTCGCGCCGCTCATTTGGGCGCGTGTAACGAAGTATTTGTTTTTGTTTATCGCGAATGTATCTTTCTCGCGCTCTAAACAATACAAATAAAACAATGCATTATTGCATTGTCGCCCAACTTTTTAAAGTTAAGGCAAAAGCCCAGTGGCAAATCATTTGCCGAGGTCCAGCACAGATTATCGATGCGCCCGCCCGCCCGTGCCAAGCCAATTGCAACCAGCCCGCCGATCGTGAATCAAGCCGTGTTGATGTGAAACGCCTCGATGTTTCAAGTCGCAGCCGCCGCAAGCAGCAACAATGGTTCAAGGACAAGAAGCGGACAGTGGATGAAGCGAAGGTTGAAGGCGGCGGGCGCGAATAGTCGGTATACCTTAGAAGCCCAGTAAGCATATGCAATAGCCATTCTTTGCGAGCTTGTCTCGTAGAGTTTGTGTTATGCCGCATTTGCTTTTGACGCCCAGAGAATAGAATTAATTTCTATTCAACAAAGTTTTTAGTTGCGCGCTGTTAAGCCCAACTAAAAACTTTCATGTCCAGCTCGCAACAACAAAGCTTTTCCGCTCGCATATCCTATGCGTAAAGGTGAAAGCTTCGCGGCGTAAAGTTTGCACGTTTGCAGTTTGCCTAATACGTGTTGCACAAAGCTCAGACTTATCTATGTCCAGCACAAATAGGAGTTTAGGTCCGCGGTTACTGAAAGTGAAGTCGGTTGCTGAAGTTTACTTCGGTACGGCGTAGCTGATTCAGTAACACTGCGGCTTCTTTCTCTTTATTTGCACATCTATTGATGTAAAAGCCCAGCGATTTAAGAATGTTTTAGGCTGCGAAGACAAGGATGCTTGATGGCCGTCGGTTGGAAGCATGCTTTCGCTGCCGCGTCCAGATTTCAATTTGTCTGCAGCCTTGACATTTCTTTTTCTTTGCATCATTGATGCACAATGACCAGCGTCGGACATCATTGTCCGACTTTTACGTCCAGGTTTTCCGAAAGCGCTCGTTGGCGCTGGTGTTGGCGGCCGGAGGGCTGCTTACAGCAGTGTAAAGCAAGTGAAGCTGGCGTTGCAGGAGCGCCGCCTTTACTCGGCGAGTGTACGACCAGTCCTGCTGAGCCAGTTAACCTGGCTCAGATGCCCAGCTTCTCTGCCATGCTATTGGCGAATGTCCAGCCCTGGCGTTTGGCCTCCGCCGCCTAGTCAGTGTGTGCCTCGAGCACCGGAAGCCCAGTTCTGCCTTAACACTCGATGTTTAGCTTTGCTCGTATGACACCGCGAGCGTGCGTAGAGCATTCGAGTTAAGCCCAGGGTGTCATATCTCCATACGCCGGCGGCCAACACTACATCGCCGCCCCTCGACGTCGAAGACTTCACTCTTGTTGCCGGTGACAGCGTGCAAGGACAGTGTCAAGCGATCGCGAAGAGAGGTTCTATGGCGAGTTGGCCGCAGGATGGGAGAACAAAGGAGGTTAGTTGTGCTTTCATTTGGCGAGCACAGTCTTTGATTGTGTATACGTCATTTGAGCAAGCGCGCTCTGCTTCCTAAGCCCAGTTCTTCAAAGCCCAGCTTAGGCGCCATCATTGGCGTCAAAAATTTTCAAAGTCCAGCAAGTTCTCGCGCCTTGCCAAGCAAGGACCGATGTTTCGGTAGCAGCTCAGCTGCGCGTGGAGAACGAGTTCTCAAAAACGCCCAACAAGGCCAGTAGCCGCATCACCGCGGCGAACGCTGAAGTTTTTACAATTGCCCAGCACTTTTTGGCGCCAGCACTTGGCGTCAAAATTTTTTGAGAAAAAAAACACAGCAAGTTCTCGCTGCCTTGCCAAGCAAGAGCCGATGTACTTCGGTTGCAACTTTGTTGTGCGGCGAGAATGATGAAAAAATACACAGCGCAGGGTTGTAGAATCGTTCTCTACCCTGTACGGTCTCGCAAGAAGGGGTAACTCCCAACTACCGAGCCGTGCGATGTCCAGCCAGGCTTCGTATAGCCTGTCTCGTCTGCTGCTGCTCCATCAAGTTCAAGCTCTGCGATGTGGCATCACCCAGTTCAAGTCAACTTCACTCAAGGCCCGACAAGTCAAGCAGGACAAGCCGTCGCCGCCAGTCAAGTCAAGCTCGTCTGGAGTCAAGCCCGTCTACAAGCAGTCAAGCTCAAGTCAAGCCAATCAAGGCAGCAATCTGACAGACAAGTACGTCCCCAGGTGACCCGGCAGAGGTACGGGCCTCTTAGCGCCGGTCACCTCCCCTGTCTCTATTTTTATCATGTATCAGGTCCCGTGAGGCCCCTCCTTATACTAATTTGGCCCCACCCGTCCCACCCTTTTTTATGGACCACATTTTCTCCTCCTGCTCTATCTTTTGTACCTTTTCTCAACCATTTGCGGAGGTGAACCAGTTGTCTTTGGTCCATCACAAAAGCCCAGTTTGTCCCAAAGACCAGCACCCTTCCCGACGCTTGCCGTCGAGGCCCCCAGCGCCTTCTTGCGAGCCATTAACCACTACTGTATCCCTTCCATGCCCACATTGGCACCAGGCCCGATGATACAATAATGCATCACCTGGTGGGGGCACTCCGCGGTTCGAACATTGGCAGCCAGGCCGGAGGGTTCAACTCATACCTCCACTGGTAGGGCCTGGCCCGCCTTGCCCTTGTGTCGGCCGGGAGTGTCGAAAGTTCCATGCCGGATTCCCGAATCCGCATGGCCCTTTCGAGGGAAATGCCCAGGCGGGGGTGGTCCCGCAACGCTCTCCCTGCGCGCCCCCCTATACCGTAGGGCGGCCCCCAGGGGAGTGGGCTCTCTCGAGGAAACCAGCACTCGATTTATTGGCGATTTCCCTCTGGGAGGGAAATCCATGATACTTCGGGCGGGATTCATTCCCAAAGGGAATACCCGAACGCCCAGCAGTCCCACGCCCAGCATATGTGATCCACCAACGTTGCCCCCCTGATTAGGGGAGGTTTTGGGAAGTTCCTCACTTAGTGGGGAATGTACTGAGCCTTTCCCTCGTCGCTTGGCCCATGGCTGAGAGAGGGCAACGGTCCCCGAAAGGGGACGGTGCACTCCCCGCTTCTCACTTCCTTTCTCTCTATTGCTCTAGGTGTATTTGTGGTTCTCTAATAAACCCTTTCTTATTTACTCTATTCAATAACTGCATTACATTCATATGCATTAAACCTTGACCAAAATCCACTGAACGACCGACTCTCTATACTTTACACACGGCGCGCGCTTTGGTATTTTCCTACTCGTAAGGCAGATGGTGGCAACCTTGGATATATTGAGTTTACCCAAGAGGTACTCTTTATCCCAGGGGCATCTCGCCTTTCGACAACTTAAACATTATAATAATTTCCATTTTATTACTAGACCGAACTCAACTAAATAACAAACTTTATTTTGCTATTCTTTTACAGATTCGCGAGCCCCATTCCCGCGGCCGCTCGGCAACACCACGCCCGACACGCTCGTCAAGGACGCCGGCGTGCACGTGCAGAAGCTGATGTCCCAGATGGACAACATTTCCTTCGCCGCCATGGCCATCGTGCCCAAGCAGTAACCGGTCAACTGAAGACATCGAACGCTTTCGCTTTCCCCCATTCCCTGTTCCCTTCATTGCCGCTCCCCGGTTCATTGTGATGTTGCGCTTTTTTTCGATCTCCACTACTCTGTGTGTGTCTTGGTAAAGCTTTAGCTGACTGGCAAATTGGCAGGGGAATTTGGTGTAATGCGTAGTGGGCTTCGAAATATCGAATCAGTTTATTTTAGTGGAAAATACGGAATATACAGAGTGAAAGGCACAAAGTTGCTGCTCGGGCGATCGTCTAGCCCTCCTTCGAACCTCTGACGGCTGCCCCAGCCGGGTTGACCGCATTCCGCGACGATACCTACAACGGGGATACGGTAGTTTTTAGAACGTGAAATTATCGATCGGACCTCAAATTTTCGAGATTTTCATCGGAAATTTTTAATTTTTGGTGGAAGAGCTATGTTTTTGCATTTGGGTTTAGACCTCGGCAAAATTGGTGATTTTTATCATTGTGTAAGCGGGAACCTAACTAAAAAGTAAGTTTAGGTTAAAAATGGCGCAAAAAACGTCGAAAATGCTTGTGCTTAGGATCCATTTTTCATTATAAAAAGCCGGAGCGTTTTTTACTAGTCCTAAAAGTAAAAACTTAACAAATTTTTACAAAACTACGAAACATCGAACAAAAACCGGTTTTTGCCAAAATTTGGACGTTTTGAAAACCTCTCTAAAATTTTACATGGCTTTTCTAATGGAAATGGGTTTTATTTGATTAAAAACAATATTAAAACAAGTCCTATTAAGTTCCTAGGCATTTCTAGTCTTATACAAGTTTTTTTTGTACCTTTGGCCCCTTCATCGTGTACGTGGTCTTCTTCAGCCACTCCGAGTTCTTCATCTGGTGGCAGGTGGGCCGTGAGTGGGGGTGCGGGTGCAGAATCTCGAAGATGAGCGTGCATGCCTCCAGCGACAGCACCGGCTGCTTGGGGAACCTGCAGCTCAGCGCCGTGGTCATCTACCAGCTGCCCCAGCCCACCGAATTCGGTGCTGCAGCTGCTGGTTGACCATGGCGGGCACCTTCTTGTCGTTGAACGGCATCATCCCGGTCAGCATCACGAACAGGACGACCCCCGCGCTCCAGATGTCCACCTAGAAGACGTTGTTGGCTAGCGCAGTGCGGCCTACCGTGTGCCCCGTGTACTCGACGGAGCGCAAAATCTCGGGCGCCACGTACGCACGGGAGCCGCAGTACGTGCTCGACTTCTCGCCGACGCGCAGGTAGCGCGCGAAGCCAAAGTCGCCCAGCTTGACGTTGCCGTGCTTGTCGAGGAAGATGTTCTCGCATTTGATATCCCGGTGCACGATCTCGCGCTCGATCAGGTACTGGAAAAGTGGGGGTTTTTGGAGGTCAGCTAGCAGAGATTGTTGAGGAAAAGGAGATGGCAGGCTAGCAGAGATTTTTAAGGCGCGGCTCACCGAAAGCGCCTCGACGAGCTGGCGGAAGATGAGCTTCGCGTCGGCCTCCGGGATGAACTTCTGGCCGTTGATCTTGTCGAGCAGGTCGCCGCCCTCGCACAGCTCGGTGACAAAGCAGACGTAGTGCTTGAACTCCATGATCTAGATGGAGGATGTGCAGGTGATTACTGTAGGGAGTCCGGTACCTCGAAGACGCGGCATATGTTGGCGTGGTTGCACGTCTTGACGATCTCGATCTCGCGTGGAAGGAAGCGCTTCACGTAGTCGCCGGACTGGCTGGAAACCGGCAAATTGTCGCTGTTAGCCTGCCCTGGGGGTTGTGGAGGGGCCGAAATTCCTCAAATTGTCTCGGCTAGCTGGCCCACCGTCGGTCAATGTTCTTGATGGCCAGCTGCGGGTGCTCCTTCTCGTACTTCTTCACCTTGGCCAACACGACCGTCGAGTAGGAGCCGGACCCTGAATTTTCATTAGTTGGTTTTAAGCCTAAGCCTAAGCCGAAGCCTAAGCCTAAACCCAAGCCTAAGCCATAAACCCACCCAAGATCTTGACCATCTCGATGTCGTTGTCCTTGTAAAATTGGAGCAGCCTCGGGCTCACCTCCGTCGGTTCTTTTGCCATTACTGTATCAGAAAACATGAATTTGCATACCGCATAAAATCACCCACCTTTGATTTACGACTATAACTTGAATAACGAGTAGTAAGAATTGATGCGAATGCCCGGGAGTGCCGCTTTTTTACTCGCCATCCCATGCTGCCGCCGGATATGCAAATTGAGATGGTCTTCACAGATTTTATGCAAATTCAAATGGCATTGAAAATTCCAGAAATTTGTGATTGGCTTTTGGTCCGCTTGACACCAAAAAAACGTTCTTGGAAACGTAAAATACGAAAATAATTTGGTGAAGTAAAAAAAGAGATAGAAAGAAGAAATTTTTCGATATATTAGTCTTCATTTAAGCTCGCAAGACGATAATTTTTTGTGATTTTAAATGGACGGGTTGCGTGCGATTTTTATGAATTTTAGCGTTTTTGTAATTTTTTTAGGCTTGGTTTGGGCTTGGCTTAGGCTTGGCTTAGGCTTGGCTTAGGCTTGGCTTACTGTAAAGTGTTTTTACTCAGGCTGGCATTTTGGTATGGGGCCAGGTCTACCTTGTGAAGAATTTTTCGCTGATTCCGAATATGGCTTCCAAATCTGCTGCCGACTTTTATTTAAAAAGTTATTCGAAATTTATAGTAAAAAAATTGCGAAAAATTGGATTTCTTTGCGTTATTTTTAAGCTGTCGTCATCATCAACGTTAAAACTGGCTCGATAACGGTTTTAGAGGTTAAAGCATGATTTTATGCAAAAAATTCCGTGTTTTTGTGCAAAAAGCAAAAGGAATCGTGCAGGGCGGGGGTTCGAACCGCCGCCCTGTACCTGGCAAGTGAACACCTTGCCAATACACCAGGATGCCAACTGGGCAAGGGGCTTCGGGAGGATAGATAAGGGGCACGGCAATGCCTGGACCCACGCCGGGACTAGTGGGCCAGCATCCGAATTTACGTCGTTTTTCAGCTTAATTTCGACCTCAAATGACTTTTAACGCAAGGTCCGCAGCAACTAATCAGCTAATAATTCTGCACAAGATAAGCTTGGTCCCATTCTAAAATGCCAGCCTGAGTCAAACACTTTACAGTTAGTCTAGGCTTAGGCTAGGGCTTAGTTAGACTTAGACTTGGCTTAGGCTTGTCCCTTCCCTTAGGTTTAGGCTTAAGTTAGGCTCGGGCTTGGGCTTAGGCTTAGGCTTAGACTTAGGCTTAGGCTTAGGCTTCGGCTTAGGCTTAGGCGGAAGACCTCTGTTATTATCTCTTTTTTATGCCTTTCAAAAACCACAATCCTTTTCTGTCCCCGATAAGGCCTTTTGGGAGTGTGGGAGTGGGCGTACTCGGGTGAAGCTCGGCCCCCCGGCGGCCATCCCACCCGCGGGCCCTAATAAACCAATCGATGGGGCGCCCCAGGGCCCGAAAAGGGGGGCAGAGCCCCCGGTGGCCTGAAATTAAAATCCGGCTCCGTGCAGCCGCGGGCATTGCCCGGGTTTTGCGCCGTTTCTGGGCGGATTTTCTTGGATTTCGGGTTTATAGGGGTGTAGTTTACCCGCGCGGGTTTTTCTCGTCTCGATTGAATCTACTAGAACTCAGATGTCTGCTTGATTTTTTGAAACATATTTTGTATCGAAGCCTAAGCCTAAGCCTACGCCTAAGCCTAAGGCTAAGCCTATGTCTAGGCCTAAGCATAAACCAAGTCAAGCCTGGGCCTAAACCTAATCCTAAGCCTAAGTCTAAGCCTAACGGCAAACTTAATGCTAATAGAAATTTAAATAAGATTTTTATACTTCCATGTTTTTCTGAAGCCGTTTTGAACATTTTCGCGCTTTCTATTTCCAGAAATTCTCGAAAATATCTCAAAACATGCCTGTTTCGTTTTTTAAGATGTTGACATCTATTTTATTTGCTTGTTATTGTTTTGCAGTTTTTTTCCATAAATAATACTGTAGCTTAACCCCCGAAACCCCGAAAAAATCCCCCAAAAAACCTAAAATCCCGATTTGGGCTGTTTGTTTCGGGGCGCTAAAAGCTGGCCGGGCTGCTCGAAGGGGGGTGGGTGACTCTGTAAATATAGGCCAATGGAAACCAGTACTAGCCGGCGCGCAGTTAGCCCCGAAAAAGGAGGGGGGAGGTGAGCGGAGCTCCACCTCCTCCTTCCGCTACTCGGGCGCGATTCTCGAGAATAGGCGATATGGGACGCGCCAAATTACGGCCCGACCTGATGTTTTCGTATTTTTGAGCTTACCGTACTTTTAAACAAAATTCCACGTTGGTGTAGCGGCTAGTGCGCTTGCCCCTCAAGCGGAGCGTCCAGGGTTCAGCTCCCGACGAGGTCAGAAATTTTTGCTATTTGGTTCGATGCGTTTCCTGTGCAAAATTATGAAGATGCTTTACAAAGTAAAGCCAAGCCAACGTCAAGCCTAAGCCAGGCGAAGCCTAAGCCTGAGCCTATGCCTATGCCTAAGCCTAAGCCTAAACCCAAGCTAAGCCTAAGCTAAGCCTAATCTAAGCCTAATCCTAAGCCTAAGCCCAAGCCTAAGCCCAAGCCTAAGCCTAAGCCTACGCCTAAGCCTAAGCCTAAGCCTAAGCCTAAGCTTAAGCCTAACCTAAGCCTAAGCCTAAGCCTAAGCCTAAGCCTAAGCCTAAGCCTAAGCCTAGGCTAGCCGTAACCCTGGATGCGAATCCGATTCAATTCTCGATTGAATTCCCGATTTCTGAGCGCGGGGCCAGGCGCGAGCGAGAGCGCCGGGAGCTAAATTACGCCCCTCCATAGCCCTAGAAAGTAGGCCTGTGTACCGTCTATAGGCCTCCAGCGGAATAGCCCTTCTCCCCCCCGCCTGCCCCATTCAGGGTTCTGGAAATTGGCCCGAGAATCCGCTTTCTAACCAGCCCAGTCCAATTTACGCCCTGCAATTTCTTATGAAGGGGCTGGGTACGGTAGCCTAGTAGTCTGAGAGGGGTCAACTTTTAATTTCTGTGTTTCGGCCTTGCCCTGCCGGCCCCTTTAAACTGGAGAAAACCCATAAAGAGCTGGTGGGTATAGAGTAGCGGGGAGGAAAACAAAGGAGCCGGTTGTCCGGATGCGGGCTTTTCCTTGGATGGCCTGGAAACTGGTTGATCCCCTATATCAGATGAGGCTTTATAAATGGATATGGGGGAATTTCCTAATTGTTTTCTGCTAGCCTGCCCTCTCCTCTTCCTCAACAATCTCTGCTAGCCTGCCCTCTCCTCTTCCTCAACAATCTCTGCTAGCCTGCCCTCTCCTCTTCCTCAACAATCTCTGCTAGCCTGCCCTCTCCTCTTCCTCAACAATCTCTGCTAGCTTGGCTGATTGCTTGAAAGAGTCTCTGTTAGAAATCACCTAGAGTGGCTTCAAAGCCTAAGCCTAAGCCTACGCTAAGCGACAGCCAATCCTAAGCCACCCGCAGCTTTAATTTGGTACCAAAAAATGGGAATCTGCCTTGCAGCCCTCGGCTCCGACCGGCCGATTTCAATCTGCCATCGTCCAAATGTGTATTTAGGGGTAGAGGATGGCGAGTGAAAGCCGATTCCGCAGTTTTCCCGTTCCCCGCCCCCTGGGCTGCTGCCATGCACACTGTGACCGGGTAGCCGGCGCTGATTTCTATTTTGGATTCTGGGATGCTGACGTAGCGGGGCAGGCTAGCAGAGATAATTTGAGAAATTGTGCCCCTAGGGCAGGCTAGCAGAGGCCAGTTGGTTCAAAATTTTGGTTACCGAAACCCCAAAAAGGCATTGACTCTGGCGGTGTGTGTGTGTTTGTGCCAGAACCAGACCACGCCGCTGCGTTTCGTCCCAAAACCAGAATCCCATTTCCCCACTACACGAAGAGTCAGCCCCAAAGCACCCCCTGGGGCGGAGGCAGGGAGGAAAAACTATTGTAGAAATTGGATCCCCTCACCCAGGGGTGGGATTTGGATGTTGAGGGCAGGGTGGGTTAAATGGTCTCTGCTAGGCTGCCCATTTTTGGTTAGCTCACTCTCTCTCTCTCTCTCGCTCTCGCTGTCTCTCGCCTTCTTTAGCTTTCGCTTGCAGTCTCTCACTTTCTCTACCTGTCTCTCGCTCGTCTCACTCTCGCTCTCACTCGCTTTCTCTAGCTTTCTCCGCCTTCTCTCGTTGTCTCTCGTTGTCTCTCTATGTCTCTTGTTTTCTCTAGCTTTATCTCTCTCTCTCTCTCTCTCTCTCTCTCTCTCTCTTTCTCTCTCTCGCTCTCCCTCTCGCTCCTCTCTAGATTTTAAAGATTTAGCCCGATTTGATCGATTTTTGTGACTTTTTTGAATTGTTTGTAGGTTTTCAGCTCTTGACAACCGATTGCGACATAAAATATCCTTTACTTCTTGCCGCTTTCTTTAAATTTTCGCCAAAGTGTCGAAATGAACGGCACTGCCCTTCAAGTTCAACACGTGGATTTTTTGCGCCCTTCCCCCCCATGCGGGGTGCTGTATTCCGATCGGCTCCTATTGACGTGAACGTCTCACCTAAAAGCCTATTTTCAGTTTTCGCTCGCCCCCCTTGAGCCAATGGCATCGGATGGGGGGTTGTGAAGACCCGTTTTCCCCCTCTCTGCCTGCTGCCCTGCCCTGATTCGAGCCGTTTCACTTTAAAGCCACCCCGCTGCCCCGCGTTCCTTTTTTGGGATCGGGGGGTTTCCGCAACGGTTTCTGCTAGCTTGCCTCAAAATTTAATTATTAAGATTTGATCGAATATTCCTGAAGAATCTCTGCTAGCCTTCCTTGAATTTAGCAATTTTAACTTTCAGAAATGTCCACTCTCGCCCCGGCACCGAACGTGCCGAACCCCCGGAATGCCGGCCGGAAAAAGAGCAACCCGGTGCGATTTTTTTCGATTTTTTGAGTAACCCGGTGTCGGTTTAAAGGAACATTGAAGGCAAAACGGACCTTGTCAACACCCGATTTAGTTACCTGTATTTTTAAAGGTATGGGAATTCTTCACCGACCTTCGAGTACATGGATTGGCTGGTGTTCGATGTCGTTTTTGCCATTGGGTGACGAATGACCGTAGCCCGACCACGATGAAATTTCACTTGAAGCGAAAGCACGATACCGGGCCTGGAGGTGTGCTTCTCGGGATCTATTTATGCAAATTTTTTAAGGTTTGTGGGCTTTGTGCGAAGAGAAGATTAACCAACAAACACCTCCGAATTATGCGCCAAGGAAGAGACCAGAACCGATTAGGGTGAGCTAGCAGAGATTGTTGGGGAAGAGGAGAGGGCAGACTAGCAGAGATTATTTGGGATTTTCAGCCGCTCCAGCCGCCAAGTGCCGAGTCGATCTTCGGGACGTCACTTTCGCTGAATCAATTTTTGTGGAAACACCTCGACCCAGCCACCCTTTTTCAACAAGCCCCGCCCCCGACGGCTACTGTGAATATTGGAGGTGAGAGCGTATGCGTAGTCTTGGGCTTAGGCTAAGGCTTAATTTTAAGCTTAAACCTGACAAATTTTTACAGGCATTAAGAGATAATCCACTTTCTCTCTCGCTTAAAAATAATTCATGAAAACCGAAAATTTGACGAAATTCTTGAAAATAAATGTTTCCTAATTTTTCGATTTCGGTCACCATTAGCTTTGCAAAGATTTAAGCTATCTCTAATCTCTACCTTCTTCCAGTATCCGCCAGCCAAGATGACTTCCTGCAAACACTTCTCCAGCAGGCCCAAAATCTAGCCGCCTCGTCGAGTCCACCAGAGGTACGATGGTTTTAAAAATTTTTGTTGTGCTAAATTTTCACAAATTACCAAATTATCCTAAAATCCCAAAATGCATCTGGTTTCTTGAGCGCTCCTTAAAAAATTCTGTAGGTTTGTATTTGTGCGAAAATTTTCCTCAAAAATATTGGCTAGCCTGCCCTGAATTCTATAAATCTTGTCATTTAATTCAATGTATTTTAATTATGCTCTTTCTGCGTTCAATTCTGATTTTCAGCTCCGGGACCCCGTAAAATCGGAAGATGTCGAAAATATGAACATTATCGAAGGACTGTTGCTGCCCAGGATAGAGGTAGTTTAGAAAATACTAAAAAAAGACGTTAAAGTGCTCAATAAATTTGATAAACAGCATTAGTTTTCAAACATTAAAAATAAATCTAAATCTCTGTTTCAGTCTTGCAAGCACTCCGACCACTCCTCCGACGCCTCTTACCCTACAAATTTGGCATCGCCCGATTTTAGGTTGGTATCTCGCACTCTCTCGCTCCCCCTCTCTCTCCCTCTCTCCCTCTCTCCCTCTCTCTCTCTCTCTCTCTCTCTCTCTCTCTCTCTCTCTCTCTCTCTCTCTCTTCTATCTCTCTGTCTCTGGCGCTATCTCTCTCGCTCTCTCTTTCTCAGTCGTTCTTTCTCTTTTTCTGGCTCTCTCTCTCTATCTCTCTCGCTCTCTCTCTCTCTCGCTCTCTCTCTCTTTCCCTCATATCTCTCGTGCTCAAAACCTCCTTTAGCCTAGCAGACGGTGCCTCAATCGCCGGCCTGCTGCAGATCGCCACTGAGTCCGACCTCACCTTCACCTTTAATGCGAGGAGGAGCGGCGAGTACTGCTTTGAGAGCAACAAGAAGAGCAAAGATGGCAGTCAGGTGAGCTAGCAGAGATTGTCGAGGAAGAGGCGAGATAATTTACCAAACGAGACCCAAGGCCGATTGATAGGCGGATTTTGACATTGACTACGCAATTTTTCGAATCATAAAAATTCCAATTTCAGGATAAAATGGTCGTCTTCTCCGATCACGGGCCAGAGATACGGGTGGAGCAGAAGGTGAACGGGAAGGAGGTGGGCGTTTTTTGTCTATTTACCTAATTTAATTGGCTGATTTATGTTTGTAAAATATGTTACTACAAATCCCATATTTCAAATTTTGCAAGATTTAATTTCTCTAAAATATGTTTTGGCAAAATTCGATCCAAAAATCGGCGGTTGCCGTTTAATTCACCGAATCCATTCCACGTAAGAACAATTTTTTGGCGTTTGTAGTTTGGGTATTTGTGCGTTAATGGGGGGGCGTTAATTACAGAAATGCATAGTACGGTAATAATGAATGTTTTTATAGTGTTGTCAATCAAACCTAATTAAAATTGCTAGCTGAAAAATCATCCAAAAATGTCAAAGTTTTTAAAAATTCAAAATTTCCGTCGAAAACTTTATTTTTTTTTAAATCTTTGTACGTCTAGGAATAGTAAAAAAGTTTGTACTATTTTGGCCAAAAACCAAAGAAAAAGAAAAAGTGCCCCCCCCCGATAATGCAAAAGCACCGTAGGTTCTTTTGGGTATAAAATATGCAATAAAGTTACTAATTTAATCCCTCAAATATCAAATAAACACTAATAATTCTTGATTAAAATAGACATAAAAAATTAATGAAAATATTTTCAGCTATCCGTGGAAATGTGGCGCAAGAGCGATTGGACCCAATTTTGCTGGGCCGTCCGCGGGACGTGTCTCCATTTTTTGAAGAGCTACTGAGATTTGCATACCGCATTTTTCTATTTTTTATTAAATTAAATTACTTAAATTTAAAATTAAACTAACCATTCGATTTTAAAAGCCATTTAATCCATTCAATCCTATATTTTTGGAAAAACACGTTTTTTAAAACTAGCAAATTTGCAAAAAAAGTCACAAAAATGTGCATATTGAACTTTATACTTTTTATAATTAATTTTATTAAATGTTAAACCCGATTTTTAACGTTAATATTTTTTAACTTTGTTTTACCTTATACAACAAATTTTTAACCAATGTTACTTCGCTTGTGATACCTGATTTTCGTGTCTTTCAAATTGTTTATTTTTTTTAAATCACGAATAAAAAGTTGTATTTTTTATTTAACGACCGAAAAAAACAATAAGAATAGTAAAACCGATCACAAATTGTTCAGGTAGCGGTAGAGATTGTCATCGGTGCCTGACCTAAAAAAATTTATTTATTTATGGAATTCCGAAATTCAGAAAAATTATTGTAATTTACTACGGTACTTGAGTCTTCATAAATTGCTGGAAACAAAAAGCAAAATAGAAAAACGTCCAAAAAGATCTCGAGAAAATTTTTTAGTTTCACAAAAACGAGGACCTAGACGCGGCTGGATTTTGACAGTAATTCTTGTCGCGTGTAGTTGTTGTAAAGCCTTTGATTTTAAGGGTTTTATCGTTTAAAGATAAATTTTTTTGAGCCAGAAAAAGTAGCAATTTGAATTAGAATAAAATCTTCAATAATTTTAATACCAAAACAGGGCTAAAATACCTGAACCGGCCGTGGAATCGCTGGCCGCTACCCTCCAAAATTTGCTGGTTGATCGATTTTCTGAAAAAACTCACACTCTGATCCAGTTACCTGTTCCTCAATAACCCCTGCTAGCTTGCCCTTTTTGCCTGTCTCTAGCAGAGACCATTTTGCAGGGGGCAGGCTAGCTGTGATCATTGGGGAATGGACAGGATAGCAGAGATTGTTGAGGAAGAGGAGAGGGCAGGCTAGCAGAGATTGTTGAGGAAGAGGAGAGGGCAGGCTAGCAGAGATTGTTGAGGAAGAGGAGAGGGCAGGCTAGCAGAGATTGTTGAGGAAGAGGAGAGGGCAGGCTAGCAGAGATTGTTGAGGAAGAGGGAGAGGGCAGGCTAGCAGAGATTGTTGAGGAAGAGGAGAGGGCAGGCTAGCAGAGATTGTTGAGGAAGAGGAGAGGGCAGACCAGCAGAGATTGTTGAGGAAGAGGAGAGGGCAGACCAGCAGAGATTGTTGAGGAAGAGGAGAGGGCAGACCAGCAGAGATTGTTGAGGAAGAGGAGAGGGCAGACCAGCAGAGATTGTTGAGGAAGAGGAGAGGGCAGGATAGCAGAGATTGTTGAGGAAGAGGAGAGGGCAGGCTAGCAGAGATTGTTGAGGAAGAGGTAAGGGCAGGCTAGCAGAGATTGTTGAGGAAGATGAGAGGGCAGGCTAGCAGAGATTGTTGAGGAAAAACTCACTCTGGTCTGGGTGTCGCTGAACGTGCGGGCCCAAATCGTGCGTATCCCTCGACCTCCACGCACAGTACCACCAACAACACAGCCAATACCGTAGCCCACAGTCTTCCCAGCATTACGCTCTGAAAAACAGTATTCAAATATCATTTTTAGATACAGTAGTTAGCCCCACAAAAAAGCACACTTTCCAGCAAAATTTCAAAAATGGAATAAATTCCCCTGCTGAAGCCTAAACCGAGTCCAAGGCTAAGCCTGAGCCTCGCCTAGGCAAAAAACCCAAGACTAAGCCTGAGCTTACGACACGGCCTAAGCCCAAGCCAAAGCCTAAGCCTAGACCTAAGCCTAAGCCTAACAAGGGAACCTCAAGTTGGCACGGTGGAGTTTCGAAAAACGCTCGCGGCTACCCCTAGGTTTTCGACTATGGCGATTCCAACGGTCTAGTCAGAATTTCCTAAATGGGCCTCTGGACAGAGATACAGCACTTCCGGAAAATGATAATTTACATCCGAAAAATTAGCATTAGCGATAGGTTTATGAGGCTCTCCCATCAGTACGGAATCACCAGTGGGATGGCCGAGTGGTAAGCGACTCGCTTGATAGAATGCTGACGAGGGTTCGAATCCGCTCACGATTTTTTATTTTGCTTTTTGACCGGAACTTTCTGCCAACTCCAAATTTTGATTTTTACTATAAAAAAAATTTTTGGTTATGGCCCCAGGCTTATTACTCCCAAGAATCCTGAAAACACGTTCTCGAAATTCAAAAAAGTTGGGTCTACCCATATTCCATTTTTTTACAGAGAAGCCACTATGATGTACTTGGATTCTTTTAGAGGTTTTAGAAAGAGAACGCATTTTCGAAAAAAAAAACAGTAATCAAAACTTGGAGTTGGGCAGAAAGTTAGGGTCAAAAAGCAAAATAAAAAATCGTGAGCGGATTCGAACCCTCGTCAGTATTCTATCAAGTGAGTGAGTCGCTTACCACCCGGCCATTCAACTGGTGCTTCCATAGTGATGGGAGAGCCTCATAAACCTATCGTTAATGCTAATTTTTCGGATGTAAATTATCATTTTCCGGAAGTGCTGTATCTCTGTCCAGAGGCCCATTTAGGAAATTCTGACTAGACCGTTGGAATCGCCATAGTCGAAAACCTAGGGGTAGCCGCGAGCGTTTTTCGAAACTCCACCGTGCCAACTTGAGGTTCCCTTGTAAGCCTAAGCCTAAGCCTAACCTAAGCAAAGGTCTAAGCCTAAGCCTAAGCCTAAGCCTAAGCCTAAGCCTAAGCCTAACCTAAGCAAAGGTCTAAGCCTAAGCCTAAGCCTAAGCCTAAGCCTAAGCCTAAGCCTAAGCCTCAGCCTAAGCCTAAGCCTAACCTAAGCAAAGGTCTAAGCCTAAGCCTAAGCCTAAGCCTAAGCCTAAGCCTAACCCTAACCCTAATCTAAGCCTAAACCTAAGCATAAGCCGAAGCCGAAGCCTATGCCTAAGCCTAAGCCTAAGCCTAAGCATAAGCCTGAGCCTAAGCCTAAGCCTAAGCCAAGGAAGGTAAGACAAATGAAAAAACAAAACTGCAACCCACAGCTTTAAAATGTGTGTGTGTGTGTGTGGGTGGCCGGGTTTGGGTTTCAAGTTCAGGGGGCAATTCCCCCCTTGGGGAAGCCCTCCCGAATAAAAATACCCAACGTCTATGATGGCATTGGGGGATCGAATTTGCCGTCAATGGCCCTTTAGGGGGTCCATTCAACCCCTTGCCCAAAAAATATTCGTCTACGCCGGTTGACACGACCAGTATTGTGGAAGCCAGGCGGAAAACAACATGTTTTTGAGCTGCGTTTTGGAAATGGAATTTTTTAAGGTCATGGACGTCAAAAATCACTAAAAATTTGGGGACGACCTTAACCGACTTGCTATAAACCGAGAAATTCCAGAGTGGTTCTAACCTCTTTCTTACGATCCCTAAATGCAAAAAATTTCAAAATTTTGGGTATAAAAATTATAAAACAATTCGATTTTCGTCCAAAAGTTTAGGAATTTTAGAAATACTTCTAAATTATGGATTTTTTGATACTTTAATAATAGCATAAAGACGCAATTTAGCCAGTTTACGACCATTCTTAAAGTAGCGATATCAACATTGGAGGTTTTTGCATTTATATTATTTGTAAAGTGACTTACCGTACTTTCAAGCAGTCAAGCGTTTGGAAATGCATTGAAGTTACCGTCTATCTAAAAGAATATAAAGATATGAGTTTATTAAACGATTTAAATCCTGGTTGTAATTTGTGAAAAAAGCGGAAGAGCCAAAATAGCCGCAATCAGGAATTAATGGCTCTGAAGGCCTCTTCACCCCTCAAAAACGTGAAACCTGTTTTTCTGATATTCGTGGCAATATTTAGCCAGAGAGAGAGAGACCTAGAGAGATAGAGAAAGGGAGAGGGAGCGAGAGAGCGAGAGGGTGAGTGGGTGAGAGAGAAACAGAGATAGCCAGACAAATGGGACCCGCCCCGGAAATAAGCCCAATTTGGGCGTGTAGCTCTTAGCAAAAATAAGCCTGAAATTGCAGATTTTCCGTCATAAACAAAAATTCCTAGACAATCTCTGCTAGCCTGTCCTCTCCTCTTCCTCAACAATCTCTGCTAGCCTGCCCTCTCCTCTTCCTCAACAAACTCTGCTAGCCTGCCCTCTCCTCTTCCTCAACAATCTCTGCTAGCCTGCCCTCTCCTCTTCCTCAACAATCTCTGCTAGCCTGCCTTCTCCTCTTCCACAACAATCTCTGCTAGCCTGCCCTCTCCTCTTCCTCAACAATCTCTGCTAGCCTGCCCTCTCCTCTTCCTCAACAATCTCTGCTAGCCTGCCTTCTCCTCTTCCTCAACAATCTCTGCTAGCCTGCCCTCTCCTCTTCCTCAACAATCTCTGCTAGCCTGCCCTCTCCTCTTCCTCAACAATCTCTGCTAGCCTACTGCACCATTTCCACACCTAAAAAACCCAGAAAAAGGCTAGCCTCCTAATCACGGCCATAAAAAATTGTCTAGGGACGTGGAAACGCGAAGGAGCGCGGGCTTTGGGAATATGTTAGTTAGTCTGTGTGTGCATTGGGGGCCCCGGAAGGGATTTCTAGGTGGATTAATCCCGGGAAAAGCCTTCTTAGGGCCCTGGCAGGGCCCTAAGAAGGAACGGGAAAGAGGGTAAAGCTTGGAAATAACTAGAAAATTCCCTGGGATTTCTCAAGGAATCTCTGCTAACCTGCCCTAACGATGGATAGCTGATTTCCTTATGAATCTCTGCTAGCCTGCTGAACTTCTTGAGCGCCGAAGTGGCCAGCTAGCAGAGATTTTTGTGGAAATTTGTATATTTTGTGGAAATTCTAGCAGAATTTTTGTGGAAATTCTAGACAGGGAGGCAGGCTAGCAGAGATCTTTGGCGAAAGCTGGTGACCAAAATTTGGGGATGAAATTGGGCGCGCCGAAAGAAGAGACTCACCGGACGACGTCGGCAAATCAAATTAGAGAGACACCCCAACCTCCCAGGGCTAGGGTTAGGGTCCAGTGACACGGATGCCCGGGTTTCTGATTGAGTTCTAGGAAACGAGCTCTCTCTCTATCTCGCTATCTCTCCCTCTCTCTGTCTCTCTCACCTCCTCTCTCTCTATAGCTCGCTTCCAAAAATTAAAATATTTATTCAACTACAATTCCGGATTTTTCTTCGCTTTCGGCGCCGTCTGTTGGTGGATGAACTCGAAGACATCGCCTCCGAGCGTTTTCGGAAGCTGTAAATTAAGCTTGTCGAGAGAGAGAGCGAGAGAGAGAGGGAGAGAGAGAAAGAGAGAAAGAGAGCGCGAAACCCCCCACCTCCAAGGCGGCAAAATGACCGCCATCCGGGTGCTCGCGGCGGAATTGCATATTGTAGTAATGCTTCATCACCTCTTCCGGCATCTACAAGGCGTTTTTTCGTTTAGAAATTGGTCCATGAGTCAATATCTTAATTTCTAGACTTAAAAACTCACCTTATCGAAGGGCTCGTTTCCGAAATTACTGTGACCAGTCGGGACGGAGCAGAAGACCCTGAAATCACGCATTAATAGGCTGGAATTCCTCAAAAATATCTGCTAGCCTGCCCTCTATTTCCATACATACTCACTTCCCAAGCTCCTGATTCCGAATGTCAGCAAAATATTCCTTGTAGAAGCGTTGTGAATGGACGATGTTCCCCTGCGCCCAGTAGATGGTCACCACCGTCAGCACCTCGTCGAGTGTGAATTTTCTGACAAAAACAGCGTGAGAGAGAGGGAGAGAGAGTGAGTGAGATAGAGAGAGCGAAAACGCCAAACTATACTTCGTGATACCGCCATCTGGAAGGTCACGGAACTCCAGATTTGTCCACGACGAGAATTTCTCCAGAATGTAGGCTGCCAGGCCGATGGGAGAATCGTTGAGTGCGACTCCTGAAATGGGCAGGCTAGCAGAGATTGTTGGGGAAGACGAGAGGGCAGGCTAGCAGAGATTGTTGAGGAAGAGGAGAGGGCAGGCTAGCAGAGATTGTTGAGGAAGAGGAGAGGGCAGGCTAGCAGAGATTGTTGAGGAAGAGGAGCGGGCAGGTTAGCAGTGAAGCTTTGAGAATTCCCACCAACGGTATCCGGCTTTGTCCCCTGAATATGCATATATCCCGACTCAGCCATGATCATCCCGAACAGGCTGAAGATGCTGAAGTTGGCCTGGTTGGGTGAGGCAAAGAACTGGAAAGGTTAATATTGTAGTTTTCGTAGCTAGCAAGACCCCTTAAACTAAAGAAACTCACTAGTTTTGGGGCGAAAGAGCCGAGAATGGCCTTGACCAGCCCGATGCCGTGGAACGAGCCGGCGCCGTTCATGTTGACGTGTAGGGCGAGGACGCTAGAATCAGGCGCTGCTCTCTCTCTCCCTCCGCCTCTTCTCTCTCCCCCTCTGTCTCTCTCTCTTTCTCTCTCCCTCTCTCTCCCTCTCTCTCTCTCTCTCTCTCGTATAACCTACTTTTCCTTGTACATCTTCGCCAGGTTGGTCGTCACGATGGCTCCCCAATCTCCACCCTGAAATTTGAATTGACGGTTTTTTAAGGGATTCTGAGGCGAGCGAGTTATGCTCGTTTTAAAATGGTCACCTGCAAGTAGAATTTCTCGAATCCAAGTCGGGTCATCAATTTTTTGAAAACCCGGGCGCATTCCACTTGGGAGAAGCCTGAAACGGATGATATACAGTGAGAGAAAGAGAGAGGCAGAGAGCGAGAGAGAGAGAGAGGGGAGAGAGAGAGAAAGAGAGTTAGACAGGACCTGTCTTTTTCGGATTTCCAGAAAATCCATAGCCTGGAATCGACGGCGCAACGACTTCAAATGCAAAGTCGTAGTCCAATCCGTGCTTTTTCGGGTCATTTAGGATCGGAATTAGCTTGACGAACTGAAAAAGAAAACGAAGATTGAGTGCTGGAAAATCCGCAAATGCTCTCTGCTAGCCTGCCCTCTCCTCTTCCTCAGCAATCTCTGCTAGCCTGCCCTCTCCTCTTCCTCAACAATCTCTGCTAGCCTGCCCTCTCCTCTTCCTCAACAATCTCTGCTAGCCTGCCCCTCCTCTTCCTCAACAATCTCCTAGCCTGCCCTCTCCTCTTCCTCAACAATCTCTGCTAGCCTGCCCTCTCCTCTTCCTCAACAATCTCTGCTAGCCTGCCCTCTCCTCTTCCTCAACAATCTCTGCTAGCCTGCCCTCTCCTCTTCCCCAACAATCTCTGTTAGCATGCCCCTACCTCTTGGACATTTCCGGGCCATCCGTGGACCAGCAGAAGGGGTAGAACCTTCTTATAGCCAGAAGCGGCCTTCGAGCGGATGAAGTGAACCTAAAAATGGATTTCAAAGCTGATATCAATTTTTAAAGGGAATGGGAAACCCAGAAAATTGCTAATCGGCAAATTCAGGCACAGTTTTTCATGCTCTTTCCAATGGTATATTTCAAAACATTTTTAAATAGAAAATTCTACCTGAATTCCCTCAATCTCGGTAGTGAACTGGGTAAACGCGTTGAGGGCCGCCTCGTGCTTGCGCCAATCGTACTTGGAGCGCCAGTATTCTTGGACTTCCTAAAATTGGGAAAATCTAAATTATTATATGAAAATGGTATAAAATATTACAGGAATTAAATTACCTTTAAATAATGCGTGTTGAACCCGTAGCGGAAATTGTCGGAATCTTCGAGCGTCTCGTGGCTGACCCTCGAGTGCAAGAGCCGGCTTTTTAGGTCCTAAAAGATATTTTAGCTAAAAACCATAGAGATTTTTGCCTTCAATGACCCTTTAAAAACCAAACCCACATCGAGCACTTTTTGAGGGACATTAATTTTGTAGGGGTGTATCGCCTCGTCGTCGGCCCGCCACTCCCCGCTGCCGTACCACCCGTTCTCGACAATGTCCACCTAGAAACCGGGGGTATAGAGGAGCGGAGCGTAGCTCGATTGGGATGAAATTTTTAGTATGAATGTAGATTGTTATAATCTATGTTCTTTAAAAAATTTAGGTAATTATCTTAAAAAATTAAAAAGTTATAGCAAAAAAGGTAGATTTCTCCATGTTTTTCGCAATTTTTTTCTATAACTTCGCGATTTGCATAGCTAGCGTATCGAAATTTTTACTGCAAATTGATAATACCTTAAACTATAATCCTGCATAATATTAGAGCATGATCTTAAAAACTGAAAGAGTTAGAGCGAAGGCAATGGTTCCTTTTGGATGTTTCAGCGGAATTCAGCGACATTCTAATAATTTTCCAATGAATTATGCTCCATTCCCTGCATCCCAAATGGTCTCTGCTAGCTTGCCTTTGGCTCCGGCGAAAAGTGACACCAGGCGTAGAGAATAGCGCTGAGAACGGCACCGCCGAGCAACAGCTTCGTCACGCAGCAGCCGCAGCCCATTTCTGGAATTTGCAAAGTTAAGCCAAACCAAAGCCTAAGTCTAAGCCTAAGCCAAGCTTACGCCCGGCCTAAGCGTAAGCCTAAGACCGGCCTAAGCTAAGCCGAAACCAAGCCTAAGCCTCAGCCTAAGCCTAAGCCTAAGCCTAAGCCTAAGCCTAAGCCACACCTACGCCAAGCCTAAGCCAAGCCTAAGCTAAGCCGAAACCAAGCCTAAGCCTAAGCCTAAGCCAAGCCTAAGCTAAGCCGAAACCAAGCCTAAGCCCAAACCTTAGCCTGGAACATTGAAAATGTTTTAAAACTAAAATGAACCAGCGGAAATAGGGTGGAAAAATTCGTGGGGGCGGGCAGTCCAAAAAAATTGGACCGGTCGCTGGGGCATCGAGGCAAAAAATGGGGGGTAAGAGAGAGAGAGAGAGAGAGAGAGAGAGAGAGAGAGAGAGAGAGAGAAAGAGAGAGGCAGATAAGGCGCGGGCAGAACACTACACAACCACAACACAAACAGACACAAATACGCTACAAATCAGCAGCCCCCCCCCAGCCAAGGCCAGGTGTACACAGATAAATTGCCGGGCAGATAGCGATTGAATGATTGGATTAGGGGCGCTTTTAAAGGGGTTGTGAAGTCAGAAAATTCCCATGGATTGTAAGGACTCACTATAAACTCTTAAATCGATCAATTTAGATGTTTTTTGCCTTAAAAACCTCAAAAAACCTAACCTAGAAAAATCGACGGCACAAGGAAAAAATGTTTTGAATCGATTTTTAAAGGAACTAGAACGTCTAGAAAATTTTTACAAAGTTTTTCCGGGGCAGTTTTTTTGTGCCTTTTCCGATGGTATATAAAAATTAACTAGTTATTGAGATTTAGTCTGGAAAATCGAGCAAAACCTTAAAAATCAGCACCACCCCTTGAAAATACCTAAAACAAATTTTTTTAAAGGATCTGGCGAGGTTATGGAGTTTTTAGGTATGTTTTTATAGTACAGTTATTTACGCTTTTTTGAATGATATCTTTAAACCGAATTTTCTTTATAGATTTTGGCCTTAAAAATTACCTTGAAGGGATACCCGGGTTCAAACCCCAGGGAACACCTTTGACTGGATTTTAAAGAAACTGTGTAGGTCAGAAAAATTTTAAATAGGAATTTTGCATACAGTTTTCCATGTTCTTTCCAATGATGTGCTTAAAAACACAAAATGTTACATTTTATGCAATTTACGGAAAGAGAATGCTCGCATTTGAAACGGCAGTAAACGATTTGATTGTATGTCTGAGAAAAACACACGAAAAATTAGGGGCAGTAGCTGCACTACCAAATCCAGCAGACGACCTCCTGGGGCGAGGCGCGGTAGTCGCGGTTTTTGGCGAGGAATTTCTGAAACTCTCCCCGGTCGGTCATGTAGATGAAGTCGTCGGCATTTTTGCGGGCCTCCAGGAGGGGAGATCGAGCTCCTAAACATGCAAACATATTTGAAAAGTTAAATGCATCCCACCGCATTGTCCCATTTGGCGGACGCACATCCCGATCGGAGCCACCTCGTTCTAAAAAATTGATAAAAATCTGGAAAACCCAATACCGTACCCAGCCTTGCATTTGCATACGGCGACGCTCCGACGAGTCGGCCGTCAGGAATTGGCCGCCGTTTCGCGCCATGTAGGAGAGCTCTTGAAGGCCTGGGCAGCGATTTTTCAGCATTCCTGTGTTCCTGGAAAACGCGGATCCTGAAGAGTCTATGCTAGCCTGCCCTCTCCTCTTCCTCAACAATCTCTGCTAGCCTGCCCTCTCCTCTTCCTCAACAATCTCTGCTAGCCTGCCCTCTCCTCTTCCTCAACAATCTCTGCTAGCCTGCCCACCCCTCTTCCTCAACAATCTCTGCTAGCCTGCCCTCTCCTCTTCCTCAACAATCTCTGCTAGCCTGCCCTCTCCTCTTCCTCAACAATCTCTGCTAGCCTGCCCTCTCCTCTTCCTCAACAATCTCTGCTAGCCTGCCCTCTCCTCTTCCTCAACAATCTCTGCTAGCCTGCCCTACCTCTCAAAAGTCTGCATGCTGATAATCTTCCCGGTTCGATCAGCAGCTCCGAAACCCCGCCCACTTCGCTGATCGACCAGTCGACGGTTCGGGTGCGTAAAGAAGCGTCGCGTAGTCGGATTGTACGCACGGTATACCTACAGCAACTAAAATTCCGCAATAACCTATGCTAGCCTACCGTCGACGCGAAAAAATCGAGACTCGGGCTCTGCTCCTTGGCGAAATTGGGGTGGATCTTGGTGATGGTGGTTACTAAAATAGCGTTAAATGGAAAATTAGCGAATTTTAAGTTTTTAAATTTAGCTGCGCTCGAAAGTTTTAATTCCGGAATATGCAAATAAAACGTACTGATTTTCGCGCCACCAGGTCCCATTGGCGCGAACGGAGAGCGGCCAGGGCCATCTAAAAATTCTTAAAATTGAACGAAATACTACAATCTATACCTATTTTTTTAAATTTAGGTTATCTACGTCCTAATTACAATAGAATACGTTATTGAGCAAAAAGAGGTATAGGCAAACTTTCACGCTTACCAAGGCCCAATTCCGCCACATTCCGTACTTCCTTCTGGCTGGAAAAGAGATAATTGATGAAACGTTTTGAATTTTCCACAAGGATCTCTGCTAGCTTGCCCTACTTCTCCGAACAGTCTCTGCTAGCTTACTTGGTTCTCGCAGAAGCAGAATCGCACAATCGCAGAACCTCTGCTGGTTCGGCTTGGTTTTCCTAAAGCACCTCTGCTAGCTTGTCCTACTTTTCCTAAAGAACCTCTGCTCGCTTGCCCGATTTTCCGAAAGGCTGCTAGCTGGCCTTGGAATTCTACAACGATATCTGCGAGCGTGCCATGGACCTCCTAAAGAATCTCTGCTAGCTAGCCATGATTTTCCTTAAAAAATCCCTGCTAGCCTGCCCCTGCGGTCAAAAGTACTAACTCGTAGTCATAATCGTTGTCATTGGCCTCAAATCGGCCTCCATCTTCAGTCTTGAATTTCCGCTTCTCGATCCCCGGCGGTCCCCAGGCCATGGCCACGCTGAGAAGCGAGAGAAAGAGGGTGAGAGAGAGCGACAGTCGAACCATTGCCCTGAAACACTATATTCCCTACAAATTTTACTGAAAAATACCTAAAATAGAAAAAGTTATTCAAACAAAAATTCAAATTTTTTCCGAGGCTTTGTCTTAACTTTTTAGGTTTTTCTACCCAATTAACTTCTAACTTTTCTAGCTTTTACCCATTTTCCCCCAATGGTCCTTGCTGGCCAGCCCTCCTAGGTCTCAGTATTAGTTACGAATTACCATAAAATTACGATAAAAACGAAACGTAAAAGGAATGATTAAATCTCAAAAAAATGCCAAAAAATTGGGAAGCGCATTGCTAGTGGCTTTGTCTGGATGCTAGATCGGCCCATCCCCGACATGACCTCGAAAAATTCCGCCTAACTACCATGCCCGATATTGAGCTATGTGGGGATGGAAATCGCGAAAAAGAAGAAACCTTGCGGGAGCCCAATGATGTTTGCTGCACTTTTGGACTCGCTAAAATTGGATGGATAAGGTGCGAGAGAGAGAGATAGAGAGAGAGAGAGAGAGAGAGAGAGAGAGAGAGAGAGAGAGAGAGAGATAGGGAGAGGAGAGAGGGAGAAAGAAAGAGACAGAGCGAGAGAAAGCGAGAGAGTGCGAGAGCGAGAAAGGGAGAGAGAGAAAGAGAGCGAGAGAGAGAGAGAGAGAGAGAGAGAGAGAGAGAGAAAGAGAGCGAGAGATAGATAGATGGAGCGTGAGATATAGAAAGCGATGGAGAGAAAAAGAACGAGAGCGAGGTCGAGAGCGGGCGAGAGGGAGAGAGAGACAACGAATTATCAACACCCTTCCTTTGATGGATGACTTTAATGCGTGTTTTAATGCCCGCGCGTTTAGTATAAATACTTTTCACGTCTAGCAGCGGAAAGAACATGAAGAACTACACCAGAATTCTTCAACTACAATTTTTTTGGTCTTGCTGGCCCCTTGAAAATTCGGCTTAAACGGATTCCCAGATGCCCCTGTTTCGGTGGTTCACTTTAGTGCATGTTTTCACCCAAAAAAAAATGTAGTCATTTATTTTTAAGACTACCATCGGAACGAGCATGAAAAATACACCAGAATTTTATATTCATAGATTTTCTAAACTTCTAAGTCCCTTTAAAATGTCCTCAAAACTATTTTTCAGGTACCTCACCTCCGTTCTTGTAGTCGACCGTATCCCAGGGGAATTAAAAGGCCGTTTGCGAGCCACCCGAACTAGGCTTGGCACAGTCTGTTTTTCGACCCTACTTTTTTGACGCCATCGGATAGAGCATGATCGAATTAGTGGGGCTGCATAGTTTTGAAAGTTTAAAAAAGTTTAATTTGGGGGTTTAAATGGGCGTTGAAGTTGCAGACCCTCAAAAATTATCTTGGAAGTTACTTAACCAAATTCGCTGAAAATTTGTGTCAATACCTAATTTTGGACGGGGATCATTTCTCTAATACATCGCAAAGCGTGAAAATGGCCGGAACATGGGAATCTCGCGTACCCAAAACAGTTTTTGAAGATTTTCGTTGTGAAGGGTTGTTGACTGCGCGCTGTAAATAGCATAGAAAGATGCGCAAAAACTTTCTGCATCGAATGGTGTATCATTTAGCGCGCAGACAGGAACCCTTCATATTCAAAAAAGGGCTTAAAAGCTACCAAAAAGAAAAAATTCGAATATTTATAAAAAATAAAACATGGACTCCCATCTAGAGGGTCCAACCGCACGATCGCAAAAAAGAGCAAAAAGAAATTCGACTTTTGAGAGGGGGGCTGGGATTGAACTCGGGTCGTTCGCCTGGGACATGGCGGCGCCCACTAGCGGCTGTCCCCAGTGCCACCCAGGCGGACTATCGCGGGTTCGATCCACGCAAATCGTCAGTTCCGAGTGGGAAGCGAATTTCTTTTTGCTTTTTTTTTGCAATGGATACAGTTTTATCTTTAGACCCTATACCCGTTTCCCATTTTTCAAAATATGCAAACCTCGGGAGTAAGTACCAGCTTTTCTCCCGTTTAAAAATCGCGTTTTTTGAATATGAAGGGTTCTTGTCTGCGCGCTAAATGATACACCATTCGATGCAGAAAGTTTTTGCGCATCTTTCTATGCTATTTACAGCGCGCAGTCAACAACCCTTCACAACGAAAATCTTCAAAAACTGTTTTGGGTACGCGAGATTCCCATGTTCCGGCCATTTTCACGCTTTGCGATGTATTAGAGAAATGATCCCCGTCCAAAATTAGGTATTGACACAAATTTTCAGCAAATTTGGTTAAGTAACTTCCAAGATAATTTTTGAGGGGTCTGCAACTTCAACGCCCATTTAAACCCCCAAATTAAACCTTTTAAACTTTCAAAACTATGCAGCCCCCCTAATTCGATCATGCTCTATCCGATGGCGTCAAAAAAACGGGGACAAAAAAAACTGTGCCAAGCCATATTGGGGTCTGTTCGGGTGACCCGCGGACGGCCTTTTAAGAGTTCGCAGCTATGTTGTGGACCACCTTCGATAGCCAGCCTCAATTCCCAGGGAGTCTGACTCAGCAGTAATGAGAAAATCAGGAACCGAAAAGCTTATCGATTTCTGTTCTGAATTTTAGATTTTTTTCGATTTCCGGGCTGGGGTACCACTCTATTATTTTATTTCCTTATTTTCTTATTCACGATCTTTTTGACGCAGCGGGTTTTGAAAACATTTTTTTCGAAAGTTTCTGATCTTAAGCTCAATTCCCAGTCACCCATGCAAATTCCCTACCCCAGGGAATCCAGATGTTTGGCCAAATGCCAAAAAACACCTTGCTCGCCCTAGAAACGCCTCTCACCGAACAATCTATCAAATTTGTGTCTGCCTTTCGGGCTGAGTGAGGGTGAGAGGGCGAAAATAGGATTATTCCCCCGCCATTATTCGCGTCTTTTCACCTCTAATTCCCGTCGAGACCCCCCCGAGGGACAACACACACAAGACGGGCTTTCTGTGGCTTCTTCAGAAAAGATCAACTGCTGATGTGAATTCCGCAAATTGTCACTGCTAGCCTGCCCTCTCCTCTTCCTCAACAATCTCTGCTAGCCGCCTCTCCCAGGCCAATTTCAGCTTTCAGTTCTCGTATGTTTTGGAGCGATGTGTAGTCTGCCTGGGGCCACGATGACTAGCCATTCTCATGCATTTTTTTTGTGTGCTCAGGGTGAAATTTTTGGATGAGCCGACAAAGCTTCTGCCCGATTAGTTTTTGAGGATTTTGAGGAAGTTCCTGTTCTGAAAAATTTCTTTCTTTGTGTCTCTCTCGCTTCATTTGTCTCTCTTCTCTCTCTCTCTCGCTCAAGCAAAATCGACAGTAACCTTACCAATTTTGAGCAATTTTGGAAAAAGATTGCATGGTAGAGAGCGAGAAAAAGCGGGAGAGTGCGAGGGAGAGAGAGTGTGAGAGCGGAAGAGAGCGTGAGAGTGAGAGAGATAGACAGAAACATAGAGAGAGAGAGAGAGCGAGAGAGAGAGAGAGGGAGAGAAAGAGAGAGCGATAGCGAGAGGGAGAGAGAGAAAGCGAGAAAATTGAGGATTAGTGGCTTCTCAAGGTAATCCCGT